TGTCTAGCAATAGAGGATTAGAAAATAAAATCAGGCCTATCTTGGTAATTAATTGAGAGTCAAAACTGAGGAGAAGCTTGAGCAGTTAACAGAGTAAGCCAATGAAAACGAAATTCTACCAATGTTAGAATAAATCTCAGAACTTAATTTCGAACAAATCACACAAGGGTTGTCTTAAGAAAAGGATCGTAGTCTCATACTTACTTCTCTAAAACAATCATTATAAAAAGCAATCAATTGCACTCCCAGTTTGGCTTCGCTAAAATAATAATCCAGTAGTTTCTTTTCAGCCTAACCAACTGGTAGACGAGATGCAATCGTGCTTAAATAATGGTTCGTAAACTTCATCGATACCATCCATCAATCCAATAAGGATTTCAAAGATAAACTCACTTCCTTGTCAGAAGCTCTACATCTATGTTTGTTGGAGATTATCCGATAAGTTTCTTACCAATGTGCTGAAAGAGGACAACTCCTTCATTCATTAGTTAAAGGATATATTTTAGTGTTTCACAAGCATTTCATGATAAAAGAAGAAGAAAAAAGAAAATTGAAATTCTAATTATTTGAAAAAGATATTTTTGAAGCCAAAGAAAAGGAGGAGTTGGAAAATAGGTCAAGAGTCTAAATTAGTATTTTAACACAAGAATTGGATCAATTAAAATATAAAGAAAATCTCATTAATTCAGAACGTATAAGTTATTAATAGACTATCAAAAAACTATAGAATAAAATTAACTTCTAAGAAACCATATCAAAGAGCGCAGCAAATATGATTGGCAATTTATAAAGGGAGATAGATTAATTGAAGCATCAGCTATCCAAAAAGCATCAAAACAAACATTCTTCTATTAATAAGTCAGATGATGCGATGGAGGAACAAGATCTATCCTTATCTTAAGTACTTAAGGAGATGAATCAACAAACTAAATTTGAATAAAATTAAGATATGATTGTTAAAGATGTGATTGAAGAACTGCCTGTTGTCTGTCATAGTGTTGGTGTATAAACATTCTAAAAATGTCTTTGTGTTCTTGAAACTTAAACTGATCTATAATTGATGTCTCCTTAATATGATAAATTTCTATCCACTTAGGAAATAGAAAATACATTTAGAGAATTCGAACTAAAACAGCAATTAGAATAATAGAGTTGGTTGGATGGTCTATGCGATTAATTTAACATGCATCAAGATGAGCCTTCAATTCATGATTATGAAACTAGAGGAGTTACCAAAATTGATTTAATATACGAGGTGCCAGAAAATGACGAAGGGTCACCGGATGTAATGAACAAAAGAAAGCAGGATTATATTCTGGAGCGAAGATTGTAAATTGAAAGATCGGAAACATCTGAAAAGTTGATTAGAGAATTTGATAAGTAAAGTTCAGACAGATTATTAAATATAAAATAAGTGCAATAAGGAACAAGTTCTAATAATACTTAGTAGAATTCATAGCAATCTTCATAAAAAGCCATTAAGTTATCTCCATAAGCTAATACTTAAGTCAATTTAACGAATACTTGTAAAAGTGAGACAGCTAAATAACTCTAAAAGCAACAAGTTCAACAACAATAATCATCGTAAGGTAATTAACAGTTAGGCTCATAAAGATATTTTCCAGCTAATGAAAATCTAGAAAAGAAGAATGAAAAAGAAAAGTAGGGATAGGGGTAAAAGAAAAAGAAGATGAGTGCATCATAGTAACTTTAATAATAATCGAAATAACATGAACAATCATCATCTCAGAATAATACTCAAATAATTGAGGTCAATGAAAAAACTGATTCTATTTAACCCAACCTATCAAAGTAATAAACGACAATGTTGATGCTTCTTTATCAGATACAAAAGTAGAAAGCTTAAAATGCTACAGCTAGAATGAATGAAACAAATGAACTCTTAACACAGGTATTACTATTTGCCAGAAAATTGACTCTTCATATCTTAAAAACTTAATTCAAGACACACACTTAAATAGCAGAAGAGTTCTTATTTGAATTTGAATCATTCAGAAAGAAAATTTAGAATGACAAGGAAATTTTGGAAGAAGAGTATGTTTTGGATGAAGAAAAAGAAAAGGAGGAGAAAAAACAGGAGGCGATGAAAAGAAGGAAAGGAAAAATACAGAGAGCATTAAGAATGAATTTTGCTACAAGATAAATGAAATAATTACCAACTATAGATAGGTTAACACATCCTGGTGTCTTATTAGCAATTAAAGCCAGAGAGCAATCTCATTTGTTCAAGAAGGTTGTTGCGTATTGGCCAGTTAAGAATGTTTTGAGAACTATAAGTCAGATATATTTAGAAAAAACATCCTTTGGAGGAGAAGCTGATATGTAGATCTTCGTTTTCAATTTCTTCCTTAACAAATATGGGTTTAAACATGTAGCTGAAAAGAAATACTTATAATTTTTATTATCTGTGATTCACTTTTGTTAAATCTTTCGAGTGAATGTATTCGCGAGATTGTTATGTCTTTTACATGATGAACATCTGAATTTCACTTAAGAAGAATCTGCTTTCATGATTTCAGGATTGGAATACATACACAGTCAAACAAGTCTGGGTGTTAATATTGTACAAGGAGATAGTGAGTCCAAATTTTATGTGCCTTATTTGAGAGCTTTAGAGTAAATGTATATATATTATTGCATAGTTATATAAAAATACACTTAGAGAATAAGTTAACTGAAGATGAAATTAAAGAACTTAGGAATGATTTGGATAATCTTAAGGAGAGTGATTCAAAAAATAAATCAGGCGTTGTCGATCTAGATTAATTTATGTCAAAGGTTATCGATAAGTATAGGAATGTTACTCATCGGACTAAGTTATTTGTGATTCATGCATTTCAAGCTGCTGATTTGGATGGTAACAGAAAGATCAATCATAATGAGTTTTTAACTTTGTTTAGACACATAGAATGTGAGAAATTTAATTTCTAAGAAGCATTAGATTTATTTGAAGAAGAAGCGGATATTATTCACTAAGGTGAAAAGAATTTATCATTTAATCGTTTCACTTCAGTTTGTGTCAATTAGTAAATCTTTACTGAGAATTCTCTCAATGATTTTATTGGTAGGGAAGCTAATATGGAATTGATATTCGATAAATTAGTGAAAACGTGGAACTAATATAAACTTGAAGTTTAGGGTTTGCTAACTCAATTATAACCATTTGTGACATCTGAAATTTATTAAGAATGGGTTAATATATTGTTCATTCTAGAAAAAAGGATTCTCAATTAGAAACCAGATTACCAAAATGTTAGGCCCATCTTAATAGCCCACAAAATATTAAAGTTGGAGCTGACAAGATTATTAGATGAGGATGAATAAAATTAGAATAAAGATTGATTATATAATAATAACAGTTTACTATTAATTCAGAGTTGATCATTTATTATATTAAAAATATCTTCTGAGTTGTGAAAGCGAATTTAAAATTGACAATATATATTAATCTCAATTAATTACGATGCTTTTTTGGATACTAATCATTTTATCATTACCCTTGTTATGGATTATCCTTTACCCCTTATGTATCTGCTATTTCTACAAATTCAAGTATGGAAGCAAGGTTTATGTTGTGTATTTCCCCTTGTTGGGCCAATTCAAATATCGAATGGACGGCGTAAAATTTTAGAAAGATGTTATTCATTTCAAAAGAAATGTTGCCTATAATCATCCAGAAGTAGAATTAATTGTGACTCATATTTTCAGTAGGCCATACTTCATTTTCATCAAACCAGAAAAAGTGAAATAAATGCTCTATAATTATGCAAATTATAAAAAGAGAACTGATGAGATATTTAGAGACATTATCGCATGCCAAGGTCTAGTATATGCAGAGGGCTAATAATGGAAAGATTAAAAGCGCGAACTATCTAACTTCTTTACTTTTGAGTAGTTGTCTTCAAAGATACCAGTCATCAAAATGTTAATTTAAGAGACATTATAATACAAGGAGAATTAGAGAGTGAATATAATAAAACAATGTGCAAGAATAGCTTAGAGAACTATGCAGATCTGTTTTTTTAATCAAACAAAAGATGAGGAGATAAATGGTTAACATTTAAGTGAAGAATTTCAAGATCTCTCTAAATATTTTATCTATGTAAATTTAGATATCTATTTAGGTTACATATGGTAGTCTAATACATTAAATGAGATGCTTTTTTGGAATCAAGTCTCTATCAACGATGAAGTCCTACTTTATGACAGCCAATGAGAAGCGATTCCTTCAAAGAGTGTATGGAGTAAGAAATTATATTAATAATCTCATCAACAACCACTAGAAAGGATCAGAAAAGGATGTGTTTACAATATTATTGAGAGAACCTTTGACTGATGAGGTTAGGGAATAAATCATTCATCAATACATTACATTCGTCTTTGCAGGAATGGATACAACATCTCATTAGGCAGGCATGTCAATTTATATGTTAGGCAAGCATCCTTAAATTTAATAGAGACTCAGAGAAGAATTAACTAAGGTTAATTTTGAGGAGATAGATTAAAGACTAATCAATTCTCTACCATTATTGAATGCATTCGTAAATGAATGTCTAAGAACTTAAACTCCAAGTGATGGAATTATCCCAAGATTGGCTGTGAAAGATCATTATGTAGGATAATACTTAATAAAAAAAGATTGGTATGTTGATGTAGGACTATAGCCGATGATGACTCATCCTTAATATTTTGAAAATCATTTAGATTTTAACTTAGAAAGATGGTTAAATTAATCAGAATCAGAAGCATTCCTCCCTTTCTCATATGGTCCAAGAAATTGTTTAGGATAACATCTAGCTAAAATAGAAATTAAACTCATCCTTATTTTCATTATCAAAACTTACAAAGTTATACTAGATGATCAGACTGATTTAGTTATGGAATGCAATTTCCTTTATGCTCCATCAGATGATAGATTAGTAAAGTTCATAAGAATATGATAAATAGATATATCAATAAATTTGCTTAAAAATAAACAATCATTTAATATTCTCTTGCGTAAGCTCTCTCAATATAATGCTACTAACAACATTCTTAAGACATCCAAACTCTTTCAAAAAACTCTCTTCGTAGCTGTTCAAGTTTTTCTAAAAATATTGTTTTCCATCAAAATCTAAATCAATCCTTTTATCAATTCTTAAGTATTTATATCTTATGTTTTTGGTATTCATTTCCTTAATTATCAGTTCTAACTCTTCTGATTTATTGTCTAATTCTAAATGCTGATTGGCAATATGAATAATATATCTATATGATTTATTGCTACTCTCTTTTCTCCACTTAGTATTTAAGGTTGCCAATTTTAAACCATAATAAAATCCTTTCTTTATTTCTGCCTATCCAGCCTATTTGATTTCCTCAAGACTTGATAAGATTTCTGCTTCATTACACAAATCAATCACTTAGCATTATTGAACCTTTTAATTTGTAATGATATCATTAAAAACCACTATACTAAATTTTATCCTTGAACTCAAGTGTTGTTTCTATTTTAACTACTGAATTATGTATTCAATGGTATGCTGAATTAAAATAAAATATTACCTTTAATTAGTCAACATTATGACCTTCCAAAAGAGTGACATCACAGCAAAATACTATGTCTATATCTGTTTCTTAATTTTAGACTGGATGGTGGACCACTTTTAATTATTTTTCTAACTATTCTTTTGCTTCCTCTTCTCTTTACCTTAGATCTTACTAATCAGCTTTATCCTTACCTACATTTTCAGTATTTACGTTATTTTTTAGGTTCATTTTTAAATTAGATTCGTTTAGCTATTAATCTTATTTTTCCTCTTATTATTCTTGACTTGCTTTCTTATCTGAACCATCAATATTATTATTTTAGTTTTATAGTTGGTTATTCTCTGCTTATGGTTTTCTTTATTCTTCATCATCTCTCTTATCTAATAATTCCTTATTATTGACATCTTTATGTTCATTTTCTTACACATTAGGATTCTTATCTTATTCCGCTGGCTTACTGGGTTCTTATTCCTAATTTTTAGAATTTTCTTAGTTTTCATTTTAGTTCTTTTCATTAGATCTTACATGTTATTGAATGCTTTCATCATTTTACTTATCTTTGGAATTATCTTTGTTATCTTTATTTTCTTCTTCTACCTAATCTACTTTCTAATTTGGTTCTTTTTTATCTTAATTATCATTATCCTATTCTTTATTTCCTTCTTCATTTTATTATTTAGCTTTTACTTCTTCTGCTTTAGAACTATGATAGTTAATGTAAATAATCATACTTATGCTTCTCTTGCATTTTTTCCGCCTTAGTTCTTGCTTTTTGACGTTAAGAGGAGGGCTTTAGCTCAGGCGACAATTTATCTATAGGATCATCTTTGGATTAATGAATGGATTCTTTCTGTTTGTTTGAGGAAGACTTAATTTTTGAAGAGGTGCTAGAGTTTTTTTGTTTAGATTTGCTTGAAGTGGTAACAAAATCAGACTCCTCGTCAGAGTCATTTTTCTTTACTTTTTTACTTCTTGTGGCTCCTAATTTTTAATCAATAATTGGCTAGCTCTCTTTCATCACATCCTTGATTGTTTAAGTTTTTCTTGGTGGCATTAGCAAATTAAAATGTATTAAATTATTTAGTTTACTTTACTAAACAACTCTTTTTTTATTTTGATTAAGCACACAAATATTTTGTCAATTATATTATAAATTTATAAATTTCACTTCTTAGAAATTCTATTACTGTGATCACAGGACAAAGGGAATTATTTGATATTTTATGAAATCGACAATTAAAATGAGGCACTCCATTATGAAGTTAAATCAACCTTGTTGCTGGGTGTTTAGAATTGAAAATATTAAATATTGGGATTGTTTAATATATAATAATAATTAATATTCAATAATTATAATTAATATGAAAAATGTTAGTAAAGTTCAAAGTCAAGAATATTTTCACAAAAGCATTGCATAGTCTTCCTCTCTGTAAAAACTATTTTCTCAAAGAGTAAGTTCTCCATAATAGTGGGTTTTAGGAAAAAGGCTGGAACAATAGGATTATTGCATCTGAATAGATTTTAGGAGTTGTACCAAGAGAATAATCAAATAAAATATTCTTGCCATCAATAAATGGGGGAACAGCCTCCATCGTTTAGAAATACATTCAAATGCATAAGAATTAACAAGAATTAGATAATCTTTTTGAATGTGAGCAAAAAATATTTGCTACAAAATTAGAATAAGTAAGACAAGTACATAAATTGTATAATGTTCCCAAAATTCATTAAGTATATAATGATACATATGCAGAATGTGTTTAATTAGATATTGGCATCTTCAAATGACAAATTAGCATTATTGGAGGAAGAACTTAAATTAATGGATTAAAAGTTATCTCCCATATTACATTGTATGTTTACAATAACTGCACGAGAGAATTGCTTAAATTAGATATAGAGTTTATTGAAGTAGTATTAACCTAAGGATTTAGAGAAATTAAAAGAATTTATTAATGATTTTAGACTTTTATCACTAAACACACTTGAGAGTATTGTGAAATGGTAGTAATACATTGAGCATAAAAATTTGAATATTCAATTTTGTTTGGACGATAATACTGTATATTGTGAAAGGTTCTATTCTGATTATGAAATTTTGAGACCACAGTTGATCAAACTATTCGACATAGCAGATACTCATGATCCGTTCTTTGTGAAATTACTTGGAAATAATCAACCTAAATTGTATGCAAGGGTCAGAAGAGCAGAAGTTGAATTATTGAATTTGATTTTTAATAATAATTATTTAAAATGAGTAAACCAACAATTTGATTTCTATAAGCATCCCCCAACTACTTGTTAAAGGTTTTTTAGAAAAAAATCCTTTAGAAAAATGAATTCAAAATAATTAAAAAGATAATAGGTTATAGTAGATTTATTTAAATTCCCAGAGTTATAGTTTATGATTAAGTTTAATCAATTTTGAAATCATAAATAAGAAATAAAGATGTTGATCACAATGGAAATCAAAAATAAAAAAAAGATGCAAAAAGATTCCTTCATTATAAGAATACCAAAGAAAATATTCGAAAAGGTAGATGGTATTTTGAATATTCCATTTTTTATTAATCGATTATCTATGCAATATTATAATCAGCATTTTAAATTTGATTTCATTCCCTGAGAACTAATTTTATTTTTTGTTTTAAATATTAAGAGGAGAATCTTACATATTCTAACTTAGATATTGTTAAATCTTACTTAATTATTAATATGATCAAACTTAGCAGTTTTATTTTAAATAGGATAGATTTAAATAAGAACAATTTAAATTATTAAGTATGAACGGATTAAAATATACTATATTATAAGGGTAGATGGAGCCTATCAATTAAGATTTTGTATATATTTAAATCAAAAATATGAACCAAGGTGAGAAGGAAGTGAATTTTATGAATTCTTTTTTATATATAAATAAATAATAAAAAAAATTCGAGCTTGGCAGTACTCGAAACTGCAACCGCCTGATCCGTAGTCAGGCGCACTACCAATTGTGCTACAAGCCCATGTTATATTATTATTTGTTGATTGAAATATAAACTATGACACTAATAATATTAAAGTATCTTTTGGAATTCTTAATTTCAGTATGGTTTCAAAAATCAATAAAATTTAAATATTAATACACTTGCATTTATTATGAACCTTTGGGGTACTTTTCATCTAGGACATCAAAAATTCTATAATCAGACTTGACTAGGGAATACTTGAAACATATAAATACTTTTATATTCTACTTAAGGTTCCAATTTTGGTGGTCCTTCTTCCTGATATTCGATTTAAACTGCTAAGTTCAAATCCTTTTGAACTTATAGCACTTCTGTAAAGAATTCGGTAACATCATTAATCAACATTGCTTCTACTTTGATTGCAGCCAAAAAAGCCAAGTGATTTGAGATATTATTTATTTTCTTATGAACTCTTAACAACAGAGCCGCAGTAATCGAGATAATGATATTTCCTCTTTCGGATGTGGCTTTTATTGATTGCTGTTACTAATAAATGATGAGATCCCAGGCTCTATACAGAGTTTCGGATGGGAGGACATCAGAAAACAGATTGAAGAACAACTCAAACAATTCGTTCTCCACTTCAATCCCATATAAGAACATTTTGTGAAATAGATCAGGATGCTTTTTATTGAGATACACTCTTAATTTAGCACATTGTTCTAGGAATAATCGATTTTATAAGGTCTAATCTTCATACAATGGATAATCAGCCAGAACCTAATTGTGAAAACCAACTAATAACCAGAAGGCTCTGCTTTCATTGATTAAATCTGAAGGAGTCTATTTTGTTTCATTAGCAAATTCAGTATAATCATTGTACCTGACATGATAGTAGATTTACATGACCAGCATTTTTTTGGCAAAAGTGAATAGATGATGAATATACATATTGTTCGGGATCAATCCTTAATTTCCTTGATACAGCAAGAAACAAATAAGAAGATTCTTTAATTGATGATAAAATTGCTCATTGCCGAATCCTTTTCGACTGTCTTCTTGTCTCAAATAGAGGTCAATTTGTTAAAGTAGAGTTTTTTTTAAATTTTGTTTAAGTTAGGACAATTTGAAATAGAGAGAAACACTTTCATTCATACCATCTTCTCTATCAAGACTAACTTTGTAGTTTTAACTCAAAATTGTCTTCAAGGGTTCAAAGGATATCTACAATAATTGAAACCATAACTTATTTCTTAGATAATAGGGAATCCCCATTAAAAAGAGCCCATTAACTAACTCTTGTACTTGGGGATTCTTGATATTATAGAAATTCATAGATTCCAAGCGGTATGATACCAGTTCGTATTGCTTGATCTATTATTCCATTAATCCAAAATTGTGACACAAATTCAAAATAACCTTCCGAATAAAGACCATTTATAATTAATGCATTTGTTTGTTGAGAGTTTCTGGGTTCTTTTATTATAAGAATAGGATATAGCTTAACATTTACATGCTCTATTTCATACAAATGTTGCTTTCTTCTAAAGTGATGAGAATGAATTTCATGATATCCTTATTCATTTTGGGAATTTGTATTGTGCTCAAATAAATAGGATCAGAAAAAGCTAGACTATGTTCAACTATATATTCTAATTCCTCTTCGTAAGATTAGGGATTATGCATCATAATTGATGGTTTTACATGAATATCAATTTCTACATAAATGATACCTTCCTTGGATTCAGTTTTCAATGAGTTGGTTTAAACTAATTTTAAAGGTATCCACATGGATCTTCCTTACTACGATTATTGAAGCAATTCCTTGACAACAATTTTGAAAGGTATAGTTGCTGTATCATAGAAGGCATTGACCATGTCCTTAAATTAGATTTAAAAGACATCTTGATTATTGATATTTGAAATAATGAATGAGCATGGTTTTCTCTCCTATTATTTGGATATGATTTTATTCTCAAAGTTTTATTCTCTCAATAGCCAATTATAAAAATGATCTGTTTTCTGTTACCCTAAATAGGCTTCCATTGTTAATTTAGAATCCTATTCAACTGATTATAACTCTACAAATATGGTTGGTTTGATTAAATTAATATCAACAGCAATATTAACTGATTTGATGAGTATGGTGAATACTAATTCCCTGACGTTTTTGGTGTTTTGTATTTCTTCACTTTTTTCTAGCCAATCTGCCATCATAGGTCTTAACCATTCAGCTAATTCAAAATTGAGAACTGATTTGGATCCTAGGAATTATCTCCATTTCATTTTCTTATTTTCATCTTCTTATCTAATTTAATCCAATTTCTTTCTCTCTTCTTCTGCCATTTGATTCATTCTTTCCTCTCTTTTGAACATTTAAACACTCTTACTTAACCACTTCTTCTATAAAATATTTCTAATTATTTTGACATCAATCTCCATTAAGAATTTGGCTTCGTCTTTGCCTAACTTAGCAGCTTTCTTCTTTTATTGAATGACATGAATTGAGTAGGTTTCTATTTTCTGGGCAAATAATAAATAATAATTCTCTTTTACAAGTGAGGTAGACTCTTATATAATGAGGGGCAATTTTTGAATCTTTTCCATAGCTATATGGCATTTAAAATAATCATAATATTTCTGAACTTCCTCGTCATCTTTAAAGTAAATCCATACTGGACTGTGTTTAACAAAGTTGAAGATGAGTCGCACAGGATACTTTTGATAACTGACATCCCATTTGAAATCCTTATGGGCATCTTCAAGATGCTGGATAACAAAGGATTTGATGGCACCAAAGGTTTTTATAATAACATTGCCTTTCTTAGATTATCCAAGAGTAGTTTTTTATAATTAGCATTATCTTTGCGTTACAGATCCGAAAATGCCGCCTTTCTTGTAGCATGGATAATCTAGGAGTTATTCATCAAGGGAGAGAACATGTTGCACAGCTTAATGCGCAGGCAAATCTTCTGGATCTTCATCAATATACTTCTGAAGTTACTCTGTAATCTTTTGTCGAGCATTTCCAGCTTAGATTTGTCTTTCTTCATGTAATTTTATTACTTAAAAAGCACCAACTACATTTTCGATATACTTATCCTCTTGGTATAACCAATTTTTTGTGATTTCTTTCTTATAACAATTCATTTAATTATATAATAATGTAAGCGTAGAAAAAAGGTCAATAGTAATCATTTGCAGAATATGTTAAATAAATAACTAGTTAATCTGTTAATAGATTCTAGCAAACATCTACAAAACAATTTCGATCAACCAATCTTCCTCAACTCCTTAGTGACATGGATAGATCACCCTACATGATGACCAGTTTAGACAGAGCCAAATTCCCTAAAGTGGGTAAAATGAACAAGACCTCCTATTTGAATTACAGCTCGAGCGAGCAGAAGAATTTTGAAGACTTGGCCTCCAAATTTGTGAAGCAGTTAGAATAAAACACTATAAGAGTCGAAAGAGACACTCCAAGGATTAATTTGATGCGATTTTAGTTGAATATATAGAAGTCTAAGAGACATCTTCTTAGAAAAAGTCCAATGCCATACTGATTAAACATTATATACTTATTGGACATATCTATAGTATACTAATATAAACAATTTATCAGAGAATTGTAATCTTTTTTGAAGGCTCAACGTCAAATGACTAGCCAAGTGAGATTTCATCATAAAATATATTTATTTTAATTAAATTATTTAAAATAGCAAACACCAGTATGACAGATTTTGCATTGACTACATTTAGTAGTAAGGGAAAACTATTATAAATCGAATATGCTCTCAATGCTGTTGCAAAGGGTGACACAGCCATCGGAATTAAAGCTAAAAATGGAGTTGTTTTGGTAGTTGAAAAGAAGCAATCGTCAATTTTGGTTGAGGAATCCAGTGTTCAAAAAGTTGCGCTATTAACAGATAATATCGCAGCTACATATGCAGGATTGGGTCCAGATTTTAGGGTCCTGTCATAACAAGCAAGAAAATTAGTCAAAAAGTATGATCTCAAATACTAAGAGGAAATATTCGTATAAACATTAAGCAGAGAATTGGCAGAGGTACAAAATACATTCTAAATTAGGATGTATAAGTGGCAACTCAAAGAGGAGGTATCAGGCCATTTGGAGTCTCGATTCTCATAGCAGGATATGATGAAGAGGGGCCCCATCTAGTGTAGCTTGATCCAAGTGGAGCCTATTATAGTTGGAAGGCCACAGCTATTGGAAAGCAGGCGAAGAATGCAAAGGCATTTTTAGAGAAGAGATACAATGCGGATATGGAGATTGAAGATGCTATCAACACAGCCTTATTGACTTTGAAGGAGGGGTTTGAAGGTATGAGTAGAATATTATGTTAAGGGTAGATGACAGCGACAAATATTGAAGTGGGAGTGATCAGAGATGATCACGTGTTTAGGATATTGCCACCGTCATAGGTAAAGGATTATTTGGAAGAGTTAGAGTGAAATAGATATTATTATTATTATGAATTTTCAAGAATAACTTTAGTAAATTATTTAAGGAATATTCTCTCAAAATAATTAGGGCAGGAAACAAGTGGAAGAACTGTTGGCTCAACTTAGGGAAGCATAACCAAATGAATTTGTGATATAGATGCTCAATCTTTGTCGACATGAGGAATAAAAAATTAGGCAATTTGCTCCTGTTTACTTGAGATACAGTCTATCAAAATTTGCTCCTAAGAGTCATAAGAATGTTTGGAGCAAATTGATACCAGAAACCAAAGAAACAATTAAATTACGTCTGTTTTAATTAATTGAAGTGGAAAATTGTCATAATGTCAGAAATTAATTGTGTGATACGATAGGAGAAATAGGCGGTTCTTTGTATGAGGATGATCATCATAACGAATGGCCAAATTTACTCCCGACTTTGTGGCAAATGTTCTTGTCACCAAAAAATGATATAATAGAATGTGGATTTAAAATACTTGGCAATCTCTTTACATATTCGATTGATCAATTTGATAAACATTCACAAGATCTTCATACTTTGTTTGTTCAAGGACTGGCTAGTCCGTATATTATAATTAAGTCCTCTACTATGCATGCTCTTGGCAATTATATTAAATACTCTTTGCCAGCTTAGTATAAGATCTTTTAGGACTTGATTTCAAATATGATGAAGTCAGCCCTCGAAATTATAATATCAGATTTAACCTTGGGAGAAGGAATCATGGAAGTGTTCTCAGATTTAGTGGAATCTAAACCCAAGTTTTTCAGAAAATAATATAATATCTTCTTTAATGGCATTTAAACAATCTTCAGAGAGTCCCAAATAGACATAGGTGTAAAAAGGATTGGAACTGAAACCCTATTAAGTTTGGTTGAATAGTTTCCAGGGCTGTTCAAATTTGAAAAAGTCTTCTTGATGTAATTGGTTGAAATGATATTCTTTCATATGATTTAAATAAGTTCCACGATTAGTGATGAATGGAACAGACCTCCTGAAGGATTCAATGATAATTTAGAGCAGGATGAAGATTAAGAAACGACTAATTTTGGAATGTCTAGTATAGATAGACTCATTGAATCATTAGGCAAGAAGGACATGCTACCAGTATTAAATCCAATAGTGAGTGAATTTTTAAGACATCAAGATTGGAGATATTAGCATGCTGCCATAATGGCATTATCATAAGTTGGAGAATACATAGACTAAGTAGCTGATATTAAAACAACAATAGATCTAATATTACCTATGCTTAATAATAGCAATTCTATGATTCGATATGCTGTATGTCATGCAATCGGTTAGATTTCTGACGATATGAAACCTAAATTCCAGGAGGCTTACTTGCATTTGATCGTTCCGTAATTCTTGAATCGACTTATTGTGGAGGATGTGCCCAGAGTGAATTCTCACATTTTGGCTGCCCTCACGAATTTTGTTGAGGGTACCGATAAAGGCATTGAAGCATATTTGCCTAATTTAATCTAGTTATCTATCAAGTTTTTAACTGCTGGGATTTCAATTGAGAAAGAGAGCGCTATAAGTGTTATTGCAGCCACAGCAGAGTCAAGCAAAAGACTATTCATTCCTTATGCCAAGGAGTTGATTCCTCTCTTATTCCAGATCTTTTAAACTCATCAAACCAAACATTATAGATAGTTGAAAGGTTAGGTTATAGAGACAATCACTTTAATAGCTTCAGCAGTAGGAGAGTAAGAGTATCTTCCCTACCTATAATAGACAGTCTAGATTCTAATTCAAGTGTAGACAAACAATTTGGAAGCTGTTGATCCTCAGAGGTCTTACGTATTTTCAGGGTGGCAAAGATTGGCATTGATTTGTCCATAACAATTAACCAACTATCTAGGAGACGTAGTGCCTTCATTATTTCAATTAATCGAATAAGTTTTTAATCTCAATACAACAGGATAAACAAATGAGGAAGAGTTACATACTTACGACAACGAGGAAGCATAGGTTGCCATTCACACGTTATCCGTATTCATCTCAGAACTCAAAAAGTCCTTCTTTCCCTTTGTTGAGAAGTGCATTAAAATAATAGTGCCATTGTCCTAATTCAATTCAGATTCAAACATTAGAAGTTCTGCATGCAAGTGTCTCGTCAGTTTGGTCAAGAATGTTAGGGAAACTAATAATCCCCAGCAATTGATGAATGGGGCTAAATATTTTCTTGGGATTATATTGGAAGCTGCCTTTAAGGAATACGATCCAGTTGTCATCATTGAACAGGTTGACAGCATCAAGGAAATCATTGAACTAGTCTCATAGCCATTTATGACCACGGAGGAAGTCACAGAACTGTCGGATAAAGTATTTAAGTTATTACTCGAATCAGATAAAAGAAAGGCTGAGAATGAGAATATGGCTAAGGATGATGATGCAGATGAGGATGAGTAGAATGCTATTAAGGAAGAAACAGAAACTGAAGAAAATCTACATGTAAAAATTGCTGAATGCATTGGTTCTTTATTCAAAACTCACAAAGAATTTGTTTTGCCACTTTATGAAGTTATTTGCAATCAAATCTTACCTAAAGTATTTGACCAGTAAAAATCTCCAAAGATGCATCAATTCGGTCTCTGTCTAATTGACTATATGATTGAGTATTTAGGATTCCCATACATACAAAACAAATTAATTGATTTGGCATAAGCGTTAAGTGTGTTTGCATGTGATAGAGTGTGCTTGGTGAGATAGGCCGCTGTATATGGAATTGGAGTGATGGCTATAAACACTCCATAGGAATTGTATTTGTAAGTCTCGCAATCTCTGTTGAAATCTTTGGTTGAATCTTTGAAAATACAGATAAATCAAGAGGATAATGAGAAACAATTTGGATTAGCAAGGGACAATTCGATTTCTGCTTTGGGTAAGATCATCAAGTCACAACCGAAATCGCTTGGATAAGATTTAATATAGGGCATGGAAACCTGGCTATATTTATTGCCTTTACAATATGATAAACGATAGGCTTTCATTCAGCATAATATATTTGCTGAATTCATAATTTAAGATGGTAGTCAATTTGTAAATGGGAAACCTGAAAATGCATTATAAGTAAATATGTATATCATATGCATAGATACTCAAGGTTATTGCTAATTGTTATAAATCAAAGTGGTCTTCACCATAAGTTGATTCTAAATTAGTGAGTGCACTTAAGCTCCTTGAATAGTTAGATTCAGTAAAAGTATATACTCAGGAAATATTTTAAAAATTGAGTCCTGAGGATCAGAAGAAATTATTGGAAATACCTAAATGATAAAATTACGTTTGTGTTAATAATAATAATTAATATTCATGTTAAATGAATTCATTTCTTCCCTCCCTCATCTGGTAGCTCAGCTTGCCAATTAGTAAGATTGTCATTTATCAATTGCAAGATGGTTGTCACATCCTTGTATTGATCTTCTTCCATATCGTCCAACTCTTTGATTGCCTTACATAAGATTGGGAATAAATACTTCATCTTTTACGGTTTTAGCCAATTCACATGCCTTGGCAACATCGCTCATGATTTCATAACAAAACACTGAATAATTGAGAGTAACTCCCAATCTTAATAAATTGGTTTTTGGAAACTTGTCCTTGTCAATTAATTCCAAGGCTGTTTGATAAGCCTACTGAGCTTGTTGAATTGCCTTCTCCTGAGCCTTTTATTAAGAATATTCTGCAATGTATCGATTGTAATCTCCTTTCATTTTGTGATAAAATACTCTAGCCTCAGTGTTAGCTGTCTTCTTCAAAAGAGTGTGATCAATCAACTACAAAACCTCATTGCAATAATAATCTAATTCCTTTTCCACTCTTGCCTTGTAATATTAGAGCACCTCCTGATATTTCACAATCTATCACTTATCCACTTTAGTGTTACCTTCTACTTCTCCTTAATCTCGTAGGCTGTAATCGCTCTCCAGGCGGTTCTCCTCTATCCCACTGTGTTCTTGTATGCAATAGAGAGAAGATTTCTCTCCTCATTATTCAAATCCTTAGTGATCTCAGCTACCTTCTTCATGTTCTCAACCTACTCATTGAATCAATTACATTACCATATCCTCCCATCTTTCAGTTTACTCAGCCAATCGAGCCATGTATGTGTGTTCGTCTCTCTTATCTTACATAATAATTTATTTAGATATATTATTTTAATTTCTGAACTATGAAGAGTATTTAATCACAATCTCAAATAATAAGTAGCCTTAATTATTATCAAGAATTATTCCCTCAGCCTATATTTTTGGATTCCAAAAGAAGTTCAATTGATATGTAGAAATAATTAAAATTTTATGTGGTCTATTCAATTAAATTGTATTCTCAGGGTATTTCCAATCATTATTTAGATTGAGTCTTGTTTATTTTTGATCCAATACGAGAGAGTGAGACATACTACTTTTTAGTATAATATTAAATTAATTCTATATTATGTTTTTTCTATTTTCTATTTCATTTTAATCCTCTTATCAATTTTTCATTAATTCCTTAACCTCAAATAATACTCACACAGAGATATATCAAATACCTTTAGTGCCTAAGTCACAATAGAATGTTCTTCAAATGGTAAATGAATAGAATTCCTTGCGGCAAAAATACAGAATAAACAACAAGAACTAAAAAGTCATTAATTTAACTTGCAGCATTTCAGAGAGACTTAGATCCATTTATTATTTATTTTATATATTTAATTTTGCTTGCTCACAATACTTTCTACAACAAATTCCAAATTTTATTAGATAATTGCACATCTGGGTGATGGAGAGCCAACACAAACAATAAACACATGGTATCGAAGCATGGTATGAATGAGAAGATCCACATTATCCATCCTTGAAAGGTCAAGTAGGTTGAAAATATGATGAAATAAGGAAGGCACGTGTAAACCTCACCTAATAAGGTCTTAATTGCGTTATACCTGTAGTTTGGTACTTGTTTATTGCTTGAAAGGAGGGGATCAAGGCGCCTACTAAGCCAGTCACGACTCTTGGAGCAATGCCCAACAAGGTGCATAATATTGAGAGCAATAATGTTGCAAAGGCTATGTGTGATAACTTGATATTGGGCTAGATGGGTAAAATATATATAGGATTAAGAGTACATTGGGTAGGAATTTCTTCAGGGGCTCATAGTCGTCTAATTCAGCTATTCGCAACTTAGCTATAATTGGCTCCACTTGTTACATTAATAAAATGTTTATATTAATTTAATTTGCATGCTTCAATTGATTGATTATTGATAGAGTGGCAATTGAAGTACAAATGATTCAGTAGCATATTAATTTACATTTGAGATATTTAAATGTTAATGAGTCTGTAATACTGAGATGGGGGGAGGTGGGGACAGCATTTATTTCCTCAGAACAGATTAATATTGGCATTCAAAAAGTTATTATTAAATTTACTTATAATATATAATGACTCAGGGCTCTGTTAGAAATTAAAATGAAACTATGTTCTTTATTTCCGCAGTCAATTTGATTTTTGGGATAACGAAGTCAGAAATGTTCACAATCATATCTAATGCAATCCTCTTTGGTTTGATTTTAAGTAAGTAAAGTTGATGCTTATCTGAAGTTTATTTGTTATACAAGTACAAGAGTCATAGAAAACAACTAATTTTCGAACAAGTCATCGTAGTGTATTATTGCTGTTTCCAATTGGTTCTACGAGGAGTACCTGCTATTTGGTTTAATATATTTTCGATATCATTGGACTAACATCTAGTTTAATTTGTAACCTTACTAATTGTAATCGCATTCACTTGCGCATAAGTTCAACCGATGGCAGAGATTAGTATACTTTAATCAATTTTAGAATAATTGATTCTGATTATCATATTTCTTTACAAAAAGTACAATTTCACCAATCTTAAGAAGCAAACTCAAAATAAACTGCTAAAACAGATCATTAAAAACGTAAGGTATTACACATTCGACCAAAAGTAAAATGAAATTAACGGAGACAACTTAATGCCATCAGAACAAATCTAAATATCAAATGCCACATTATTTTCATCTCGTTCTGAAAATCAGAAATTGCAATCTCAAATCAGAAAGGATATCAAAATCAAATGTTATACCAAACAACAACTGGACATGGCTCAGGAATCCCAACTTCTCACTTTAAAGCCCTCAGTTTTTGATACTATTGCTGGATTTCTGGAATTCTACCAAAAGTGTAAGCATTAGATGAAGGATAATGTGATTTTAGCATCTGAATACGAAGAACTAACAGGACAAAAACAATAATATAGATTATATATAGAATAATTTAAATAAATTCAAAAAGTTTACACTCTAGTTGCATTTGTTAGTTTGCAAGATAAAATACCATCAAAGCAAAATAAATACATAGATAAGTTTAAGTTAAGTTTGTCCAAAATATTTACACACAAATTGAAGACTCCTCTCAACACCACTCTAGGATTCCTATAAGCCATTGTGCAAGATAACAACACAATAGATGAATAATTAAAGTCTAATTTTTTGAAGCCTGCCTTTATCAATTCAAAAATCCAATATTATTAAGTCTAGGATATTTTAGATTATGTTAATTCAGCAAAACTAGTTACTTTTAAAGTGAGTAAGGTCAATTTACATAAGACTTTGCAATTGATTTACGACATGATCGAATTGCAATGTCGAGCTAAGTAGATTCAAGTCATCTTTACAGTTAATTCCAAACCCTTTGATATAAATGAGAGGTATTTGATTACTGCATTTTATGATAGACCAATATACTTATCGACTGATTAGTTAAGATTGGAGCGAATCCTATTCAATTTACTGAACAAATCATATAGACACACATAAATCAAAGGGAAAATTCAATTAAAAGTGGATGTATTGACTGAAAATAATTAAGTTTAATTCAAGATTAATGATAATGTTTAAGGATTCAAGTAAGAACAATTTGAATAAATCAACAATTTTGCTAAACTATAAAACTAATGCATCAATGGATTTCGCAATTCAATTGCCAAAAGATCTACCTTCAAGTTTAGCCTCACACTATAGATCACGAATAAATTAATTTATTTTCTTAGTGATTTTAAGTGTTCCTTATAAATAAACCATGATTTGGATGATGGAGCAAGCTATCACTTTTTTATCAGTCTCAACTGCCAATAAGAAACTCTGTAGTAGTCATTCGAAATCAGTTAGAGGAATTTGAGTTTCTAGAGAAATAGGTCTAATTCACTTAAAAAACATCTACCAAATCACATATCATTATTTACAAGCAATAAGAATCAAACATCGTATATCATACAATTATATGTAGGGATAAAATCTTAGAAGAATATGAGATTGATGCTGAACCCCTTGCAAATAAACCGCTTTAATTGAGCACTTAAATGGTTCAAACCTCTCCAAAAAGTACTCTATTAAAGAACCAACCACTCCAACAAAGCATCCTTCCTTTTCACAAATCTATGTTTCAAAAGGAAATCATTGACAAATCACTAACTATTTCGATGGCTTTTGATCACTCTTTCAATGTGAAACGTATTACAGATTCCATAGACATCAGACAAGACATGAATCAAACCATTATGTTAGTTGATGATGAGCCCTTCAATCATGACACTCTGAAACTTATGCTCAAGAGTTTAGGATTCAAAAATTTTATTAGTGCCTACCATGGCTAATAATGTATAGAATTAGTAACCAAACATTACAAATCTATCAAAATTATCTTCATGGATCTAGATATGCCTATAATGGGCGGAATTAAAGTATATATGCATCTTAAGTTCCATCTCTAGGCTACAAAGGCTCTCATCCAATAGATGTAAGACGGTGAAATCGATTATATACCAATCGTTGCTTGTACTGCGCATGATGATAAAGATACTCAATAGGAATGTCTAATGGCAGGAATGATTTGTATCATTGCTAAACCTGTATTTATAAGGAGTTTGTAAGAAACATTTTTGAGAATTAATGAAGTCAAAGTTAAATCTTAAAATATTATTTTTGGATCCAAAGTAATTTCGTCAAGTATTAAATGATAACATTATGAGTCTCTATTTGTGTGTTTATATTTTTTATTAACCTAAAGGCCATTAAAATATCTTTTCGCATTTAAAATATAGAAGAGTTGCTTTGCTTATTAAAAGGATAAAAAGGCTATCCTTATATTTTTATTCGTCAGAATATATTTTAATTTTTATTACCCAGAATGATTTTATAAATCATTAAATTCCAATTATTGTTAGGATTTCTCATTCTGCCTGAGATAATCAAAGGTATAATAGAGTATTAAATCTCTATTTTGATATGTACTACGTTATTGCTTACCCTACAAATTAGTAAGAATGCCTAAGTTGATTATTAGCCTAACTTATATTGATTCTACAATGTAAAAGATTTGAGGAGTCGACTTACTTCATCCTAATAAGCTATAATATTATTCAGCTTCTCCATTATGGAGCCCAGTCAATTTGGTTAACATTTTGTCTATTGCAAATTTATTAAACAAGTAAATTGCAAATGTAAAGGCACTGTAAAGCCTTATAAGCAACGATAAGCATCATTCTATTTTCAATCCAATATGAAGGTAACCTAGTTTATTCATAATTTTAATCAATCATATAAAGTATTGCATTTTTACTGTATTAAATTAAAAATATGGAAGGCTCTCCTTCAATTATTGAGGTGGCATAAAATGAAATTCTGCAAGAATTAAAGAAACAAATAATAATTTAAATATTTGATTCAAATTATAGGGACATTACTCCGAGTAGCTCAACGCTATTAGAGATTAATCCTTATGTATAAATGACATAAAATACACAAATGGACAAACATCAGCAATTCTACATTAAATGTTATTAGGACTAGGATTTTGCAAGCGGTTCTGATTAAAATACGAACAAACCATAATAACCGGTATTTCAGGATTGCCTTTCCTTTCTTAATTTCATTAATGGTTAGGATTTGCTCGACAGCAATGATTACAACCATTACATAGCCTCTTCAGTAGACACATCAAAGAATATCAAGTAATAATTTCAGGTTATGCATAAATCAATTGATTCAGGAAATTTATAAATATTAACCTTTTTAAAGATTGACAACTTCATAATAAAATAAACCAAAAAAAAGTTTCATTAATTTTAAAAACAATTCACTGATCTTTTTGCTCATAAACTAAAAACACCCTTAAATGCTACTTTGGGGTTCCTTTCTACAGCCTATAACAGCAATGATGTGGATAGTTAAACAAAATCCAATTTTATTAAACCTGCCTATATTAACTCAAAATTGCAATATTTTTAAATTTCTGATTTATTGGAATTTTTAAGTACACAGCCAGACCAAATTACAATTTAATCTAGTAAAATATATATGAAATAATTTTTACTATAATTGTCAGAACTGATTGAATCCTAATGCAAGAACAAAAGAATTCTATTACAAGTTTTTGTTGAATAAGTTCCATTGCAAAAAATCGAGAAGTACAAATAATCATTAATTTACTAGTTTTTACATCATATCAGATGTGATCAAATTGGAAAGAGTATTATATAATATTTTAAACTTTTCTTATAGACATACACCCTCAGGTGGGTAAATTAGTTTGAATATCAATTTTAGTTAGGAGCGGACAGTAGTAAATTTTGTTATTGATGGAAGTGGAGATTGTTTTAGTGAGGATGATGTTGAAATTATTAATTAATGGATCAAATAATAATGGGATTTTCAATTCAAAAAGAAACACTTAGTGATTAAAAAGGAGTTGAAAATGTCATTAAAGATTACAAATAATCTAATCAATATTTTAAGTTCCTAAGAATAACATTTAGAAGTAGCTTAATCTGAATAAGGTGTGGAGTTTAGATTTAAACTTAACATCAAAGAGAGTAAGTCAGTGGAAAGTTAATAAGAAATATAATCTGTTGGAAATATGCTCAGATATAGAAGTTTGAAAAACATGAAAAGCTCTTAAAATAATTGTGGAACCATTAAATCCATATTCACATCTAAAGAATCAAATTTATAAATAAATTCATTAAATGCGATTGATGAACCCTAGGCCAATCAACCACTTACCAATAAAATCAATTTTTTTTAATTATCAAGGAAACACAAAAACTAATAGCAGTTATGTTCTTCATTGATAAATAAAGGTGTAATTGATGCTGATAAATCAATCCTCATTGTGGATGATGAACCCTTCAATCATGATACTTTGATCATGATGATGAAATAAATGGGATATTAACATTTCCTTAAGGCTTTCAATGGACAATAAGCTATTGAAATGGTTTAAGAATACTAATAGAATATTTTGTTGATTCTTATGGATTTGGATATGCCAATCATGGGAGGAATCGAAGTATCTTATCACCTAATAATTAGGCTACTAAACTATTAGTGTAAATGATGATTGATTTAGAAATGGCTTATGTCCCAATAATAGGGTGCACTGCTCATGATGATAGAGAAACTTTGGATTTGTGCATTCAAATCGGAATGCTCCATGTGGTTTAGAAACCAGTATTTGTGAGAACCTTGAGAGAGGCATTTTAATACATAATACACCACGAAGATGCTAAAAAGCGATCATAATACTTCCTTACTTCCTAGTTGTAAATTTGATTCCCTAGTGATATTATATTAATTATAACAGTCCTTTCCTCAATATTCTATTAGAGAAATTAATTAAAATGGGGAATAATGCTAAGAGTCGCTAAAATGCATCATAAAATGATACCCCTTACAATTACTTTGAAAATAGACCTCTTGCAAATAGAAGGGAGTTATCTGAGAAATACACCGCCTAATCCGAAGTAGTTGTAGTTTGTGAGCCACTTAAATAAAAGAATCAAACTAGTGATGTTGTTGGTCCTAAGAACTAAATGTAATGTTGTTTTTAATAGATCATTAGGTTTTTATTTATTTTAAACAAAAAGGTACAAGTCATAAGTCTTTTCTCATATATATCATAACATCTAAGTTTGAGATATAATCGGACAGTAATGTTATTTTGCAATTCTTAGTTTTTATCATTTGGTAAAAATTATTAATATTGATTTTAGAAGACACGATTGGCATTATCTATGAGAAAAACAAGAATCAAGAGGATGGATTTTTATATGTTTAATACAATTCATTAGAAATATGCTGAGGTTAATGAAATTTATTAATTATAAAAATGAAGTATATTAATTAATCACTTCTATTGAACATAGATTGGACTGTCAGCTGGTTGTTTGATTCCTACAATAAAATTTTTTAATTTTATGGATTCTTGAAGTTCTTCTTGGATGTCAGACCCAGCTGAAGAAGATTCTTCAAAGCTGGCCTTTCTGCTGGAATTAATTTCTTTAGGAGGTGAGCGAAAACTGGTTCTTTACATTTAAATGAATTTTAATCTAATAGCAGGTTTTGGCTGAAAATATTGTAGTGCCAGACGAGTTCCGCTTTCCTCTTGAGAGAATAGAGAGATCAAATACTCATAGTTGGGATCTTCGTCAAACTTTAACCCTTTTACATATTCCATAAAACTTGATAATTAAATTGGTAAACCAAAAAATTTATCTATTTTTAGAGCTTTTTTCATTTTTTTGATTTTTAAGTATCTGATTTCCTTATCTTGATCACTAATAGAGTACCAAGGTAAATTGCCTTGATGCAAATATATGAGCATATATCCCAAGGATTCTAAGTCATCCCTTCTGGATTGTTCTATACCTTTTAAGGCATTTATGGATGCATATCGAGCAGTCCCTATCATTCCTTTATTCTCTTTGTAATGAATATGATGACCATCAATAATGTATTTTTTCGAAAGTCCAAAATCAATCAGATTGATTTTACCGTCTTGCATAACAAAATTCTCTGGTTTGATATCACGATGAATTACTCCTAACGAATGGAGTTCTTTCAAAAGTTTGATGATCTCCAATCCTATTGGTAAGATTCTATTGAAATTTCCTTGCTTTTGGCGACGCTGTTCCAAGTTTTCACCCATTAGATTCATAACAAAGTATGTATTTTGCTAATCAGACCCAGATGCAAACAACTATGTAAATCCTTGATGTCTTTATTATTTAAATACCTTTTTTGCTCTTAAGGATTTGTAAGATTTGTATTTCTCTCTGCAGTAATTTTTTTTCCTTCCTCATAGAATTTTTGACAAGCTTACAAGCAAATATTTGACCGCTTGAAATGTGTTTGACTTTCCAAATGTATCCGAAAGCACTATTTTCTTTATGATTAGAATTACCCTTCACCTAACTTATCGAGAAATTGATAGGAGGAAGAAGCAGGCTACTTAATTGACCTTTTCATAATGAATGAAATTTTATTATATAATCAATTACTTAATATATGTAATTTTGATGAAGGATATTTCACTTTGATCTGACGAATCACCTTGTGGGGTTATTGAATTGAGTGTGGAAACCCATATAAAATTTGCATATTATTTAAGGGAAATTAAAGAATAAATTAAGGAGAACACTTAATCATTCCTGAGGTTTTGTTGTACATCCATGGATATAACAATTGGGTAGGAATGGGAAATTGTTTGATGTTTGATTTGTCGCTGTTGAATTCTTCAAATAATTCAACAAGCTACCCAGAGAACTCACAATATAATTTATACATATATTAATTATCATTTTTATTTTACTCCCCTTTGTTTACTGCGTAAAGAATATAATTCCTCTAATTGCTAAAAGAAATTGTCAGAATAGTTCTTAATAACTCCAGCCAAATCTAAGACAAATTAGGCCAGCATAACCTGATTCTGATACACAATCCTACTCTCTTGAGCCTAGATTTTGGAGAGAACGAATATCATAGTCTAACTGACATGTCTATGACACTCGTCCACATTATCGCCCATTTGAAATATCTCTTCTGGGTTATAATCCTCATTGAAAGAGTTCACCTCCACATTGAGTTGACTGACAAGTGGATTCTTAACACTCATTGTCATGTATCTGGGACTGATGATTTGTTTGTATCCATTAATTCTGGGAGTCGTAGAATCAGGAGGAGCATAACGTTCATTTTTTATTTGGTAGATGATGATGGTACTCCTGACATCTATTTTGGTAACATCAAGTTCGAACTGTTTAGCCATTTTGTTCATGCTGGTGTGGAATTCTCGTATGTGTGTTTTCACTTCAGCATTCTTGATTTCTTTCATGAATTTCAGATTTTCACAAATTCTCATTTGACATTGATCAAACAGCAAATTATCATGAGTCCAAGGTCCTGTTCCGATCTTTGTGAATACGATTTGCTTGTCTTCAATACTAATCAAATACCATTTTCCATCCATCTGATGCACTAATTTAAAGAAAGAGCAATCTGGTAACAATTAATAGGTGAAGTAATTCTCGATCAAATAGAGAATCTAAAAGAAGTATTTGATATTGGGCTTTGGAAACTTCAAAATACCCATTAAAGAGAAGAGTATCTTACTCTCAACTTTGAATTTACTCTGAAATTTGAGTTCTTTGATTAATTCGAATTTTTAACCATATTCAGTCTTAAAATACTGTTCCTCCTATTATTTAATGTACATTTCACTAGTGTCTCTCAAAACAGCATATTAGATCAGTAAATCATGATTGGAAATGTTGACATGTTTCCGTTTAAACATTTCGTCCTTCTTAATTTCATTTCTAATGTGCACTACATACTCTGAAGTAACATTATAAATGTTATGAGACTCTTTAATGAATTTGATTTCCAAGAATTCTTGATAATCAATAAAGTAGTCACAATACAGTTTCTGAATCTCAAGCAACTCATCCTCAACAATTTAAGCGAAATCTCCTTAAGGTTTCAAATTCCGAGTCACTTGGTTTGGATTGATTCCTACCTTCAGTACCTTACTGTATATTTGTGTATCAATCTGAATATCCAACTCAACAGGAATCTCCAACTTCTCATTCTGATTCGCTCTAAAATTCACATTCCTCGGTCTAAACTCGAGGATGTCTGGATTATCATCATTGAGAATTGCAGTTTTCTTCTGTAACTGAATAGCATTACTTAACTAAGTTCCATTTCGAACGTCATATTCAGTTCCCAAACTGCTACCCAGTAAAGCTTCATCCTAAAAATTAAGTTAAATGGCCACTCTCTCCTCTGGTTTGAAATGCTCCATCTCCTATTCAAATAGAGTCTTAGAGACAACTGTGAATACTTCCCAAACTAACCCTCCGATGAGTGCCAACAAGAAAATGGAGAGGAAAACAAACGACCCAATAAAGATCATTGGAGTCACTAGATTCTTGGTGTCAAATGAGAGTTCAAATACTAATTGTCCCCAGGAGGATGCTGTAAACACTTGTAACATCATCAAATATGATCCGCCCATTGAATTAAAGTCTGCATATTTACATTAACCCCACAAATATCGAAACTCATTCGGATCGCATGAATTGTTTGAGAATGGGTTCTGATCATCATTCTAGATTCCCCCATAGATGTAAATCCCTATGCAAGAATATGTAAAAAAGACTATCTACACTGGCAGGATCAATCTCAGAATAAGAGGAACACAAATGATGATCTTGTAGAGCAGGTTTCTCACATGAGCGAATATTTCTAATCCTCTCAGTAGATAACCCACCAACTTAATCGATCTGAAGGCTCTAAAAAGTCTGAATACCTTCTGGATCTTAGCAATTCTCAAAATCCTATTGGCTTTGATTGATTATACAATATTTCCAGTCACAAAACTGAATAAGATATAGTCAAACAGTATCTATAGTAATATCAACGAGATATCAAAAACATTCCTACAGATAATATCAAACATAATACCAACCATCAACAAAAAAGTCATATATTCCCAACCCTATTATTTTAATCATGCATTCGAAAATGAAGATGCCTAAAAACACTATGTCAATAGTATCAAATATGGCAATTACATCCAAATCTTCAATAAAGAATGCGGATATTATTAATCCACAATTGACTATGGTAACGAGGAACATGAATAGAGCAAATACCTTTGAGATCATATGATATGATTACATTAGATTCAATGAATTTCTTTAATCCGTGTTTATTGAGGAAATTCCTTAGAGATTGCCAACACTGGAGTGGTTTTGTTCTGGGCAATGAGATTTTCTTGCTATTCTATAAGACGTGGAGCAACTGATTAAATTCATCGAATTAAATCTTATCACTATTTGATAATTGTGAATTACTTGAAGTCTTTGTCAATTTCTGAGAAGATGATTTTAACTTGGTCGTCAGTTAGTTGATCACGGTAGAAGGTTTTTAAGAATTTCTTGAATTGATTTTCAGTCAAAAAACCCGCATCATTAGAATCCAGTGAGATGAAACTGGCCATCATGGCTGATTTTTATTTGATGATGTCTTAGATTGCAATTTGCATTCTGTGTTTCCGAAATCCTTCATAGACAACAGCCAAGGGGATTGGTTAAAAGAGAAATAAGAAGAGTATTATGTAGATGACAAAATAGAGAGCGTAGAAAGTGCCTTAGAAGATGGCTGGAATCATGATGTCAGGGTAGAAATCCAGAGTGGCAGCCATGAAGAGCATATTGAACAGTTTGAAGAAGTCCCCATAATCCTGTGTGTCTACATCGACGGTTTCCAATTGTCCAATTAAGTTTATTCCGATGAAAGCAAAAGTGGATATGATAATCACATACAATAAAAGTAGTAGGAGCAAGTCCTTACTGGCTTTGACTATTCCCTTAAGATTTCGTCTCAGATCTTTGGAATAAAATATCATCAATGCTGGTCTAATTAATCTACTGAATCGAATTTGAGTTTAATCAATCTTCCAATTTATGAAATCTGTCACGCACACCAAGAAGAACAGCATTTTCATCATTCTCTTTGTGTTGAACTGGAACCCCCCATCGTTCTTTTTAGTGGCCAGCAAAACCAAAGTTATTACGAAGTCAATCTTAAGGAATATTAATATGAACAATTCGATGTTGGCAACTTGGGGTGCTTCATAGAAGTCAGATTCAGGATAAGGTTTTTCAAAGAAAGTGAGGATTTGATAGAAGATTGTTAATGTCAAAAGAAAACCACTCCAAATTCTGCTGTTTTCAATGATCCAAAGATATTTTAAAATTACTTTGTCTGCAAGGTCAATATCGTTCCGGATGGTTCTCAAATAGTAAGCGTCGTAAATATGCCTTTCTGCTTTGAATTACTTGTCATCGGAAGGCATGTGTTTGACAATTTTTTGGATTTATGCAACAAGCATGTCATTCTTTTCTTGGAGTCGAGTGTCTAGTTTGGTGAGACTAATGGCATTTTGTTATTTGAAGATTGCAGATCTCCTAGGATTGGGAGGTCTTGGTGGAAAATTGTCACACAACTAAGGAGATTGAATGTCATCTTATTTCATTATTTGTTTTATAATAATGTCTTTCAATAATCAAGTATTTCTTCACAAATCACTTCATCGTCCTCCATATCGTAACAACATATTTATAAAATCATGAACGCTGTTAATATCAATACAAATAGTAGGGCAACAGTCAACTCGTAACATTGTTCTTTCACCATTAGAATGAAAGAACCAAAGAAGAAGAATCTAAATTGATTAAGTCAATTTCTTTACGCCATTGCAATCATCACTTCAGAATGCTTCACTTTCTTGTGAAAGAGACTGGAATGAGGCTGTTGTTTTTGAGATTGCAAACAAAAAACGACTAAAAATACCAATCTCACGGCTGCTGCAATTAAAAATGCAACTCCACAAAAGTAAGTCAATGGCAAAGTCATCGTGCATTAATAATAGTATGGATTTGACTTGCTAGTTCGAATTATCAATTTACCCTTCGATGTAGGAATTGGTTTACAAGAGCACATATCCACAGAGCATACACAGAAAGGCAATGCAACAACTATAAGCCGATTATGTTGAGGAGTTGTCTTCATGTATTTCACTAGAATAATAAATTTCATCATTATAAAGCATTTTATTGATAATACTGTATATTGCATTGATATTTTTTAATCTATTTTTAAACTTTGATACAGGTGAGAGTATACTAGAATTTATATAGCAGCAATCAAATTGAATTATTTTTATTAAATATCTACATATACTTTTTGCTTCATTCTTTAAAACTTAGTTTATTTACCCATAATTCTATGGCACCTATTGATTAGTAATTGTAATTTCTATAATGAATCTACAATGTTGAAATAACTTCACATTGATATTTGCCGGCTGAAGAGAAATTGAGGATGTAGAATTGAATTTAAGAGAGTGCAAATTCATTCATTAGAGTGAGTTTTTAACATCACCTTATAAATTATAAAGCTATATATTATTAAATAAATCTATCTTAATTTAATATCTTTTATAAATGGAGTAAGATTAGAAAGTGGAAGATTTTGTGATCAAGAAGTCAGAGTTTCTAGGAAAAGGACAATATGGTGTTGTTTATGGATGCTATTCAGAGAAATTGAAGGATTAAAAATTATGTGCCAAAGTATTCATCTATAGGGATTGTATATAGGTTCTCCAAGCCCAAATTGAGAAGGGCTTGATTGATAGAGAAATCAAAATCTTAGAGTAACTGAATAAAGTTGACAATCCCAATCTAGTGAAAATTTATAGAGTGATCAAGGAGGAACGACAAATATACATCATTATGGAGAGATGCACCGGGGGAGATTTGAAGCAGTTAATGGACCAATACCAAATATAAAAAAAATAATTCACCCTAGAGCAAATTCAAGATATTGCTAGACAAATAATCTTGGGATATAAATCCCTATTTGACATCAAAGTTATACACAGAGACATCAAGCCAGCCAATATTCTTATTGAAAACAATGGAAAGGGCCAGATTGTTGTGAAAGTATCTCATCATTCATATCAACCTAGTTAACTGACTTTGGAATGGGAAGAATGCTCGATGATATTACTAAAAAATAAGTATTAACAAAAGTAGGTACTCCAGCCTATGCAGCACCTCAATTGTACTTGGAAGATCAATACTCCTCTAAATGCGACGTCTATTCTGTAACCTATGTCATCTCATTCACTAGTTGGGTGTCATCCTCTATCAGTTAGCCTTCAATAATAGATTGCCATTCACCGCCAAAACAATCCCAGAATTAACTCAATTCCTCAAAGATCTTAAAGTCAAACCCTTCCAATGTCCAGAACTAACACAAGAGGGACCCTAATAAACTAAGAAAGCAATCCAAAGTCTAATCAATAAAATGATGTAATTCAGTGAAGAGGCAAGACCAGGATGGGACGATCTATTGAAGAGTGAACTATGTAATTGTGTACCCCCCTATATTTTAGTTGAGGCACCCACCAAAGCCTAGGATTTTGATTGCCAAGGTGAAATGAAATTGTTGGACTCCATCTTTTTGTATCAATAGCAGTAGGGCTAACAATAATACTTCAACGAGGCTAAATTCAGAGCAGCTTGCAAATTTGCTAATCAAAACAAAATTACCAAGGCTGATCGCATTAATCATTTGGTTTCTCTATTTTTGGCAAAGGCAGAACTGTCCTTCAATCTTTCCCAAGCCCTTTAAGAATAACTGTACATAATTGTGATTATAATAGCTTAACATAATTCCCTTATTTCAATGTTTACCATTTTGAGTTGCTCCAAACTTGCATCATTGGCTATCGTTATAAGATTTTGATGAATGCCTTTGGTTTCTGCTTTAATTGTTTGGATGTGATTTGTGAGGAGATGAGGAAAATGTACGATAATCAAGCCTTAAAATAAACCTTATAAGAATATTAGAATGACCATTCTGAATGGACTGAACAAACAAAAGAAAATATTAGCGAATTTTTGAATTTATCGAATAAGGCCTTTATCCATGCTGAAAATCAAATCATCAAACTCATGAAGAGCAACACTTATCCTCACAACATCCAAAACTTCTAAAAGCTCATGTCCATCATTGAAAACACAGAGTTCAAAATCTATGGAAGATGGTTTTAATTCTTTTGGAAATAGGATCTAAGAAAACTTTTGGTTTATGATAAATCAAAGCAATACGATATTGGATATCTCAAGTAATCAATACTATTTAGAGTAGAATGTTGGTTCTAATCGAGAAGTTTTTGAACATTGATACCGAATTTCCTTTTGAGAAGTACAGTGAACAAGATCCATAGCAGATTGTGCTCAATGAAAATTTAACAAAACAACAGTTGGAAGTCCTTGTGCAAAATAGAAAAAATGTTTGAGTTATAATAATAGAAAATAATATTTAATTTGCTATTAATAAACTAAGGCAATGACGTAAAAAGCAGACCCAATTGAACTAGTGGAATTATCAACTAATTCATTCAGCCCAGAGCTATTTCTGCAAAACATACTTTATAGAGGCCAATTGTGCTTATAATTGTCTCAATTACTTGAATAGGCAATCTAAAAGAAATTTGTTGATGACAACAATAATTAATACAACCTGAAAATAGCTAGGATCTGTGTCATATGCTATAATTATTACTAATTGTTGCAAGGGAAAAATTTCTTAAATAAAGATAATTATGCTGGGATGACGAATCAATTGAAAAAAGTCTTTAGAGATGAAAAGGAATACCTAAATTAAATTGCTCAATTTTCCAATGTAAAATCTAATACCGCTGATAAATTGAGAAAGGAAATTTCAATTATATTTGAGATCTGCGCAAAATTAAAAGATGTAAATTATCATTTCCAACTATAGGCCATTCCAAATGAATTTTCTAAAATAGTAAATTATTTTAAAGAGAATAAATAAGAAGATCTTAAATTTGAAAAGTTGCAATAGCAATTGGGTGCCGAAAAGTAAATCAATTACGACATATATTCATATTTTTTTAAATTGTATTACTAGCCAGAATGGTTTCAATAAACTTAACGATTAGAAGCAATTAAGTATTAACTTCCTTTGATTTAGTAGATTGCAATGCTTTATACTAAATTTCTTAAAACTTGACTCCATATACCCAATCGAACTTTTCGCAGATTAAACTTTAATATTTTTGAGAATATTAGATAATTAACCAATAGACTATTATAAAAAACTTATGGAATAAAATTGAATTTTTATAAAATAGCCTATATATAATAAATTGAATATTATTGAATGTCTAACTAAAATTAATTTGAATTATGAATTCTTGTTTTGTTCTAATTTATTAAAATAATAGGAAAGTATTAATTATTTTGATAAAATGAATATGAGCTACTAAGACATTTTCAAGTTTTTGATTTGAAGTTGATTAATAAAATTCATGTGATCCAAAACAAAAGTAAAGGAAAGTTTTAATGGAGTTGAGATATAATAAAATTCAATACTGACCTGAATTTATGAATTCAGCATTATGATTTAAAATTCAAAATTACATTATTGAAATGATAATTTATCATTCAAAATTATCCAACAATTCTTTAGCTTCTTTCTCACTTGGATCCAATCTCCAGTAATTACTCTAATTATATTCCTAATTAATTTATTCATCTTCTTCATTCTAATCATCATCATTTTATTATTCCAATTCTTCTTAAACAACTTCTTCTTCAGTAGTTTCCTCCTATTAATCCTATTCAAATTCATTCAACACTTCGGTATTCCTTTAGACACCCTCTCCATTCTCATTACTTCCAACATGTTTGTCATTCTTCTAGAAATTATTGTTAAATTTCTAATTGGTTATATTAATGTGCATACTCTTAAAATGTTCAAGATATTGTCAGTTTCTTGTTCATCAAGAACATCAGGCTCCTAACTTGGTCTTGGATTGGCATTACACAAAAAGGGTTTCTCTTTGGAATTCACAGAATTTAAGATGTTGTCTGCAAATACCTACCATTGTTCATCTATAATGATTGAATCAAACTATACTCATGCGAAGGATCTTTAGAATTTTACTGTTTTATTTGCCCTTATCTTCAAGATAATTAGAGATGGAAGTCAAGAATCCAATGAAACCTTTCTTAGAATTTTCAAGATTGTGATTTTAAACAATGTAATTTAGAAGATTATTATTTTCAAAAACCTATTGAAAGAATTAAAAATACTTTACATCTAGAGTGAAATCATCTTAATTAAGATCGATAATTGCCCTAAGTATTTTATCACAACAAGCATGTATTTGATTGTTTGATTCATACTTCAGAATGATAGCTTACAATGCTTCAATTAGTCCGTAATGTATTAGAATCTTGATAATTTTTTAATCATTTGTTCTTAATATATGAATAAATTGAATACTGAACAAGAACTTGAATAAGTTTGAGTAAATGCATTCTTGCTAATCCAAAAGGTTGAATGGATGATCTATTAGAATTAATGAAGTTGCTGGTGTGATAATCTTGATTCAACAGGTTTGGAGGCAATTCAGGTAGAATCGATTCAAAAATTGAATAATCCTTCTCTAAATTATGAACAACTTCATCATCATCTTCCTTTTTGGTTTCTTTTGATTACATCTCTACCAAATTGATTAGCAATTGATATGGGCCTATACGCTATGTTTACAAGGCGATTTTCAGGAATAATTCAGGTTTCTTGATGATATCGATGAAAGGTATGATCTCCCCATTGTTATAATACAAGGAGCTCATGCTCTTCGTTGTAATCTCAATCAATATGTCGCAAACATTATCCACTATCTCTGTGTTATAAGATTTGTGTTTTAATAATTTAATTATTCTTTCCAATAATTCCTTCCTTTCCTCTAGGAATTTCTCTTCGTAATTTTCTTGGGACGTGTCCAAAATGATTAACTTTTCTATTATTTCTGCGATGTGCTTGATATCAATGTGCTTTATGAGGTTTGAGAGTATTGCTCTGTTTTTGACGATCGTTGCCCAAACCTAAATATTTAAAATATCATACGTCGAAGCCTCTCTTCTTTATTATTGCTATGAATGCCTTTGCAAAATATCCTGCTGAAGTAACATTCAGGATGTCATTTTCTAAGAAAGACAGGAGTTAGTTGTATAATCCTTGGCGTATTTATAAATTTTCATTTTAAATTTCTTCTTCGGGACATTCGAATAAGTAATCAATCAGCTTCTAATTTTAACTACCTAAGATCTCACTTGTTAGAAAAGGGTATCTAAGAGTATAATTAAGAAATTACTAAATTTGAGTTCTCTTATCAATAAGTTCATCTTCAAATTAAATAATGTAATTGATCATTTTTTAATACATTTCTGGATGCTTAATGACACTACGAATATGCTTAAATTAATACTGATCAGCAAACTTGGTAGCTCCTAAACCTTTTATTTCCTGTAAAATTCCATCAGTTGATAATATCGTTTCCAAATCGCAATCAGGGTTGTTCAAACAACTATCTAATTGTTATTGCTAAGTGAAAAAACGAGCAAAGCTAACTATATACAATTTCTTACTTGAAAAACATTAAATTTAAATTTTTAATATTGTTATAAGATTACAAATTAGTAATTATTATTTTCGAGATAAACAACACTTAGTATCTTATTTGCTCGTAATTAAACTCTAAGTTTGTGCATAATAAATTGGAGAAATTATAAAAGATAACTATAAAATTAATTTGAATATTAGAAATAATGACTTGATTTCATAAAAGTGCATTGTATATTTTATTCAAAAACAGGAAGGGTCCCATTACGAATAATCAAAACAGAAGAGAATTGTAACTTGAGATCGTTATTCATACACTGATGAATTTCTTAGTCATACAGAAGGGATGATATTGAATTTAAAAACTTAGTAATCAATAATTGTCAATTGAGGATGTTAAATTTCTTCTCTATTATCAAATATAAATTATCTACAAATCATTATAACATCTGATATTGAATGCATTGTCTGGAGAGAAGCAATAATACACTGAGTTTGACTCTTCTGTTTCCATCCAATTTAACGAATGTTCTCCTTCTTTCGTTGACTGATAAATTTTTTAGCAATTCGGTTTACAACTTTTACACTTTCTCCATCAGCAATATGTATTACAGTTTATTTTCAGCAATTCTAAGATAAATAACAATTGTGGTTACTTGTTTTGATTGAACATCTCAATAACAAAGCTACTTTTATAAAATCTAGTGGCTTATGGTGTTGTAGGTTGTTTGAAGAATTTAAATTCCTTATTGCTTTGCTCCTTAACAAATAAGGGGAGCTTGTTTTGTAAACTATTATTTTTTTTGTGGGTTCTTAATGTATACTAAGGGCGTTTTGAATTAAACTAAAATGATTATTTAAATTCGCATTGACTTCCCAATAAAGTGGATTAAAATAATTCAGTATTTTCAGGAGTGCTTCCTAAAAGATTTTTTAATTTTAATTTTGCAGCAGGTAGTTAATTTTCATAAATGCTACAAGTATTCGATATGGAGTTCTTACTTATGAAAACGTGACTATTTTTGGGAGAGTTGAACAGACTTGAAGCCTCACTTTTTCTTTTTCTGTGATAAGATTCACTCGAAATCAATCTTCCCATACTATCTCTTTCATTAATAAATGGCACAAAAGTTTATTTTTTTTCAATTAATTGATTGAGTGGATGCTCTTAATCCTTGATTGAATCCAAAATCAAGGCCTTCATAAATTTATCCGTCTTATGAATGGCAGGAAGTTCCTTATCCTTATAGAAAACACAGTAATCCTAAAAATTTTCACTATTATGCTTTTTCATTATAGTAATATTTTTAATAATAAAACATAAAGCTACTAGATAATATCATAGATGAGTCATTCAATAATAAGCCAATAGATTTTGTCTGAGGAGGATTAAGGGAATTAGAAAGGATACATCCTTTAAGGTAGGGCTTCTCGATAATTGAATTGGAGACTTCATATCTAGACCTAATTAATATAGGAGAATAAGATATTATTCAATAAAAGGAATAATATTAAATATAAATCCATTAATTTGAATATGTTTAATGAATCAACTAATAATTTTATTTGTTTATTCCAAAATGTCGGAGGGAGGTTTAATCAAGGATTTCTCTGTAGAAAACTTAGTTTCTAATTCATTCATGTTATTTAGTAGGTCCAATAATCTAAGAGTTCGATATAATTTTACTTCTAATTAGTTGGTTCGTTAAGATTTTTAGTAAAGGATTCTTTGAAAGAATCAAAAAAGAATGAGAATGATTGAGCAAAGAATAGGTAATTTGTGTCGTCATCCTATTCAAGAACCTTCTTCATTTCCTTGACTTAAGACATATCCCTATTGAAACAGGAATTAAAGAATCTGCATTCGTCTTCCTAGAAATATTAATAATAATAACTCTGAATAATAGTATGGATGCATTGAGTATTTTTTATATGTATTCCTTCAAACTCTTAGAATTCAAATCGTTAATTTTGAAGTTCTCTTATAATTCTTCAGGAGTGATAATCGCCTATAATTAAGGAATCAATTGAAGATATTAATTAAGTAGTAATCCTAAGATATTTTGAATTAACTTGTATCGATATCCTGAGATAGATAAAGAGAGTAATATCAGTTCTCCTGATTTCAAAGGGAAGGCAGTTTATAAAGACCTAAGAATAGATAATTTAGTAAATATACTTTTAGTCTTGCAAATTTTTATGACATTTATTGGCCTAATCGCTTTTGTTGGTCAAAATACGAATGATGTGAAGGATTTTATTATCGGATATCTCATTTACCCTGTAGTAGATTTAGTAATTGACAGGTCCTGATCTGTTTTAGTGGAACCCCTAATGTGTATTAGTGGGAGTCTATGTCGAAAGGGTATGAGATAGTGTCTAATTCAAGACATCGGATGAAAATACATCCATCCAGGAGCATCTCTCGTGTTCATCATAATAAAGCATCTTCTGGATTAATTGTCTCACATTTTAAGGCACAATCCCTGTAGGACATTGCTCATCACACTATATTGGTGTTGCTTTGAGAGTCCTTAACTTTTACAATAGTTCTGGTTAAGTTTTGGCCTATATAGGTAATTATCCATAGATCAACTGATAAAATATGACACCTAATGAGTAGACATCAGCTCTGGAGGAGAACTTTGATTCTAAAAATAGTTAAGGAGCTGCATAAGCTGGAGTGCCTACTTTAGTAAAGTTTTGAGCATAATTCATGTCTTCAATTACTCTTCCCATGCCCAGATCAGCAATTTTGAATACTCCATTTTGAATTAGAATATTGGCTGGTTTAATATCTCTGTGCATAATGCGGGATTTGTAAAGTGTCTTGTAACCATTGGCTATTTGTCCAACAATGTTGATTGCTTCGTCTATTGTGAAGGGTTGGTTTTTCTTTCGTTTATCCAGAAGTTATTTGAGATCTCCATCTTTGCACAGTTCCATGATGATGTAGATGCTGCCATGTGATTTTTCATTGAATACTTCAAATACTTGGATCAGGTTCTAGTTTTCTCTTTGGATTGGCATAAGCATTTATATAATTTCGACTTCTCTTTTCAAGATTAACTAATCGACATCCTCAACTTTCAAGACCTTGGCACAGAGTTACAAGTCTGGATTCTAAATGTCTGAGCAACCATAAACAGCTCCATATTGTCCTTTGCCATAGAATTTCTTCTTATCTATTTGATAGTGTGAGATTTGGATGGGTTCCGAATTTTTGATAATACTCTTTTTAGCTGTTTATTCTATTTGATTCATAATATTATTTAATATTTAATTAATGAAATACTTGAAATTATTGTTACAATTTATACATCCGACTATTTAATTGGAGTGATTCTAAATTCTATTTACTTAAAAGTGGACTCCAGAAAATTGCTTCTTAAGGATCAAAAATAATATATTATTTTATATATTATTTAAGATGTATTACTAAATAGCACAATTATCTTATTCTGGTCTTCTTTTTATGATTCAAGTTCTCTTTCTCTATATCATTAGAAGAAGAAGTCGTGCTTCAAACCAGGTGTTCTCGGAGTATCAATATTTAATAGAGTAGACCACAACAATTAAGTCAATTTGCCCCAGTGCCTAAGCGAAAGGATGCCTCTAGGAAGTCTTCAGTGATAATAAGTTAAACGATCAGAAAAAGTTTTTAGTAAGTGAGAAACAGCACTATCAAATTGGAGGGCGCTGAGGAAATCCCTTCTTAGTCGATGGGCGTCAATTCAAATCATTACATCAAGGCTATTATGAAGGAATAGAAAATGCAAAGGAAGAAATCGATAAAGATTGAATCCCCAAATAGCACGATGTTGCAAGTTCAATTTGCTCAAAATAAATCTCATACGGAAAACCCTGATAGTCAAAGAGATCCGTTCCAGGAATTAATCGGAGATCAGAAAACTTAGTTAGAGAAAATGGACGTGATCATCTACGTGACCTATTATGTGGAGCGAATCGGATTCGAATAGGGATTTATCTTGCTGCTTTGGTATTTTGATGTAAACTTCTACATCTTCATTCCAGTTTCCCTATTCGCTGGAGTTTTGATGAGAATACAAGAGAAGTTTGGATACAGATTGATCCAAAAGATCCTTCTAATCTTGCTTCATAGCCTTCTTGTCCTTGAGACATATCTTATCATGACGAATGAATATGAAACATTTTGTTATTTAATTGTGTTGGGAATAGAAACTGTGTTTAGTATAATATCCTACATTTTACTGAAAAAATGCAAATGATTAAATTAATTCACATCAATATTCAACTATTGAGAATCAATAGTATTTGTAAAATACGATGATTTAATTTTATCAAATATGTATAAAAATATATTAAAAATGAATAAATTATAGGAGTTGAATGCTTTTGACAATGCTAAGAAATTCAAAATCAAAACTGATCGCAGCTCCTAAATTACATCTCCCAAAAACAAGGAAATCGATCCTCAAGAAGATTTACTAAAGAAACTAACTGACACCCACAAGATGCAATAAAAGGAAATAGACAAATTATTGTTAACCATCGAGAACAAGGAAGATCAAATACGAAAATCTCAGGACTTGATCAAACTGCAACAAAAAGAGATTGATCGCTTGACTCACATCAACGAATATCTCATGCAAGCCAATCAAACCAAATTAAGCATATTAAAAGATGAAAGGCAATTCAACCAAGGAACAAAGCCAAATCCAAAATCCAAGAATCCTAAGACTCTATTGCCCATTGAGAAAAAGAACAATAAAATCACAGAAGATGGCACTACCCAATCAGTAAAACTTTTCAGGAGATAAACGTTTCGAAATCCCACTCTAGCGAGATTCCATCCAGATGATGGGGAAACCTTTAAAAATGATAGGAATAATTCTGGAGCATCTAATTTTTATGATATTTTACAGCAAGAGGACTGTTTCAGAACCAATGCAATCTTGAATATCTAATTGTGTAATCCTAAATAATTAGTCTTTAGCTGATGAAGATGCAACTGCTTAATATAATAGAGATGGCACAGTCTCTTTGATGAAAGTTCTTCTGGAATCTGAAGAAAACTTTTGTGACATAATCCAGTCGATCTCAGCATAAAAATTATCATTTCTGTATGACAAATTCAAAAGAATAATGTCAGATCATTTATAATTGTTTATCTTAGTATTAAGACTCAAAAAAATAGTTACAGGGGCTCTGCAGATGAATTCTTCAGTCCTATTAGATGATGCTTTGCAAACAATCATTGACAAGTGCGTTGACTGTTTAGAATGTGATAGGGCCTCTTGTTTTATAGTTGATTAAGCAAAAAAAGAACTCTGGACCAGAGTAGCCAAAGGCACTCAAACAACAATCAGACTATAAATTGGCTAAGGACTGGCAGGTTTTGTTGCTTAGAATCGAGTCATTTTGAATATTGAAGATGCGTATAGAGATTAGAGATTCAATACTTAATAGGATGTCAAAAACAATTACAAGACAAAGACATTATTGGTATCACCTATTTTGGATGGCGACAAATGCATGGGAGTCTTATAATGTGTCAACAAATAAAATGGATATTTTACTAAAGATGACGAGGCTCTCTTATAGATTATGGGGGAATTCAGTAAAAGTGTATTAAAAAATGCAATGAATCATGATGCTTAGATGCTAATCTAAAATAAATTAAGACACATTATTAAAACCGGTATCATACTTTAAAGTAAGTAAAACAATCTTATTGATTTAATTCTCTCCGCAGAGGATAGATTACGATCATTAATGAATGTGGAATAGGCCAAAGTAGTCTATTATAATTAGGTTCTTTCTCATATCAACAGAGAAGGCAAACTTTGTTAGACTGATACTTTGTTGGGCATAATGGGAACATGCATTTAGGATCAGCAATTGGTGGCTGTGAGCAACTGCTATACTAGTCCTATTTTCAATCCCAATATTGATATCGAAACGAATATGCCAATTATTTGTATGCCTCTAAAGTCGCAGAGCCATTAAATTATTGGGGCCATTTAAGTAATTAATGTCAAAGGTATTGGTAACATTTCTTCAAACAGTGAGGCTAAGATACATTCTATCGATTTAGATATGCTGGAACTGTTTTGTCAGCAATGTGCTTAAAGTTTGCAATACTGCAAGGAATCAATCTTATGATGATATTAATTAAAATATTAAATATAAAATGGGCAATTCCTAATAAAAAAATGATGAAAAATTAATTTCAACAGTCTGGCTTGGCGTCAATGTAATGATTATAATTATGTTGCAGAATGATTGGAAGGCATTAATGAAAGATCGATTGTCTCGGTTAGAGGAGGAGTGGGTGATGAGTATGATCAAATGCTTAGCTAAACATTCTCCTCAGGAACAGAAACTATTTAGATCTGAGATCAAATAAGTTTGTAAATATTTTGTAAACCACTATTTAAGTGAGTGATACTATGAAGGAAGACAAAATGAAGAAGATTGTGTAACAATCAGAAGAGTTCTTGTAAATATTTAATTATTATAGTTTAAATATTTAGAAAGAACAATGAGTTCCTTAGAGAGGACACAGCCATTCGCACATCATCAAGTGATCTGACATTATCAACTAGTTACAATTCTTGTATATCTAAATTCCCACAATATTTAGTTTCAAAAATCAACGAGAATCAGTCTATATCTTCGTAGAAATAGGAGATACAGGATTACGAAACTTAGAATGCTCAGGCTCAAAAGTATTACTTAGTGTTTACCATTATAAACGAGATGATCAAATCTAACAAACATCCTTTTTTCTATATGATTACATAATTTTAGGGATGGGCCAAAGCATATCTAAATGTTCTTCAATAATCCAATCAAAATTTGTCTTAGTTGAAAGCTCAAGTTGCCAAATTTGGCGTAACAACAAACTAATTCTTGAGTTATCTGATTCATGCTTTAAATGAATATTTGGGTGACATTTCAAATGATCAAGTTGATATTGCATAGAACAAGTATCTAAAGGATAAAGCAAATTACTTTAACTTTTTTCTATCAGTGGTAAGACATCTCATAATCCTATTTAGACTATCAATGAAACCCTAACGGTCCAATTGATGGAAGTCTTGAAAATGCTCCATAAAAATAGTATAACAAATTTGATGGGCAAAATGACGCATTTATCACTCAAACCTGACTTCTTTGACATCCCAAAGAAACACATGACTTAGACTAAGCCTTTTCAAGAATAGATTGAATATCTATAAGCCATTTAATTCTCAAAGCATCCAGCAGAAAAGTACTATGTTTTAGCAAAGGCATATCAATTACTAAGGGAATGCCTTACAAAAAGTGCATCCAATTTCATTTAGCTACAAGCAACAAATTATGTACTGGTCCATTCATAGATCTAAAATTTGCATGCTCATTTACATTTACTCGAACTTTTTTATCCCAGCTCACCATTATTACTAAAGTATAATTCGTCATTGTAATTTTTATAAAATATTATAATATGACGACAATTTTAAATTATTATAATTAATCATAATAAGTTGTAAGAATGACTCATGATAATAGAATATTCAATCTGAGCAGGACAAAAAACATAAAGATATATCTTAGTAATCAGATTCCTTTGCAGAACTCTTAATAATGAGTCATCCAATTAATGATTATGAAATTAATCTAGGATTAGACTAGATCTATAATGAATATGTAAAGCAATCAAAAAGAAATACAATTGATGTGAATTCAACTCAAGTTAATCTGATTCAATAGTACATAATAATATACTAAATGGATAATAGTATAATGTAGAGGGTTTGATAAAAGAACTTTTAGATTTGAATTTAAGTATGTAAATATAAAGAAAGAATTTAAATTCTTTAATTATTAATGAAGAATGTGTGAATTTAAATGGATCAGAAAATAATAAGAAAGTTTTAATATTTTGGCTAATCTAATTCAACTCGGGTAAATCTGAAATTATTTAATGCTATTCTTCGGATTGACACTTCAGAAGTACTTAAACCTTTATCTATGTTTAATAAGGAATGAATTATTGTTATCATATTTATACACATTGATTAACAAATTACAAAAATGGGAATGTATAATATTAATAAAATATTGATTAAATGGATTACGATGGAGAGGCTAGTCAGTTTCCAGATGTCTCACGTTTTAGTTTCAATCCAAAAGGAGTCCTGTATCCTAAACCAGTTTACTAATAATGCTCATTTACAGGAGTGAAGAAGAAAAGCTTTTCACTGCATGGTTCTAAGAATAAGGGATTGAGAAATCTGAGTTATAAGGTGAAAAAAATAATTGAATCGGAGTCACAGACCACTTATAGGTTCGTGGCTGATAAATTGGTGTCTGAGGACAGCGAGTAAAAGAAGGAGGAATAGAATGTGAAGCGTCGAGTCTATGATGCACTCAATGTCTTGATCGCCGCAGGGGTTATTATAAAGAAGAAGAAGTTCTTGGTTGCAACGCCGGAGACTTTCAAGAGTGGGAAGTACTTAATGATCTTAATAGGGTGCCATAACAAAGACAAATGGCAGAAGATTAAGGAAGATCAGTAATTGAGAGCCAAGAAGCATCAAGTATTGAGTCATAAGAAGCAATACTTGATCGACTTAGTGAAGAAGATGCTCTGCATTCGTCATCTGATTACTAAGAACAATAATAACAAAAGCCTTCCCAATAGTCAGAATGCTGCTGAAACGTATCTTTAGTAAAAGTGATGTAGATTCTTGAAAGACGAAAAAGTGGAACCCTCTCAAGTGCCTTGTAGTTAATAGAGTATCTAAAGTGGAATCTTACTCAACTCCTACGTTCAACCACAAACAGTATTTCAATTCCCTATTTTTGCTTTCTGGAGTAAACCAGAGGATGTATTCAAACTATTACTAAAGTAATCTAGCTACGCATCGTGATCAAATCACAAAAGGAAGTGACTTTGACCTCTAAAAAAAGTTGCTCCTTTATGTCAGAAACAGAACTGATCCAGAATGTACACCAATCAGCTTTATTGTCCAAAGTCTTTGATAATAAGTCTTTTGTTAGTTTCTATTTGAACTTAACCAAAAATTGATTTATATATTAAAATAATTTTAAAATTTATCCAATATATAACCAGATGAAGAGATTTGATCTATTTTACGAGTTCTCTAATCAATAATTAGGACAGGGAGTGTTTGGATAAGTTTATTTAGCAAAGAAGAAAACCACTTAGGAATAGGTGGCAGTCAAAGTAACAGAATTAAACTTATGTAGATTTTGCCCAAAAATAATTAATTGACCTTGAGTGAGATTGAAATTCTTAATGAGTTAGTCAAACATTCGCATCCTGCCATTGTGAGAATAATTGATGTGTATGATCAGGGCACTCAAGTATATGTAGTTTAAGAATTCTGTAATAGTGGCACTTTATTTGATTTTATGAAAAAGAAACCTCAATATTTGGGTGAAGAACATTGCATTGAGATTTTGGAATAAGTTGCCCAAGGGTTAGACTATTTGCATAAGATCAATATTGTTCATAGGGATATTAAACCAGAAAATATTTTAAGAACCACCTATAATGGCTAGATTTACTATAAGATCTCAGATTTTGGATTGGGTTGTATTGGAGATGTCAAACTCACCTCTAAATTTGGGACTGCTTACTATGTTGCTCCTGAAATCATTGATGGAAGAGCAGAATTATATGGGTATGATAAAACAGTAGATATTTGGGCCTTGGGATTAATGTTTGATGAATTGTTACATGGCACTCCATTTTTTGATGGTCATACAGAGGACGAGGTCTTTATTAAAATCAGGAATGAACCCTACTACCCAAGAAAACATGAATATTCAGGTAGTCGTTTGCCCCCGAGAAAACAAATAGTTGCAAACATTCTTATGGGAATGATCAACAAAGAACCAAACCAAAGGAAATCCTTACCTTGGATACTTGATTTAATAAGACAATACAAATAAAATGTTACCAATAGTTCCATCTCTCTTTTAAATTAAGTGCCCTTTACTCAAGCACCTATTTCACCATTATTGATCAATGATTTAGATGTGATTCAAGACAGGAAATCCATTTATCAACAGAAATGTGCCATACACAATCAGCCAGCTATTTATAGGATGCCAATTAAGGATCAGGATAATGATGTTTCAAGAATTGTTTCAGCATGTTCTAAATGTTTAAGAAGCATAGGAGTTTATGAATTGGATACTTTATAAAAAAAAGTTGACGAGGCCTTGCGTATACTGACTATGGAGAACTTTGATCAATTCTTTACCTAAAGTTATATCAAATAAGAATTAAAAGAAATGAGAGTAGAGTATTTTCTAAACTATTCCTATTTTTCAATCAGGGATGATTAATTGCAATCAAAATATGATGCCATCCTTATGGATTAATAGAAAAAGGCTAAGATTGAATACACTACTAAGATTAAGTAATTGGTGAATTTTAGAGATAAAAATTATACATCCGATGAATAATGGTTGATCTATGTGGCAGAAAAACTGACAGATTCAACTGAAAATGAGTTTGTATTATACATAAAGGAAGATTTGGCTTAATTTAGTGAACACGGAGTGGAGGATTGTAGGTAATTGATCTTGAATCATTTAAAAGAGGCATCAGATTAACTAAGTTCTTTGATTTGAGATAGTTTAATATAATATCACTCATCTAACCATTTAATCCTTTTGCCATCTTCCCATAACCCTCTCCTCATCTTGCCGTTTGATTCATAATAGTTGCCTTCCCCATGTTATTTTCCATTATCCCAGAATCCTTCATATTTCCTTCCATCTTCCCATTCATAAACTCCAAATCCATGTCGTTTATCCTGTACGAATTCCCCTAAATACGATCTCCCATCCTTCCATCTATAACATCCTTTGCCATGCATACAATTATCTAACCAATCACCAACATACTGCCACATTATGACACACAATTACCTATCGACCATCTTGCCATTAATATGTACCATGACCATTGATGTTGTTTTCTGACCAAGCTCCTTAGTAAGAACTTCCATCTGGCCAATAGTATTTGCCTTAACCATCCTTTTTGCCCATGAAGTAAAACCCTTCATATTTACTTCCATCTGCCCAAATTTCAATTCCATATCCATCTTGTACATCATTCTTCCAATAGCCTTCATACTTGGCTCCATTAACATGCACATATATTCCGTAGCCATGTGTCTAATCATCCTTCCATTCTCCTTCGTCTAATAAAAATAAAATAAACCTACAAGTGTCGCCATCTAAATGCCAGAATTTACCGTTACCATTCGCTCTGTTATCTTTCCACTCGCCCTCATACTTGGCTCCATCTTGCAAATACGTCAATTATATCGAATTACCTGGCCAAGTCATAATTCCAATTCCCTCTCTCTTGTTTCCAACCCATTCTCCCTCATACACTCCTCCTGTGGTGTAACGATAGGGAGGCCGTCTCTACTTCTCAGTGTTATTATTCAAATGAAGAACTGGTTCTTTGCTCTCAGTGAAGTAGCCTCTCTGGTGTTGGCTCTTTCTAGAACGCACAGACTGAGGAGTGCATTCCAGATCTGACAATCTCAAGACTTAGATTTCAGGTTCATTACAAATCTCGCTGCAATAATTGCCCATTTGTATTTATTTTAATGAATTCAAATTCAAAATATATTTATTATAAATAGAATTCATTATCATTGATATATAAATTATTTAAAATATGAAAAGCAAGGAACTTTGGACCTCTACAATAGATTAGCCCAAGGATTCGAATTCCAGCATCACCAATCAAGTTTTCGCATGTGCATTTTTGAAAGGTATGTTAAAATTGGAATTCTCAAGATGGTGACATCTTTGTGGCCGCAGTGGGTAATGCACTCCTTCTTTTCGATACCTACAAATCTGACATGCTGTGTTAACCGCTGAGAGGACAACACAAAGAGACAATCACTTGTTTGGCCACATCAAAGGATGGAACCAAATTGGTGTCTGGAAGTCAAGATAAAACAGTTGTGGTTTGGATGTACAACAGTAAAAAAAGTGATCGATTGTTGGAGCCAGAGAAATGGTTTTCTCATAGTGATGCTATACAATGTGCAGCAATTAGTCCATTGCAATAGCAGATCTTCACAGGGTCCAATTAGGAGTATTCCCTTTGGATCCCTGGAATGAGTAACATCGAGAGACAAAAGTATAAGGAGAAGATCATTTGTTGTGCCTGGAGTGCAGACGGATAATATGTATCCTTCGGAACCATAAGTGGTATGAATAATTTATTTGAAAATAGGTTTGATTGTAATTACGGACAGACAGGCACAAAATTTGAAAGAAATATAGACACAAAAGGGAGGACCTGCTTGGTGTATGGAGTGGTCTCCAATAAATTCAGAATACCAATAATCTTAACTCACAGTGGGAGTTTGGATGAATTCTTTATACCAGTTCGATTAGAATGGATAATAGATTGGAGCAAGGATAGAACTGCCCTTCGATCCTTTGCATATCAATTTTTAGCATAACGGAGAATACATGGCAATATCAGGGAACAATAGTAAAGTGAATTTGTACACAAGAGAAGGGGGATTCCTCTTTGAAGTTTGTTAGCAATAAGATTGGATCTGGTGCACTAAAATTAAGCCCAAATCAACCTTAATAGGTTGTGGCACCAATGATGGATAAATCATCATTTAAGAATTGATTTCTGATACTGTTATTGGATTATATAATGATAAATTTATAAGCAGAGAACAACTGACTGATGCTATAATAGTGTCAATGAATTCAAATTAATAGGCTAGGATCAAATGTAAAGAGTTGGTCAAGAGAGTTGCTATTTTTAAGGAGAAAGTGGCAGTTCTCTGTGGAATTAAGGTTCTAATCTATACCTGTGTGATAAAGGGAGAAGATTATATGAAGTACAAACAATTCAAGAAATTTGTCAAAAGAGTGGATTGCGACCACTTCTAATTGTCATCCTCTAATGTGTTGATAGGAGGAGGTTAGAAGTTGATTGCCTTCAATTTTAATGGGGATATGGATAGAACTTGGTCATTTGAAGCACCTATTACTTTTGTGAGTGTGTAAGGAGGCCCTCCTAAAAGGGAGTTGGTGTTGGTTGGATTAGAGAACGGGGGAATTTATAAATTGTTCTTAGACAATTCGTTTCCGATTCAAATTCATAAAGTCAATTCTTAGATCAAATATCTGACCATGTCTCAAACTAAAAGAAAATTGGCTTTGATAGATGGCAATTCGAATCTCCAAGTTCTAGACACAATCACTAAGGAAGTACTGTTTGGGGAAATGAGTGTGGAAGGAGTAGCATTCAATGAGGAGTTTGAGGATTTGATTGCTTACTCTGGGAAGGGATTATTGTTTATTAAATGTATAGCATTTTAAGCATTGAATTAAAAAATAAATGGGAATGTTATAGGGTTTAAGGGATGTAAGATATTTTTATTTGATGGCTCAAAACCTTAGACAATTGTTATCCAATAAACTGCAAATATGTAAAAGTATTTGGAGAAGAAGGACTTTTAGAATGCTTTGAAAATAGCATGTTTGGGAGTTACAGAATAGGATATAAGAGCATTGGGAATAGAAGCTTTGATTGCTGGAGAATTTGATATTGCAAGACGAGTATTACATCATCTAAATTAAAATAGTGTTTTTTGAGGAATAAAGATTATCAATATATAGATTTGTTGTAGAAATATGAAAAAAGGAATTTGGATGCACAAACTTTGAATGAATTAAATGCAGAGACTCTGGCTTATCAAGGGAAATTCATGGATGCAGGCAATCTGCTTATAAAGGTCGGTTTGGCAGACAAAGCAGTTTAGCTGTTCAAAGAGTTGAAACGTTGGGATGAAGCAAAAAGTTTATAAATTTGGTTACATTATTAGATTTTGCAAAGAAAGGAGATGTGGCATTTAGAGCTGTGACATCAGGAGGGAGAACAGGAACTGGAGTCAGAGCACCAACATCACAAGGGAGAACAGGCACTAGTAGAGGATAGGCTGTGATACCATAGCCATAAGACATAGCAGCTCCTAAGATAGAAATGAATATGTTATTACGAGAGGAGGCAGAGTGGATGAAGGAGTCAGGAGATTGGAAGGCTGCTGCAGATTTATTTGTATAATGTGGAGAGTTCAAGAAAGCCGTTGATTTGTATGGGTAGAATAAAAATATCGATGGACTAATTAATGTTTGTAGAATGATGGACAGATAAGACAACACAGACAACATTGTCTAATGTGCCAATTACTTTAAGAAGCTCAAACATCATGGAGGCGCTAAGGAGGCCTATCTTAAATTGAATGACTTGTAGAGTCTCATGACTTTGCATGTTGAATTTGAGAAATGGGAAGAAGCCTTTCAAATTGGTCGCTCAAATAAACAATTGCTTGAGATCGTCAAAGTTCCTTACGCCAATCATCTATTGCAAAATGATAGATATGAGGATGCACTCAAAGCCTATAAAAGTGCTGGAAGATTTGACATATCAATGAAGATGACTAAGGATATGGCTAAGAATTGTATTGAAGAATAAAGGTATCATGATGCTAGTCAATACCTTTGGAATCTAGCTATTGATTGCCTCACTCAGATTGGTGATTATCATAATCCCTCTGGAGATGATGTCAAATCAATCAGATAGTATTAAGACTATAGTGATTTAGCTGATGTCTATTTTGCTTATCAAAAAATACATAGTTTTATTGGAGAACCTTTCCAGCCTCTGTCTGGAGAGAATTATTTCTTATAAATAATGAATGCAGCTCGATTCATCATCTCTAAGTGGAAAAGCACCTACCAAGGTATTAAAATGAGTTATGTCTATTATTCTCTTGCAAAATGTGCTTCTCAACTTGGATGTTACAAAACTGCTCGTATTTGTTATGAAAAACTCAATGTACATATATAACTATAATTTGTAGTCATTCAAAGTACCACCTGAATGGAGTGAAGAAATAGATCTTAAATCCATGCTTATCAGATCCAAACCCTATACAGATGATGAATCCAGATTGCCCTTTTGTGCCAGATGTCAAACATCAAATCTTATGTTAAATGAAAATTAAAATTGTGCTCAATGCAATGTTTGTCTTCATCCTCTTTTTTCATCCTTCATCACTTTTTAAAATCTTTTAGTAGTGGAATTCAAGGTTGATAACTCCTTATCCAGAGAGGATGTTGAGAAATTGCTCAATAGTGAAAAAGTCATTTCAAACAAACGACCAGGATAACTCTTCTAAGACAAAATGAATGAAATTATTCAGTAATAACAGACCTCGCAAGATCAGTATTTGGCAGTTGAATTAGATGAAGCAACAATTAAAACCCTATCACCTGAAGAAGTTCTTATTGTTGATCTCAGGCCATATTGTAGAACTATTGATGTCAAATACTACAAAAATATGGATTCCTCATAACCAATTCATGTATGTCCTGACTGTGCAAGATTCTTTTTCATTGATGAACATGAATTTGAATATGTTCAAAAGAAATGTTGTCCATTCTGTAGAACCACTGATAAAAAAATACCACAGAAGGATATATTTGATCTTTGAAGTATATATTTACAACCATAATATGCGTCACTAATTATATTTTTATTAATTAATAATTAAAAGTGAGTAAGAATATCTTCTTCAGTTTCGAATACTATTATCAATTATTAAAATAATTGTCCATCTTCTGAGTGATATATACAAGTTAATATTTTATATTTTAATTTAATTTGAGATAAAATAAATAATAAAATTAATCAAATTAGGTTATTATCTTCATAAAATAGGTTAGGGAGATTGGTAATTGATTAGAAATTCTTCATATTCTTTTTATTAGAGCTAATAAGATATTATGATATTTTTACTGTATAATTTAAGTTATAAGTATCGAAATCCTACTAGAGCTTTTCTTCGTTGCAATCGTTTATTACTTTGCAAATCAACTTCGGAGTTATTATGCTTTAGGATTTTGACAAAGCCTTAAAGCTTAATGTAAGGCAATCCTGAGTAAGCACCAACTGTTTATCAGCAGCAAATAAAAGGAATTCCTCTTAAGTTATGTTAACAAAGTCGGATATTTGAAGAGAATATTCCTGTGGTTACTCATTTAGGAGAGGCTGTAATTCATCTTCACTTAATGAACCATCTTTGTTAAGATCTGCAGTAGTAAATAGCTTATTAAGCACTTTTAAGTGATCTGCTGCATATAAAGACAGTAGATATTGAAATAGACATTTGTGTAGATAAGTCATATTCTTAGATTTGATGATGTTGGAAAATGGTAAAATATAATCTTTGGGTTGAACCTATTTCATTTTAATAAGATATGGATGAAGCAAACATTTATCAAGGGTAATTCTCTCATTTGGATTATGGTGAAGCATTTCTATTAATAAAGGATAGATATCCTATTCTTGTTCAGCATAAACTTATTCTGCTTTGAATTTATGGATTTCCTCAATTTCAAAAGGAAATTGATGAGTAAGCAATTACAAGATGATAATAGCTAGTGCCCAGATATCATTGGATTAGCTTCTATTTTTTGTTTAAATACTTTAAAGTTTAGAGTGATCTTTGTGATGATGATGATGATTTGGGGAATTAGGTGGTTCATAAAGAATAGAATCCTTAGGATACATAAATTAATAGATGCTTCTAATTTCTGATAATTTGATGAAGGGTGTAGAAGAATCATCAAAGACTGAGAAACTATCAATAGTCAATTCATCGTGACTGTAACCTAATGAATGAACATATGCTAAGGCTTCTACCATTTGATAAAATATGGATCCGATGGTTTAGTATTCCAATTAGTTTGAATCTAGAAACTTAGAAAGGGGTCCACCTTGGCAATGTTCATAAACAACTTGGTGATTTCTTTTATGTGAATCCATGTGAATATCCAATATTTTGACTATATGCATTTAATCCTTATATTATTAATATTAAGAATTACTAATCGTAGTTCGTCTAACATGTCAATAAATTGTTGATTTCTATTTTCAAATTTGATCATTTCCACCAACACCAATTGTCCAGTCTCGTTATGTTACATGACTGTTTTGCTTTGGCTTTCTTTAAACTTACATAAATTATTTACTGTGATTTTATCTAGAGACCACCGAATAGTTTCTGGAAGCTGGAGATTGAATGGATTTTGAACCTGGCTTTGTGCTCAATCTTTGCATAGGAATACTCAACATAGATCCATTTCTGCTTCTTTCTTGTAATTGTGTTGATTAGATGATCAATGTTTTTGGGGTTGGATGATTAGAAGGAGAAACCCGTTTAACAGGAGTGGTTACGGTATTTTATGATACTTTTTAGATAGGAGTTATTGATTGATTGGGTGAAGCGCGACGAAGTGATGAGGTAACTCGTTGAATCGTACTGGGCTCTTAAAATTATATTGTAGTCGTTTTGTGTTCTCTAGTAGTTAGAGTCTACTGAGGAGGCATGGTTACAGATTAAGGCTTTTGTTTCTTTACTTTCTTTGGTTCGCTTTTGGATGCACAAACTCCCATTATTTATATCAATTATCAAATTTAAATTATAAATCAAACCAATCATTTATTACCAATTAATATCATTAAATCATTATTTTAGAGTTTAATATCACAATCTTACTGATTTTTAATTGATATTATATAAAATAAAACTATTACATGTATTGAGGCAAAATAATTATATCCTCTTCTTGTTTTTTTACCATCAATTTAATAACTCTATGGGTTTTCATTTTTGCTACGGTTTAAACATTACTCACTCTAATCGTTAGATAACTTCTATCTTATAATCGGATTCATCTACCCCAAACAATGTTCCTTATAAATATATCAAAATTTGATGATTTCAACTACGCCAGATACTAGTAGTCAATATTTATACCATCCAATATCTAAATGTTTGGTTATAATCTAAACTTATATAAGATATAGTTTACTGAAATAAGATTTGATTTTTCGAAGTAAAGTTCAAGAATAATTGATGTTTGTAAATGTAAAATTGCAGACATCATAAAGTTAAGAAAAATAGTGAAAATTCATAGAGAATAAGAAAGATCTAAGATAGCTTTTTCTAATTCCCATTTGTATAAAAAAATAAAGACTTATGAACCCAATTTAAATTCATCGAAGAGTCTCAAGTCATTCACTTTGTATTAAATCAATCAATAATTGACATAATATACATGCTGACAAAAATTGCTAACTTATAAGCTGAAACATTAAACCTACTTATTATTTAGATAAATTAGACAGGTTGATATTACATGTAGTTTTGTAGAATATATTGAGCGCAACATGCATTTATTGAATCCCTTTCTCTTAAACTGAAAAATATTATAAAATAACAATTATATTTTCTTTCGATGATAAATTCTATTTTTAGGAACAAACATATAATTTTTCATTAATTTTGCACATCTCTCCCCTGTAAACAAGGAGTATTTAAAATTTCAAAAAAGCGGGAAATGAAAAGGTACTTAAATTGAAATACTTAATTCGGCGCATTAAAATAATTTGAAATTAAAATAATGTTCACAGGAACTATTTCAGTAATATATGGTCCAATGGTAATAAATTAAATTGATGTAGTTTTCTGGTAAAACAAGTGAATTGATGAGATTAGTTAAAAGATTTACAATATCTGAAAGAAAATGTGTAGTTCTTAATTATGCTAATGATAACAGATACTCAGATGATCAGTGCATTTCTAGTCATGACAAGTAATAATCTAGTTCTAAATTTAGATAATATTTGAAAGCCATAAAGGTGACCAAATTATTTGATGCTTTTGAGAAATGCAAAGACCACGACGTTGTGGCAATAGATGAAGGACAATTCTTTAGTGATGTAACTTAAGTTTTCAATGTTCTATTAGATTGTTGAGTTTAGTGAAGCTATGGCAAATTTGGGGAAAATAGTAATAGTTGCTGCCCTTGATGGTACCTTTGATAGAAAGCCTTTTCGTAACATCTTGAGTTTGATTCCATTGGCTGAACGCATCACTAAGTTAACAGCTGTGTGTTGGTTTTGTAAGAAGGAGAATGCTTCATTCACCAAAAGAACAGTTTAATCTTAAGAAAGTATAAAAATATAAATATTATTAAGTTGAATTAATCGGAGGAGAGGACTGCTATAAGCCTGCTTGTAGGGCATGTTTTAATTTGACAGAGGATAAATTTGAGAAGTCTACTCTTCTTCCAATCCCAGTTTATTCAAACGATGAAAGACTATTTGGTTAACAAAATTTGATTTGCTGAGACACTATAATTAATTATTTTATATTAATAGAAATTTTAAATGAATATTTTTAAAACAAATACAATAATTAATTTTGGAGTTTCTTGTATTTACTTTTTCGATTCGAACATCAATTTTTAATTTATTTATCTATTATGTCCTAATAAGTATAATGGCCAGTATACTTGGAAAATGATGTATGTGATAAGTTTTGGAATCGAGGGGAGTGTGTTTTGGATGGTGAAATACTTATAACCCAATAATTGAGTAAGACAGATAGAAAAAATTAAGTAATCAAGGAGAGAACTTATATCCTGACAGGAAAAGGGATGTTGTGCTATTAGAAAAATAATAACATCAGATGGTTGTTGTTGAATTATTAGATGAGTGCTAAGCTAATTGATTTGAAGATCTAGAATAAGGATTAGGATCTGGTTAAAGTGATTAGAGTAAAGAGAAATTAATAAGTATATTCCTATTTCTGGAATGCAGATTTGTAAAAGTTTAAAAATGATTCTTCAGTTAGTAAACTTTCACCTTCTTCAAACGATTAACAGCATTTTGCATTTGCTAAAATTTTGAATAGCTTTATACTATCTAAGATTTGATGGGTAAGGGTGGATACTCAAAAGTGTACAAGTTGTGTCCTTTGAATAAATAAACATTTTAGAACTAATATTATGCCGGAAAGGTCTATAATAAAAATGAATTGGCATAAAAGAAAAATCTTAGTTGTTTAGCCTAACTGGTCAAAGCGGAATGTGAAATATTGAAGCAAGTCAACTCTCCATTCATATTAACCTTGTACGAAATAATCTAATTGGATGAATAATTAAGTAAAATTTTCTGAGAATTTTGATAGTTTTAATTACAGAATTATTGCGCAGTGGATCCTTGTATAAATTACTAAAAGAAAAAGTCAGAATTTAAGAGTGTGAGGCTAGTGGGATTATCCAAAGAGTTGCCTTGGGACTTCAGGCCGTTCATAGGTAAGTACAGTAAATCTATTCAGTTTAGGATATGTGCATAGGGACATTAAATTGGAAAATATTCTCATTGACAAGGATCAAATAAAGATTATTGATTTTGGATTTGCAGAATAAATTAATAGAGAATTCTTGACATCTGGATAAGGTACTTTAGGTTATATGGCTCCAGAAATTTTCACTCACAAACCATACACTGAACTGGGAGACGTCTTTAGTTTGGGAGTTGTTTATTATATATTATTGACAGGTAAACCTCCTTTTAAGGGACTCAATTAAGAAAACGTTGTCAGAGCTAATAAATAATGCGAAATAGATTTCAGTGAGTATTGCTTTGTTAATGTCAGTCAAAAAACCATACAGTTGGTAAAGGGCATGTTGTAGAAGAATCCAAAATAAAGAAGTTCCTTAAATGAAGTTTTATAGAATTTGAAAAGCCAAAATCTACTCTCAGATATCGTTTATAGATCAATATCAGTTGAAGGATCTCAATTAACTAAACAAGGAGGGATGCGATCACTCTATTTATAGAGTCAATGTTCTCAAGAGTCTCCAAGGATGTAGCATAAGCAATCCAAGTTACTGAATATCACATAAACGTTGGAGAAGTTTGCTGTGAAGGCTAGTTCATTTCGTCCTTCACTCTAGAATATTGACAATTATACATTTGACAGTGACGACTTGGAAGACAATAGTTTGCCTCAATTTGTTTTGGAATTTCTTCAAATTTCTAACTTAATTTTGAATTAATCTAAATTACCTTGATAATTATTTAATATGTAAATAACATGTATGTTTTGTGACCAGAAGCCCAACATGCCAGAATTGTTAAACATGGTAGACTAAAAATAAATACAGTAAGGCTCTTTATTCCAGATATCAATCCAACACTCCAAATTTCCAACTTCGAAGTTCAACTATCATTCAATTCCAAGATTAAGTTTGCTATGAAGAAAATGAAGAGTATTTCAAATCGTATATACTCTAGTTATTTAGTTTTTACACTGTTCAAAATTCCAAGAAGAAGCATAAACAATTGTTAGAATATTATCGATACCATACCGACATTCCCAGGTTCTTTATCAAAAAGATAACGTCCTTATTGGAAACTCACCATGAGAAGAAAAGAGAAATTAAATACAATAAAATCAAATTTCAGTTGGGAATGTTAGTTATTGAACCTGAAGATAAACATTTCTCATTTAAAGCACTCCAAGGTTTGACAGATTTATAGACTTCCAGACAATTATAGTAGTTACTCAAACTGATTTAATCAAATCGATTTGATACAAAGAATATTGCAGCTATAATCAAAGAATAAAAATAGTAAATTGCCTCACTTAATAAAAAAGAATAATTGAAGAAAATATTGAACATAGAAATATAATAAACAATCACTAAAAAAAGACCAACAAATCATACTTTACCTACTTAACTTACTTAACCTACCTAAAATACTTAAAATACTTAATATACATAATATACTTAGCATACCTAACATACTTAACCTTCATAACATAATTTAGGTAGTCCTAAGAATCATAAAACAAGAATGATAGGAAATGAAATTAATGGAAATGTAGTCAAAAAGGAGTTTTATAAGAGATGGTCTGATGTTTTGAGTCTTAGATAATTAGAGTTTCACAAAAATAAAATGAAGTCCAGTCTGCTAAAGAAAAAAATATCACTAAAATGATTTTTATATTTATTATAAATAAATGAATAAAGCTGTAAGAGTAAGGTACTCTAGTCTCGATGAGTCTAGAACCAACACCAAAAGATATTAAATTGTGTATACAGTCACTGATTAGATAAAAACTTAAGTGAACAATCTTAAATTGAATCATCATCCTTTGAGTTATTACATATCCAGAATTTGCAAGAATGTCAAAGAAATGCGAAGATATCGCACTGATGCTTACATCAGAAATCAACTCACCAAAATATATGCTCAAACTGTCCATCTCAAAGAAATCCACGATGTGTTCAAGGTTCCTATCCAATACATGAGCGAAGATCTCATTCTCTCCAGATGCACCTTGCAATTGATCTCTCAGATGCCCCATCAATATGCTCTTCGTCCTCAGCAACAACTAACTCACTTCATGCAATGGATGGCCTACTTCGATGAATAGGTCTATTTGGAAATGCAGAGAATACATGAGGGATACCTATTGCAAATCCAAAGAAATATACAGGATCAATATACAACGAATGTAATCAAGCAACAATAAATCAAACATCAAATCCATCCTCGAAAGAAAGACATGTACAATTATGTGAATCGACTCATAACAAAGCCATCGTTTAGAACCATGAGCCGAATATCTGTCTTGGAAGACTATGAAACTAAATTTGGTGAATTTTAATTAATCACACCATACGCTCGAAGTTATGCTAAACAGTTAGACACTATTTCTTAAAATCTCAACACAATTGAATGAATATTCTTGGCAATCATATATTATAAAATCAATCATTAAGCTTAAATATAAACTGTATCAATCACATCTAATTAATCTTTGTCAACAAATTGCAGCTTCCTCAATTATCTAATGATCAGATCCAATCTAGCCTTATTGTAAGTGTTCTTTGTTAAATTTGGTTCTATGTTGGTCATAATGAGTAAACATTTAACTGCCTCTTACACTCTGCTCTGGAATTCTGTCTTATTGAATTGTTTTTTTAATTTCATCACTGCCAATTAGAATGCCAATTCTCCTTCTTCCAAATCGAAAAACTCATGATTAATCACAATATCATTGGCCATGAAATCTATGACTTTATCAATGAATTGCAATTGAATAATTTGATCCAATGCTTCTTACTGTTCATATTCAAAGACCATATTTTTAAATAATTGAATGGCGAACAATTCCCCTGTTTCAAGTAATTTACAAAAGAAATCCATCATTTTCATTTCTGCTTTTATTAATTGTGATCTTACATTACTTGATGAAGTGACATTCAACAAGACTTATTTAAAATTTGCAAACATAAAAACTGATCTCTCATCTACAAAGAAGTTGCAAAACAACTTGAAATAAAAACATCTGTTGATATCATTAAATTATAATTATAATAATGCTTCTTTGGCCTCCTCATTTTAGGTGATGTTTTGTAATGCCAATAGTCCTAATTAGATGGTGAGTTCCAGTTATTCGCTTGTTTATTTGGTCTTATAAAAATTGAGCATCTTTTCTTTTATGATTTCCATCACTCTTTGGAGTGTATGTAATTTTAGGAATTGCTCTTAATAGTATTCATCGATGGCAAATTGAATAATAACAGACAGAACTGAAGTCATGACATCTTCATCGCCCAAAAGTTTTGTTAAGTTAAATACTAGATTTGTCTATAAGAAATTCTTTCTATCTTCCTCAGTCTAAGCATACTGGAGCACCAACATCAATGCTTGTTTTCTAACTTCCAACTTTTGATCCAAGACCAATTCACATAAATCAGAATACTATTCGTCCATAAATTAAATTATATAATATAAATATATTGATTATATAATGCCAACATTCTTTCTTTGATTAAGTATTTTAATACTTTCATTATATTAATATAATTTATAACAGACATATGGATACCTCAATTGCCGGATTTACCTTTGGTGCAGATGAACTAGCAATCAATAGTAGTTTTAGTGCATAGAAACACCCCAGAATAAGCAAGTGTTCCCCATTTTATAGGATGAATAAACCTCAAACGTACATTTCAAGATTTTAATGAAAGTGAGCAAAAACCGCGATTAAGATTGCACTCACCAAACAAGGAAAATGAGTTAATGCAAATTCGCAAACCTGTTCGAGTTACTACATCTCCTCATTCTTAACATCATTAGATGAGTTACAAAGAAATATGCGCACATTTGATCTCACTGTTTAAGAGTTAGACCAAATTATATTAATAATTAATGATAGCAGATAATGTAAATATCAGGAATCAACTCCAAAAAGTTCAACTTAAACATGATTACTACTGCAAATTGTATAATTAATAATGAATATAATTAATTCCATATTTGATCATCTCAAAGTTTAGTTATACAACTCTTCATTTATCCATTTTTCCAATTTAAATTATTAGACTCAATGATTATTTTATGAATAATAAATTAATATAGACTCTCAAAAATAAACTTCAAATTCAGGATAGCCAAATCAAACTACTCCAGTTCTATAAAAAGTACTGTTTGCCAACATCTCAAACATCAAGTAATAAATCCACATCATAATATAGATTCCATTAAGACATTATAAATGAAGGCCTACTTTAACTTGATTATGAACAAATCCTTCTTCTTCGGAGGACCCTTTTGTATTAAATATGGCATAAACATGGTTTCGAACCCAGCCACGATTATGTACTCCCCTATATTTTTCATTGGTTATGGAGTTTGTAAGTATTATATTATAAAATAGGTTATTCTGCCTATGTGTACTTTGAAGGGTTGAGGAATAGAAACTTATCTGAAATCAACATTTTGGCTCTGAGAGAAATGTCTCTGCAAACATATGAACATTTATTATATTTGGATGCAGAATTTCATTTAAACACATCCTCTAGATCTAACATCTATTCGCTCTATAAAGCACAGAAAGGAATTGAATCAAACTTGAGATCTTTGAACTAATATTTCTTGCCTCTTTTAGCAGACATTTCATTAACAACTACCATACTCTGTTTTAATTTTGGTTGGCCATTTTTTACATCCTTTCTGGCCACATTTGTTGCTTACTCGGCATTCACAATTCGCTATTCAAATGTATGATTTTTGATGATCTATTTATTTAGTATAGAAGAAAGATTATATCACAAAGAAAGAAACAAGAAAAATTGGCTGATTTTACAATATCTCAGGCGTTGGATAATCTATTCACAGTCAAATATTTTAGTGCAGAAAAATACGAGTTAAAAAGATACAACAACTTGCTAGAAGTAACTGATAAAAATAAATAACTTAGAAATTGCAACAATCATCAATCGACACTTTCAAGACATTAGCAACACTCAATGCCATCTAAAGATTAATACTTTCTATAGGATTGACAGTGAATTTAGTCTTAGGAGTGAGTGGAGTCTAAGCTGGCATAATCACTCCAGGAGATTTGATTCTTATTTAATCTCTCATGCTTCAACTGATTCAACCCTTATTTCTATTAGGAACAATGCATAGAGAATGGGTTGAATCAGCCATTGACATGAAAGATCTGTTGTAGATAATGACGAGAGTCCCCAAAATCTAGGATTTACCCGATGCTAAGGATTTCATATACAATACAGGTTCAATTAATATCTAGGATATCTCTTTTGAGCACACTTAAAATAAATAATTGTTTAAGAATTTTAATTTGCAAATTAAAGGGGGAGAATGGATTGTCATTGTGGGTGAAAGTGGAATAGGAAAATCCACATTATTTAATTTAATAGTAAGTATTTCAGACTAAACATTTAGTTCAGGCTGTTGGACCCTTCTTAAGGAAACATTTCGATTGATGGTCAGAATATCAAGAGTTTGAAGTTGGAATCATTTCGAAAATATTTTGGAATAGTTGCATAGCAATCGTACTTCTTTAATGATTCCATCAAAAACAACCTTTTATATGGTCTGGACTTGATTTATGATCTTACGCCTGAGATGATCAAGTAGAAGGAAGAGGAGATGAAGAGACTGTGTGCATAATTGAAATTGTCTAAGTTGATTGAATCATTGCCAAATCAATATGACACTTAGATGGGAGATTAAGCAAGTAAGATGTGCTAGAGTATTTAGATAAATTTTCTGGAGGTGAGAAATAGAGGTTATAAATTGTAAGATGTTTATTGAGAGGAGCCAAAATATTATTATTGGATGAACCTACATCAGCTCTGGATCAAAACAACGAGTAATTCTTCATTGAAACTTTGGAATAAGTGTTAAAGATTCAAGATCTGACAGTTTTGATTATTACTCATAGATTGCATTTGACTAAAGTAGCAGACAAGATTCTGTATCTGGGGAAGAATTGTCAATATGAATATGTAACTTAATTGAATTCTAGAATAGGGAACTCATGATGAATTGATCAAGAACCATCAGTCTTATAACAAGTATTGGGAAGAGTATTAGAAATAATGAACATTCGATTATATTTACGTATTACACCAAATTGAATAAAAAATGAAAAGAATAATTATATTATTTTATGAATCCTGAATTTGAGCATTATAGTTTCCATTCTAAAGATGGAATACATAAAATTCCTTAATCAGAATAGTGCCAAACTCAATAGAACAATGTCAGTTTCGATACTAATATTATGAGAACTTATAGCTTAAGTAATCCAAAAGGGTACTATGAAAGATGGAATAGTCACACTCAAGTAGAAGTCGTTAAGAAGGAATGCAACTTAACAAACCCTTTGATTTAGAATTAAGTAAGAACTCTAATTTGACTCAATAGCAAGTAGAATCTGAGTTCTAAATTAATGTTGATAATATCTTACAATTTAATCAGAATTGTATTAAATCATTAAATATTCTAGTGAATGGTTCTGAACTCATCGAATTCAATAGAGATATTAAATCTAATTCTGAAATTGCGTAAAAAGACGATGATCAATTATATTGTAAATATGACAGGAATTACGAATCTCATAATACAGACTTAATTGTTTTGGCAACTCCACCCTAAAAAAATAAGCTCAAAGCAGTTGGAAACATGTTTTTGGGACTTTGGAGATTATAATAAAACGTAGTTGAACCTATCACATCCACAGTAATATAGAACTAAATACAATTAGGAATAATTTTATGATAATTTTGGATCTACTCAGCGTAATTATAATACAAAAAATGCTTATAAACAGGTACATCCAGCTACGGATTCTCAGGATATGCGATTGATGGACCTTTTCAATTAATTCAAATTGGTATGCCTCTTCACATAATATTCAATGTCAGGTTCAAATGAAGACATTTAAAATATGATAAAGATACTACAAAGAGATCCCAAACGGTATTGATCCATATTATTCCCAGTAATCTGACAAATCCCCAGGATCCGAATCACATTATAAACTCCCTCAATCAATATGGACAAAATGCCCTTTACATTGCATCTAAGAATGGGAATGCTCAAGTAATAAAGTTTCTGCTGTCTCTTGAATGCAATACTCATATCAGAAGTCGCATCTTCGAGGATCTCACTGAAAGCCCATTAGAGGTTTCATCGAGGTGGCATCATCTGGAATGTGTGAGATTGTTGTTGGCTGCTGACAGATACAGTAACACAGAATTGAGATCAGCAACGAAGGCAACTTAAAATTAAGAAATAATCAATATGTTGAAACGAAATATGAGTTCCTCTCTTTTCTCTTGTTGTTTGTGAATTTAGAATTTTGATTAAATGTTATTATATTTTATAGAAATACTGAATCATTTAAGATTTTGTTCTTATTTATAGAACTGTCTATATTCCAAACAAGATTAGCAATAAGATTGGATAACTGATGTATTTTCCTATTTCGATACTACGATGAAGGCACAATTATTTAGTTCGCATTTATAAAATGAGAGTTTATCTGGAGATTTTATCAACAAACACAGTTGTTGAATATGCTTCATTTCCTAAATGATTGTATTCTGTGTTTTGGCTAATTGAAGCATATCGAATTCATTGATTTTCTGTTTACAAAGACACCAAAGGCTAATCTAGTTTTAGGAAGACACAACATGTTCACAGAAGCAAGTTTTGTGATAGAAATGATTGCACTCTAACTCAATCATTTGTTTGTTGCTATTATTCGAACATTTAAAGCATTTATGAATTTGCATTTAAGAATTGCTTAGTTGATTGTTCTTAATCCAGTTTAAATCTAAAATTGGCTATTGCATAGCATAATTTAAATTGTTGAAAATATCCTTGATCTATTTATTAAGTTTGGTAGTAACAATTTCATTGTGAAACTTAGCAAATTGGTATGTTTCATGTACACTCGGAATGTTGGATCTGATAACTTAAGATTAGTCATCTGGAAGTTGATTGAAATCCATGGACTTTTAAGACCTATGTGTTGAGGGTATGAGTTAATCGACGATAACTTAATCCATTTGCAGTCTCTTCCTTAACAAATTATTTTCTTTGGCTATTTCTTTTATCCTTAAAATGCATTTCAGAATCTTATCTTCCAAACTCCGAACCAAGTAAATGCAAGATTTATTCTTGCAAATCAAGGGTTTTAGATGGATCGAACTCATAGAGGAGAAATCTTTTGAGAGAGGTTTAGATAGGCTTTGTTTAGCTTACAAATTGAGTTACGGAAGAGAAGGCATTTAGCTTATGCTTAGTGTAACCTCACCTGGGGAATTGTAACGTTTAGAATGAATAGCTTGATATTATTATCCTTTCACATTCAGATATTCTCTTTCTGATGAAATCATTCTTATTACAAAGTATTATTAAAATATTATAAACTACAGAATTTATTTTGGCAAACAAATATTTAGAACTAATAAACAACAACACAATTCAATTTTGCTTCAGTATTTCTTGTAACTTTTAGTCATTCAACTCTATCTATTACTATTCCAAAACTTCCATATCTACATTTTCTTCGACAGCCTCCTTTTACACATAATCAGGAGGGTATGTCAAGAAAGGGATTTCACCTCTTTGCCAATCCATTAGGATCAATTTAGCTGTAGACTTCGTATCAGCCTCACCACCCTATAGATGTATAATTAGATTATTTACCTTTGCCAATTTTCCTTTTTTGACTGCCACTTTCTTCAAAAAGTCGTGTTCATCTATCCAATCATCAACATCGTAAATCCTCTTTAAATCTGAAGCCCTTGCCTTTTATAACAATGCGGGAATGTAATACTCAGGATCTTCCAACTTCTCAGCTCTAACACAACCCTTCAATACAACTTCAACATCATCTTTTCCCTCATGTTAATACACAACTCCTGGACAATCAATTAAATAAATTCTTTTTGTCAACGCCACGTACTGCCATACTCTGGTTTCTCCTGGAACTGGGGCAGCCTTGCAAACCTTTCTCTTTTTCAATGAGTTAATAACAGAACTCTTTCCGACATTTGGATATCCCACAAAACCAATTGATATAGTTTATTTATCTCTATGGAATTTGTCAAATTATCTCAACAGATTTATGAAAGGACCCTTACCAAAAGCCTTATTCACATTAGCGTGATAGGCAACAGTTGGATACTCCTTTGATAGATATTGAACCCATCTAGATGTCAACCATGTAGGTATCAAGTCACATTTGTTAATTAGCAACACCAAATGCTTATGTGGACAATTCTTCTTGATGTGGTTCTCTAAATGATATGATCTTGTGCCCATAGGATCTCTTGCATCGAGGATACAAACCAACACATCAGATGAATCAATCACCTTATACAGTTCTTCCCAAATTCTCTTTGATTAACCAGCTGTGAGTCTTTTATCTCTATTCTCCTGTTGCACTGCCTCTACAGGATTCAATTTCTCATCCTTCTCGACAACATATGTCTACTCCTTTTGCTCAGCATGATCTGCTAACCCTTCCATAGTTTCCACGTTCAACTTAATTCTCTTTCTTTTGGATTTGGGTCCATATGTGTCCTACGAGTTATAAATGATATATGTACTTCATAACTCTCCAATTCCAAAAGGGGTACATTCTTGTTCTTTTTCTAAGCCTCCACCAATAAAGATAATGGCAATTGTTTGGCTTTGATCAGAACACTCCTAGGGTCGTGTGTTCTATTAGCCATTTCTTATCTTAATTTATCAAGCTATTATTGATCAATGGTCCTGATATTTCCAAACCATTTTCTATTGGGATCAATTCTTGCTGGTTGAGTTGCCTGTTTCCACATTTCCTCTCTAAGCATTCAAATTGATTCAATACTTATTGGGTTTCTCGTTGTACAGGTTCAATCTCTAAATAGTTTATTTGGATCTGAAGAACTAGTGCTTAGCATTCAATTATTTTTCAGGTAATTTTCTATCTGGATTGGTAGAGGCTCCACTCTTTGAGCCCTTTTAGGAAGCTTTAAATTTTGTATTCATCTTCTTCTTAAAGAACTACTCCTTACTACGCTTAACCATTAAATAATAATTAATTCTCAAATTAAACTTCGTATAATTTATATAATCAAGAATATTATTAATCATTAAATTTTGAATTCCCATCCGCAATTGTCGCAATAACATGCTTTTCTTAATCTAATGTCCTAGATAAATCGAAATTCACATTTAGGACATTTCTTGAATTAGTTGGGATGCTTTCTGAAAATTGCATTCAATTGTTTTTACATCAAAGTCTTTATGAGTTATTTTCCATTAGGTAACTGAAATATGGTTTTATGATTGATTTTGTTTCCGCATGAACATGTTAGCACATTCTATTGGTGAGACAATTGAATTTGAGAACCTACAACTTCAGAAAGACATTCAATATGATAAGAATGCCAGCAAACTAAGTTGACTCTGTTTTTATAAATATCCTGTTAGCAGTAATTGCAATTGGAATTTTTAGTTTACATAAATGATACCTGGGTACAATTCATAGAATCTTCCTCCTCTTTTTTCTACTCTTACTATTTTGAAGGAGGCCTTGAATTTTATAATTGGACCATATGGCTTGGATTCTTGATATCATTATTAAAAAGTTCAAAGTAACCTTAATCGAATTTCTACCTCTTCTCGATATCAAGTTCAATTTTCTTTTGTTTACTTTAAGAATTTTATTTTTGTTAATTCAAGGCGATGTCTATTTGATCTTCAAGTCCTAAAGGCCGCTTCTGAGAATTCTAGGAAAACCCTTTATTGGGGTTGTATTGATTATTGTTTCTGAAGTTATTAATCCAATTAGAATTATAGTCTTGGTTTGTCACCATCTATTATTTTTGCTCAAAGTTGGAGTTATAAATGTTATATTGGTTAATAGAATTTGGTTCAGCCTGCAGATAAAGGTATTTGATTTTTTCCTCTTGTTTTGAGGAGACTGATCTCATTCTTTGTTAATCCCATCTACTTTACTATTGAGCCTAATATTCGTTGTGTTTGAATTCAGGTTGTTATGGGATCATTCCAATCGGATTGGTAATGATATCCTTGTAATTTTGCAATTGAGTATGCTTACCAGAAGTGTTGCTTTGTACTTTATAGTAATTCGAGACAGCCATTCCTCTTTCCAAGATATAATTATTTATTTAATACGGGAAGTATAATATTTATAAATGCTTCTTTTTAAATTGATATCATTTTACTCTAATATTAAGTAATAATAAACATATGGGAATCTGCACTTCTTAATCTAACTCGAATTAAAAAAATCCAAGATAAAAACAATAGTTAAAAATCATCCTTCCTAACAAATCTATTGATGAACCTAAACCTGAAATATAAGTTTAAAATTAATCGAATAGAGAAGCTTCTGCCCAGAATACTCCTCCCATTCAGAATAGCTAATAAAGCATTCATTCTCCTGTGAATGTCGTTGAGGATAAGCGAAAATCAGTGCTCTCACATGGTTTGTCTAAATAGGGTGAAAAACCATTAAAATAAAACAGCTCCAGGAATATTAGATCTGGATCACTGAGATCCCTGAACATTCCTGGATCTCCTTCATCTTCACAGAGAGGTTCCATACAACCAGGGGTTCAATTTTTTAGTACGAATGCTTCAAAAAAATATTCATTCCTGCATAACAAAGAGTCTTAGAGAAATGTAAGGATTGAAGTTAGATATTTTTTAGCCTGATTTGTCATTCATACAAGGGAACAAGAATGGTAAGAAAGCTCGTTTGGAGTTGTTGTCCAAAGAAGAACAGGATAGTATCAAATACATTTATTGGTTAAAATCTAATCAATTAGTAACAATTATTATTATTAATGTATATAGGATCATAAACACATCCTAAAGAATTTGGAAGTCCACCAAGACAATAATGCATATTAATTGGTCTTGGAAGATTTTGATGGCTGGAAGTTATCTCGATTACAGAACTCAGAAGATCTTACAGAATTAGTTTTAGCAAATATTGCTGACCAAATGTTTCAAGTACTAAGCTATTTTAAAAATTTGTCAATAAATCATGGCAATCTAATCATCAATAGTTGGGAATACTATTTCGTATCTGGTTAAGTATTTATTAAGCTGGTTGACATCAAATCAATCTCGACCAAAAAAGTGGAAGATCTAGATGTGATATGTTACATGCCCCCAGAATAATTATACAAAGAAGATTTCAAACCAGAACGAGACTTATGGGCAGTCATGCTTATCCTATATACCTTAGGGAAAGGGAGTCTTCCTTACAAAATTCCCCCTTAATAAACACATGATACTGCTTCTGTAAAATAATTAATGTTGCATACAACTTTTGAAGTGGAAGCAGATATTAAAAAGTTTTCAAAAGACTTTATAAGTATATTGCAGTCAGTGGTGACAGAGAAGAATCCAAAAAAAAGGAAAACTTTAGAAGAAATAAAAGTAAACAAATGGATAGTTGATCAAAAATATCAAGAAATCCCTTTGTAGGAAAGATTGTTAACGAACATGTTAAATTAAAAGGATAGTTGCCTCTTACAGTAGGCTATCCTTGAAATAATGATCTAAGAGTTCGAACAGGAAACTGCTCTGCAATTATAGAAATTATTCAGTGAATTTGATGGGGATATGGACACCATCATTAGTAAGGATGAATTAATAAAGATGTTTCAAAAATACACCAAATTGAAGGATCTAGAGATTTAAATTGATAAAATCTTTGTTTCTCATTCAATAAAGGAAGAGTAGATGGCTTAGTTCACTTTTTTATCGCTAGCTGCTCCTAGGGGATAGTTGCTTACATAAACTAACCTTGAGACTACGTTTAATCTTCTTAGTAATAATAAATCAGAAATTCACGCTAATAATGTTACCAAGTATCTCAATGTGATCAATGAGGAATTGGAAGCTCAATTTGACGAATTGGCGCCAGAGAAAAAAGTAATTTGTATCTCTTATCATATTAGTTAACTTTAGATCAGTTCATTCGAATGATGGAATTACTAAGATGAGTAATTTTATATGTTCTTAATATTTCAATTACAAAATTACTTAATATTAAAATCCTTATATTACACACTTATTGATATTTTATCCAATCATGAATAAATATACATTAAATTTCAAAGACAAAGAGATCGAATCTAGTTATTAGAACATAACCTAAAAAAACTTTAGAGTATTCACTCTCACTATTATGACTTTGGGACTTCTGGCTGTGGCAATAACTAAAATCATCGAGAGCATTTTACTCAAGGAATATCAAACCATTTACAAATACTGTTTGTTTATATGCTACTTGATTATTTAATATTGTATAATGAAGAAGCACACCAAATATATTCGATTTGCCATCATCCTATTGAATCACTTGATCTCAGTGTTTTTTAGTCTCTAAGTATCAGAAGTAGATGATTCTTACAATAGTTTCCTCAGGGGAAGTAACGTCATGGGAGCAAACTTTTTGATGCTGATTTCAGGTGAGTTCCTGGATGCAGCCATCTCAGTCATTACTATTGGAATTATCAAAATTATTTTGGTGTAAGTTTCGACCAATTTTCTACTTTACTCCACAATCATAAGTTCTGTGCTAGTAATCATTTACACAATTCGTTACTTGTACCATTTTCATAAGGCAATGCGCAGTCAATTCTTATTGGCTTTGAATGATTCACATTGGGAAAAAATCTTAACTTCCATTGCATTTAAGCAACCATACTTAGTCTTATCCTTTATAGAGGATAACATGCAGTTTGCTCTGAAACAAGAGGCTCAATGCCATAAATTTTTTAACAGATTATTTGATGGGTCCAACTTTATCAGAGATGCCATGTACAAGGGCAATAAATTAGAGAAGTTCTTGTTTATGCAAATCTAGAAATATAGAGTGGATAGGGCATCTGTTTTTAACAAGACCCTGGTTGTGGAATACTTCAGAAAAATGATAAGAATTGAATGTTCTATTTATTATGGAAATAAGCCTACTATACTGCTACTAATGAGGGATTTCCTGAATGAAAAAAAGCCAGACACATCAATCTATGAATAAAGACACAGAAACTTTATTAAACTTCTTCTTAAAGTCTTGGGTCACATTGATAGGCTATCTTCATTTAAATGCCGTCTGATCGAAAGAAAACTCTTGATCTTGTAATTGTATGAGGATCTAAGACTCTCGAAATTGCGAGAAAGCGAAATTAATGTATATAATTTAGCATAAATTCTACACAATTTGTATTCTCACCTATCCATTAAGGCATTTGTGAGCGGTAACAGTAATTTCAATACAATTTCAAATATCTTTTTGTTGATATTGCTAATAATAGCTGAAAATTCCTAAGGCTTGTAAATTTCAATATGTTTGACAAATGAAGAAGAAAACTAGAGGTGGCTGCACATTTCAGGTAATTTTGAGATTGAGAAAGTAAAGAAAGCATTAAGATAAATATCAGATTATATTAATTTGATTAGTTCAAGTTAGATAGTCGAGTAATATAAGATTTAGTTCTATTTAAATCAATATATTTTGATACCATTTCAACTCAACGAAGTAAATGTAAGAACTCGAAAACACCTTGATTTAGAATGATCTTTTAGTATTTCTTTCAATTTTATCAATATATAATATCGATCTTAATTAATTTAAACTAAATAAGATCGTTTTATTAGTATGATTAATAGTGAATTGAACTAGTTTAGTAAATATCAAGGGTTGTCGACCTATAAACCAAAAACTTAGGATAGAATTATAGAAACTCGGAATCCATTGGATTACTATTAGTAAAACAAGATAGACACTTTGAGTTGGGATCATTCACTCCTATAAACCAAATAACCAATAAATAAAGAGTTGGATCGGATAAATAGTCTGGCTGAAACTCTCTTCATTAGAAGAGATTAAAAGAAATAGGATCACTAGTAAAGTGCAGAGTTCAGTTAATCTAAGATTGAAGATGTGAAGGAGGATTTTAAAATGTTGGAGTTGAGAAACAATCAAAAAGTGTAAGAATTAGCGAATATAAAGAATGAATTGCTCGATATTTAATGTGAGTATATGAGCAGGTCATAATTGAGATTGCAATTGAGTGAGTATGTTGAGAATAAGAAGAAGTAGGGTGATGAGGATTAAGTATTGAAATAATTGAAAATTTTATAAAAATGATTATATAAATTTATAATTTACTATGTAGCAGTAATTAGAATAAAGTTTAAGGAGATTGGGAGATTATTAATTTGACACCAAATATCTATTGGGAGAAGGGGCTTTCGGTAAAGTTTATAGAGGAAGTAAGGTGACTACAAACTAGGATGTAGCTATAAAAAAAATAGATAGTTCAATGATCAATAAAGATAAATATCTAACTGATGCATTAAGTATCTATGTAGAATGACAATGTTTTAGACTAAGAGGTCCAAATCATGAAGTAACTTGATCATCCTAATATTGTGAAGTTTATAGACAAATTTAATACGGATCTGTCAATCTATATAGTAACAGAGTATTGCGAAGATGGTGATCTCAGAAATATAATGAAGGGGAGACGTATACCAGAAACTGAAGTTAATTAGATTTTCTGTTAATTGGCAAGTGGTTTTAAAGAGTTAGTAAAAGCAAATATCATACATCGAGACTTGAAGCCTGCAAATATAATGAATCATAAGGGTGTAGTAAAGATAGCAGACTTTGGATTTGCCAAGATAGTTGACAACTTTAGTGGAGAATTGTTAAAAACCTGTGTTGGCTCACCCTTATACATGGCTCCTCAAATATTGAAGAGAGAAAAATATACGACGAAATCTGACATCTGGTCTTTGGGAGTAATCTATTATGAGATGATATATGGGAAGACACCATGGACAGGTGTGGATGAGAAGAGTTTAACAAAGAATGTGATGAAGCAGCCATTAATATTTCCAGATAAAACTACTTTATCCGATTTTGGAAAGGGCTTTTTGAGCAGAGCTTTGGAGAAGGAAGAGAGTAAGCGTATGGAATGGGCAGAATTATTTGCCATGTTTGAATAAGAATAGAATTAAGGAGCTATTCAATTTAATGTAAATATGAATGGTAGTTACATATTGGATCAACCTTAATCTTAATCTTAACTTCTTATCTAACCTCAACATTCATCTCAATAAATCCAATAGAGTGATGCTTCTTCCTAGTTTCTGAGTCAGTTGAATAACTATAATTTATAAAGGATGCAAATCAATTTTTCTCATTTTGTTAATGTGGAAATGACCTAGCATATTTCAACCATTGCTTAATACCAAAAGAAGGAGATGCATTTCGAAATGCTATGTTTGTTGTCTGCAAAATTCACATCCAACTCATTTAAATTACTTTAGTCCAATCTTCTTGCCTTATTTGAACAGTACAAAAGGACTACTGAGTATATTCGATTTATTAGTCAATTGCAACAGGAAAGTCAATTGGCATCGGAATTATATCAAAACACAATGCAGTACTTTGATCGCATAGGATTGCTGTCCAATCTCCGATTATCTGCTGACTTTTCTTAATTTATTGAAGGAGGAGATTTAAATTTAAATTAATTATTTTCAGTCGAAAAGATAATCAAGGAGAAAGTGATCAACATTTCTAAACAAGTTTTGCAAAATGCCAAAGAGATTGATGTGTTCAGTTTATTAGATTACATGATGGAGATGTGTCTAACTAGAAGTAAAATAATAAATGGGAATACGAATATAGATTTCTCTTTGATACATGAAAAAAAGTAAACATCGGATTATTAAGCCTAACTAAATTTTAAATTAAATGAGTTATATAGTTATTGAATTTTATCAGGGTAATATAGATTTATTTTATTATTAAAATACTGAAGTTTCGTCTCCCTTTTACATAGTTGATCCATTGATCTACTTTATGCCCTTCTCCCTAGCTGTCTTCTCAATATACTCCACCAAAATCTGATGTTACCTTTAGTTACTATAAAACCAATAGCCCACATATCCCAATCCCATCAACAACACTGATCCCAACAAGAAACAAACTGAATACAATAAGTAATATTCTGCTTCATAGAAGTACGTCTTAATAATCTCGATATTCATCATTTGTGTGTGTCTGACTACCAGATCTGAAACACCGTCCACTGTTGTATTATATTGCAGAATATACGTAAAGGTTTGGCCAACTTAATATTATCAATTACTATACCATCAGCTTAATGATAAAAACACTTCATTTTAATAGGCTAGATCTGGAATCTGGTCAGAAAGGCACTCTAAGCAGTGATCCCAAAAAAGAAATCATCATATTAGTATTCTTTTGTGATATCATCCATATCTTCCAATTTGTAAGATTGATTAAAGAAAGCAAAATCTCGTAAACCCAAATGTTTAAACACTTAATCTTAATGGTTATTCATAACATAGTCATATCCATTTGAAAATAGAATTAAATGCTAATTGACACCTTATACGATGACAAAATCATCTGTGGCATCCAAATCGATAATTCTATTATCCACCTTCTTTTTTCTAATCGGAAACGAATTTCCATTATCTAAATCAACATTGTATTCAAGTACATAATGATGATTCATCGATTAATAGGCCATAAATACATTTCTACCATTTCGAGTATCTACTGATATTCCTCCAGATTAATAGTTTATCCAAGATCTCAATCCAAAGTTCACATACTAATCTCTGTGTACATCTATCAACAATAATCCACATTCCCTATCCAATAAAAACATTGAGTAGTATCCATCCGCTATCCCATGCTTAACAATTGCAAAATCAACTATTTCAATTGTAGAATTCAACCCAAAATCCTTTAATTTGAGATTCTTAATAAATCTTAGATCCTTTTACACAATTTTATAAACATCTAAGCCATCTCTACCAACTGCACTAAATACTAATCCATCCATCTCTTTGGTTAATCCTCTGTATCCTCTCTTTCTCCAATCAGTCACCTAGTAGACATCAAGTGAAGTGGTTTGTGATTCCATTTGTTCCATGCTAAACAACTGAGCAGTATCACTAAAGAGTAAAAATGCTAGATTGGAAGAAGGAGCGAACAATAATTGGGGTAACTCATTCTTAGCAACCAAGGTAGGAGCAATAGTCTGAAGATCTGCTTTCCATAAAATTCTTGCAAACTTTTAACCCTTCTCTTCAAAATCATGTTCAAAAACAGTATTGTAATTAAATTTAAGTAGGTAGGCAACTGAATCTGAAGTGATTGCCAACATGCCGTCTTTTATATGAACCATTGACACAAATTAACGAAAGTTGAGAATAGTATCTGATTCAAAATCCTTTTCTGTAAAATCATATGGTTGAATGATCCTGAATTCTTGAGTTTCGAATTGGAGTTGCAATGGGGTTATTTCACAACCTCTGCTACGATTATATGATAATAGAATTGCATCTCTGGCATCATCTAGATTCAATGTTCTATGTTCGTTCGCATGTATTTTAATGGAAGTTAGAGGCTCTTCGACCTCAGTTATGGTGAACGCCAACGAATATCTCGTGAATTGGGTGATCAAAGAAATCAATAAAAAGTTCATAAAATTAATTCATTATTAAATATTCAAATGTTCTATATCTTTTGATTCTCTGACACTCATTAAGTTCGATTGTATATTCTAAGGAGGATCCTCATCTTTCTTGAGCACATCCTATTTATATTTGGTTTAAATAATATTTTCTAACTCCTTGGTTTATGCTTACATAGATTTATTTTTTTTTATCAAAAAACCTAAAAGCAAGATGAAGAGAATTAGAAACAAAAAACAACCCATGACTACAAAAACTACTTAATCTTCATAAAAATAGGTGTCAACAACCCTGACCTAAATCTTTTAATGATGTCTTATGTATTTACTTTTAGCAATCTACTCGATATATTATAAATTGTATGAGAAGCTAATTGATGTATTATTGGAAAAGCAAATGATTTAGGCAGGCAGAACGTAAAGTTCCGAGAATACATAAGACTTTGATGTTATGCCGCTAAAATAAATTTTATCTTCGTGATAAAACACCTGGAAGTCTGATAGTCGAAAGTGTCTAAGGTAGGTGTTCTCGTCAGATAAATGATAATTGAACAAAACAAGGTGGTGATACTGTCCTTAAATGATTGCAAAGTCAGCTAGGGCATCTACGTCATAGATCTTTTTTGTGTAAATCATATTATGTTTATACCAATATTTAGATGTCTGATTTACGATGTATTCAACAACTGCATAGCGTACCCACTTATAGGCCACGAAGACATTGGCTCCGTTGTAAGAATCAACAGCAATTCCACCCTGCATGTTATCGATTTTAGTGATTTGAGTAGTGAGATTGGCGGATTCAACATAACACCAAATTAGGCCTTGTTCAGAGTCGAGGATGTAGACATTGTTATTCACTTCCGCGAAATCAACGATGTTTTTGTAGGTCTGGAATTACTTGATGAATGTTATGTTTCTGCCCTCCGTACTATAGAGTTCTAATCCATCTTCTCCAATGGCGGATAGTAAAAACTATTTATTTTAAATACGAATCAATTTTGTCAATCTCCGATAAGCCCGTTATCTCCAATCTTTGACTTCTCGATAGATTACTGATCTGGCGGCTAAGGTTTCCAGTTCCAAAAGGAAGGCTTGAGTATTTGAAAGAATGAGAACATCTTAATCTAATTTTATCATTGAGATTTATTGACTGCTATCCATTGAAAAATAGTGGTGATTAGCTGTGTCACTGTCCCTGTAAATGAGACTATTATTTGAGGAAAATATTAAATAGGAACTTGGGGTAAGTTGGATTAAGGCAAGCAAGTATTGATTTTCATCAAATTGTTAATATAAGTCAGTATGAAATCCTAACGTTCTTTATTTGGCATTGCATATTGATTGTTCCTATAATTAGATTATAGATATTTTTCTCGCCTCTGGGAGAGTCAAAATAGGACTTAATTGATTTTGATGTATATAATAGTTATCAATATTGGAGTGATAAATATCCTTAATGTTTATTGAAAGTGCTAGACGCGTAATCAATAAAAGGGTAAAAAACATTAAATATTAAATAAAATAAAAATGACTGATAACTTGGATAAGTATTACAAACTGCATCACCCCGAATTCCTAAGCGAGGGCATGTAGGTGCTGAGGGAGTACATCTACTATTGTAAGTTTGATTTCATTGAATTATGTTTTCGATATGATCAATTCAAAGATGGTACTATTCAAGAGAAGGTATTGAGAGATGTGTTGGTTGAAGTTTCAAAAAGTTAATTTTATTTTACAGAGTTTGATATTGCAAGCATATTGAAAGAAGCTCCCTACAGTTCCAATAGGAATATCGATTACAGGGAATTGTACAAATATTTAACGGAGTGTGAAACACCCAAGAATTCATTCCACGTGTTTAAGAACGCGATTATTAGATAGAAGTAGAATTCTGCTTCAAATAAATTATTCTTGGAAGAAATTCAGAAGCATTTTGAAGAAGAAGTTTCAAATTACTTTGATCGTAAAGCCATCTATGATTTCAAACATTTTAATTTGAATCTATTGGATTTAGAATTGTTGAGTTCGAATGCAGTTAATATAATGTTCGATGACGTTGTTCAAGAGAAGATGGCTAACTTCTCTAGACATAATAATAATATAATTTTGGAGAATTTCCAAATTTTGATAGCCAAAAAGATATCAGTTCAAGCTCTACCTTAATTGGCCTTCTAATTTATAGCTCCTGAGAAAATTGAAATGGCTCTATTTGATTTCTTGGGCATCAGAAGAAATTAAAAAATGTTTCCGTTTCTAATGAAAGAGCAATTCATATAACTGATAAAAGTCAAATTATATAATGTAGAAATGACATATGATGAAGCTTCTCTGCTGTATTACTTAATTTGGAAGAGAAACAATTTTGGAGAATTCAATCTTCTGACCTTTGTTCACTTTATCATGGAGTGCAGACCACTGTATTTCAAGGAAATCATCAAAATGTACGATGCAAAACAACCTCATCTTGAAATCATGCAATTACCCAAGATCTTAAAGGAATTTCAAGAAATGGCAAGTAAATATACTACAAATATGCTTGCCCAAGCATTCAAGCCCTTCCAAACTGATGGGTTGTGCACTCTAGAAAACTTGAAGATAGTTATTCGATCCTTAGAAATTGGATACACCCAACTAGATTTTAATGAATTTAGGTACTATTTAGCTAATCATGGATTGTTTACACTTTCCAAGCAATAACAACTATTACTAAAGGTTTAGGAGTTCTTGCAAACTTTGGTCCAAGAGAACTTTGAGAAGCATGACTAAACAGAATTAACTGATTTGGAGAAGGCCTACCAAACTCTTTTTAAATCAATCATGTTATCAATCTTATTAAGGTATGAAGACAAGGCTTAGAAGATGATGCAAGCAGATCAATTGATAGATGAAGTCTAATTGAGGAAAATCATCAACGAGGATCTGCTATTGGTAGATCAAGCTAGTGTGACTATGATCATTCAATCTCTAGAGCATAATAAGGAACCTTCATATCAGCAACCTCTAAGAATGATTTATTTTCCTGAATTCATCGATAAACTTAGAGCCAGGTTCGTTGATGAAATTAAATTGCCTGCTCCACAATTAGTTCCTTATGACAAGCCAGGGCCGAGTTTTAAGGAACTCGAACCCACCTTCAATTATAAGGATGGATAGTTTGTAAGGGATCCTGATAAAGCCTTCCAGATTAAGCCTTTGGATGACAGGGAAGTATTGGAGAAGTTGAAGTATCATTTAATTTAACAATTCAAAATAACAGGGGAGAATGAGTATGAGAAATCGGAAAAAGCAGTGTATCAACTTTGTTTGGTACTCAAAGATTTCGATAAAATAAAGTGTGGTAATATAAGTAAGGAATTGTTGTTTGAAATACTGCGAGATCTGACAGAATTATCAATATAGGAGATCAATAATATTATGGATTTCGCTATGGGTGTCTCTAGGGTAGATGAAGATTCATTCTCTTATTAATTCTTTTGTGTGCAATTAAATGAGTTTTATTAAAAACATTAATTAATTTTGGCTAAAAGATGATTTTTATTAATTATTATTATAGTAAATATATTTATATCTGTGAGTTCTTAATGAAGTTTTCACATTATTAATTGACTTGGAATCCTTGATTTTTAGCTAACTATGTCGTGAATGTAATATTGATTTTTCATGATTTTTCAATTATTATTTTAATTGAATTCCACTCATGATGTAATATAAGAAATTCAGAACATTTAAGATAAGATTAATTTTCCTTAAATTTCCTATTTGAATTTAAGATTCAAATTATTGGAGAAATGATCTGAATCAACAAGGCATTCGTTTCTTGTAGAGATTACAATTATTACTAGGGTTCTTCAAATGTATTTTTTTGAATTCAATGAAATTCGTTAACACAGAAATAAATAAAATAGGAAGATTTAATTAAAAGAGTAACAGTGTGTTAGTTATCCATTATTAGGTGAGTAAATGTGTTGATTAATAATGTGGGAATTGGAATATCTAAGAATAATAAATGAGATTTAAATATTGGAATTTATGAATAATAATATTTTCAATAATATTATTTTAATAAGATTTAATGTCTGGCCTCTTCTATAATATAGGGTATTTCGGAGCCAAATATCCATGTCTAGTGTTTGTGATTTGCATGACAGTGACAGGCATAATGTCCTTGGGACTATACAATCTGACTGTGTTGACAGATCCTTAGTGTAAAATATTTAATAATATTTTTTAGCATTATGGGTATCATCAAGCAGCAGAACCTATTAGGAATAAGAGAGTTCTGCAGAAAATTACGGTCCTTTCTACAGAACCAATTAATTTATACTGGCTTATTAAAATGAGGATTGGGTGAATGTATTTCAAAAGGATGGATTAAAAGTGATCTACTTTTTACAGAACATCATAAGAAACAGAAAGGTTCTAATAGGAGGAAAGAATACGACTCTGGATGATTTGTGCTACAGACCAATATCTGCAAAAGGGTGCTATGTGCCAAGTCCAATGGATATATGGTTACAGGATCCTTCCCTATTAGAAGTTAGATAATAATATTATTATAATAGAAAGACGAGGACATTCAATTCACAACACTTTGCACGGAATCAATTGATGTAAACCAAACGAATATCCCTTGCAGTGACAAGAATGGAATTCCCATTATTTTAGAATCAGTATTTGGTGGAATGTATACAATGATGTATAAACAAAACTAGAGATTGCGAAGAAAGAGCAAATGACACTCAGCCATGTGATCATTGTTACATACAAGCCAAGACTATGTCAGTAACTTACCTATTGATGAACGATGAGTTTACTAAGAAAGATGCCGAATTGTGGGAGAAGGAAGTTTGGATGGATACTTTGGATGCCTTGAATAAAAGAGATTATGCTAAACTATACAAGTACTATGATAAAACCTTAATGCCTGCTCCTCGTGAATAACTGTTAGATTAATATAGAGTGGCATTTATGGCAGAGAGATCAGTCTCAGATGAAATCGATGATGAGACTAATCAAAATGCTTGGATTGTTGTTGTTTCTTACTTTATGATGTTTATGTATATTGGATTTGCAATTGGTCAATTTCCAAGTAAGATCTATAATGGATTTACATTGGGTTTGGGTGGTATCTTCATTGTGGCTGTCTCAATGATCAGCAGTATTGGAATGGTTTCCTATTTCAGCATCGGTTTGACTATGATCAGTTTAGAAGTAAGTGAATTAATAATAATAATGTAAGGTTATACCTTTCCTTATTTTGGCCATCGGAGTTGACAACATGTTTATCATCACTCACAACTACAAAAAGTAGAAGCATCCAACAGTGCCTGAGAGAATGGGTCATACATTGAAGTAAGTAGGTCCAAGTATCACAATCGCAGCCATTTGTGAGACACTCGCTTTCTTAGTAGGTTCTTTAACCAAGATGCCAGCACTATAATCCTTCTGTATTTAAGCAGCAGTCGGTGTATTTATTGATTATCTGTTGTAAATCACAATGTTTGTTGCCTTCCTCACCTTGGATGAATAAAGAAAGAAACATAAAAGATATGATTTAGTGATTTGCAAATAGGATCCAAATTATGCAATCAAGGAAGACAGAAAACTCATTCAAACATTCTTCAAAAAACATTACTCTCCATTTATATAGAAACCAGTCTGTGTGATTACTACAATAGTCATCTTTGTAGCCTTATTTGCCATCAGTTGTGTTGGAATAACCAAATTAGAAGTTGGTTTAGATGAATAAGTATCGATGGTTGAAGGATCTAATCTATTCAATTATATGACTTTGGAGAAGAAGTACATTGAAATTGGACCTTTGGCTTATCTCATTTTAGAGAATCTAGATTATTAAGACCAACATGACTTAGAGTTGGTTGCCAATTTGTCCAATTCATTGTCTTAATTAAATGAAACAGTTCAACCACCCATTTACAGTTGGGTCGCATCTTTCAACCTCTTTATAAGAGAGAAAGCAGAATGGACATAAGCTTGTGAAACCTAGGATATTGCACTCTATGACTTACCCACTCAGTTGAAGAGATTCTTGGGAGTCAGAATCAATTCTCCATGTTGTCAAAGATATGGTATATGTGGCGAAACCTTTGAGGCTGACATCGTGCTCAATGAATAAGGTTATGTCAAAACTAGCAGACTCAGATTTTAACATAGACCTATTCATAATTCAGCAGGATATATCTTATCCTTAGAATAAACTAGACAAGTCATTGATAAAGTAGTTAAAGATGCCAATCTTAAAGAAAATCAGAAGGTCTATCCTTATTCTATGCCATATGTTTTCTATGATCAATATTCCTACATCCGTGCTGTTGCTATTACAAATGTGCTCCTTGCCTTAGCCACCATCTTCTTCACTATGACACTTGTTCAAGATGTAGTTTGCGCTATCATAGTGGTTCTGTTTGTATTTTTGATTGCTTTCAATCTTATTGGAACTATCTGGTTAACCAATGTTATTTTTGGAGGTTTTGTGGTAATAATATATTCTTATTTTAGATTGAAATTAATGCAGTGAGTGTAGTTAACTTGGTTACTTGTATAGGTCTGGCTGTTGAATTTGTAGCTCATATTGTTATCAAATTCAGATTGTGTGATGGTAAAAGATGGGACAGAGTTACTGGAGCTATGTCAACTATGGGAACTTCAGTCTTTGTAGGCATTGCTTGCACTAAATTCATCGGAGTGGCTGTCCTTGGATTTGCTCCATCTACTCTTTTTAAACTTTACTATTTCAGAATGTATATTTTGATGGTCGTTTTGGGTGCTTTTAATGTAAATTATTATCAAACTATTTCTAGGGTTTAGTATTACTGCCGATATTCTTGGGTCTATTTGGACCATAGTTCAGTATTATGAATGTCAGAGTTAAATCTCTCATAAATTAATCAGATGGACCTAGCAACTCATCCTAAGCTAAAAAGAGGCCAAGTTACGGTTGAAAATTGTAATATGTTAAAATTATATAAATTTGAATTTTAATCATTTATTGTTATCTATTTTGACTGTCATATTCATATACATTAGATATCCCAATTTCTTACTATCTTAAAATAAAAAGTAGTCTTTGCATTTCTATCTAACAAAAATCTAAGTTTCACAATGTTGTGATAAATGGAATAAGACATTATAATGCCATTGACTCAAATTATTTTAAACAACAAAATCTTTAGAACAAACAGCTTAAGAAAAGAAAAATACTATTGTTGGTTAGATTTTGAATTTTTAAGTAATTCATATTAAATATCTTGTTACCTGCTAGAAGAAAATTAAACTATTTAAGATTATGAAATATTTAATTTAATAAAGAGTTCATTAAAATTTGAAGATTCTTCTGACTCTTGATAATTCAAACTATTTATGTAATTTCTCTATCGAATTTATAACTGACATACCTAATGCTGAGTTAAAGTGAGTCAACCAATCAATTATATGAAAGAAAAATAAATTATATAATAATTTGCAAATTTCAGCATTCAAGAGTTTTGAGTCTTGAAAATCTTGCCGATTTTTTAATTGCCTATTACTCAGGAGATATTATTTCAGTACTAACTCTTCCTTCAAAATCCACAATTTCCAAAGCAGTATTGAATTCAACTCTTTTTTTTTTGGCCTATAGTTAATCAAGATTTCTGGAGGATTTACTAAACCTATACATAGAGGGGGATAGGATGTTATTAGATAAAATTAGTCTATTTGCTTTTGAGTATTTCTATTTCGTTTCAGGTAAGAAGTACACTTCCTCAACAGCTTCATCTCGAATGAACTTGGAATTAATTTTAGGGAGGACTAGAAATTTGGTATCAGGTATTTTTTGCATTTCTTTTTTCTAATCTGTTTATTTTGTCAATAGAGAAATGCTTTCAGATTTGAACCTCAAATTTTTATCGGGTATGGCATCAAAGTTATTGAGAAAAGATGCTGGATCGAACTCCGAGTATTTTTTATTGAGAAATTCATCTTATTATTAAGCAAAATGCAAAGACCTTCCTGATTTGAGATATTCTTACATTTCTAGTATAAAAATTAATCGAGATATGCCATTATAAATTATTCAAATTCTGCAAATTAAGTAGGTTATTTTAAACGGAATATACGATTATACGTTTGTACTCTCTCTTTATGAGAGAATCAACTCATCCTTTGAATATAAATTGGAATTCTAAAATCAATCTTTCAAAATTAGGAGATAAATTCACTTACTGGTGAAATGGAATCAAATAGAGTAACAGTTTCTTATATGTTGACTAACATGAACTAGTTTCAATATGAATGCTTTGGGCCTATGATTTTTAATAATTTGGATTGTTTTAATAGAATGGTGAAGATCCACAAAACATATTAATATAGTAATGAACACTCAATTATTAAGCAATTTAAAAAAGAAATAATACAAATGATAAAGTGATTACTATTTATTTATATATATTATTATTATCATTTCAAATATAAAAATGCAACCGGTCCAACCTATTGCAGAAGGATAACGCACAAGAACCATCTATACTCTAATTAAGGACTAGAAATATAAAGATGCCATCAATTATTTGAACTACGAATTACAATTTTGTCCAAAAAGCAGAGCTCTTTCCCTCTTGGCATATTGTCATTATATGAATCAAGATTTCTCTCAGGCTGTCGCAATGTATATATCATACTATCTCGTCTAGTTATGAGCAATTAGTCAAGTATTACCCAGAAATTGATGACTACAAAATCTATTTGGCCCAAGCGTATTACAAAGATAGTAATCTATTATGCTATTTTCAAATATAGGTTTATATGACGAAGCACTCAAAACTTGTGCTTCCGTTGAAAATCCTCAATATTAGGGTAAAATCTTGTAGCTCCAAGCCTTGATTCGATACGAGAAGAATGAGTTCCAACATGCTAAAACCTTACTCAAATAAAATGACATGGATGACCCCGATTCAATAATCAATGAGGCTTGCATTCTGTACAAGGAGAATAAATTTGAAGAGGCCAGACAAAGATTTCAAGATGCCATGAATCTGACAGGTTATTCATGTGAATTGTCATACAACATCGCACTTTGTTATTATAAATAAAAGTAATTGGCATAGTCATTGAAATTCATTGCAGAAATTATTGAAAGGGGAGTCAGAGAACATCCTCAATTGGGTGTTGGATCAAATGCAGAAGGAATTGAAGTCAAAAGTGTTGGAAATTCGTAGGCATTGAAAGAGTCAGCCCTTATTGAAGCTTTTAATTTGAAAGCTGCAATTGAATATTCAATTAAAAACTATGCAGCTGCCAAAGAAGCTCTAATTGACATGCCCCCAAGAGAAGAGGATGAATTAGATCCAGTCTCATTGATGAATCAAGCCTTGATGAATATAGAAGAGAAAACAGCTGAAGGATTCAAAAAGTTAAATCATTTATTACAGAATCCCCCATTTCCACCTGAGACCTTTTCAAACTTATTACTACTGTATTGCAAATACGGATATTTTGATATGGCTGCAGACATCTTAGCCGAGAATGCTGATCTCACATTTAACACCATCAGTCAAGACGATTTTGAATTTGTTGATGCTCTAATCTTAACAGCCAGTAGTCCAGAGGAATCATTCAGGAAATTCTAGATATTGGCTAATAAGCACATAGACACTCTAAGGAGAATTACAAAATCTATTTAAGATGCTCGACTCAATAGAGACAATGAGGGTATCAAAAAATCATTAAAGGAATTTGATGAATGTCTTGAGAAATACATTCCTGTTTTGATGGCTCAAGCCAAAATCTATTGGGATAAGGATAATTATTAATAAGTTGAAAAGCTATTTCGATAATCAGCAGAGTTTTGTGCAGATCATGAGGTTTGGAAACTGAATGTTGCTCATGTTTTTTTTGTTTAAGATAATAAATATAGAGAGGCAATTAGATATTATGAACCAATTGTTAAGAAAAATAATGATAATTTACTGTCATTAACAGCTATCGTTATTGCTAATTTATGTGTCAGTTACATTATGGTTAATTAAAATGAGGATGCTGAAGAATTGATGCGAAAGTTAGAGGCTGAGGAACAGAAATCACAATATTAGGAGCCTGAAAAATCTGTTTATCATCTTTGCATAGTGAATTTAGTTATTGGAACACTGTATTGTTCTAAAAACAATTACGAGTTTGGAGTGTCTAGAGTAATCAAGTCCTTGGAACCTTATAATAAAAAAGTAGTCAATTGAAATATTCCAATTAGATTAACACAGACACCTGGTATTATGCAAAGCGATGTTTTCTTGCACTTATTGAAGTCTTGGCAAAACATATGATCATATTAAAAGACACTTCTTACAGTGAAATCCTGGATTTCCTAGATGCAGCAGATTCCTTTGGCAAGGCCATACCTTCTGTAATTCCAATAATTTATATAATTAGGTGATCAATCCTCTAGAATAGATGGATGAAAAGCATACAGTATCTTATGAAGCAAGAATGATCAAGAGAATGTTTTTAAAATTAAGAATGTGAAAATATATATAATTAGTTTAATTTAATTAACAAACCTAGATGAAGTTTTTATATTAATAAGAGTTTTTTTAATATTAAATAATATGAAAATTAAATATTATTATATTGTTTTATTACGATTGATGATGTTATAAAATTGACAATATTTATGATATTATAATAACATAATTTTCCAATATTATTTTTTTTAAAGATGCAATCCATGTGCGTTTTAGCTATCCCTTAGTTCCATGTGTTAACAAGCTTAGTTGGCCTCATTAATTTCATTTTGCAGATGGAGAAGTAAGAAATACATTAATCGAAGTTACTCTGAATAGTAGTTACCATTAACCTTTGGAATTTTATAGTTTTTAATCAGTATGATCATCTTGGGGCTTGCTTTTGCTAGACCTCGATATGCGATTAATAAAGCCTACATTATTTGCCTTATTTTTCTGTTTCTAGGGATTTCACTCTATTTAAATATAGCGAATTTTAGAAAGGACAGTTTAATCCTGATGATATTATAATACCTATCGATTGGGATGATCTGTTCATTGATGATATTACCAAATAAGATGATTGGCCTGGTTATTTAAATTCAAATTTATATTGTAGCAGTTGTTTTAGACTTGATGTCTTTTTATTTATAGTATTTTTTGATTTAGATGTAGTTACATTCTGGGGAATTTCAACTTCAACAGAGCAATTTCAATAGTAGGTTCTGGAGGGATGGAGGCCATCACTTTGATTTTGTGTATCGTGTGTTAGGTTTATCCTCAAAAAAGATTGGCTGACGAAGCTCACCTGATAGTGGGGTTTTACATCTTTTGTGAACTATTCGTCAGCTGTACCTTCGTTGCAGAATGTGCGAATGTAATTATACAAATATCAATTAATTAGCAAGAAGCAAATATTGCATTAATTGGATTTACAATTTTGAAAATCTCCAATATTTTTTTGGATTTGATTCTGTATTCCTTTTTGAAGTTGAACTACCCAGAGAATCAGACAAGATCAGCTAGAGTTGATATTGAGAACCCTCCCCAGAAGTTGGATCTAAGGAGTGTGGCAACTAGGGAAACACTCAGTGAATATTCGAATGCCTTGTAAAAAAGTGTGTAGGAACCAATTCCTCACACAAGAAAGGCTTGTCCTTCAGTGTAATGGATTTAGTATTTACTAAATATATATTGATTTATTTACTTCGTATTTTTAATATATAAACTTGTATGTAGATTGATTACAATTATTTGGAAGTATAATTATTAAGGTAGCACATAAGGAGGAGGATGTTAATGTGAAAGAATACTTGAATGATCTGTTGTCGCAGAAAATAGAGAAGATGTCTACGATAGAGGAGGCTGATCTCATTTTGGATGCTCTCATGAAGACAATCGAGGATTTGGATGGCTAGATTGAGATAAAGAAGAAGAAGGTGAATAAGGAGTTGGAGACAGCTTTGGCAATAAGTGAGATCAACTTGGGTAAGAAGACAACGGAAAAGTAAGAGATTGCAGATGAATTGAGATAACTTAAAGAGGAATATCAGAAGTTAAAGGCATAAATAAAATGAAAATCATAATTGTTAATTCATTAAATTTCAATTAATTCTTATGAAGAGGTTGAGTTGATTAGATTAAAGAATTTGTCACTTTTTGATCATCTATTTCTCGAAATACTCAATAACATATTTTAAAAGGTGAAATAACAAAATAATTACAATTACTTATGCTATGATTCAAGATATTTTGATATTGCTGATTTCATTGTTGGTTATTAGGTGTTTCTTTGAAGTACTTGTTCACCTTCTATTCTTTGATCTCTAGAATGATCTCTTTTCTTAATGATTATTTTTAGCCAGATTATAGAAAAACTTAATTGAAATTTTGATCTTCTTTTTGATTTGTTTGTATAAAATTAGCAGTTTCTTTTGACTTTTTTATTTAATCTTTTAAGTTGATTACAATGTTTGTCTCGATACTCTCTACACTTTACATTTCAGTTCTTTGATGTACAGTTAGACATCATCCTTGTTATTGAATTGGGTTTCGAATTGAGATGCAATTCCCTCAAAGAATTTAATAGTTATTAGCATCTTTGATGCCTGGTTGTTGAGTGTGGATCTGGTGTTGGTGACTCCATTGATCTGTGAGGATACTATTCAAAATTTGGATGGGGGATTTCTTTTTAAAATTTTAGTCCTTGTCTTTATGCATAAATATAAAATCTCTGCAAAGCGGGAATAGCAGAAAGAAAAAATTAAAGAAATTTTAAATCTTATTTATTAAATCGGATTCAAAGTAAGGTCTTTGAGTTATTGTATTAGTGTTAAGGTTCCCAGGATATTAGGATCAAAACAAACAATCAGAAAATGGACTTCATATTGCTGACTTAGAGGAAGGTATTACAGAGGAATAATTATTTGTGGAATTCAGAAAGTTTGGATAAATCAGCTTTGTAAAATTGCATAGGTATGAATATGAATTCCTAAAATAGGTATCCTTTCATTGGGAAATCAAAGCATTATGCTTTCATTTATTTCTCATCTCAAGAAGAGGCTCGTAAAGCTAAGGAAGCAATGAATTATAAATAACTCTTGAGAGAGCCAATGCGTATCACTTACATCTAAGAATACGAGAAGGATGCTAACTTATTCTTTGCAGGCTTCGAATTGACTGTAACATTAAAGCAACTTGAAGAATTCTTTTTAAAATGGGGTCAAGTTGTAAGTGTGAAATTGTCTACAGATGAGAATAAGAAAAGCAGAGGTATTGTATCAAATTCACATTTAGGTTATGGATGGGTGTAATTTGAGAAGAAGGAATAAGCTAATGCCTTGTTGGCTGACAGTACAGATGGCACAATCGCATATAATGAGAAGACAAAGATCATAATCAAGAGATTTGTTAAGAAAGGACAAACAGACAGAGAAGATAAGAGAAATAACCTTTACATTAAGAACTTCTGGACATCACTTGAAAATTTTGATTTGGATAACGCAGAAGTTCGTGAATAATTGGTAAGATTGATGTTCATTTTTTTAGGAAAAAGAAATGAGAGAAAAATTAAATGAATGGTTCAGTGGTTATGGATCCATTGTTTCAATCTTAGTCAAAATTGATACTGAAAGAAAAGCTCCATTTGCATTCGTTAGTTTCAATTAGCATCAAGCTGCTAAGGAAGCTTAGAGAACTCTTGGTACAACTCAAAAAAGGGATCCCTTGAGCACTGGCAGAATGATGTATGTTGGATGGGCTTAGACCAAGACAGATAGAAAGCAATAGAGAGACAATAATGTCTTTGCTAAATATATCTATGCTGATCATCTCTCAAGAAATGTCACTGAAGAAATGATCAGAACTACTCTCAAAGAATGCGGATATGGAGATATTCAAACAGTAATCCCTTTTGATTCTATGATTTTTAGATTAGATTAGAGAAAATGTAATAAGGATTCCAATAGATCATCAGAATTGGGTACATTGTGTTCGATTAGGCTTCTGATGCCAACAAGTTGGTTAAGAATTTCAAGGAAAATGAAAAGTTTGAAGAAATCAAAAAGCTCTTTGATCCAAATGTTGAAACTGCAGGAGGCAAATACTTCTAACATCTCTTCCCTCAATAATCTTAATAGAGAGGACAAAGAAGAAATAATCAAAGACAATCACCCAATAGAAGAATGTATTCTATGCCTTAAGGTCCTACTCCATTTGGTTAGAGAATGCCATTCCCTCCCTATCAAATGCAATAGAGAATGCAAGGTCCTGCAGGAATGAGAAGACCATTCCCACAACAAATCCCAGGATTCGCTTAGCCTATTAGACCTAACATACCTCCTCCTGTTTAATAGCCTGAGGCCCAAAAACAAGCTCCTCAAGCTGTTCCCTTCAATAAAAAATAAGATTTGTTAGATTTGTTGGCCAATTTGGAAACATTCAAAGCTAAACCTCAAGAGGAATAACTCAGACAAATCTAGTAAGACATTTCAACTATCAATTTAGACAAATGCTTTATTATAGAATTAAGGCTAGACTTAGTACTGACACAGAGGCTCACTGGAAGAGAATAAGTGAAATATTGTCAGACCCAACAAATTACTCAATTGATGAAATCATTGATATGTTTAAAGAAGAAGAACAATTCGATTCCTTTGTAGACGAAGCCATTGAATAATTAAAGGAAGCATCATGTTGGTGATCATTTTATTATTTGTTCATTAAATAAATATAAATAATATATAGATTAATATGTAAAATTGATTCAATTTGCACTCAAAATGATATTGTTAATTGGAATAAAGACCAATTTGATGAAGTATCCAACAGCTCCCATTACTGCGAATCCAATAGCACATGATGTTGCAATTTTGATATATTCTAAATTGAATATAATGGATACCTCTTTTATCTGGTTTGGTGCATTTTCTGAGGAATCTATAACTTTCCTACCCAAAACCTTGGACGTCAGACAAAATGCCATTGATTCCATTGAGAGTCTCTTAGCTCATTTTATTTTAATTATTGAATCACAAGGTAATATTACTTGAGTTATATAATTGCAATATACGTGTAATAATTATTTATAAAATATTAATATAATTATAAATAATCATTTTGGAAATATGTGGTTGTCAACTTTGTTTCTGTTAACAAATTTCTATTCCTTGTATTGAGTTGGAGCCTATTCAACAGGAGTCTTATAAAATTGTCCTACCATAATAATAGATACTTACCATAGCCCTTGTATTATGCATCATCCAATTCTTTCTTTCGATTCAAGACTCTGCTATTTTATCGTGTATTGTTGATGTTCTCAGTTTCTTGGAGATCGACATTAAAGATATTGGAACTCTTGTTTTTAATGGAAGTGATTTTATGCTATTGTACTAAATAATTTTAGGAGAGAGTCTCATACATTAACTAAATTGGCTGAGAGCATCATCTTATTAAGGTTGTTCATAGGGGTTAGTTTTTTAATGGGCAGCCCCTTAATAATTATTAGTGACATCTTGATTATAGTTATTCTGATTGGCATAGGCGACTCCAGTGATTGGATTGTATTGAGCAACTGGTGGTTTTGCGGAGTATGATTTATTGCCACTATTTCCTTGCTTGTACTAGATACTCTAAATAACTGTTATACTTTTTGATAGAGAGCCTCGTCATCATTGGGTTATTGATAATGATCGTATTTATTGGATTGTTACAATAGTTATGGTTGTTAGTGTTCGTAATCGTGATTAAGATTGTCTTAGTTGTTATAGTTGTAATTTCCATATGGCTTTCCATTATTGTATTGGTCGAGAGAATCTTAATAAAACTGTTCTGACTGTTTGTGTTAGATTCCAGCTTATTCTTACTTCTTGCTCATCTCTTGGTAGTACATTTACTTCATATAATCGTCGTCCTACTTTTACTGATATTGTTAATATTTACTTATTAGGCTTGATATGGATTTGCTTGGTAGGCGGCATTAGCATTGTTGTTTCTCTGATCTTAACCTACTTTGCCTGCAATTTTCAAATCCTCCTTTCTTGTTTGATCAACGTCCCATCCTATTTTGAATCCCTGTCTGTTGTTCACATTATCTATTGTCTCAAAGAACAGTGATACCATTGTAAGTTCTTATTGAGTTCCTCTTCTCCCCGTCGAATAGCACTTGATTCTTTGGTCCTGTTCTTGACTAATAATGACTTAAATATTTTTAAAACCATTGCCAATCTTCTTTTTTCAAATTTTTTATTAAAAATTAAATAATGACCAAAAAAAATTCAAATGCATTTATTAAATTATCGTCGTTAATAATAATCACTACTTTTATTTTGATTATGCTCTCTTACTGATTTTATATTCAACACTCTCATTCTTCACATACTCCCTCAAATAACTGTTGGTCTTTTAGAAGATCTCCAGATATGGAACCTCCTCCTCCTTCTTCTCCCTGTACCTCTTCATTATGCACTTCACCTCGTTGAATTTCTTGGATAGACTCAACTTGATCTCCACAGACCTCTTATAACTCCAAGCCGAATTGTTGATGCTCTTACTGGACACAATCATCGTCTATCACAATTACAATATAGATTTACAGCTATCCCATGATTCCAAAAACGAACAGCCAAATCCAAAGCATGTTTCATCGACAAATCCTCCACCACAATCAACACACTCAAGGTCAGACTCTTAAAATTAATTAAAGAATCAGGCCAATTGAAGAGATCAAATGTTTTTTATTCTCTCCCACTCAAATTGTTGTTCAAATGATTAACAAACTTTCGATAATAGAATTAATCCATGTATATCTGAATCCCACAAGCGTGTTTCCCATTCTCCTTATTATTTATGTAATGACTGTAATTGCCCCCGATGATGAAACTGTCAATATTACCCTTCTAATGTCGTTTCATACAACTAATGAATTAACATTATATATACTTGTTTTTGGGAACAGGTTCAGATCTTGAATGTATAATCTCAAGTTGCATATTCTTACCTAAATTGGTTAACTCTTTCGTAATCTCAACAAACTAATTTATATTATCTCAATATCATACCTCAAAACAAATTCCAGAATAATAATACCATAATTCGTTCAATTAGAACACTTCATACACTATCTTAAAATCACACAAGACTTTGGTTTCCTTAGCGAGTTCTTCAAACTTTTCAATTTCACTTATGATCTCTTAGAATCTTGCCTCTTGTTTTGTAAAGTAACCCTTCAACTATTCTCTCAAAGTTCTCTTTTGTTTAGGCTCTTGGGTTTTCCGACCACTTTCACTACTTTTCATTTATTGATGCGTCTCGTTCATATAGATCTAGGGTATTTTCAATTTCATGAATCCCAGGAACTTATCAGCCTTGTCATCAGTGAAATTGAACTCTTCACTCAAGATTACAAAAATCTCCTTTTCCAAATCTCTGTATTGTTGACTACGATTAATGATGGAATTGAGCTTTACAATCTTCTGTAAAATGGTTTAATGTCTCAACATTCTTATTACCGTTTGGGAATTGAAATCTAATTCTAATAGAATTAATTCAAAGAATTAAGTGTGACTGATTTTCAATTCGAAATTATTCACATTATGAAATTAATTAATCACATGTCTGGAGATACTTAATAATTCAATTAGTTTCGCTGGTCCTGGATCTTGTTCTGAAATTATGTCATATGATGCACAGTTGTGTTTCGAGAGTTGAAGCCTATCAGAGTGCTAGACTTCTCCTAAAGTGTATCTTCTTAAATTGTTAATCGGAAGCAACTTCAACCAATAAATCACTGGCTACAGCAGATTCTGACAATATTACACCAGTTCTCCTTCTTGGGTGATGTATCTGAAACTTGAATTTTGATGAGGACAGTTTTCATACTCCTCCACTTGACCAAAGATTGATGAAAACTTCAAGGTGTTTTGTGTAGGAATAAGGGGATTAAGATTCAATTAAAATGCTCCTCTGAGTTTAAATATCTTTTCAACTCTTGTGTATAGTTCTATGATCCCAGATTGAAAATTTTTAAAAAATAGGGTAGGACTTTAACTAATGGCTTCCTCTAGACAGGAAGTAAAGAAATTATTTTATTATTTTAATTGTTTACATTCAAAAAGTGTTTAAACTAACTCATTAAAATCAGGACAATTAGGATTAGCAATAGATCTAATTACCTATTAAACTCTTTTGTCTTTGTATTCATTAAGGAGACTCTAAGTGGCAGGGCGTTTTTAAGGATCCTTGTTCACTAGAGCAGTTATCTTCTCTCTAATTTCATTATCTGCCATACCGACCTTTTGATCGAAGTCCTTTGGAAATTTGCATGATTCTCTTAGTTGAGTGATGTAGTTGATTCGTTCCATGTCCGTCTTGAAGGGATAATACATCTCGAATAAGATGATGCCTAGAGAGTATATATCCACCTTGGAATCATATTGGCTCTGTTCCTATTCAGGTGCCAAGTATAAGAAGGTACCAACTCCTGAAGTCAAACTCAACTTTTAACTTTGATTGTTCTATATCGTCGAGGAATTCCTCATCAGTTTGTGATCAATGAATTTGATCTCCTGCTTCATTTCTGTAGCCAGACCAAAGTCACCCAACTTGACATTCAGATCTCCATCCAAAAAGATGTTTTGAGGTTTGAGATCACGATGAATGATATTGTTTCTGTGTAGATAGTACAATGCATCCAGGATTTGTCGAATGATCTTCTTCTTTTGTTCTGAAGTGAGATTGCGTTCATCAATCTTCTTCTTTAAAGTATCCCCTGTGCAATACTCCATTTGAATGTAGAGTAATTGTTTATTACTATTCTATTTTGGTTCATGAGGTTTGACTTCTGGAGTTTGAATGGACTCTTCCTGAATTTGTGGATCACAATTAACCCACTCTATTTGAAAATCCATATCGTTGTTTTCTTAATCTTCAAATTATGTATCCTCTTCATAATATTCTTCTTAACTAATGCTGCTACCCTTCCTCAACATCTATGGATCATCCTCCTCGGATTCCTCTTCAGAATCTTCCACAAATTCTTCATCGTCTTCAATGTTTTCATATTAATCCTTAATGTATTCTTCAGTCCATGCTTGATAATATCTCACAATATTCGTGTGTTGGATTCTTGACAATAAAACGGCTTCGTTCTTAGTTTTTTCGGTTAATTTCTTATTCGAGTAATCCAAGACTATCCTCTTTAAAGCATAATAGTTCCCATCGAATTTGTTTCGAGACTTGAACACTTTGCCAAAACCTCCACTTCCTATAAGTTGTATCTCATCAAAGTCTTATTAAAATCTTGAGAAACTACACGCTTATAACTGAGACAGTTGCTCTATTGGAAGTACTGTAGAAACAGGGTTGAATTGAGGTTCTGGATTGTCATACTTCTCAACGAGATGATCCTTGATTATGTCAAAACCAAGAACAGATTACTTCATGTCTAAATCTTCACTCACACTTCCAAATACGTTTGATATACCCCTTGTAATCTAAAGTTCATTGTATTATTCCACTTATTAATAATTGTTTACAAATTTAAATTAGTTTACTGCTCTTCTTTTTATAAATTCTTTATCAATTTCAGTTAACTTAGTTTCTAATTAGATTATTGTTTCCAAGAGATTCTAATTTGAGCAATCAGAAACCAAATTTAGGATTTCTTATTTCTCATCTTGCAAAAATGTTGAATTAAATAATACATCAATTGAAAATGCGGGACCTTTGATCAAAAGCACAATTTATGATGTAGATTGCTCATCCAAAAAGCTCTTTAATTGTAATTGAAATTGAATTGAATCTTCTTTTTCATAATTCAAATGAATATCATAAGGGTAAATGTCTTGCAATTGCAAAAATTATTCTTTAATTGAAATCATTCTAGGATAACTCTACCATTGCGATGCTTATTCAAAATCATGATCGATTGTTTACGTTTAATCAGTTTTACTTCTAAAATAACTGATATCTGTTTGAATACATTTGTTTTTCATTATTAAAAATATCTATAATCATTATTTATAAATGAACTTTAATTCAATCTTATCCTTGATTGCTTACAGCACATCCAGCAACCGCTCTTCAATTGATTTCAACCATCAAATCGTATTGATCGCATTTATTTAGATATTTGTTTTCTAATCCCCATTAAGTATTTTACTTAATGTAGTATATGAACAATATTTAATTTTTAAGTTAATTTCTAAATCTCCATTCATCAATGTTTCGAATCTAGTCCTCTTATATTATTGGTAATTCTACGTTTTTATGAATTGTATTTTGTTATTACAAAAACAGATGCAATAGAATTATGAAATTAATTACATATATAAACTGAATCCCAATTACAAGTTCTAAATCTTCATAATTTATGTATCATATATAGAACAGCATTATTAATATCAAATTTTAATATTTATCTATATGAATTAAATTCATCATTTATAATTCCACTTCATCTTGATTAAATATTTCAATCTAATTTAAGCAACATCATAGACTATAAATTCATTGTAAAGCAAAGAGGTCTAATTATACATATAATATTTACATTAGCAACTCCTGAAGGAGCTCCTTTACCAATAGGCACTTAAACCTCTGGCATACCTGGGAAGGGAATATTTTAAGCAGGTGGTGGCATGGTCTTACCTTTACCCCAAGTACTGTGCTTACCAGGTGGTAGATTGTTAGCATAATAATCTGAGTAGAATTTTTCATTTGTGTTTCCTAGGGCCACATCACATAATAGAATCAATCCTGTGTTGTTCTCTCTTGTAACCGCACAATAATTGGCTGATTTAGAAACCATATCTGCAAAATAAACACCCTTTAAGGATTAAATTAGAAAATACCTTTCCGAACATATATCCAGTTACTGGAGCTTCAGGTGGAGCAATTCTCAATCCTTAACTTAAAATACCAACAAAGTTGGTTAATCTTGAACCATGCCATAAAAGCATTCTATTTCCAATGTCTTTCTTGAATCTATTATCATCTTAATCTTTTTATAATTCAAAGACGTCGAGTACATCTAAATCATAATTCTTATGAGTGTCACAATGAGTATTCTTAACAAACTCTTTGACGATTTTAACTTTTTCTTCTGTTGGGTCTAAATATTGCATATTTATTCCAAGTTTCTTGAAATTTTCATCAATAACATTTGTATCATCATCCTTTTATTCTTCCAATATTTTGGTTGCTACTTAGATCTACTATATAGATTCCAACATTTCCAACTTCTACTTTACCAATTAAGCAGTATTAATCAAGGGAGCTTTCGCCATGCCAAAATCATGAGGAATTTGACTATAGAACTCACTTGTCAATGTCTGTAAAGTTGTTGTATTATGGGACTTATTATTCAATTCTTCTGAGATTTTCTTTAAGACATCAAACCCCTTGTTAATAGTTGAAGCTGCCAATTTGCCTAAAGGCATTTTCTTCGCATCATAACCTATTCTAAAAAATACAATATGATTTATATTACTCTTTCATTTAATTGTTAATCATCTTCATATCGAAGATCAATCTTACTAACTCTTTAATTTTTGTGTGTAACTTGCTCTTATCATAAGACTCCTTTTCTCTCTACTCTTTTAATTTTTCTAATTTCTCAGCATTCTTTGGATCTGTATCAACACTATAATCCTTCTCAAGTATTCTATAATCTCCTTTTACACTCTTGTCTCTAACCTTGGATTCGTATCCACTTTTGGCTGCTTCAAGACTGCTTCCACAAGGTTGTAAAGCTTGATTCCCAGATGCACCAACTCTACCCCATCTGGTAAATACAAAATATGTATCTAATTTAGATATTTGAATAAGATACTTGATGATTTACTCTTTAATAATTACACAACGTAGAATTTATTATTATTATTTGATCCAATAATATTAGTTTGATTCATCATGCAGTCATATACTTTTGTAGCATCCTCATATACTACATAATTATCTCTATTATTAACAAATTCATCAACAGGAGCTTTGCCTGTAAATACAAGTTTCTTAAGATTCTATTCCTCATCTTTCTTAGCTGGAGATGGGGATTTCTTTACTGTTTTTTTTGGTTGGGGTGATGGTGACTTTTTGTCACTTTTCTTTGAATCCTTTCTTGCAGGAGCCTTTTTTGGTGGAGGTGAAGGTGAAGGAGTCTTCTATTTAGCTTTACCTTTTCCTTTCGATTTGGATTAGTCTTTTGTCACTTTTGCTACCACGTCTCTAAAAATTATTGTATGAATTTGTACTTTTTCTTATCATCAACTTTGTCTTCTTTTTTTGATCTCGTCGACCTTTTGGCAGGGGGAGGTGATGGAGATGGTGTCTTTTTCTTTGTTGCTTTTTTAGGGGGCATTATCAAATAAGATATAAAAAATAATTATTTAATTAGAATCTAATCAGAAAAAAACATTTTATTAAATGGGCATAAGTTATCAATGATTTTATTGTTTTTATTCACATAATTACTCTACCATACTTTCTGATAGATTCTCTTTACACTTAATGAACTCTTTATTCTACTGAATCTTTAATTAATTTTGGGAGAAATAAGGAGATATAGATTAATATTGTAAAATCAAAAAATTATCTTTCACATTTATATATTGGTATTAATGAATTAGACACTCCTAGAGATTATAAATTATGATATTTCTTTTAATAAAGTTAGTAATATTGTCATTACTTGATTTTCATGATCAAATAATTTTGAATTAAAATTCTCAAAGTAGGACCATCGTAACATATATGTTAAGATGAATTAATATAATTCATTTTTATTATACTTGATCTTTAAGTAATTATTCAATATATTTGTTAAGAAAAATTAGAAATGAGGAGTGATAATTAAAAATAATGCAGAAAATAAATGAGTATCCATTATAAAATATAAAATGAATCTAATAGTTTACAATTACAATAAATATCCATTTTGAGTAGTCTGTTGAATATAAGACTTTTTGGAATACACTGTAAAATATAAATATATATACAATTAAAGAAATATAAATAATTGATATTATAATATTGAATAGTGACAGAGAGGCAACTATTAATTTGATATTCAAAGTGGATTCCTATTTCTAAAGAAATGATGGATTTATATTTCAAAATTCATTGTAAAAATGGAGAGAATTTTTAAATCGTTTCATTTTTCAATCAAAATTATAAGACTGAGGAGGAGAATGAATTATATTTTATATTTGCTTAACTATTTGGATGACATACTTTAAAATATTCATTTAAACAACTAAGCAATCATTTTGAATGAGGGAAGTTTTAACGCAACCAGTATTAAAAAATGTGATAAATTTTAAAGGAAAATTAAAGATATATTTTATAATTTTTATGTATTCATAAGGTGAATTCCTATTTAAAGATGTAAGCATATTTCGCAACGTCATCCTATTTATAGGATAATAGCTTTTATATTACATCTTTTCCATTAATCTACATGAATACGGTAAAATACTAATTGTTCTACCTATCTTTTGATCTGATTTCACCTTTGCGCAGTATTTTAATTAAAATTTCTAATCCTTTTTTAAGATGAATGGATGGTAATTCTATTACTTATGCTAACTCTAACATTCCCAAAACACTCTAAATGAGTTTATTCTTAACCATTTGATTTACGTCCTCATTGGTCCCATGTTAGACGGCATTACCAATCATTTCTAAAGCATCTCCTCTGAGTTCTGAATTTTCATCTTATAAAGAATTAAATAACGATATTAAGAAATTCTGATTAGACAATACTTTGAATAAGGTTTCTGTTGCTGCAAATGTTTAAATCATATTGCCACTCTTTTCTCGACTCTTGGGGTCAAGAATATTTCTAATTTGTGATAGGAAGCCACATTCCAATAAAAAACGAATTTATTCTTGATTTCCTTGAAAAATACATTCAAAAATTCTTAAAATGGAAACAAAGTTGCATTGATGCATCAATTCTATCAATCTACTGACAATTCCTTGATCTATTAGTATTGTTATTCGAGAGGGTTCCCCATCCAACATGTAACCAAGTGCCCAGATTGCATCATTCATCATCTTGATATTAGTTTGTGTAGGTTCGTACATAATCACTTTAGCGAATATATTAAAAGCTGGTCTTATTATTTCAAATTTTGGACTTGGTCTTCCAATACACAGATTTGCCAAACACCAGACATAGGTTGCTTCGTATCTTAGTTCCATGTTTAATATAATTCTATCCAAATTACAGGCTTGAAGTATGCAATCTCTGTATTAGATTGAATCCCCTGCCAATTTGCCCAATATGACCATTAACAGCATTGATAATTCTGGATTGTCATTTTGCAAAATGGACAAAGCCAGTTAGACAATTCCATTTTCAAAGATTATTCTTGAAATATCACTCTTTCCTCCTGCAAAAATGGAGATGATTTCTAATATATACAATTAATTTAACATGTAGCTTCCAATTTTATAATGTATGTGCTTCCAAATTCGATTAAATAAAAAAGGAGTGGTACAAGTTCATTAGTAAATATTTCTGCTTAATCAAAATTCTTATTAAATTATTGAAACAATAATACAGACAAGGTCTTTCTCAATTAAATTAATGCTTTATGAGTTTCTAGAATATTTTCAGATTTAATTGCTTCAACTGCATCCTTGACCGAAATCTATTCATTTGAAGTGTTTAATATAACTATTAACTGATTTTTAAGTTATTTTGACATCTCTTCCTATTCAAGCATCTCCTCATAGTTGTATATTTGTTAAATTTTTTGATTGCCACTTAATTTCTGACTATTTTTCATATTTTTCTTCTGTTTTAGATATATAAAAGATTTTATTAATTTTCCATAAACACTTAGATCTGCTGATTCATATTATTTGGTTTGCTATTAATTTATGACGTTGGAAATAGATTTTCAACGTTGTATCCTTTTATCGAATATACTGCGTCATCTATTGAGATTTATAAACGATATATAGTGATTTGTTTAGAATTTTAAATAAGAAAAGAGACAATAGTGGTAGTTAAAAATGTAATAATATCAATCAGAAATATTTAACTTATTATTATTAAATACAAAAAGTAGCTTAGTCCCTCTAAAAGTTTATTAAAAAGAAACATATAAATAAAATTAAATGACGGTATGAACATATCCACTCAAACCAATTAGAAAAAAGATAGAAAATTGTGATTAGAATTTGTATTGGAGGAATTAGTGAATATTAAAATGCATAGTACTTGTTTAATGAAATGATTAAATTTATACACTCTAAGCACAAAACTTTAGGGAGAATATGTCCACCAATCTGGGAATCACAACAACCAACTTTATTTTACTACATAAAATGTTTTTGAATTGTGAAACTTTTTCTTAATTGCAATTCTCATTTTGCCAATTAAAGTCATTTATTTAATAAGGATGCAGGATTGTATAGATAAACTTCAAAAAAATCCAAGAATGGTGATAATCTTAAGATGGTTAAGAAAACTTAGATAATCTTAATTAAGTTCTCTTCTAAAGTCTCCCTATAGTAGACTATATTCATTAAGTTACCTTTTCACTGAATATGTTTAGTGCCGCTTAGAAAAGTCAGTCTTATAACTTCACAACATTCGGAATGTTAATGTTTTCATGATTGAATTAGATAGTAAAGTTCAACACATACGATTAGGAACTACAAATACTTTTGAATTGGGAATTGAAATGAGCAGCATTATTAAGAGAAACAGAGATCATATTACTATTTTTAAACATAAAAAATACATTAGAAATGGTACTGGTACGGTATTTTCAGAGTAATTTGGGTACTGATATTGTTTGATAAGATAACTACAAATCATCTATTCTTATTCTTAATAAGATGGAATCCAATTGAGAATTTGGCAACCCTTGGTTTCCTCAACAACCAAGTAGCACTACGCTGAATGATTAAAATATAATATTTACATACGTGTTACTATAATAACTATTGATACAATAACTGATTATATTTCGTTTCAGTTAAAGTGTTTAATGAATCCTTATAGGATTTTCAAGATTGCCTTTCAAAAAGCTCTTGTTGATTACTAACAATATTTTATTTATATATTATAATTTATGTACTTCATCATCCACATATCTTTCGCAGCCTTTGTATTCATTATCTTGCTCTATCTATTTTATCACATGCATTTCAAAACTAACTAACTGAACTAAATAAACTAATCAAACTTATAAACAACTCAATCGAACCTTACCCTTAAGAAATCAACTCCTACGAATAATCCTCAACAAAGACCCACTAGAAATTCAGGGTAATCCTCAGACTTTACGCTTTAAAATACTCTCCGTCTCCATCGAACATTATCAAAAAAGGGTACGATAACCATCTAAACTGTTCCAGAATCAGGTACTTAGAATAGAAATAGTATGACTGTCATTTCACCTATGAAGAATTTGCTTAAAACGCCAACCATGACAAGGAAATAGTCAGGTTAACAAATTATACAATCTAGAAATATTATCAATCTTTAGACAAATCCTTCATTATAGGAAATACCTGACTCTGTTAGACAATGCGATATCAAGTTTTTAGGGGAAATCAAACAACAAAGTCAGAGTAATAAATCGAAATCTCAAAATTCATACATATTTTATAGAGTTTTAATTAGAATTATAATTTCACAAGCTTTAATTGGGTGTTTATTTTAATTAAATATACATTTTTCAATTTCTGGACTCATTGACTTAATTATACTCTAGATATTTAGATTCTTTTAGTCAAATAGAAAATGGATTTAAATCATATAGCTGATCCTATCTCTAGCCTTAAATATCTCTATTCTATTACTATTTGAAATTGACTTCATTTGGACAATGACCTTCATCGTACTCATAGCTGTTGATGTGATCTTGGAATTTGCGATACTCAAGATGTAAAGAACGTCCAACTTTGATACATTACCCACATAAGTATGATTAGCCTGTTATATTATTTCATCATATAAATATAAAATAAATAAATGATTTTAATAAATGACGAAATATGTTATTGCATAATGAATCATCTGATTTTGAAATTAATATACTGTAATGATGAATTATCATAATTCAAAACCAACCAATATCTTATCTCTAGAAATCAATATTAAATACACAAAAACAAATGTAAAGAAAATAGTAATATGAAAATGACTTCAAAAACTTCAAAGAAGACGGTTCAATCTCGATAGATCAAATGCTTAAACAAAAAGACTTGGCCGAAAAACAGAAGGAAATTTGTCTCAGAAATTCAAAAACCTTCGAACTCTTTGCCACATGTATATTTCTTATTCAACATAATTAGGTATGGAAAGACATGAAGGTAAAATCGACAATTTTGCAAAATACCTCTCCATCAAGATGCTATTCATTGAAAAACAAGCTCTTGAATGTTACAAAGGAAATACTAATGATCGAGAATATGAAAGATGTCATCAAAGAATTGAATCATAACTACATGATGTCTATAATGAATACTACTAAGGTTTACTCAACCTCTGACTCTATTTATATATATTTAATCAATAAATTTTAATATCTTAAGTTGCTTAAAAATAACTTTATATAAATTATCATCAAGTTTTTAATATAATCATAATATTCTCAAATATTTTATACATATTTATTAAATCGCTAATATATTCATTGTGATAAGTAGCCTAAACAACACTCTAATTCAATATATTAAAATATTACATCATCGTTGCAAGCAAAGCATCTCCCAACATATCCAGAAACACATCGCTAACAATAATTATGTGCACATGGAATCACAGTTATTGTATTCTACAATTCCTTTCTACAGAATTTGCAAGTAAGTTGCTGTCTCAAAGAAAACTATTTCATTAGTATAATTCTTACTGTAAATTATTCTAACTGCTGAGATTTTATTTATAAATTTTTCATTTTTATTTAGCTTTCATAATTTTCATCAATTGCTTTTCTTAAAGTATCATCCATTCTTCTGTAAGTATCCTTATATTCTAACTCCAACTTCTTTAGTTATTATGCCAAAGTAGAGTTATCTATTTAGTATCGTAAATCACTATTTATCAATTTTAAGTAAATTATTTATTATTCCTACTCCTCTAACTGCATTTTTAATTTAACATTTTCTAGTTTTAAATCCTCTGAAATCCTAACCTAAATAACCAAAATCTCTATTTACTTGTTCCTAATATTTCTGTTCAAATTCTTGTTGTAGTTTCTCAAATATCTGGCAATCAGATTATGATTTGGTTGCTTAAATTCTTTTTAAAATAGATTCATCATTCTATGTTGGTATTTGTTTTTTGCTCTCATTGGATTGCTTTATTATACTTAACTGTCTTTTCGATTTAAGCGCATTTGTCTATCTGTAAGCTTTCTCCACACTTAAACTATTTGAGATTTCGTAGTTTATTTTTGTTTTATTGAAAAGTGCCTTTTATGATGTTGCTTATTCCAATAGAGGTAGTTTACTAATAAGCATTAGGTTTTGGATTTATAAATTATATAATAATAAATTAGTCTTGAAAATTAACTAGTTAATATAAAGGCATTATTCATAACCTTTGAGGTTGATCTCATTTGAATGCTTCATATTAAAATTGGAACACTTTTACTAAATGATGTTCGTATAATGCAATTAGGACCTAAGTATAGTAATCTATAATGTGTTCATGTATATATATGATTCAAATTTATAATTAATTGATTGAATTGTATAAAAAATTGGTTAAAGATTCTGTTGTATGTTACTAACAATTCAAAAATTAATCATTGGAGTCTGCCTTTTCAAAACAATTATAAGTCCAAAATAGCCAATATTTAACCATTGATTCATATGTACGATCTACCAATTTTCTCTTAGTTTACAGTAATTGAATGCCTTTAAAAAATAGAATTGTAACTACAATTAGAATAATCATCATAATTTTCTTAGGATTTACATATAAATTTGATAGAATTTCTCTCTTTATTCATTAGTTTCCTTTTAAATGTAACTTTAGAGAGATTACATGTTGACAATTAATTATTTTAGAAACAATTACTATTTCTACTCAGCCCTAAATAATAATTATTTTATAATAAATTCATAAAATTGCTTCTATAATTATGTTAAAATCATTTCTTATCACGGTAATCTAACCTCTGTTATTTTGGAGACACATTTGATAATATTACTAATTATTAATTTACAGATTAGTAGTTTCATAATGTAACACTAAGTTAATTAACCTTGAAATATCACTTTTTTAATTACTAAATAGTGTATAATTTTCTAAGATCATTACTAATACTACTTTAGCATAAACTCAATAAATAATTCTTAAAAGAACCAAATGGGGTTGAGAACATTTTTTTGAAGTATTAATTGATATTCTAATATTTGAGTATCATTTAGATTCATGAAATATATAATTTTATCAATTTATATTTTTTTGGAATTCATTGATATATCTCTAGACATCTGTTTTAGCTGATTCTACACATTTATCAGTGTCGCCTGATTAAATGCATTTTTCAAATTGATTTCCCATGAAGACCATCTTGAAATCAAATAATCTCATCTCTTTATCTACTCTCTTACTTCTTTTCATCATGCCTTGCATTAATTTAACAAATTACAATCTGAATATCTATTGACATCTTTGCTGTTTTAGGATAAACAAGATAAATGGATAGTTTCTGGAACTCTTTGAACAAGTTATTCAAATCCTTTTTACAAAATTTCCAATTGTTATTACAATTAAGCTCCTGCTGGATTGGATGATTACATGCCAGAATTAATTTATTTTTTATTTTAATTAAATTAAAAAATACAATAAAACTCTTGTAACCTAATAATAATCAATCAACGCTTTTTGTTTTTTTAGTTTTATTATTTTTATTGAAGCATCTCTTTCTAATGCTTCAATTTTTCAGCTAATTACAGTGTATCTTCAGGAGTTAAGAATAATCCATTTCTTCTCCTATCAAATCTACCATCCAACTTATTCTTTTATGATACTATTTATTAGTATTGCATCTTCTCATGATCCAACTTCTTTCTCTTTTTAATTAATTCCTCTTCAATCTATAATTATTAATAATATAAATACATTTTCCAATTCTTATTTCAATTCTTTTTCATCTAAATCAAAATCATCATTCTTTAATTGCTTCTATAGAGCATCCTTCATATTCTTCTTCTTTTTCAAAGAGTGATCCTCCTTTTCCAATCTTTAGGCTTACTTGATCATGTCTCTTGTCTTTTTCACTTAATTAAATGATAATTTGAAATCTTCGAATTTAATTCCGCTGCTTAATAAATCACTCTCCAATTTAGCAAATCTTGCCATATCTTTTGGTCCTATTAAAACTAAAGTCTTTCCTTCTCTATTGATTCTGGCAGTTCTACCACATCTATGGACAAATGTATCAGCTGTAAAGGGAACTTGATAATGAATAACATTTTCAACACCCACAATATCTAGACCTCTTGCAGCTACATCAGTGCAAACCATGATATTGCTCTTTTTGGCTGTGAACTAATCTAATTTAGTTAATCTTTATCTTTATTATTATTAAGAATGTAAAGTAACAGCTGGAAGCTAAAATAATCACATAATATTATTACTCCAAGAACTTTCAACATTGATGTCACTTTGTTTGCATATGTAATAGAATTCAAGAAGATGATGAATGTTTAATCTTCATTGCTTTTAAACCAATGATAGATGTGTAAAAGCTTATCATCCTCTTCCATTAATGATTTATAGAATTATAGTTTCTCTGGGAATACTAGTTGCTAAGTTAAATCAATTATATAGGGTTATTCTTTGATCTTCAATTTGCCTAAGAGTGATTATAATTTAGGAACTGTAGCTTTCATCTATTTCATTAATAATTTATCTGCTGAGTTTTATTAATCAGTTTTTTAAGTTTTCAAGAATTAGAATTTTGAGCCAGTCTTGAATTAATGTGTTAATGTGGCAGAAACTAAAAATGTTCGTAATTCATTTCTAGTCTTTAAGGAGTATTCCTATTATTAGAAGTTTTAAGGCTTCTTCTTTTATTTCTATTTTTACTCTTTCTTTGCCTTTCTGTTCCCTTTTTAATTTTCTTCTTCATCATCATTTTCATCTTCTACATCTTCATCCTCCTAAATTTATTCTTCATCTTCATCTTCATTTTCTTCTTCTTCTTAAATATCTTCTTCATTTTATTCTTCCTCTTCTCCTTCTTCACCATCTTCTCCTTCCTCTTCCTCTTCCTCTTCTCCTTCCTCTTCCTCTTCTTCCACATCGTCTTCTTCTTCTTCTTCTTCTTCTTCTTACTCTTATTCTTCTTCTACTTCTTATTCTTCTTATCCTTCTTATTCTACTTCATCATCTTTATTTATTTCTTCTATATCATTTTATATTACATCATTATCAATGTAAATTTTACCTTTACCATTTTATAATTTAATAAAGTCTTCATAAGACATTTCAACTGGTTTTTCAACTTCAAATGTAATTTTTTAATTGTTTAGATAAGCTGCTTCACTTTGTTCTTTCATCATGGAAAGAATACGATCTTTGTCGTGTGTTATTTATGATGGGGTTGTAATTTTAGTCATAATATTATCGAGTTATGGAAAATGACCCAATTCCACCATTCTGTCAGCTTCATCAATAATTAAAAATTTAATGAGATTCAATTTTTTTATTTTGTCATTTTCTTCATTTTCAATGAAATCCCACAATCTACCTGGTGTAGCAATTAATATCACTGGAGCTGCATTTATAATTCTTTTTTATTTCTCTTTAGACATCCCTCCTACTAAACAACCAATAGACAAGTTTGTGATTGCTTTCAAATGTTTATAAATTTACATTGCCAACTCTCTGGTTGGAGTAAGGATTAATGCTATGATTTGTTTAGCTGGATATTTATCCATATTCTTCAAGATCTCAGAAATTAATGGAATTCCAAATGCCAATGTTTTTCCTGATCCTGTTTAAGATGCTATGATAATATGCTTATGTTTTTGGTAATTATTAAGAACTTCAACTTATACAGGTGTTGGAGTATTAAACCCATTATTTTCTAGATTTTATATAACCTCTTAGTGAATTGCCTCAAATTAATTCCAATTCATTAAATAATTAAAATAATTCAGAAAAGTTAAAAACTTTTAAAATTAATAATCTTTTATTTCTAACAATTTTGCAAACTGATCTAAAAATTTCAATTTGAAATTCCTTCGCTCCTTAATTCAAATATGTGATTAAATTGAGTTTATTATTAATAATATTAGTATTAGATTTTAAGTAATTTACAGATAACAACAGTTTAATTAGTTTCAATATATAATACTTAAATAAATTAATTTCTAAAATCATTTATTAAAATAAAAATTGAAGCCCTTATGTCTAATCTAACCTCAAATAGATTTCATCTTCCTTCTATTGCTTCGAAAGAGGTTTCACCAAAAAAAGAGGCAACAACTACAAGAGCGATGAGACCATCTCTTTTCTTAAATTAGCTTGATGTTCTTCCTTATTCTTTAAAAACAGAGGGAGAAGTTACAGAAAGAAATGTGGGAAATAAAATATACACTCAATTTGAAAGTGATCCTCTTATTGAAATTCCTTATCATTTCCATTTACCTAAAATAGTCCCAGCCAGACCAAAGAGATTTTAGAGATCTTTACCTGAAATTCCTATCATAGCCCAAGAGTCGCGAAACGCATCTCCTGTTGAATATGAGAGACACTAAAAACGAACTAAGCTATTCCTAAAAAGATAAGATTCAAAAATATTGGCACCAGTAACAAAATTTTAAAGAAAAAAAGTGGAGTTTAAGAAATCTTTAATTGTGATTGATATCGAAACAGGAAATTAAGATAAGCAGGAGATCTCTGAGACATAAAAACCACTTAGAAGGATAGCCCATTAAAAGACTAAATCATTTCAAATAAGAAATGAATGATTACATTATTAATCTTCTTATCTACTCTAATTTAAATATCTATAATATTACTAGATTTTATGAGAATCACAGTATTGTATGTTTACAAAAAAAATATTCTAAGAACTTCTACACTTATTCTAACATCATCAATTCTAATTATAGAAAGCAGCAAATGAATTTCTTCTTGGTCACTATAACCATAAATGAACGATAAATTTACAAGAGTATAAATTTCACATCTTCTTTGATTGAACTTTGACATCGAAAAAATGCTGAACCATTTTACTTCTTCAACTTTCATATACAGAATGAATATTTAAGACAATAATGTAAGCACCCATTCTTTGTTTAACTTGCCATTTGATTCGTAAATAGTTTGTTCTATTATTTTACATAATTTTTCAGTCGTTTTAATTATTAAAATGCATAGCAAGTGAAGAAATAAATTTTATTCATTTCATTCTTGATGATAAATTAAAAGAATAGAGAAGGTGGAGGCATGATCGTAATTAGAGGAACTATTAATTAAAATAAAATCATTTTAAATTGAGTACTATCTACATACATATTATTTTAGGATGTTACAACTAAATTGTGAAATTTCAATATATTAAGTTCTAATTTTAATATCTTATAACATTAATTAAGTTCTATTTTAAACATATGGGCGCATGCTCTTCAAAGAAATCCACACTAAAATGCCTTAACCTAGGAAATCTTTAAAATAACTTGATGTCAGAAGGTCCTGCATCCCCCACGTTAATTTTCTCGAAAAGAAAAGATTGCACGCTAGACTTTAATTACGCAGATGAGGTGATCCAACCAACCAATGTGATCGAAGAGAATTATTTAAAATATTATAATTAGATTAGACATCTGGATAAAGTCATTCAAAATTAAAATTCTATAATTGTTTAGCATATTTTGACAAGATAAATTTTTATCGCCGAAGTTTTAGACCATAACGAAAAAACTAATAATTATATTAACAGATTTTCAAACTTAATTCATGAAAATTTATAGGAATTTGTTGAAATATATCGCCATTGCTCATAGTATACGATTATTAAGAATTATTGCAATGGAGGAAGCTTAGAATCATTTATATTAAATGAATCAAAACATATTACTATTCATCAAAAATAAGTTATTTTAAGATAGATTTTAAATGTCATCTCATACTTACACTCAAAATATATTGTTCATGGTAATTTAACATTAAAAAGCTTTGAGATTGTAGATTAATCTTCAAAAATTTAATTAAAATTGGTCGATTTATCCTCCACTTTTATTTCTGATAAAAAACCTGCCTTAAAGCTCAAATATTCAAGTCCTTAATTATTATAAGCACATCTTGACCATCAAATGATAGAGCCAACCTATGAGGATGATATTTGGTCTTTAGGAATCATTGGAGTTCGATTAGTTTATAACTTTTAGCTTTTTACTGGAAATTCGTTAAGAGACTTTTAAGAAAATGTGCTTTAAGAAAGAAGAAATTAGATTCCTTTCATAAATGATTCATTTCATTGTGAAATCTAAGACTTATTAAACCAAATGCTTGAAGTAAACCCTCAAAACAGAATTTCAATGATTGAAATTTTAGAGTCTTCGCTAATGAACTCTTTTTAATTAAATATACCATAAAAAAATATCAACACTAATATAGTTCCTCTTTAACAGATATTTTTTTATATGATGGCTGAAATGTTTAGTGATAATTCTCTTGAATATCTCGCTTAATTAAAAAATACAAAACGAATAACTCGATTTCAACTAGCAACTTTAGTTAGAAAGTAATTTAAACATTTATATAATTAATCATAATCTTTATTTGCTGTCAATCAAATTTTTAAATCACAATAAGAATTATAGTACATTGAACTCATTGTTAGATTTACAGATAAGAGATCAATTATTACAAAAAAAAACTTAACAAAAGCATTCTAACACTTTTCAAATTAATAATAATATCTAAAACTAAATGATATACTCCCATTTTTTTAGGAAAGGGAAATCCCATTGAAATAGGCATTCAAATAGTTCTCTTAAGAAAAAATAGATATCATCTAATTTTTTGCATTAATGTTTGATTATTTAAAATAATAATGAGAAGCTTTAAGGCTAATTTAATGATATCCATTTAAATTTGTATATGTTTATTTAAATATTTATTTTGAATTATTCAAGTAAAATAACTTCATGTAATTTGAACTTATAATTATGAAGCTAATATTAGTTTAAACAAATTTTACTATTTTTTGTTTAAAGATCTCATGAAATAATTATGTATTTTCTGCTTTGTCTTTGGTTAAATAATTAAGATTTACATATGTATATTGTTAACTTATAAATTTTGAAGAATTGATATGTTAAAATTTGGTTATTATCGAATTCATATTATTGTATCTAAGATGGATGAATTTAGATTATAAAGTATAAATACAGTATCATAGTAATGAATTTTTGATTAAATGAAATATAAAAATAAAAATTAAAAAATTGGAGTAGCCGAGCTTCGCTCTCGGCGCCTCGTGAATGCAAATCACGCGCTCTACTAAATGAGCTACTACCCCACACTGATTAATATATATAACTATCCTTAATAGATAGTACGTAATTTAAAATGAATATATATACATGTTAACCTTTAAAAAGCTTCTTAGTCTTGAGTCTTTAATTCAAAAACAATTTAGTTAACTGTGAGAACTAATAATAGCAGTTAAATTAAGAATACTAATTTTAGTGTGATTTCTGTTAAATTTCTTTATAATCAATAATATTAAATTGCTTAAAGTTACATGATCATGTACATGAAGGAAATTATTTAAAATTCTAATTTTTGATGTTCTATTATTATGTTTAAAATGAGAAAATGATTTAAGAAGGCATGAAGATGATGAGAAAAAGTTGTTTAAATAATTAATCAATATTATTTCTATTTATTTTTTTCAAAAACTAAGTTAGAAAAATAATTTTTTCTNAAAACAGAATTTCAATGATTGAAATTTTAGAGTCTTCGCTAATGAACTCTTTTTAATTAAATATACCATAAAAAAATATCAACACTAATATAGTTCCTCTTTAACAGATATTTTTTTATATGATGGCTGAAATGTTTAGTGATAATTCTCTTGAATATCTCGCTTAATTAAAAAATACAAAACGAATAACTCGATTTCAACTAGCAACTTTAGTTAGAAAGTAATTTAAACATTTATATAATTAATCATAATCTTTATTTGCTGTCAATCAAATTTTTAAATCACAATAAGAATTATAGTACATTGAACTCATTGTTAGATTTACAGATAAGAGATCAATTATTACAAAAAAAAACTTAACAAAAGCATTCTAACACTTTTCAAATTAATAATAATATCTAAAACTAAATGATATACTCCCATTTTTTTAGGAAAGGGAAATCCCATTGAAATAGGCATTCAAATAGTTCTCTTAAGAAAAAATAGATATCATCTAATTTTTTGCATTAATGTTTGATTATTTAAAATAATAATGAGAAGCTTTAAGGCTAATTTAATGATATCCATTTAAATTTGTATATGTTTATTTAAATATTTATTTTGAATTATTCAAGTAAAATAACTTCATGTAATTTGAACTTATAATTATGAAGCTAATATTAGTTTAAACAAATTTTACTATTTTTTGTTTAAAGATCTCATGAAATAATTATGTATTTTCTGCTTTGTCTTTGGTTAAATAATTAAGATTTACATATGTATATTGTTAACTTATAAATTTTGAAGAATTGATATGTTAAAATTTGGTTATTATCGAATTCATATTATTGTATCTAAGATGGATGAATTTAGATTATAAAGTATAAATACAGTATCATAGTAATGAATTTTTGATTAAATGAAATATAAAAATAAAAATTAAAAAATTGGAGTAGCCGAGCTTCGCTCTCGGCGCCTCGTGAATGCAAATCACGCGCTCTACTAAATGAGCTACTACCCCACACTGATTAATATATATAACTATCCTTAATAGATAGTACGTAATTTAAAATGAATATATATACATGTTAACCTTTAAAAAGCTTCTTAGTCTTGAGTCTTTAATTCAAAAACAATTTAGTTAACTGTGAGAACTAATAATAGCAGTTAAATTAAGAATACTAATTTTAGTGTGATTTCTGTTAAATTTCTTTATAATCAATAATATTAAATTGCTTAAAGTTACATGATCATGTACATGAAGGAAATTATTTAAAATTCTAATTTTTGATGTTCTATTATTATGTTTAAAATGAGAAAATGATTTAAGAAGGCATGAAGATGATGAGAAAAAGTTGTTTAAATAATTAATCAATATTATTTCTATTTATTTTTTTCAAAAACTAAGTTAGAAAAATAATTTTTTCTGACAAGTTATAATAATATTGTATAATGATTTAAAAAGACTATTGAAAATTTTGATTTATAATCATATGTTTTATAGTGTTAATGGTTAAACATATACCTATTAATAAATTTATATATCAATAATTCAAAATGATACTGTCACCATACTTGTAACCTACTGATCCAACCATTATTAAAAATAATTTATCAGAAAAATGACTTTGAATTTTGAAATATGGATGAAGTAAGAAAATAATATATTACTAGTAAAATATTATAACAAAAATAATTTTTTAATGAATATAAAATAAAAATTAAAAAATTGGAGTAGCCGAGCTTCGCTCTCGGCGCCTCGTGAATGCAAATCACGCGCTCTACTAAATGAGCTACTACCCCTGAGCTGATTAATATATATAACTATCCTTTATAAATAGGTGGCGACATTCAATGAACTAAATTGATTTGTAGAACTCGATACTTACATTAATCAAGAGTAAATTTGATATGTAAATAATTTATAATAGTTATTTGTAACTAATATTTAATAAGAATAGCAAAGCCTTAAGTCTGGTAGTATAAATCTTACAACAGGATATCTCCATTTTGAATTAATTATTCAACTACATTTTTCTTTTAGTCCAATCATTTAAAAAAATCAATGTATTAAGTCATTATGCAAATAAATCAAATTCTTTACTTCCAAGAACCCATAGATACCAAGTAATTAGACTTGCTCTGTGATTTATGAATTATATTATCAACAACCAGAATAGTTTATCACTTTTCTCGAACAATTATAATTAATTTACAAACTATGATACGATCAATTGCATTCCACATTAAAAATGCAACTCGCATTTACTAAGCCTCAAGATACTTACCAAAATATTTGTTGTCTGAGAATGTCAAAGAAAAGTAAATAAGAGAAAATGATATGCTTTGGATCGCAGCCAATGCAGAGTAATCATCAATTCAATAAACTATAGTGATAAAAGATGTTCGATTATAGAAATTCAAAAATTCATATAAGAAGAACCATTACTAGAATAATCTCCAATTCGATTAATGGACCTGGGAAATAATTACTTCAGACACATTAATCCCAGAAAAAAGAAGACTATGCTATAACTCTTAGATGCCTACGTTGATAACCTCACTTAAGAAGAAACCTAACTCTTTCAAGATGCCTTATCCATTTATTTTGATAATACGTATTAAGGAAAGGATATGGAGAATTTGAGTTGGGAAGAGAAGGATTTTCCAGAACCATTATTATGGCATATCTACAGCTTAATGATATTTGATAGACTGAGCAGTCATTATGCTCGTTATGAATATCTGGAGTAATTTAGGATTATCGAATTTTTTAATCAACGAGATAAAGTACCAACATATTATTATGTATAAATTTTTAGTCAAAAGTCAACAGAGTGAAGTATGTGTTTACTTCTCATCCTACACAACCAAATTCGTTAACATAGTTGATTGCTATAAGTAGAATGCTCCAAGGGATTGAATAAAATGACTACAAGTATCTTAAGTATGCTGCAAAATTATTTATCCAATCAAACAAATAAAGAGTATTTAATGTAAATACTCCAACATCATATCTTATAGAAAGTCTCTTACATTGAAGAATCATTAATCTATCATTCCTAATATTTACCAAATCTAATTAAGGCTGTAGCTCAGGCTTATGAACTTGGTTTGTAAAACCCTGAATATTATTTTGAGACTCCTGGTACTTGGTTGACATTTGATTTTGATAATCACCCTGGAATGGTAGCATCTCATTATATATTCATAGGAAATTGGTATTATGTCCTATACACATGGATTGACAATTGATTTGACATTATAATAGTACAAGGAGTATATTGCTGAAGCAAAATTGGAGGAGAATGAAGATTTTAAGAAGATATTAGAATTATATTAATCAGCTTTAGATTATAGCAAAGACATCAGAGATTTAAGTGAAAAATTTAGAGTCAAGAAGGAGATTTCACTTGAAGAATTTTATTAATAAATGCCTATTTTCAATATTAAAAAGATAGAAGATTAAATTAATTAAATTCTAGATCACATCTTGGCTAAAAATGATGATTCTAAAGAATACTTTATTGCTCTGAAGTTGAAGAAACTTTATTCTATTTTCAGATTAACAGGAGTATTGGGACAAATTAGACTGGCTGGTGAAGACTTGACAGATGTATAAATACTTATCTTATTAAGCTTAACAAAATCAAACCAATGATCAAAAATATATTCAAAGAACTCTCGCTTTTAAATGCCAATGGACAAGCAGCAGACATGATTATTATTGCCAATTTCCAAACTTAATCATAGTATGATTTAGTTAATGAATTAATTAACCAGTATAAGGTGTAGAATGTAGAAATAGTACCATTGTTGGAAACCTTCTCATCAACAAACAATACTGATTCTAAAATAACTATGATTGCCAGTAGTGACACACGATAAAGAGATGGCTTGATCTTAACTGAACTCAGAAATATGAGAGAATACAAAAGGAATCCAGAAAAGTATATATATATGGGATAGGGTATCACTCCAGAAAGAGGAGGTGGGCCATATACTTTGATCCATACTAAGTATTAAGCATTAACGAGAGCACAACGAAAAAGACATATAAGAACTATCTAAGGTCACTATTTCACCTCAGAGTTTGCTAGTGAAGATGTTGCCTTCACTTTTTTGTTGAATGGCTTAGCAAACATTAATTACAGTGATGATTTCGAACCCTCTTATGAATACATGGATTTTTTGTTTGAATTAGGTAAATTGATTGTAATAGTGTAGATAATATAATTGGGGTTCCTTAAAGAGCAATGTAAAAAACCAAAGAGTACAATGACTTGTATGTGAAAAATTAAGTTGTCAAAACTATGGTTGAATCTTTCAATTTTGGAGGAAGTCGAGAGGTTGCTAAACCTTTTGAAAGCATAAAGAATCAGAGAGCAATTGTTCAAGCTTATTGCAATAGTGACAGATGCTCCTTCACTCACCCAGAATTAGCTTATTGGGATAGAGTTCCAGAAGAGCTAATCAATAAAATAGCAAATTATTACTATAATAATCATCCTCATATGAAATACATGCTTTACATGTATGCTTTAATGGCCAGAAGATGTGACTTAGATTTTGCAAAGTAGGAAGTTGGATTGGATTCTTCTAACCCTTATTTTTAAGCTATGTAAAAGGGGAGAGCAGCCTTAATCAAAATTTTAGATCAATTAGGCTTAGGTGATAATAGTACTCCAATGATTGCAATTTGGAAATAGCATCTGGGGTGTCAATTATAATCGATGAATATGGAAGTCAATTAAAAGTTTTAAACATTTAGAACTCTGAATTAACTACAATTGTACTAGGCTAAAAAAATGGTTAAACACGGCATTTTAGAAACTGACATTGCTGCAAGTTAAAGAAAATTGAGAATTTTACAATCTACATTGGCAAACATGACATCCTTTGCTGGAAAGGGTTGATTTATTAATCTTAAGATAATTAAAATAATTTTATATCAGTGCATTTCTAATTAATTTCTATTTGTATTATTTCTAAATAATATTAAAATGATTTAATTAAGTAAAGATTCTTATTTTTGCTACTTGTACAAAAACCCCTTATTAAATGAATTTAAAAGACTATTTTAAGCTAATAACTTCAACTATGATTAAATTATAATTTATCTACTTTTATTGCTTTTAATTATTACTACTTTATTCCTAGTTTATCATGTGAATAAATTCCAATATTAAGCATAAATATTTTTAAAATTTTTTCAGTTAAACCAATTTAGTTGCACCAACTAAAAATAAGATTGGATTGAGGTGCTGAATCAAATGGCAGGAGTTAGGAATAATGGTCATCAAAGACCAAAAAATGTATACAATGTATTACAAATTCTAAAAGAAGTTCACTTGTTAAAATTTAATGTTGGTATTCAGACACATTATTTTGTTTTTTGATTAATTCTTTTTTATGAAAGAAAATTCTGGAGAATCGGAAAATAAAGAATGAGCAAAACTAATCATCTAGCACATATTTCCATCACTAACAGCAAACCACTAAATGACAAGGGCCAGAATCATAAAAAATAAGGCCTAAATGAACTTCTTATAGAATTTGCAATTCCTTGAATACTTCTTTTGAATTTGAAGATCATTATGAAATGACAATATCAAAATATCATTATAATATAATTACGTAATTAAAAAAAATTAAAAGTTTGAATTCCAATTAACACTTGTTGTTTCAAATTATGAGGATATAAGTGAATATGGTAATCGTTTAAATGACATAAAATTTGATATATCAAAACCAAAAATTTTTAATATGATATTTCTTATGCTTTAAAGAATATCATACTTATATTGTTATAAAAATATTTTTTAAATCATTTCGACATATTAGAATGAATACCAAAGGTCTTTAAATAAGAATAAAACTATTTGGTATCAGCATGGTTTTGGTTCTGTAAGGCATCTCTATCTGCTTAAAACATTAGGATATTTCAGTAATATATATATTAGAACATTATATTAAAAAAATACACAACTAAAATTTTGATTTGATCCCTCATTCTAATAACATTAGATATTAGCCCTGAAAGTATTAATTATATGCTCATACATTTTAAACTTAATATCTTTAGTTCTATCTTTAATTTTACCCAAAAATTTATACCTACTAACCCTAGGAATAAGGTTAATTGAGAGTACCTGATATAGCAGAAAAATTTATTTCATCGCTTTAATACTGTAAGGTCTTCATTTAGTCTCTTAAATTTAATTTTTATCTGGCCAAGAGATTAAATTTTTAACTTAATAATTTAATACTTAATAGTATATATATTTTAAGGGAACATAAATTTGTATATAATTTTTAATTATTACTATTAGATTGTTATTAATTTATATAGATATATATATATCTATATAATTGGAGGAAGTTATTCTAATTTCGTTTAATTTAGCGAGAATACAAAATTATATAATCATGCCTTTAGATTAAGAAATAATATCCTACTTCAATTGAATTATTCAAATAAAAATATAAATAGATTTTTTAAAAAGTAAAACCTCTAGAGAATATTCAGTAATTAATATTTATTTGCTACATATATTATAAATAAATAAATTCTAAATTCTTGTTCTTGTATATATTTATACTGATATTATTACAAATGTTTTGAAATTCCTTATGAAAAAAAATGATAACTGAAATTATTATAGGAACCTTGAAAAGAGGGTATTCCAAAGAAATCATTCAGTATTAAACAATAAAGGCTTTTGATGGAAAAATAATATTATATTGAAGAATTCAAAGTTTAATTGAAATTAATTCATCCTTTTCTCTAACATTTATTTGGTTCCTCTTAAAATCGGAATAGCAATAAATTGCTATGTTTTGAAGCTCAACAATTCCTATTTTTTGATTTGCTTTCCCAAGTTTTATTTACTAAATAATTAATAGTATTTATAAATTAATGGCGTCCATTCCAATCTATTGTTAAAATCATACTCAGAAACAAATTTCATTTATTTGTATTTCATAACATGAATGTCAAAGAATGCTGTGCTCAGATTGTCTTTACACTCACAAAATTCCTTTTGATAAAACCCTAACAATCTAAAAATTTAAAGAACGTTTAAAAGCAAAAATAGTTGAATTATAAATTAGTGATCAGTCTGAATTAAAAGCTTAAAGGCTTAGATTTTAAATAATGATTAATGAATTAGAATAGAAATTTAAAGTTTTCATTTAAAATATCAGATAAACAACTCTAAAAATGTACCAAGAAATTGAGTCCTAAGAATAATTTTTCTACAAATTTTTGACGGATAATATAGCATTAAGCAATACATCTTGGCAAGATATCAATATTTTAGTTGACATCTTGGAAGGTATTAAGCTAAATACTCATCTTAAAATAAAAGAATAAAAATTATTAACACTTCAAAAACTCAATTCAAATTTATCAAACCAAATCTCCTAATTAGATAAGAATATATAACATTTCATTGCTACATGGTATTTGAAATTCAGATAATTAGTTAAAAGATTGATTAGATGATAGAGAACAAAGTGTAGAAAATATAAAAAGATATTAAGAATAAAATTCACTTTAAATGGAAAGATGGAATTTTCAGAGAAACTGGATGGTACAGATACAAAAATAGATTATACAAAACCAAATTCAAGATTGAAGTTACTGCTTAAGGAAAAATATAATATATAAAAGATGGAGCAATTATGAGAATGTAAGTACTTTCAAATTAATAAGGGACAATAAGCAAGATATTTAAATGAATAATAATGATATTTGTAGAAATATCGAATAAATTAAAAAATTAAGCTGGAGAGGGTCATACAATAAAGCTAACAAGAAAATAGGAAAGTGGACAATTATTTGGAAGAATGAAGTTACTGATTTTGGAGGTGTTTATGATGATAAAGGAAATAAAACCGATATTTGGAAAGAATAATACGAAAATTATTCTGAGTATATATCATATATCAAAATCTAGTTTATTTAAAGCATTATACATTGGAGAATATATTGATGGTAAAAAAATTGGAAATTGGATTACAAAACTAGATAATCTTATCATGTAAGAAATAACTACAAATAAATATATTAGTGGCGGAGGCAATTATATTCTACCCAATGTGAAGGATGGAAAATGGGTGGAATTGAACACTAATCTTAAAAGGTAATTTAATATTAGATTAAGTGAATTTTAAGTTTACATAATAGGGGAATATAAAAATGGAAAAAAATAAGGAATTGAGCTCATAGTCCATCAGAATAAAATTATGTAAATTAACTTAGTTTTATATTAGAGCATAAGGAATATACGATCAAGATGGAAAGAAGAATGGAAAGTGGGTTGAAGTTTTTGAAAATTATAATAAGTAGAATACATATTAAAAAAGGGATTGCTAAGTATTTTGGGTTGGAATTTATAGAGAAGGGCTAAAATACGGAAAATGGAATCTTGTATCATAGAAACAAGAAAAATCTTAGGAAGTCATAATGTAAAAATATAAGTATATAAATAGTGGGGGTGGTACATATGATGAATTAGGTTTAAAGATTGGATAATGGATTGAATTACATAATAATTATCAAAAGTAGGATATTAAATTAGATAATAGTAATTGCTAGGTTACTTATAATGGTTAATATAAATAAGGGAAAAAAATTGGAAAATGGATAACTTCGTATAAACCAAAAAATAAATAAGATATCAGGACAATGTAAATAATGGTATAATATGTAGTTGTAACGGTAATTATGATGAAAATGGAAATAAAACAGGAAATTGGATAGTATTACACAAAAACTTTTTTGAGTTTTAATCATTTATAATTTAGTGGCTGTTTAATTAATTATGAAGGAGTTTACAAGTTTGGCAAAAAACAAGGTTATTGGAAAACTTAATATTGCCAGGATACAAAAAAAAACCCTGAAATTATGTATGAATTTTATGATTTTTAGAGGTGGTGGCGCTTATAATGAAAATGGCCAGAAGAACGAGGAATGGATTGATTTGGATGAGAATTTTTGGGAGTATATTTTCATCATAACTATATAGCGATTCATAAATTATATATAAAGGTTATTACTGCAATGGTTAAAAATAAAAGAAGTGGGATACAATGTTAAGGATAAATATCGAATCATAGTTTTAAAACATGTAAATCACTAATATAATAAAAAGTGGCGGGGGCTAATTTAATGAAAATGGAATGAAGGATGGAAAGTGGATCGAATTGTGTGATAATTTCTTTTGGTTTTATATTTAATAATTATCAAAGCTGGAATCAATGCGTATTAATTGGAGAATATTAGAACGGATTAAAGAAAGGGGATTTTGTTGAAAAAAAGTTGAATTGATTTACAATTTAAATTAAAAAAATTAAAAAATTTTAAAAGGGCTACATTTACTCAATAGTTAAAAAGGCATAAAATTATTATCCCAATTATAACATAAATATACTATAATTATCATTTGTCATAATTTATTTCTTTTATTTTTGTATCTTTTTCCATAATCAACCAAATACCACAATTTTTACCATTTTTATATTCACCACTCTTAGTTATTTAAGAATTATATGAAAACCCTTCTGACACTTCTACCCAATTACCCGATTTAATCCCTGTACCTCTTTCATCGTATGATCCACCACCACTTTAGAATATTAATTAGTATTTTTAATCTTTTATATTAATTTTTACATCTTTGAAATTTAATTATCATCTACATTCTTATACCAAATATTCCAACTGCCAATCTTTTAGCCTTTTTCGTATTAGCCTTCCCAAGTTACTTAAGAAAGATATGTAAACTCTTCTGAAACTTCTACCCAACACCCCAATTTAGTTTCTTAGCCTTCTTCATCATATGATCCACCGCCACTTCATTAATCGCATAGATTATTAATATGCCCGCTTTATAATATAATTTTACATCTTTGACATTTCATAGAGGATATTCCACTTACCAATTTTTTTACCTTTTTGATATTCACCTTCCCAAGTTATTTAAGAACAATCACTAAATCCATCGGATTCTTCCACCCATTAACCAAATTTAATCCCATCAGTATATTATCCGCCTCCACTGTAACACATATAATTGTTATTAAAAGCACATAATATTTTATTTCTTACATTTTAATTTTTTCATCATCCTCTTGAAACCATATATCCCATCTATCAAATTTGCTTCCATTTTTATATACACCAACATAAGTGACTTAAGAATCTTCGGAAAAACTATTAGAAATCTCCACCCAATTTCCAAACTTATTGCCTCCTTCATCATACGATCCACCTCCACTAAACACATATTCATTTTCATTATTATATGCAAATTAGATATAAATTTTTACATCCTTTCTTTTTGCTCATCACCAAACTCAATCTTATACCAAATATCCCATACACCAATTTTTGTTCCATTTTTATATTCACCAACATAAGTAACTTAAAAATCATCGGAAAAACACTCATGTATTTCCACCCAATTGCCTAATTTATGGCCTCCTTCATCATATAACCCACCCCCACTTCAGCATAAACAATTGATATTGTAGTTATATTACATTTGAAAGTTTTGTTTATTATCTTAGTCCTTATACCACATATCCCATCTGCCGACCTTTTTACCTTTATGATACTCTCCATTTTCTGTCACCCTGCTACAATAAGAAAATCCATTCCCTAGTTCAACCCAATTACCCTACTTAATTCCTTCACCATCTCCAAAAGTCCCACCGCCACTAAAATTTGTTATGATCATAAGCTTTTATTTAAAATTGTTACATCTTTATATTTTCATAGAAGATATCCCAACAACCCACTTTTTTATCCTATTTGTATTCGCCATCCCAAGTTACTTTTAATTAGTCATAAAACCCTTCATCCAATTCAATCCATTTACCAATTTTCTAAGATAGCTCATTGTATGATCCACCTCCAACACTTTAATGTTAAATAATAATACATGGTTTTGTCTTATTCTGTAATATTCCACCTTCCTTTCTTTTGATTATGAAAATATTCTCCACTTTCAAATACTTTGGCTTAACTATGTTTGTATTGCCTAATATTACATACCTCCAATAATTCTTAATCGGCTCTTTCCATAAGCCTTCCTTTAAATCTTCTTTGTAGTATCCTCCAACATTTTAAAGAGCTTCTCCATCCCAAGTGGCTGACCATTTACCTACTTTTCTTTAATTCTTCCCATATTCACCATGCCATTGAAGATAGGCAATTTATTCCATATTATTTAAGACTTCTAAATTTCTTGAATTTTCTTAATAAAGTTCTCTATAAAAACTTAATAATTTATCACATACTGTCTCAAAATAACACCTTCTAATTTTGTGTAGATGAGGTTATTTTCTTATGTAATTCTGATTTGGAGTTTAGTCTTTACAAGTCTTGTTTTATTATAATCCCACTTTTCAACTTCCAATTCCTTTATAATTTAGTTCTATAAATTTGAAATTGATAACTCAGATTGGTTTGCTGCCTATGAAATCATATTAATTAATATTAATAAAATTGATTTTCGCTGTGCCTTTTTGCTATCAATTATATAAAGTAGCTTTTAAAAGACTAAATGAGCATATTTTGGTCAATTCTGAAAAAAAATATGATGAGTTGTAACTCTCTTTTAATAGATTTAATTTTTTATAAAAATTAAATTTTCAAATCTGATGGAAGCTATTCTTTAAAAAAAACACTTTTAAACCTTTAGGATCTAGAATAATTAAGCCGAAAAACATTTAATAAAAGGGAAATTACATTATTAAATGATACAAATAATACAATAATTATTTTTGAATATTTGCAGCTAATACTTCATTTATTAATGTATTAATAAGATATAAACGTTTGTTAAACTTTATCAATTTGATGATATCCATTAATTTTTTTGATTTATTCAATAGATCAATTTATAATCTTGAATTATAAGAAATATCATACTTTATTCTAATTTTGTTAATTTACTAAAATGAGAGTTTTAGTACATAAAGTGATCAATAATAGTATCAATATAAAGCGAATTCGACACAATGATTTCCAATTTTCCTTCTAAAAGAATTCTAAATTTAATCTAACTAATTCTGGTTCAATTTTAAATTAGATAGAATTAATTAAATTAATTTTAGGCTCAACAAATTTGATAGAATCAGCATCACAAAATTTATTATATCAACTTTATAAATTGAAGCACATTTATTAAAATTATTAAGGTATATTATTTTCAAAAATTGTTTGATGAAGGAAACAGACATTAAAATCAAATATAATTTTTTTTAAATATTTATCTTTATATAATTACTCAAATCTAATTTTTTTTGAAAAATTGAATCATTAACTAAACGCATTACTAACTAACTTCATGTTCTAGATTTGGTAGTATGATATGTTCATAATTTAAGCGGTTAATTGTTTTCAATCTTTCAAGACTTCTTGATAAAAATTCGCAGGGAACCACCTAATCATCTTTTCCATGAATAATCAAAAGTGGAGTTTTATCTTGAATTTCTTATAATTTTGTAGAAGTAAATAAATCTCCTGATAAGCCAACTATACCTCCAAGTGTTTAAGAATAACTCAAACCAACTTCTAATGCCATACAACAACCTTATGAAAATCCACCAATGAATACATTTTTTGCTGATACTTTTGCTACCTCTTCATTTAAATATTAATTGATCATCATTTTTGATTCCTCAATTTCATCTATAGATACAGTCTAATAATGAATATTAGATTTACAGTTTTAAAATATTCCAAATCTGAATTTTTTACAATATCTGGTTCCATTACTTTTATATCAAACCAACTTGAACTAACATGCCCTTTATTTATAGTAACTCGTCTTTTAGGAGCTTAAAGTAGAAGTATTTTGGTTTCTGGATTGACAATTTACTATTTTTGAAACATACTTAAGAAACCATAAGAAGTATCCCCCAATCCGTGCATCTAATTGTAAATTTTTCATTACCCAAATCAATGAATATTTATGATCTGATTTTGGAAAGAGAATTAGGCTACCATCCGCCTATTTTTATTCTTTTACAAACATTTTATAAATAATTTATTAGTTTCTTCAAATTACATTCATAACTAATTATACAATAAGAATTATAGATGACTTTTCTATAATAGATGGAAATATCATTACTAAATTATTTAAGACTTTAAACTCTAATCCAAAAACTAATTTACAAACATGCAATAACTAATTATTTATTGAAAACAAGACAATATTATCACCTCAAATTTCCATTAATCTGTGTAGAGATATTACAATTTAAGTAAAATAATGCTTTCTACTACTTTTTAAAAAACAAAACTACAATAGAAATCATGTGGAAATTAAAAGTATAAAAATAAATAAATCATTTGTTATCTTAATAATATTTTGATGTTATTATGCCTCTCTTATGGTAACAACTTTATGAATTTAAATTCCCTTTTGTATATGAGACTCTATATGGAAATAATTAAAAAATGAATTAAATTAGATAATGTGAAATTATTTTAAATTTTACATTCATTTGAATATCAAATAATTAGTATCGCATAGTTGTAACCCTATTTTGCATATATATCTATAATGATAAGATTTCAATTTTAATTTCCCTATATAGAAATCCTCATTGAATTATTTTCTTTAACAAAAAATACTAAATCGTCTGCATATGCTTATTAAACTTCAAATTCATAGTGAAAGATCTAAGAAAATTAGTTCGAATTTCATCAAGATAAATCTTAAACAATAATGGTGATATTGGTGGACCTGATACTACATTGTTTTCAAAGCATATTTTGTATTCTTCCGTTATTGGTCTATAAAGAAAAAATTTGAATAAGTGCAAAACTTGTCTTATTAGATAATAAAAATAGATTTATTTCTAATTATTTAATAATATTTCTCTCTACATTTTGCGTTATAAGAACTATTAAAATCAATAAAAATCTTATCAAGGTTTTCCAACTTCTTTGTTTATAGTGATTGTTTTTCTTAGGATATATAATTTTATATTTCTTATACATCTGAGTGAGGGGAGTGTTTAGGGATTGAAGGTTACTGAATGAGAAATTTTCCAAGCTCATTTAAGCAATTGCTAATACATTCCAAGCCACAAAGTAGTTCTTCATTTTTTAAATCATTTAAAGATTTTTGAGAATATAATATTCAAATTTTAAGAGTTAAAATTTGAATCTCTCATCAATAATTTAATGTAAAGAATAAAAACTCTAAAATCCCAATTAGTGTTCCAAATAAGTGTGCTGGTCAAATTTAAACATTTAGAAATAATTAAAATTATTTAACGATTTTATATCGCTATACAATTTTTGATGCTTTTTTGATTTCAAAAAGTAAATTAGTATTTTTATAAAATTCTATAATTGAAGTCATTCTAAATATAAATATATAAATTAATTAAATAATATCGTAATTTTAAATTAACATATAAAAATAGATAATATTATTGAATATTTCCTTAAAAATTTTAATAAAAGTAAAAGTAAAAATGAAGTTTCTGTGATTACTTTATTTAAAAAGAGAATTATAAATGGACATTATATAAATTTTTAAATTCACTGCATGGTAAATTCTTCATTCCTCCTTATTATCTCTATTAAATTTCTCGTTGCCACTTAATTATGTTTTCGTATTAAATTTAGACTTCAATTATTCATTTTGTTTTAAAATTCTATCATAGGTTAATATTTACATTTAATCAAAAACATTTGATTCCAAGACATATTTCGGAGAATTTAGTGAAGATTATTTTATAGATTCTCTAATTAAATACTCTTAATCTTTGGCAGGATGTAGGCTTCTTAAGCTTAATTGATTTGTGTGAATTTATTGATCTGAACTTCTATGACTGTCTAGTTTCTACTAAGAAATCTTGAATGCAATAATCTCTTTAGCTTATGGTATTAAAAATTGTTTTAATTTCATGTATAATTCTGCAACTCTTTTTCTTTTTTCTCTATGGTCCATTAATAATCTTGATATAAATGGAACTCTATTAAGAAAAGGAAAGAGTTTTCTGATAGATTATTTGAATTTTTCTACTCTTTCCATAGTAAAACCTGCCTTTTTGAAATATTCCACTACAATTTTTTATAGCAAAGTATAAGATATTAAGAAATTCAATATAGCAATTAACAAAAAATACGGAATTTTAACTTCAGACACATTAGTGGATTCTGAAATATAAATGCCAGCTGCTAAGATTATTGTGGCCAGACAAGTATTCATAGTTTGACAATCTAATTTATTAAGTTAATCACGATTATAAGGCTTGTATTTTTTACTTAATTCTAAATAAACTACAATAATGATTGCAACCATAGTGGCTTTTAAGATTACATTATCATCATAATAAATTAGGCAAATCATCATTAGTTATTTTTATGAAATTTTGATTAATTCCCAAAAGTAAGCTTTGAACTTGTATTCGTTATACAAATAACCCCATTACAATTTTACATGATTCTTATCCAAATTTTAAGAATTTCTGCGCAAATTAAATAGGAAATAAGATGGGATTATAATAGATAAAAGAGTAAGCATAGGAATACAAAATTAAAGAATCCACCTATAGTGATAGGAAGTGTCAAATCTTTAGGAAGTATTCGCTTAGATCCACTAGTAACCTGAGATGTTTCTAGATGATATAAGTTATGCAAATCCTCCAACTAAACTCGTTTGTAAATAGATGTACATGTATATAATAGTGGTTGTAATAACACTCTTATTATAACTAGCAAGTTTAAATTTAATTGCAATCAAGTAGCATGTGAAGAAGAAACTGATATAAACAAAAGGTAAAATGATTTACCAAATCATTCGGCCATATTGAATTTCGAATGAGAAAAGAGTAGCTAAAAAGCAATCCATTGAATACGTCATAGTTTAAACAGGCGATCCTGCAGTATCAATAGTACTTTAAAATTAGATTGGCAATTTCAATTTAAACGTAGCAATAACAGCCAAAATTTGGAGATAGTTAGTTAATATTTTGATTAAAATTGCTGATTAGTTCCTAGTCTAAATTGCTGCTAATTTAATAAGAAGGATGCTGGTAACTCTGATTGATTATTTGATAGATTTTAGATTACTTTAAACTGATATGAAAATTGATATCAAAGTCCTTAAATTAATCATTTAATAATTACCATATAGTCACGAAAGTGATCAAAATGAAATTCCTTGAAGTTTCTTAACATGAAGCACAAGAGTATTTTTAACTGGTTGAAAAATGAGTTTCCTCTCTAATTCCATATAAATCGCATTCTTCACACAAAGCTCCTATATGGCCTTTGAGACATGATATATCCCCTTCAATCCATCCTCCTAAGCAATTTTCAGGTTTGTTTATGCAATTACTAATTCTATTGGTTTCAAAATATGGTCTCCAATACCCAGCTTTTAAATTCAATAAAGCAGACTAAACACTTATTGTTGAAATATCATCTTTGAGTTCACATTTCTAAGCATCGATTGTTAAAGAAAATAATCCTTGCTCACTATTGCATGGGATACATGAAAAGTCTGTATAATTTTTTGTTTCTCCATATTAACAGTCAAAAGTTTTGATATTCACTCTCAAATGATAGTTTGAATGTTTATTTAATATATTATATGGGTACTCTTTATTATATATGGGCACAATTATTGAATCACACCAGAATTATAGCTATAATACAATATTTGAAGGCTATTTGTTGTCAAAATAAACAATTAATTCATCTAAGTTATAGTCTTGAGTAGTTTCATTAAACAAAACTTTTTAAATGTTTGTTAGATTATTTGAGAAGAAACCACTATCATCATTATTGGATTTATTCAATATTCTACTTTCTAATGTACAATATGTGTTTCTGAGATTTTTAATAATTTATTAATCTCTTCCTTAAGCAATTACTCTAAATATTAGATATAATGGTGAATATGATCTAGAATGTTTATCGAATTTAACATAACTAGAAATCTTTTGTCCACTTGGAAGTCGAATTTCATTATCGAATTTAATCTACTATAATTATTGTTACACTTATTCAATTAGAATATTATCTGTATCCATAATTTTTACAGTTTCTAAAAAGGTCTTTTCATCAAATTAGACTATTGTAAGTTTCTAAGGAGTTGCAACAATATTATTACCGAAAAGTTCGGCTGAATTATTGCTGATTTGGGTTTGGAGTGCAAGATAATCTATATCATTTGAATCTTCCAAATACAACCCACCTCCTATCTTTGCTTAATTCTTCAGTATCCAACTATTGGTTATCAATACTTCCTCACTTTCTCTAACATATACAGCTCCTCCTGATTGTTATGCATTATTAAATTAAAATAGACAATTCTACATCTTTACTTTAACATTCGAAATATAAATACACGTTCCATTTGTTCCAAAGTTGTATTAACAAAGGTATTTATTTATTGAGAACTCTTATTCCAATTATTTAATGAATTTCTCATTTGACTCTAACAATCTTCTGTTTTAAATATTACTTTTTTCAATATTTAAACAGCCTTACCTTCCACAATTAGAATCAGATATCATAATATCTGAAATATATTATTAATCAAATAAGTTGGAAATCTTTTAAAAATTAAAATAAATTAACCCGTTTAAACAAAATTAACAATTGATTCTTCCTAATTTTATTTAATTTAGCTTGATTGTTGTTTGTTCAGTAAGATCTAAGAATAAAATTAGCCCAGAATTGAGATCATCTAAAACTATTTAATCCATATTCTTATTTATGAATGAAAATATGCAGTCGCCATAAGACATTGTCTTACCTTTGTATTTTTGGAACAAATCAATAGGAGCTGATTATTTTATGCAAGCAAACTGAATAGGATTTTATTCTATTTAATTTGATTCACAGTTATAACTATTCTACTTAAAAACTGTAGTTATGTTTTATATTTAGATGTTTTTTAGTGATATAATTTAATCTTAATCTATAATAATATTTAAATACTAATTACATATATTTGTAGATATTCTTATTAGGTTTGAGTTTATCAAACTATTGGATATAAATAACATCTTAATTGAGAGTTCGGTGATGCTAGAGATCAAAATAGCAGATTCAAGAACAATGTTTTCAATAATCACATTGAAAAAACTCACTTTAGATGCCGAATTAATAAAACATTATACTCTATTATTAATTAACAAGATTTCCTCAGATTTGGATAGTTAGGTATATTAATTCAAATAGTTTATAAAACCATCTTAAGTGTTTTCGATAAAGATATTATTAAATTCAATCAACTGTGATGATTATTAAAGTGAAGAAAAAGTTGCATATATTACAGATCCCTATTTTGCATAAGCATTTTGGATATTTAATCTATTTAAAAACATTTGAACCTATGAAGTTCCTGCTGTAATATATAAGAACCCACCTTATTCTTAAGCATAGATATTTTTAATAGTAAGATCTTCAAAAGTTATGATCAATTACTAAGAAGAAGTACCATCTAAATATATAGATCCCCCAAATCCCAGTTCTTTCTAAAATCCAGTTGAAAGATTACTAAAAGAGCTATTTATAATGCTGATATTGCTTGTCTTTTGAGCTTCAATAAAAAAAGCTCCGCCTGAATATCCTACAGATTATTCAAAGTCACACATATGAATATCAAGGTGTTCCACTAATAACCTCCCATTTCCAGACTACGATTTTATTTTAAAGATTGAACTTATCTACTTAGAATTTACTTGTTGAGACTCTAAGAATCCCCATAATAGATAAGGTTATAAAAGTGCATAATTAAAGACATTATTTTCAGAGAATGTGCAATTGTGGAAAACTAATTTCTCACTTTTGATGTATATAATGCTATCTGTACTATTAATCACTATATTCTTAATGAAGCTTGAATCACGAATTATTACTTAGCCTAATATACAATTCAAATTCAAAAGCAAAGCAGAAATTTGAAGGTTATTTTGTATATATTCATGCAATACATTTCCATAAAAAGTAATGTTTTAAATTTAAAGAGTTGTTTCTTAAACAGATTCAAAAAAGAGAATTGCTGTTTGAAATTTCTAATTTGTTAAAAGCATCAAATTTGATTCAATAATAATATTACTTAGTTGAATAGTTTCGAATTATGATTATTTGATCTTTTCCGAAGATTTGTAATATAAAATGGGAGAGTTATATGTTTAAGCAGATCTTATTATCAAATCCTCAATCTATAAATTAATTGCTGAAGATATAAAGAGAGATTGTAAATAAGATTCCCCTTTGACTTATTACAACTAGCAATCTATAAATTAATGAAGACCTAAGAATTTAAACTATTGTCCTTAGGATATTCTGATAGATTAAATTTTAAGTTTTTGTACATCACTTATACTTAGATCCATTAGACCATAACCTCTGACTATTTCTAAATTTACTATGGAGATAATGTCTAGCTCTAGATAAAGAAGGGCAGAATATTGAGTCTTCAAATTCAAATCCTGAATATTCTACGAAATATAATTATTAAGGATATGCAATTCGTTGATATTTATTTGACTTTGAATATTGTTGTATTTTTAGAAGAATAAAAATTTTGTAGAGTAATCATATTCATTAGATTCAAGCAAAATATTTGATAAACTTATTTATAAATTATCCAATAACAGTTCAGAATTCATTATTCCATAGCTAATCTATCTAAATTTACTGAATTATATCTTAAAATTATCTATATTATTATCATTATTTAAAAGAATTAGTGTTGAATTTTAAATTTCAGAATATTCGATTGTCATAGTATTAATGTTAACATATCTTAAAGAATAAATGTTTAAAAAAGATAGGCAATAAAGTACATCAATTTAAAAAACAACATTATACATTTAAAGAACACCATATTATTCTTAATCTCCTGTTTGTATCAAAGTAGCATTCTTAAACTTAGAGTTTACAACTAAATTATCAATATAAATGTTATCATCTGAGTTAAGATGACAATATATTGTGAATTGGTTTTATAAAAATGAATTTAGAATTTAAAAGTTTATGAATGTGATAGTTTTTGAATTCGTAGTTTCTGTAATCTCAATAAAATTTTCTATTTAATTTTAAACTAATCCCAATATTTTGAAATTGTTAAATTATACACTTTTAACATTAACAAAAAGCATATTTGATTAATCATTTTCTATAGAAATCTACTAATAAATGATATTTTAAAGAGTAATGGTTTAAGGATATAAACTAACAAATGTAATTTATTTTAATTTTTCGTTGCTTATTGGATTAAAGATGGCTCCTAATATAGTTATTTTATTAAAATTTAAGAATTTTAGTGGTTTTTCAAATTCAATAATCGTATTATTATTGAAATTAAGTGTTAGCTCCACGTTTCTAAAATAATAATAAAGAGAGTAATTACGTTGTAGAAAAGATATTGTTGCTAAAGATCTATTTTATGATGCCATTAGATTTTATTTTACAAACTTACTCTTTTACACTTGATATATTGAGAATAATGGTTCTAATTGACTATTCGTTGGCTTAGTGATAGAACAAATCTTTTTCAAACTAATTATCACAAAAATTTTATATACCTCCTTAAAACTGATTCCTGAAACCAAATCTTAAAATAATAAGTTTTATTATCTAAATATACTTTGTTCATATTATGATGAAATTTAACTCAATTCAGATTCATATTCTAACTCCGAACAATAAAGGTTGAAAGTAAGTATGAATTCATAGTTGCATTATTGATGTTGAGAACATTCTACAAATGTACCTAGCTCTAAATTATAGTAGTATTCAGCGTCTTTAAAGCTCTTTAAGCATTAATGCGTGTAAGTTATATAATCATCATTATCAAATAATGGATTGATACCTAGAATTTCATCTTTTGATCTTAATCGACACAATGCACAATTCTGAGGACACTCAATACATTAATTTTATGACAAACTCTACATTCTACCTTTTTAATTTTTTGGACATTTGACACATAAATTTTAACCATTAATGTACTAACATTCCAAACATTATTTAGGACAAGAAGGAACGCATCTATCATTTCTTAATTCATCCCCTTAATAACACTCTGAGCAAATAATTTCATAATCATCAAAGTTTTCACTTTGTGCATATTGTTTAAATGTATGGTCAGTTTGCTTTTCAATAACTACCTTATAATAGGCTCTAATTTAGCTTTTCCACCCATCCTTACTTATTTTTGATTGAGACTTACATTTATAACAGTTTAACTCTGGAGGACATTCATAACATTTTCCGGAAACTCTATCTGCATAATATCCCTTTTCGCATTCAAGACAAGCTTGAGTCATCCCATAGGCATATGGAGTCTCTCTTAAACAAACTTCACAATTTTTGACATATCCTGAACAATACTTTTAAAATTAGGCAACTTCTATATCCTTTTATTGAAAGTAATAATCTGATATTATGCAGTATTAATATGTTGTTAATATAATTTTGTAATCCTCTAAAAAGGCAAATGTCAATTCTTCCCCCTCAGGAGTTATATAATAATCTTATTCTAATATTGTATAATAGATGTTATCGTCCAAAGGCACATTAGAAACTTTTTGAGCAATTGAAGATAGACATGTGACTTCATGCATCTTTAAACATAAATTTTAATCAATAATAACACCATAATAAAGAATACATCTTGCACAATGCGTTTTAATATTATCCCAATCATTTCTAGGAGAAAAGTATATATCAAGTGTATTAATTTGAAAATTGTTTGACAAAGCTTGAAAAGCATATAAACAATTTTAGATCATGTTTTTTTAGCAATTGATTGCATCAAAACTAATGAAGTATTAAGAATCATCTAGACACCTTAAACATCGTTAATAACTATTTTAAGTGTTTGGATCATAATATTTTTAACAGGCTTTGCAATAATTCCCGCAAGAAATACATAAACCATTTTCTAAGGAAAATTGCTCTTTACATTACAAACAATATAGACTTTAAGTCTCCTCGTTATATTCACATAATTCACAATTGCTAGGACATTAAAATAACTAATCACCCTTCAAATACATTCCAGCTTGGTATTGTAAACATTTTCCTTCTGCAGAAGCTTATAGACAATAAGGATTCACATACGCGCAATTTCCATTTAGTGTGAAATAATTTTGCTTGCATTTAAGAAAAATTGTTTTATTCAAGTGTTTATGAGCAGCCTAAAAGCAACTAGGTGAATCAGATTCCATTTCACAAAAATCTAAGACACCTTCCTGTTGAAACATTTCCCCTTAATCATTAATTAGATATAAATCTTAATAGAGTTCATTTCTTTCAACATATGAAAATGCATCGTCAGGAGAATCATTAACTGAGATCAAATCATATTTACAAATCGGTTTTAAGTACCAAGTAAATGGAGAATAGAGGCAGTCAACACAAAGCAGGTTATAGGAATTGGATTAAGGACTTCATAAGATGAATTAATACCATTTAACACATTATGCAGAATCTCCATTAACTGGTAAAATGAAATAACCAAATTAACATTAGGCTGCATTAACTTAAAATACCTCTTAAACCTTTACTAATGTAAATATCTAAGAGAAATCTACACAGCTGCTCTAATTTGCAACATTTATATATCCCTATTAACACTCGCATGTGCTTATTTCTTATAAAAAATATCTATTTGCTTAAGAATCACATGTAATGCAATTGCTTTCAAGCGGTCCTTAACATGTCTAACATGAATAATGACAAGCTATTGATAACTATAAAACCATACCTTAAAACAGGATTTATTTATCCTCATTATAATTATATTCAAATTTAAAATCGAAAATGGAGGCATAAAGTATATCACTATAAAATTCATCTGAGCCTATATTGATATAAAATGGAGAATTGATTGCAGCAATATTATTCAAAATTCTTTCTTGTAATCCTAAATCAGTAGAGAATTAAATTTAAATATAGCTGTTTTTCCCGGGGACTTTTGACCCATATTCATATTTAATATAATGCCATTATTGTAATCCCATGTGATATCTATCAGAATATTCAAAAAATAACTCAACCATCGGTCTTATAATATTATAGTCATTTTAACCCATTATAGGCATATATCTATTATTTGTAATTATTGATATGGAAGTCATTTTAGGATTTCCCTTATTAATTAATGATAATATTTATAAGATTTCATCTCCAAATTTCTAGTAAAAATTATAGTTTTTAAACAGACTGATTCTTATCAAATTATATTAGGCAAGTGTTACGATTCTAGATGCATCATATTTTACCCATCCAGATAAGCAATATCGATTTCCGAATTAATTCACTGTATAAAACAACGATGAACTTCCTTCAAAAATTTGTAATCCTTTAACAAAATAGACAGGTTCCTATCCTTGTTAAGGAAGAGGGATTCGACAGTTCTGACTCATATATTAAAATGAATTTTGAACATCTTCCCTCGAATAACTCAAGTATATCTAAGATAATCTTCCTTTGAAAATATTGAGATTGAATCCTTAACCAATCTAATTAATTAATATTGTTAATTACATAACCTAGTCCTCCTAGTATTATTTTTTCATATTTTATATCACTCTGTAGACTTATACTTTGTTTTATTTAGCCAGTCATTTCTACAGTGAATGTTGACGATTCGAAATTAATTGTGAATAAACTTAGAATCCACTCTTCTTCAAATTCAACTGGATTAAATCTAAATTCTAAAATCTATTTAGAATCCCCGAATATGACAATATTGTATATCACCTGTCTGCTTATCAGATCCATGTAAATATATCCCAAGACTAAATTTCTTTGTTTCCCCTATATTAAAAATAATAATTGCCCATTTTCAGGCAGAGTTGATATGTAATCCGAGACAACTTAAGGGTAATTCTTAAAGGTCTATTGGGGAATGCACAAGCTCCAAAATCCAAAGTAAATGAATTTTCCATTAATTGGAGAATCGATTGTCTACATAGAAATAGAGTGTTCAATTGGAATCAATGAATCATTGTATGTTTTATAATTGCAACAACAACTCAGGCGAGAACATGCTAAAAGAATTAGTGTAGATATCAAAAAAGAATACGAAATTTGTAAGCTGATTTTTTCCATTTCAAAAATATATAATTTTGGATATAAGGAAAAACAGATTTGGAAGATGAATAATAATAGTAATAAAGTAAATAAAGGAAATTTATGATTAATTTAATTTGCCTAATAATGGTTAATTAATTTAGCAGATGCTCATATTGGATTATGATAAATGTGTTACTGCAAAATTACATAGATAAATCATATTGTCTCTAAATATATTAGATATTATAAATATGATATTAATCGTCCATTTAACTATTGAAGTTATATTTTGGTAATTATATATATCTTATAAAAATTCAATCCAATCTATTTGCTGTTAACATGACAGATTAAGCCTGTATTTCTGTAGTTAATAAAGTTTATTAGTAATTTTTACCGGAACTGAATCTAGATAGAATAGCACTAAATTTAATTTCATAACTTACGGTCTGTTTTTTATCTAGGCTTTTGAAAATTGGATAAGGAATTTTCGTAATTTGGCGAAATTTTCTTTCAGTCTTTAATCTTTTTTACTTTATTCATCCAAAAACTACTCAAATACTTTTGATGCTTTAGTGATCTTAAAGTACTTAAAAACCAAATGGAATGATGAAAACACAAGTAATTTATATTTCTTATAATTAGTTATTCCAATTTGATAAATAAAAGGAAAAGTTATTAAAAAAAATAGTAGTATCAGGCAGAGTTACAGAGCAAGTGAAATTACCTTATTATTTTATATTTCACTTTCATACTTTATGGCTGCTAAAAATATAGAGACTGAACATTTTTAACTCATTTCCAAATCTAGAATATTGAATTTTTAAATAATGTAAGGCTTTTTCTTTGCTGCAAATTGCTAATAAAAAATCAAACTCAAACCAATTAAGGAAGCTTTTAAATGTATATTGGTCTCAAAATATGTTAAAAAGAGGATTATTAAAGCTTTGTTACTCAATTTAATTTATTCCCAGTAATACCTTTTAGTTACATATTCGTTAAAAAGATAACAAATATGAGGTCTTAGCATATAAAAGTCTAATCCATTTCTTTTAAAATACATTAGCAAAAACAATAACAAAGGGATTAAGCATCCGAAGATTATCAACCCAGGGAGAACTAAAAAATACACCCATTAATAATGAGTTTCTGTATTGAATCTTAATGTTAAATCACCCTAGATGTATTAAATATTGGATATTTCTCTGTATGATACTGCAGAACATAGCCTAAGTTTTATAATAAATTAAATACATTTTGATAAATCCAGCATAATTGAAAATGTACAAACATAGTAAAATATTAGATATAACACTTAATTTAAATTTTGAGTTTAATATGTCTGGAATCACCAATAATCCTATCATGATGATTATGAATTGCCATAATATCAATAATAATATTAAAATGATTTTGGAATAGATTAACTAAAATCCAACTATTTGTGATAAATAACAATCTAAATTATTAGCCATTGATAAGGATGTATTACTAGCTGAGTCAACAAAATTAAATTAAAAAGAAAAGCTTATATTGAATGTAAATATAAGGGAAAACGTCCATAAATAGTTTAAGAACATTTTTATTAAAATGCTTTCACGATCTACAATACATAATTATTATACCTTAGTTTAATTTAAAGAGTATTTAACTAAATCTTTCTTTAACTTTGAGAAATAGGAATAAATCATTAGATTTTACAATGCTTTTAACTGTAAGGATGATGGATAAAATGGCCCTAAAATTATATTAATAAATTTACCAAATTGAATTTAAGATAAATGGGAGTATGCTATCTGATATCCCAAAACACGATATACATTCAGAGTTTTATTAATTTTTTAAGTATTATCCCTCTCCCCTTATATTATAAATATCACACTCTTCACACAGAGCTCCTACATGTCCTTTGCTACAAAGGTCATCTCCGACTTTCCAACCTCCCACACAAAAACTTGGTTTTTTAAAACATAACGTAGAATAGTCTGATAAATAATTTGGTCTCCAATAACCTTCCTGTAACTTTATTGCATTTGATGTTATCTCCTAAAATTTCTCCTTATCAAATATAGAGCATTTAATAACATCGTATGTTACAGAGTAAAAGCCTTGATTGGATTAGCAAATTTAACAACCTTTTTCAATATGGAATTCTCCAAGCTAGCATTTATAACTCTAGGCTTAGATCATGTATTTTAATGGATTAATTTATCCTTCTTTTGAACATATAATTGATATTTCCAAATATCTGTAATCGTTTTCATATGGATCAAAATAAAAAGTAATTGAACTTAAATCAAAAGTACTTTTATCGGTTTAGTAGAGCAATGAGACATTTTGAAGATTTCCATTTATTGTTTCTCCATTTATTAAAACGATCTTATCTGTTATTAAGCAAGTTGAGTTAACAATGTTTTTTTGTATTTCATTTAACGAATTTTTTAACATTATTTCTATTGTCTAAATCTATTTATATGTTTATTATAATTTGGGCATAGAAAGAGAAAATTCTTAAAAAGGTTAACCGCTGGAAATCATTAAATAGGAAGTTTCAATTAAATTTTCTTATTATATAGTAGTATAAGGTGTAATTCTAAGAACATCTGCTTAAATTTATCCTGAATCTGCCTTGAACGTTTTCATTTCTTAGGAATTAATACTCAATGCCAAATGTGTTGGATTCACAACCAAATTATTGGCATAAACAGATGCATTATTAAAATGCAAATAAGTGTTATTCAAGTTCTGCTAATTCAAAACGCCGTTTCCAGTAATGTGTAGTCCTCCTCCTTCTTCTGCTTGATTTTGAATAATCACAGAATTTTCAATACTAAATTGATTACTATTCAGTTCTAAATATATCCCTCCTCCTTGATTGGTTGCAATATTTTAGATGGTTTTGCACTAGTTGATGATTATAGGCTTGTTTGATGAAATAGCAACTCCTTAACTTCCTCTATTAAATAGAAAAGTGGAGCCGAATATTTAAAGTGTTGGAGAATCTTATATTTCACTTAAGAAGTTTATACATCCATAGTATTTAATTATGTTATTGATACAGATCAGATCTTGTATTTTAATGGATTTAAAAGAGGCTAAATCAAATTTAAACAATCCAGATGTGCAGTATGAACAATTATTATTAGCAAGTTCTAATTTCTTGAAATAGAAGGTATGTTTGTTTGATAAAGTATGAATGTAAATTAATGAAAGTTAATCTTCATTATGTTCTTCCATTATAGTAAGAATATCATTTAAGTAGTAAAACAATTAATTCTCTTCAAACTTTTTCTATAGAGTGGTTACCACAACACATTCATTAAGAGCAAAATCAAAATCTGATAAATCAACTCTTTAAAGTCCTGCTTCATAAATTGAAGTGCTGAAGATATTTACATCCTCACACAAATTTATTGTTTGAATATCCAGTGTTTATTGTATAATTATCAAAGTAAATGAATAAAATACTGTAATTTCTCTGATCTAAACTTAACTAATTATAAATTTTGGCGCATTTATAATTTTAAATATTGGTGCTAGATACACACCTTCAATAATAACATTTTAGATGACTATTGAAGAACTTTCAATATTAAACAATGAATTTTGACTACTTGAAATAATTAATAGTTCTGAAAGACTTAGAATTCCCATTTATTAAAAATGTTGCAGCCATGAATTCAACTGCTATACTATCATAATATTTTGCAATTCTAAACTATTTTTATTAGATATCCTATTGGAGAATTGTATCAAAAGTATTGAATTCATTAGGGATAGACAATTTTCAAACGAAGTATCAATTAATTTAATCTAATTTCTAATTTTTGATGGCTAAATAGATAGCACAGATGGAGACATTCTATTAAAGATATTCATAAACTAAGCCTTTGAAAATTCAATTTCGAGTGGACTGTCTTAAGAGGAAATGCTGATACAGCCTTAACTATTAGTCTCTTATTTCGAATCACCTATTAAATTACTTGCAATCAGATTAATGAGTTTTATTATTCCTTAATCTAAAGTGGTAATGTCAAAAAGGAAATTCTGTAAAGCAAGAACATTTGAGAAGTTACAATTAAAACAAGTAAAAACTGATGCTTTTAATTATCCTACACCTCCTATATTTGAAATATTTAGGACCTAAAAGGCAACCTGATTTATTTAGTATTAATTAAGAAATGCATCTAATTGTATACCATAAAACCTTTCCCATAATTCAGAAGTTAGAATATTATGGTTAGAAACTTATAAATTTTAAATTTTAATTGTATTAGCTTCAATGAAAATGAATGAATTGGATGAATTTGTAAATGCATTGCTTTGAGAAGAAAAATCAAAGATTTCAATGTTACTTGATTTGACATTAAAGAAAACCAAGGATGCATATGATAAAAAATAAATCTCAGATATTGAGTGTAAGCAATTTTCCAAAAATTTAATTCTCTGAATGTGTACATTAAGACTCCATTCGGAATATAGAGCTAAAAGGGAAAGCAAACGTTATGATTTTTTATATATTTACACATTTCCTATAAAAGTAAGATTTGCAATATCTAAATTAGCAGAATTCGTAAACTATTTTTTCTACGATAAATCTAAAAAAGATTCATCAATCGCAAATTAGTTGTGAATTTAGACGGAGAGAATTTTTAGAGTAAAGAAATTCTCTATCTTCAGCATTTAGTTTTTCTCTTTAATCTCAACTTAACATTATTATGAAAATGGCACTTAATAATTTTAAGCTGAATTTTCATAAATTATATTTTGTACAAGGATCTCATTTGCATCAAAAATAGAAAATAGAAAGATATTTTTTAAATTTCTAAAAACCACATTCTATATTTTTATTTTAAGGGCCCTAATTTGAAATAAATAGGATCTTGAATCTGAACTATCTATACTTAATATTTCATTAAATATTAGATTCGATATTGTTAAATCGACTTGGCTAAACTCTTTAGAAGAAAATAATTTAAAACATTAAGAGTTCTCAAATTGATTGCTTGAAGCCTCCAATTAATTTAGGAGGACAACCATTGTTTAATTTTCTGTTCTCTCAAGCATGGTAATTAGTTGTGATTGTTCAAATTAATTATTTTGCATTTTGATGTATGATAATGAGGTATTATGATTTGAAATAATAAAATTTGTTGATATAAAAGTATTTGATTCCAATTATAGGTACGTTAGATGTAGAATAACATCAGTCTAAAAATTAAAAAGACTTGAGTTTACAAATTTGCTATTCTTCACTGTAATATCATAAGCATCTACTAAACTTGATTGCAAAACAGCGAAATCAAAAAAATATATAGATACATTTGTAAATTCAGAATCCTCAATGAGAACATTTTTAAAAGACAATATAAGTTGATTATTAGTAATTTGAAATAAATTTGAGTTTACGAAAGTGCAATTTCGAATAACAAGGGTTTCTATCTAAATTGTCCCCTAAAATAATTAATCTGTTAAATTCAAAAATGAAGAGTTTAAAAAGCTTGAATTTAAGAGATACACATCATTCATAATTATATCACCAAATTTTTCATTTTGAAATACTGAAAATGTGTCCTAAATTATGCTACCTAAAATTGTAAAATTGAACAAAGATAATTAGATTTATTAATGATTGTTTTCCATTACAATCTTAAATTTATGAAAAGTGTAAAGAATAATTTAGTTAAATTCTATTTTGTCGCAATTACTGAAATACAAACCCCTATTAGATGATATTATCAATCCTTTTATAGAGGTATAAATGAAATGCACATATTTGAGAGAATATACTAGCCTTTTTGATTAAATATTCATTTCAATGTTGTAAAATGGGCAAGTAGGGTAAAAAGTATTAAAACCGACAACCGAGTTTGTAAAATTAAAACCTAAAACCAAGCTATCTATCCCTTATGAATTAAGATAATTAAAATCTATTTAGTCTTCCCAAAACAAATTAAACCATTCACAATAATCTACCTAATAAATATATTTGAGCATTTTTGAGCATGTTTCATCAAAACAATACTTAGCAGTTAAATCATATGGATCCAAATAGATGTTAGGAAGTTAAATTTGCTTTAGACACTTCTTTGTATGGATAAAATTGGTATCTTTAAGAATAAAATTCGGTTGATTAGTCTAAACTGAAATAAATAAATACTTTTATCTCAGCATCTGTTCTAGATGTACAGGCATCACATAACTAACTACATAAAGAACAAGTTCCATTTATTTAATCTCTAATTGGTTGTTAATAATAATTTAAAGGGCATTTGCTGCAAACTTAAGTACCGTTTTTATCAAATGTACAAGCTAAACATGAGGAATCGCATTTTTTATGGCAAATGAAATTAGAGTCAATGTAATAATTCTCTTAACATTCGACTATCATTTATAAAAGCCATTAGTTGAGTCTAGATTGAAAATAGAACTATTTATTTGGTAAAAAGTTCATCATAAAACTCTAAATTCTTTGAACCCATCCATCTTTAAATTCATAGACAGCATCAATTATAATTTTAGCTCCGTCGAACCCATACTATTCAGCCATATAACACCCTCCATTCGAAGTTGAAGCAATATATCCAACCTGACAGACAATGCATTTGATTGTAAATTCAGGTGATAACACACATTGTTCACAATGAGATAAATGTTTTTAGCAATTAATTATCTCAAGAGCCACACTAAAGTCATCAATTTATGATAAAGTGCAGATCTCTTAGCCATCATATCTATATGATCTCAAACAATTTTCCATTTTTGGATTATCTAATGTACAGATTCCAATATCAAAATCAAAAATATAGGTATCCTCACATAATGCACATCCAATTTTGATTTCGGTCTCCAAATCGAAATCTACAAATCTATTGTATAGAGTGCATTTAGATAAATCGTCGACTTGATATTCAAAGCAGTATTTACAATTAAGAATGGGACATAACTTGCATCTTCTTTGAGAAGTAATGTAATATGATGGAGGACAGTTTTTGACATTAACAGTGTAATCGACTTCACTTACGCAAACACCATTTATCAAATTATATCCAAAGAAACAATTATAGCATTGAAATCCATCAATAGATATCCAACAATCAGCGCAATTATCAACCATAATTTAGCAAATGATACCTAGATTTTTTGGACCTAAGACTTCTTCTATTTGTAAATCTTCAGCCAAAAAAGAAGGAGTTGTGACACATTTCTTGCAAATTATCAACTCATTTCCGTCAAAAATATAATAATAACTAAAACCCCTCCATACATAATTTGCCACTTCACCACTTTTGCTTATGAATAAGTCGTATTCGCAATAAGAATCCTTGCTCCATTCTTAAGGATTTTATAAGCACTCTAAGCATGTAACCAATTAATCATTAATTATGGTAGGGCTTGCATATTAAAAAGAAATACCAACGAAAACAACTATCTTCATATTCAAAATACCCATATTTGCATTTAGGCATTACTTTTCTTTCATTTGATACATGTAAATTTGAGTCTATATAAGATTTACAAGTCGTTTCATCGATTGTATCAAAGGGACATATACATGCTTTGAAATCAGGCAGATATATTCTTTAAGACTCAATAGAACAAGATAAACAGTTGTATTAAGTTGGGCCATCACATTCTTAGCAACTGTAATGACAAGTTTACAATGTATCAATTGTATTACAATTATTAAACCCTATTGATTTAGCTACAATTTTTAAATAATTTGTAGCTGATTATAAAATGTTACCATACTAAATTTTATATCGAGTACATTTAAACTAATTTACTTATTATTAGATGTTATATTCATAAATATCATGTCCTTCATAAAATTTAATGTTGACTATTAATTAATCGTTAAGGAGTTGGATATTTATTTATTACCAAAGAATTAAGGTATTTATGAGATCGAGTTCTTTTGTTATTAGAAATGGATCGTCAGAAAAACTTATTGTTACTGATGGAAATGTGTAGCTATAAGTTGTTACAATGATTTAATTCTTTATTTGAGAAATCTTATACGACAAAGTAAAAGGTGATAAATTTTTATCGCCTAATTAGTTTTAAAAATTAGAAGAGAGAGTGATGAACTAATAAGTAAATGCATCTGAATTCTAAATTATATCAGTAATTTTTAACCATCCAGATAATTAGAAAGAGTTACAGTTTATATTCTAAGAAGTAAAAATTTAATTTTCCAGTCCATTAATAGAAAAATCATCTTGTACCAAAATATCATTAATTTAACAAACACATTATTCGTATGGAATAAATGATGATCTTGCCAATAGTTCTTAATCTTCATCCACAGAGATGACTTCAAATTAAAATTGAACTTTAATCAATTTACCGGGAAAATACGAAAATTTTGTACCTGGTGTGATTGTTCCAATCTTAGAATTAGTTACAATCATTCCCCCACCAAAGATAAGCTTTAAATTTTCATCTTTAAAAGGTTTTTTAATATTCAAAAACTCATTGAAAGTTTCCTATTTATAAATAATCCTTAACTCAAATCTTTCTAATTATGGCCATTGTATTATTTCAAATAAATACCAAACATTCTCATACTCTAGGGGATTTATGTCGATTGAAAATGAATGTTCAACTTCATCATTGTCTATAAATACAATTTTTTTCTGGACCTTCTTTGAAGAATAGTCTACACAATCATAATACATTAGATTAAGAGCCTATGAAAGCTCCTCTACTGCACTATGTAACAGAAAGCAATTGCTATCAAACAATCCCACATTTCCTACCTACTAAATGTTTGTTAGAGGATTATATTTTGACCATAATCCATATCTAAAAGCATTGAAATTTGATAGTGTTTTTTCAGATATCACTATTGACTCTTGACTATATTAATACAAAGAATCCATTAGACTTATTTGCAGACCGCTTAAGTTACCAATCAAAGATAAAAAAAAGATTGCAAATGACATATCTATACTTTACGAATAAAATAATAATTATCCATACAAGAATCCAATACTGTTATGAGACCTGAAATTCAATAGTAAGAGAAATAACAATAATTGCAAATATTTTTAAGGAATTCAATTTCATTTCAAATGCTACCCATCCTAAATTCCATTTTTTTATTAGAAAATATATCATAATTTGAATAATAATCCAACATATTTTTTTTATAATAGTATCAATTCATTGTCTAACTTTAGTACGTTTATTAACTGTAATTATAACTAATAATAAAGACATAATGATATTGCGGACAATCGTTAGACATTAGAAATTAAAGGTGCTTAATTGCCTTTTGAAGTTTTTTTAAGGATTGCCATATCCCTCATCTGTTCACCCATGTTTTAATTAAATAAAATCCATCTTTATCCTTTAAAATCATACTTAAATAAAACCTTAGAATTAAATGCATTCTATTGAATATGATCATTTTATTTTTTATTTGACCATTCATTTGGTGTAGAAATTAATAATAATATTATAATATTGTTTGAAATAATTATTATCTAATTGGCTAAGTTATTCAAAAAAAAATAAATGCTGGATAAGAATTAATAATTATTCTGACCAATATTTTACTTGTTTTTATTACCATAAATAGTTTAATGAAATAAAATCTAGTTTAAATGATAAATGCACCTGTTGCTAACTGAAACTTATTTTCAAAAAGAAGCTGTAATATTGAACATATAAGCATTTCCCAATAAATTATAAAAAATAGATTCAAACTAAATGCTTTTAAAGTAGTAAATAACTTTAAATATTTGGAATCGTATTTTTAACCTTGAAATTTTGTTTTGTTAATTATATATATACCAATTACATAAGGTAAATTGCGAATTTATATTGAAATAAAAGAAAATATCTTGAGATAAAATTTGTTAATTTAGAGATGAAATCTAATATAACTACTTTCCCTTTTATCAATCTACTGATTCATCTATTCAACTTTATCGGTTTCATTGTAAAATATTATAGAGTCGATCGTTAAGGTTGCGTCATTCTTAGTTAACTTGAAACGTAAGCATTCTTTCCTCTAAAATTTAGTATATATAAAGGTTTTAAAAATTGTTTATATTTTTTTCATAATTAATTAAATAAAGCTAATAGTTTAAATGCTAAACGCTTTTAATAAGTGTCTTGTAACATAAATTTAAAAAAAGTTTGCTTAGCTAAAGTTAAGATTTTAAAAGGCTTTTTGAGAATTTATAGACTCAAAATTTGAACTGCTAATTTGAATTTATTTAAATAATTTTATAGTATTTTTTGTTAGACACTGTAATTGAAATAATTAGAGTAATTTATGAGAAGTTAAATATGTTTAATATTAAACAATTAAATAAATTATAAAAAATTTTAAATGTTATTCTCTCATTCTCAATTCATTTCAATAATTCAAATCACATGAATAGTATTGATATAGAGAAAGGAAGAGAGGATATGAAACAAAATTGTAGGATATTCGTTTTAGAATAAGAAAAAATAAAGAATAGTATTATATTTAAAGGTTATGAGCAAGACAATTTATCATTGATTGTTATTATTAGTTTTTGGGGTTGATGTATTGTCTGTCTTTTTGTGCTAATTTTTGGTTTATTTTTTGATTTTTTTGTTAATACTCTATTCCTTTTTGATTCTTTCAGTCACTTGATATTGAGTGTAAAATCGAGCAGGACTTGATGAAGAGGAGGAGTTAGATTCAAGTAATGAAATGTGGCTGTCGATTCTATATAAAAGGAGATTTATATAATCTTCTATTTATGTAAAGGCTAAGATTGATATGTAAATTTGTACTATTATTTTCAAATGATGTTAATAGAATTTGAAGTATGATGGCAGTGTCTTTATTCAAGAAGAAGGCTTTTTCCAGTTTAGCAATTTATTCTTAATTGGGATAGGAGAAGTCATCAGAAAATATGATGCTTAGCATTGAGTTAAAAATATCTGGGTGATTATTCTTTCGAAGGATTTATCTCAATTGGAATACTGCTTGTTAAAATTAGCTCATGATAATGGCTAGATCCATATGAATGATATATATATTAGTTGGTTGAAATGTGTTGGAAATATAAAATATTAAAAATTACATAAATTGGTCATGGAATAATTAATAAGAGTGAATATAATATACAATTGAAATTCAATACTAGATTTGCAAGTTGTCAATTATAGAGTCTGTGTAAATTCTTTTTAATTAAGAGATAGCTAGAGGGATATTTTTAAGAAATGATTATATTCTAATCATATTTAGTGAGTAGCTGCTAGCGAAAATCGTCATAGCAATCAGATTGGAAACCATGATTTTTGATGTTTTTGAGTGTGAATGATATGATCTAATATGAATGATGAGAAATACAATAATAGCGAAAGCAATTTGAGAAGGCTCATAATTCAATGTCCAAGGTAGTGCCATTAAGGATAAAGCATAGATCAATCGAACTTAATCAGCTGATATTCTCTTTGTTTTTTTGATGTAATAAATTAATTGTTCAATGAAATCCATGACGGTTGGTTTCGTTATTTCAAAATTTAACTTTTGTAAAATATGTGTTTCTATTTCTGTGGACATCTGCCATTTGCATCTATCTTATTGATCGAATTTGGTTGCAATCCACAGACTTGTCAATAAGTAATCCTAAGTTAATATATTAGTCCTTAAGTAAATTGATTTGGCTAAGTATAATGTTGAGATTTTGAGTTTCAGCCTATATTAAAATTGGGACAATATTTTAAACTCATCTGACAGATCTTGTTGTTAATATATGAGAATTTATTGTGTGTGCAGATATGCAACAATGTCTTTATAATAAGGATTCAATGACTCTATTTCGGTATCACTCATTTTAAAATTTAAATTAATTATTCTCAAAATTAACTGCTCTATTCAATTTACATTAAATTCCTTAGTATGCTTAATGTAAATCATCAAAATGTTTCAACGACAAAGACTCAGCCAATTTAAATGCCTCTTATCTCTTCTACTTCCTCCTCTTTAACTATACTCTCTCCCCAGTGAATAATGATGATTCCCATATTTTTGGAGCATTACTTTTTTAATATCTCTCTGTCTGTATTTATGGTAATTTAAGCGGTTCCTAATATTATTCTTAGAGTGGATAAGCATGATTTCTCAACAAATAAGGGTGTTCCTTATTTATCATTTCAAATTCATTGAATTCCTGAATCTCCTCATCCCCAACTCCTTCATTCTCTACTTACTTCAATTTTTCCCGTAAATTGATCTAAGATCTGTATTTCTTTGTGAATGGATCTAAACAACCTGATTTATAATAATTACGTAGAGTCAGATCTTCTTGTTCTTCAAACTGCACTGGATTGCTTTATAGTTTCATAAGTTCTTAAAACCCTAGTTTAGTTAGAACTTTAATCTTTGGTTTCCTTTGATATGCAAACTCTTGCACAGGTCTATGATTGAATTTTGTGTACATTAATTTTTATTTTTAATTATAATCAGTCAATTACTATCAGATCACAATAGTCTTATCTTAATTAATTATGATCACAATTACCTATCTTTCATAGTTAACCTATTATCTTATCATAAATGGAGTGAATCAATATAGGGGATCAATAACAAATTTAAAATATGAAATATTTAGATGAAATAATCTATTTAGAATACACATCTTAATGCGAAAAAATAATAGATGCAAAGTAAAATTTTATAGATTAAAACTAAATTAATGATTTCTGCATAAAGATAACTAGGAAATCCTTATCTCTTTTAGGTCTCTGGTCATTTCCTTTATTTGAGATTTTGTTTAATCTCCAATCCATTTACGATAATATATATAAAATATTAACATATATTAAATGTAGTTTCTTGTTCTACTTTATGATATCGTTAAGGTTGATAATAGTGACTATGACAGATTGGTTGAGAAATAAAAAATTAATCCAATTTAGATAGATGTCTAATAAGCTTTAGTAGAGATAAAAGATCTAAAATGCATAGTCATCCTTTTTTCGAAGATTCAAATTCTGAAATTGAAATATACAAATCAAGAAAACACTTATTTATATTAGAAAAAATCAATACTGAATTGCATTATTTTGGTTCATGAAGGAAGTTCATTTAAAGTATTCAGCCTGTAATTTAAATTACATTATTACAAACAGAATAAAAGCCAATTGAATGAGATTCAACTGGATTAAAGAAATAATTCTATTTATTTATGAAATTAAAAAATAAAATAAAATTTATATGCATTTTATTCTTCATTTAATCAATATCTTATTTATAATATAAAGGCGAGTCAAATTATTAAGAAGACAATTAATAATATTAATAAAAAATGGCAAGAACAAAATAAACCGCGAGAAAAAGTACTGCTGGAAATAAGAAGCCCACTAAGCATTTGGCCACCAAAGCAGCAAGGAAGACTGCTCCAGCTGTTGGTCCAACTGGTGGATTGAAGAAACCCCATAAATTCAGACCTGGAACAGTAGCATTGAGAGAAATTAGAAAATATCAAAAGTCAACTGAGTTGTTAATCAGAAAGCTACCATTTCAAAGACTAGTAAGAGATATAGCCCATGAATTCTAAAAAGAACTCAGATTTTAGAGTTCCGCTATTTTGGCACTTTAGGAAGCTGCTGAAGCCTATTTAGTAGGATTATTTGAAGATACTAATTTATGTGCCATTCATGCAAGAAGAGTCACCATTATGTCAAGAGACATCTAATTAGCTAGAAGAATAAGAGGAGAAAGATTTTGATTCATATCTATAAACAATGACAAATATTTGAAAGTTTTTAACTATTTTTTAATAATATTAAATTTTTTTAATTTACATAAATAAATAAAATATGTAGGAATTAATTGAGATTGGCTTAAAAAAGGTTTTACCAGGAATTCTAATAAATCAAATAGCCTTCTACTCTTTGTATAAGATTTTAAAGAATAATGAGTGTATAGTAGATGTAGCCTACACAGTCAGTCATTTAGTTGCAGGATCTATCTATGCCTATCATTTTGGACTTTCCTCTTTTGAGAACAAAGTAAGTATTTAAATTAATAATAGTTTAAATTGGGATTGCTTGCTTTGTGGACTGCCAGATTAGCAGGATTTTTGTTCTATTATAGAATAATGAGAGGATTTAGAGATCCTAGATATGATGTCATTTTCTAAAAATACAAAAAAGAGACTTTAAAAAGAGATGTAGTTGTTTTTGGTCAATACATCTTCTAAGGATTCATTGTTTTTGTGACAAGCTCATCATTGTACTTTTTATTTAAGAATTAATTGAATCCATTTTAATTGGCAATTTTAGGAACATCAATATTCTGGATATATTTTGAAGGTTTAGCAGGTAATGATTATTTATATCTTGATAGACCATCAATTATAATAATTTAAAGATTCAAAAAACAAACCTCAAAACTCAATATGTCAGGATGGTTTATGGAAAAAGAGCAGACATCCAAATTTGTTTTTCGATTTAATGACTTGGACAACCATTGCAATTGCAAGCATTAAATCAAGACATGATTGTTTAGCTTTGATCAGTCCATTAGTTTTATATTACGTGATGGCTGGTTTGACAGTACCATTAACAGAAAAATTGATGAAGAAAAAAAGAGGAGATTAATTTATCCAATATTGTTCAAATACCAATAAATTCTTACCTATTTGAATATTAGTATTCATGTTATTAGAGATATGTATTATATTCTAATCGTCCATAACTAACTTTCTTATCTTATATTAAATTATCCAATCAATTGTAATTTACCCAATTCAAACACATAAAATAATCAATTTTTTTAAATAAAATAATTTTGTATAAATATTACAGATTGTTATAGTTAACTATTCACTATTCATTTTTAATTTACTAAATAAATTGAATATATATCTCTGAATGATTATTTTTCAATCATTAGCAACTAATTTCAGTATGTTGTTTCTATTTTTATCTACTTTATATAATATTATACTAAAATAATCCTATGATTTCTCTATTAAGGAGGAAAAGAAACATTATGATCTGTAAAAATGTAATTATTAGACACTTATATTTTTAATAAAACTCTATTTTTATTGTATGAAATACTATCTCAATATACTAATTAACTTGAAAAAATAAATTTAGTAATTCAAATACATCCAAATAGATGTAAAGTTTATATTAATCTCCGATATTGTAAATCTTCATTTGTCTATCAGCTTTTGGATCGTTTGAATGGTGAGTAAAGTGGGTTCATCTTTTTAAAAAGATGACAAATTTTAATCAATAAATTTGAATTTATTACAATTTATTCCAATTTTATCAGGCGATAAAGGATAAATTTCAACCCAAAAAGCTGTTTTATTGCCCTTAAAGATATTCATTAATTATTTAAACATTCAATTCATATATCTCCAAAGAATTTTGGAAATTGACGAATTGAATAGAAAATAGGTAAAATTTTTAATAGTATTATGAATCTACATAAGAAGTTATAAATATGTTGGTAAAACTAATGCATGTTAAATTCATAGATCATTTAATTATAATGATTGCATTCCGTTATACACATTTATTTTTCAATAGCAAATATAATATACATACGATTTATTAAGTTCTTTAGGTTCTGTTTAAACATTAAACGAAATTTCAAAGATAAAATATTTACTTCTGAATTTATACAGTCTTTTTCAAACATCCTTAGTGAAGATCATTCTAAGATGTTTTAATAATTAGCTCTTTAAAAGTTACAATAATTATATAAGCTCTAGCATACTAAAAGAAAGCTAATAAATATATAGTAGTAACTAAATCCAATTAATTTAATTATAAAAGTTCCAAAACCCCCTTATTTTATGATTATTATTTATTACTTGTTTCAGAATAATCTAAATAAATTTATTCATTAATGTTTATAAATGATAACTTTTTAATTGTAATAAGGAGGTCTTGAAATATACTAGAAAAAAACAGTTACATTGGCACCATTAAAGAATAAAAGATATAATGGAGACCATAGATATCAAATAAAATAATAAATACTTGAATAGGTTAGGAAAAGCAAATAAAAGCATCTGAATGAATTCAGCGATTTATAAAATATCCATTCAATTTAATGCACAGAAAGATTTGTAAGGAGGGATTACCAATTCAATGATAAGAAAGCGAGATTCAAACAGAAAGCATTATCATGTTCTAACAACAAATGCTCTTTTATTTCAATAAGTAGAGTAGCTGATTTGCCACCGATATTAGATTGGAGAAGAGAGAATAAAATACTAACACCAGAATATTCAGAAAATGGTGATTTTATGAACTATGTAAGAAAGCAAGTTGTCAAATATGGTTAAAAATCACTTGATTGATGATTTATTTGCAAATGATTATTAATTACTTAAAATATAAGTATACTCATTTAATTTTAATGACAATGCACAAGTTCTCTTAGTTGAGATTAATAATTCATATTTATTTTAAAATAATTCAACTAATTTTATATGTTAAGTGCAAAAGAGTTCAAGACTACAACAATTATAGAGGGAAAAGGGAAATGTGGCTTTGATGTCAGTGGAAACAAAGCATTGGTGGCATGGAATTAGTGCTTGAGGGAGTATGATTTAATTGAGCATAAAAAAACCGCGGAAACTGTACTTGAGTCAAATATTTTGGCTTTGGCATTTCATCCTTTAAATTCACAAGTCTTTGCTATAGGAGATATGAGAGTAGATACATATGATGATATCCAAATGACAGCGCCATCCCTTATAGTTAGTTTAACAGGAAAGGCGATAGAAATAAAATACAATAAGAATGGTAAAATAATGGGAATAGCCTCAGAGGAAAATTCATTAATATTGAATAGAGATAATAAAATATCAAGATGTAAACCTGGACATGATGGTATGATATTAAGTTGTGCATTTGATCCGAAAGATAGATTTGTGTGCAGTATAGGTTGTGATGGTTGTTTAATAGTTTATTAGTTATCATAAGTACCTTAATTATTGCAGAGATATACAATAAGTAAATAAGTATCTCCAGATGCATTCTAAAAGTTGTAATCAGACTTCCATCCTTCAGGTAATTCATTTTGGATTGCTGGAAAAATAAATGCTTAATATATCCTCACTTATGAGGAACCTTAAGATTTATAGTAGCAATATTAAATTTTGCATTAGAGTGAGATTTGTATAATAAGATGGATACATAATAATTGTGTGGGTTCATGCTCATAGGATGGTGAGATAAAATTATGGAATTTCAAATCGTTTACTGATTTATCATTGCATTGGTATTTTAATATTAAATGCACTCCATTGTATATGAAAATAATCTAAAATTTGTTCTATTTATTTGATTGCAATGGGAATCTAATTGAAACTACTTTAGATCCTCCTTTATAAGAAGTGGAGACAATCTACAAAGATAAGAACATAGCATTCAGAGATTTATTGAATTAGAAAGTCAAGAAATAGAATAATTAGAGGATAGAAGAGGAATAATTGGGAGATGAAAATGTTGAGGAGAACATAGATGATTTAGATGGATTTATAGGAGGAAATGAGAAGGAGAAAAAATAAAAGTAGAATTTAGATTCAGGAATGTAGGATATTTTGAGACCAGGTGAAACATAACCATCAAGAGGAAGATAATATTTATGTTACAATACCGTTGGGACAATAATATTGTGCAAGAATACTAATATGATTGAATTTGAATTCTTTGATTCAACATTCTATAAAAGGTTTAAGATAAGTAATTCATAACGATATGCTATTGGCACATTAAATTATAGAGGATGTGTATTAGCCTCAAAAGGACCAAATGATTTGGATGAATAAGGATATTTAGTAGGAGATGGAAAGTCAATTGTGTTCTTCTAATAATTTATAGGGGATGTGGATGATTTCGAATTTTCATTACCAGAAGATGAAGGAGCTGAACTAGTGACAATTGGAAATGATTGGTTTGCAATAATGAGTGATCATGGAATTTGTAGAGTGATTTCATTTTGTGGATTAGAGATTTTAGAATTCATTACAAATAGGGCAATTGTGTCAATGTGCTCATATGAACATTTATTATGTTTAGTATTTCATGATACTTCTCCAATGCTGAATTAATAAGTTCTAAAAGGGAGAATCTATGATATCGATTTGTAGAAATAAATAGAAGAATTCGATATCTTTCTTACTCCTTTCTCTTCTCTCTCTTGGATTGGATATTCTGATGAAGGATTATTGAGTATCCAAGATTCCAAGGGAGCGATTAGAATTTATCAAAATAATAAATGGATAGAAGTCTGTCACAATTCAAAGTTTTGGCTTTATGGAATCCAAGATTACAAGTTATGCTTATTAAAGACAGATTAACCTTTGGCTTCAATGAAACAAGAGATGGTTTAATAGAGTTTTGAGTAGCAATTTGTGTGTTTCTCCTAAGATGAGAAATTGATAGCTAATTATAGACAATTTCTAACCTAATTGATCATCTTGAATCATGAATAATATAGATGGAACGAATTTGGCAAGTACTATTATGCTAGAAACGACGACAAATAAAATGATATCCTTCTCAGGTATACTCAAAACCTTTACGATTCCAACAAGATGGAAGAGACTCAAAAGTTATTACGTAAATTCCGAGTTGATTTATTTAAGTAGATTTTAAATGAATCCAAGGACAAAGCTATCGAATTCTTTAGATGTCATATTAAAGATGAATATGATATGAATTCTATCATTAGTTTGTTGGAATTACAGAAAGAAAAGTAAACATCCAATAAGGAATTGTAAAAGCTGCTCACCCATATTAAATTATTATAAAGAGTAAGTCATTTGATTTTATGTTTAGTAATAAATAATAAAGCAATAGTAGAATTTCGGTATTGATAAAAAACCATAATCTCCAAAAAGATAAGGCTTCGGTCTGTAAAAGTAAAATGATTAAGTTAATATGAACTAAATAAAGTCCATTTTAGAACATAGAGAACAGCAACAACAACAACAACATCAATAATAACAACATCACATATAATAATACTAAATACAATCTTAGAGAGCTGAAACTCAATAGGAAGAGGATGAATTTAATCCGTTTGCAAAATCTGCAAATAAGAAATAAAGCAGTATCTTCGATATAGGTGAGAAAAGGAAGCCTACTTAAACGTTTGGGACATAAAATATAAAAAAAAAGAATTGATTATATTTAATATATTTTATAAATTGATGAGTCGAAATCAATCGCCTAGAAGATTTTAAAATGTCTTAGATAAAAGACATTATAGCAAATGTTCTGAAATCAAAATACATTTCTTTGTAAAGAATCTTTACATGGGGAATCAAACAGAGGATCAATTTCTAAATTTTGTGAAAGATAGAGTGTAGAAGGCGGTAAGATTATAATGATAAGTAGGGCCCTTGCGAAGTGATTTAAATAACAGATAAGAATCCGAATGAACGGACTATTGATATAGCCATAGGGATGCGATACGATAATGATGCCAAATTGATATATATTGGGAAGAAGCATATCAATTTGGTATCAAAAAATTAAAGTGAAAAGAAGATCATTCCTTTGATTAGCGATATATTTTTGATGATGCTTAGGGTATTGAATAAACTTTATTGGGGTGTTAGGAAAAGGGAGAAGTAGATAAATCAACATTGGAAGAGAAATTGAGATAGTAGAGATTCGGAGATAAAAAGAGGGATCGATCAAGTAGTCAGGAATCATAAAAATCAGAGAAATCAGAGAAATCAGAGAAAAAGAAGAAAGAAAATGCGATAGTCTTGAATTTGCAAGTGATCCCACAATAGAAATTAATTGCTCCTCCTGTTGTGGATATCCAGCCTGTGCAAATAACAAGTAATGAGTTGAGTGATGTATTAGTTCCGAAGGAAACAATTTATGTCTTTGGGATTCCATAAGAATTCAATTTACAAGAGTGTTTGATGGATATTAAAAATAGATTGAAATTATAGTAATTACCAGAAGGAACATTCAAGAGTGAAAAATAGTAAGACCATATTTTCGAATATTTGGAAGTGCAGTTGGAAATGTTGTAAAAGAATGTGTAATTAAAAATTAAGAATGTTCCATGTCTAATATGCTAGAAGAAAAAGAAGACAGATTCCTTTTCAGATATCCTCAAATAATATTAATTATTCATCAAAACATAACACCCTATCAATACAAATAAATTATTGAGCGTCTTCCAATAATATGGTGATATCATAGGATTATATGAATTATTAGTTAAGTAAATAACATTCTCTATTTCTAGTCAGGAGGAATCCTCTAACTCTTATTGTATAGTCTACACATCTGATCAATTTATCAAGCATTTGAAACCTCCTGGGTAAATTGATATTCCTGAAGAAAAGACAGTTTGCGAATATAGAATACCAGATCAAAATGTGGTCTCATTTCAAAGAATCCCGTATAAAAGCACTTTATATGGACAAATAACAAGAGAATCTAGTAGCTCTAGTAGTAGCAGCTCATCATCATCAGTAATCAGTTTATTATGATTAATAGTCATCACGGAGCAGGAGCAATAGTAACCCTAGAAAAAAAAAATAATACAGTATTTATCTATTATTATACATAACATTTAGATAAAAATAATTATAACAATCGGAAAAGATAAAACTTTAGGAGAAACAATAATTATCATGACAATTGAGATTAGGTTAAATATATTAAATATTGATTTTATTTTAAAAATAATTCATTATCATTCATTTCTTTTGTTATTATTATTGCTATTAATTTTATTAAACTTGCAACATTCTTTTCTATATTTCAATATTCAATTTATCCATGAATTACTTTTTCTAATTGATGATATTACTAATTTTATCTTGTGATTCTTTCAAAAATTGTAATTTCCTATCACAAAAATGGTATCCTTGTTCAGTATTACGCTCAACAAAATATCCTGTTCCGTAATCTATCATAATTGATTATGGGCTAATCAATCTTCCTCATTATGTTATTTATTATATACCTGGTACATAGAGTGATGCAGTAATTGGTACTAATAGTTCATTATCTTTAGGGGTTTAATCTAATCTCTTTAAGATGACTTTGCTTTCATCATACTTGGCATTTGCAATTCTGAATTAAGATAATGATTAACTGAGCTATTGGACTTCCTATTTTATATAATAAGGGTATACATCTTCTATTTGCTTTTTGATCTACAGCAATTACTGAGGGGTCAATTTGTCAAGAGGGATAGCCTTTTGTTCTTCTTGTTATTGACTCATCACAATTTAAATATATAAATTTTAATGTCTGATTCAGAAGAAGAACAAGTGAAACAAGCTCCCATAATTAAGCCTCATTAAAAATAACAAAAGGACTTCTATGCTGAATAATTGTAAGCCAATGAAGAAGCAGAATCATAAGCTCCTTTGTTGGTTGTTGTCTAAGGACCAAAGGGGAGTGGCAAAACTACATTGATAAAATCTCTTGTGAAACACTACACAGGATAGAAGATTAAGAAATTAGTAGGTCCAGTAACAGTTCGTTCCAATAAATAACATAGAGTTACATTTGTTGAGTGTCCTAGTGATATCAATGCAATGAGCGATTTAAGTAAGGTAGCAGATTTAGCATTGATATTGATTGATGCTAGTATTGGATTTGAGATGGAAACTTTTGAGTACTTAAGTTTGTTGAATAATCATGGTTTTCCAAATGTTATGGGTGTGTTGACACATATCGATTTCTTCAAAGACAATAAGTAACTAAGGAAGACGCGAAAGAAGTATAAAAAGAGATTTGAATATGAAACTGGTGGGAATTACAAGTTGTTCTATTTGTAAGCTTTGAAAAATGAATACTATTTGAAATAAGATATCCACAATTTGGCAAGGTTCATATCCATCATTAAGATTGCTCCAGTAAGATGGAAAACAGAACATCCTTTTATATTGGCAGATCGTTATGAATAGAGTAAGGATAATACTACAACCTTTTATGGCTACGTAAGAGGATGCACTTATCGATTAAATGACAGAATTCATTTTGTAGGTTAAGGAGATTACTATATTGATAGTTTTGAAGAAGTTCTAGATCCAGTTGAGATCATAACTACTTAGAAAAAGCATCGATCATTGAAGGATACTGAGAAATTGGTTTATGCTCCAATGTCAAGTGTTGGTGCTCTAACTATTGATGCCACAGCAGGATACATTACAATTCCATAACCAATATTTACAGAAAAAAACAAGTTTGTTAATAATGAAGAGCAAGAGGATGATGAAATAGAAGAATAAGAATAAGAATAAGAATAGGAGTTACCTGAAGGAGTCAGAATGGTTAGAGAATTGCAGCAAATGACTGAAGGAATTGATAAGTAATTAGAGGAGGAAGAAGATGTATAATTATTGGAGGGATTTGAGTTGGAAGAAGACAAACCTATTAAGAAGAAAAATAACTAATAATAAATTTAATAACAAAGAGAATTAGTTAGACTAAAGAATAGAGTCAATATTAAGATTGAGAACGGAACTGTTATGCCTATAACAGATACTCTATTAGCTACTGATTTACATGAATTAATATATTAGAATAAGAATAGTATTAATGAGTTTGATAGTGTAAGATACCTACCTAAGGTTTAAGAGAGAGAATCATATAGGGAGATTAAGGAACTATTTGTGACAGGCTTTTATGGATAAACTGATGTTGTGGATTTGGAAAACCTAGAAAAATAAATAGAGGAGGAAGAATTAGAAGAAGAATAAGAAAATAAAAATAATAATTAAAATTAAAAAGATGATAACTAAAATTAAAAAGAAAATCAATAAGAAAGATAATAACTAGTTAATTAATTAACTAATTCAAATCTTGGATTGTATAAAAAAGGCACTTATGTCAAAATAGTTATCAAAGATTTCTCTTCTTCTGTTAAAGATGATTATCCTATGATACTTGCTAGGTCTGAAGTTGGTGAGGATAATTTAGGATTCATCAAAGTATGATTTGTCATATATTTTAGATTCGAATTAAAAAACATAGGTGGCACAGCAATATCTTGAAATCAAATGATCCCATCATCATCTCTCTTGGATGGAGAAGATTTTAAACAATCCCTATTTACTGCGTCTAGGATCCTAATGACAGATTGCGATTCGTCAAATACACTCCAGAATACGACTATTGTTATGCCATATTTTATGGTAATTTTGCACCTCAAGGCACAGGCCTGGTTTGTACACAATCTTTAAGCAATAAATTGGTATTAATATATATATCAATTATATAGTCTAAATTTAGAATTGCTGCCACTGGAGTAGTATTAGAGATGAATCATCAATTTGATGTAATGAAAAAGTTAAAGTTGGTTGGAGAACCTTTTAAAGTCATAAAAAATACTGCATTCATAAAAGGAATGTTCAATTCTTCTCTCGAAGTAGCTAAATTCTAAGGAGGTCTCATTAAAACTGTGTCTGGTTTAAGAGGACATATTAAAAAACCGAGCAAATTAGGTCCTGATGGTAGTTTCAGAGCTACTTTTGAAGACAAGATCCAAATGAGTGATTTAGTCTTCTGCAGAACCTGGGTCAGAATGCATATAGAGAGATTCTATAGACTCATCACAAACAATGTGAAATTGATGAAGACTATGTGGGAATTGAGGCAGGAGAAGTAGATTCCTCTGGAATTCAAACCAGATTCAACTTATCAAGATTAGGAAAGAGTTCCTGTGAAATTTGCTCCTTTGAGAATACCAAATAATTTATAGTAGAATCTACCTTTTGAAAGCAAAGAGAAGGTATTTAAATACAAAATGTTTTTAGGTTAAATCTCTGTCCTTCAGAGAGAAATTGAGATAATAAGTGGAAAAAAATTTGCCTGTTAAGAGCAATATGACTGATAAGGAAAAGGAAGTTTATTCTTTGATCCAGAGATTGAATACGATAAAGAATGAGAAGGAGAAAAAGAGAGAATAGAAAGACATTCAAAAGTAGAAGGTTAAGGAAGCTTAGATTAAAGGATAGAAGTAACATTTAGAAGAGGGGAAGAGGAAGTATAAGTAGTAAAAACAGAAAGATAAATTTATAAAATAAGTTAAGAAATAATAATAATAGTAATGAATTATGTGTATATTAAATATTTAATTAAATGAAGTATGGTTCTCCTAAGATTTCATCAAATACAATTGATGTATTGGATGAAACGTTAACTCCTCGAAAATCCATTCAACCTTATGTAAGAGAGAAAAGAAGTATGAGTAGCAAAGTCAAGGATTTTGCTTATTAAAATTAATTGTTTGATAAGGTTGATAATAAGATCAGGGCCTACCTGCAGAAGAATCAGGTCAATTATGAAAAGACACTAATTAAGTTGTATAAACTGGACTCTCTAAAAAGTGATAAGGCAAAACGATTGTTAGGAGAGCTTAATCAAACAAAAAGGAAATAATAATTGAGTGTTGTTCGTCAGACCAAATCCATGTAGAATTCTCATCCATCTCTCTAGAGAGAAAGGAATAATAGTCTCCAATCTTCAAAGCAAATGCAAATGGATCTTAAATAAATATAATAGGAATTAAAAAAAATTAATCCTGAGATCGAACATAAGGCATTAATGAACCTCTCTATCTTTAAATTTAATTAATCAAATTGTGCTCGATTGGAGTAAAATGAATGGGAAAGGGTTGCTCTTTAGTATCCTTACAAAATTAGACCAAAGATGACCAATTTTGAGTAAGAATTAGATCGATTGCACAGTTATTATTCAAGGAACGAAAACTGTTTGAATCAACTCATGTAAATCTAAAAGGATTTATTGCACTACAAATTGCTTTAATAATGATATTTATCTATATAATTTATATATACTCAGAAATGATCTGGAAAAAGACACAATATTAGATCTCTGGTTTATGGAAATTGCTGAAGGATATAAATTATTTTTTTTTTAAGTTCTTCCATATCCTACACTCGTTCTTTCAGGTATTTATATTCGGCTGAATTTTGGTTAGTAATCATTGTTTCAATAATATTTGATAATTTCTCTTGATTGTTTGGCCAAGTATCGCATAACTATTTAGTTAAAATTCTCAAATTACTTTCTTAATATAAGTATATAATGCTTTCTCATAAGTTTTAATATCTCCATCTGACCAATAGATTTTTAATTGTTCTTCCAATTTCGATATTTATTGAATATCATTTATTGCATCTTCAATAGTGGTCTTCTAAATTAATCGTTTATATATCTAAGCATCATTATAAGGAGGAGTTTAGTATTAATTAAAATTAAATTTCTTTAAATTCTTGATATCTTAATTTTGATTGCTAATGAATATAAATAATTAATACTTCACATCAATTTATTTAGTTTTGATCCATTGTCTCAATTACTTATGATAAGTGTAGACACAATAATCCTTAAATAGAAATTCAACTAAAGGGTATCCTTCAGTATCAATTTTAAGATTTGCTTTTATTAATGGATCAATGCTTTATTTGCCTTTCTTCTCATCATCATTCAACAATTACTTTTTATCCATCCATTCATAGACATGTTACATTAGAATTTTGATGTCTCCTTCATAAGAGATAGTTTTGGAATTTAAATTGATGACTTTAAATTCCCCTGTGTTTTGAAGACATAAGATATGATTTTTGGGACTCAGGACAATCTAACTTAAGAAAGGCAAGATAAATGGTGCTTCCTATCTCATTCCTTTATGATTCTCAATATAAAGTAAAGCCTAATCAGTATATATGATAATAAGATCATCATTATATTAAATAGTCTTTACTTAACCCTCCACATAATCAATCCATTTTGGAGTGTTATTTTCAATACATCTAATTAAAGTTCCATAGACAGCTTAATTGAATATTCTTTACTATTATTTTTGAACTTCCAATAGAAGAGTTTTATTATTCATTTAAAAAGAGTAGCTCTTAGGTAATACTTCATATTATGAAATAACTAGCAATGGTAACTGTTATTCAACCTTTTTAATAACTGGTTCGGATGAGTTCACATCAAGAGGAATTAATTTTTTCTTGCCATCCACAATAACCTACTTAAATTAGGTTTGGGTTTATTTAGGAATTTCTCTTTATTAAATTGTACTATCAGGAATTTGATTTTTCAATTCGTCTTACACATTAATTTTTTCTAGTTGCATATCTGCAAATTTAATATTTTCATTATTCATTTTTGGTTAATAAAATCGAATTTATTTAATAGTATTTTTAAGATCCCCATAAAGACTTTTAATTGCTTACTATTTCTCATTTTCAGTTAAAACTTAGCCTAAACTCATTTGAAAATCAATAACAATAATATATTTTTTTGAGGTTGTAGCCATTAAAACAGTTCCCTGTTGATTCCATGTAATATCCTCTATTAGTTCTCCTGCCTTCTTATGACCCTTAACTAGCAGAAATGGTTGCTCATCAACTTAATTCTCATTTATTTACCATAAACTGATATTACCATCATTATCACCAATAGCAAAGACGCTAAAATATTCATTAGAATTAGAATTCTTAAATAACATTGGTGAAAATCTAACTACATTGATTGATGAGAATGGACCAACTATAGTTCTAACAACTTAAAAATTCTGGTTTCTATCCAAGATAGCCACTGTTGGAATTGTCTAAAATAAATTTAATAATCCATACTTTATCATCCAAATTTGGAACAGCCAAATATCTACAATCTACACTCCAATCTAATTTCCTATCCTCTCTTTTGGTTGTGCATTGTTTGCCTTGTATTTGGAGGGAAACTGTGATTTCTTGTTTCCAATTATCAATTTTATAAAAATTGACCTTTTATAAAATAATTGAATACTGTATTGTCAAATTTCAAGGAAACTATGTATTTGTCAAATGGATCCCAACATATGCCTACTGTTTTTTAGCCGCAATCTATTTTATGTTGAATTCCATCCTATTTAATATGATAAATGAAGATGTTTCCATCTAATGAGGCAGTGGCTATTCTCTAATCATCAGGAGACCAACACAATGCAGTAATTTCCAATTTATGTCCCTAATAGGTTCGATATATAGACAGATTGCCGCCATTGAATTACCAAACAATCAATTTATCATTGCTTGTTGCCAAATAGAGTCCAGATGGAGACCATGCTAATTGAGAGATCATTCTCTTTTCCATTTTGCCAATTTAAATAGGATGCAAATTAAATTATGTATCCACTTCATTTAATAACAACCAATCTTCTTCCTCGCCACTCCCTAATGCTAATATGTTTTTTTTTGATAAACTCAACGATTTCAATCCAGTCGTAGCCTCTATTATGCTAGTGTATTTGATTCTTACAGACATATTATTATTTATAATAAATCAATTGATAATTTGTTTCTGATTCTTTCTCATCAATTACTATACAACTGAAGAATGGAAGAATCGATCAGCAAACGAATTCATCACTTATGGTGATTACTGTTGTTTATTGAAGTGAGGTTGATATCCATCAAAACCTTTTCGCTCTAAATTTCGAGGACTAGTCAATGATTAATTCTCTATTAATTTCTATGGCAACGAGAATTGAGCCTTATGAGTCGTCTGACGAACCAAAGATTGAGATTCCACTGGAAATGGTCCTCTATTTGAGATAAATTTATTAAATACAGAGGTTTAGGAATAATAGGATCTAGTTTTTCATATTTCTGAGTAACAAAATTACGAGAATAATTAGTCTCAGCAATAAAGGGTAACTTCTTATCACTTTTTACATAGAATGGTCCAATGATACCATGATATTACTTTTTCCAATCTCTATAATTAGCTGTGTAGGATGACAAACATGACATTGTATTCTGATTAGGTAAATGATCAGGTTTAAAATTGTCTGATTTCTCAAATTTTTGAGGTACAAAATGTTACTAATTTATGGTTAAGATTTTTTACATTATATGTGCTTGAATTCTATAAAAATGAAGCTGATTGTTTTGCTTTCTCATAAATCCATCGGTTAATGTATGTTGAATCTTTCATATACTTATCATTGTAATCATCAGTGTATTATGTACTGTATTTACCTTTACATCCAAGTTTCTTGTTCTTCAAGGATTGAATCTCCATCTCCTACAAATACAATACTTATTATAAGATATTTCATACTTAATAAATCTGAAAAGTAATCTTGATTCTATACAATCACATCCTCGATACTTTAATCACCAACTTAGAGATCTCTCCAAAGTTAATGATCAGAAGGGAATATCTCTTAGATGCTCATAATCAGATCATTCAAATTGGTCTTAGATGACTGTTCTGATATCGCTTACTCCTTCTTTTGTAGCGATGGTAATGTAATCTGCTTCTGTTCCTCTACGATTATCTTCTCTGCTCCTCTTTATTATTCTGTCTCTATTTTCTAGGATTGATAATATAGTTTCTGTATGTCCGGACTCACATGAGAAGATAACAATTGATTTTTCAATTTTACAACTTTTCTCTTTTTTGGCTTAGATTAACTTGTAGCATTGCTCTTATTACTTTGCTCATTAAATTCTGATAGGGATAATTTTTATTTGTCATTTGCCCTTTAGAAATCATTTGATGTTAAGATCTTTTGGATTTTATCATCAATAATCATCTAATTAAATTTATTATATTAATAACACAATTACGCTATCACAATCATAAGTTAGTTAATTACTTTTCTATTATTCCTTTATAAATTAAATCTATCTTAAATTGACTATCACTATTAATGTATCCAAAGACAATTGCTCTATTCATGCAATTCAATTTAGATAAACTATAAAATGTCAAAATAAATATAATTTCTGTATTTATTTTATTCTCTAATTTCCTAATGTCAGATATCAAAAAGAGATCCCTCTCATTGTAAAACAGTGTAATATTTACCCCTGAATAATATTAAAAATCTGAATGCTCCCCTGAAAAGATTAAGAGATAATCTCAAAGATAATAATAAACAATCATTTTAAGTACTCCAGTAAGTCTTTTTATTAATATAAGATTAAAATTGTGGAGAAGAGCACTTCTAACTTATTTGATATTTATATAGATGGAAACCAGACGGTTAAAGAAGGATGGTTATACTAAAGTAAGAAGGTTTATGTTCAACTCACAAGACAGTCAATAAGGGAATTTAATGATGAACAAAAAACTTCATTGATTAAAATCATTTCTTTAAAAGAGTTTGAATTCAATGTCTTGTAGGAAAAATAGATTATTAAAATATAGTTCCCTCAATTAAATTAGATACTCATTTACTAAGCTAAAGATGCTGTTGAGGCTAAGATGTGGATTGGATGTTTAAATATTGTTTTAGATAGACACAGAAATCATCCAAAAAATAAAATATAATTATAAGAAGTATCAAAATACTTTGGAATTGATGTGATTTCAGAAGATTACTTTTTAAAAATAGTAGAATCAGGAGATCTTCTTCTTTTTGAAACCAATAACACAGGAGCCAAATTATAGAGAGTATTTACAAATACTAAATATGATCATGTGGCTATTGCAATTAAGATGGCTAACAAATATCTCTTTGTATTTGATGCCAATGCAGACACAGGAGTGACATTTATGGAGTGGTCATAATTCATTGAAATTAATGACCTTTATGAGAAGTAATCTAAAAGTTTACCAATTTTAGACTGGCAATCAGAAAACTAATAGGCGTTGATAGAATTTAAATAGAATAAAAGTTGATTGAATTCCTACAACAAGTTCATGGAAAGAAATATGAAGTAACTTTCAGTAAGCTCTTTAGATAAAAGAGTTTAAGCCCCTCTAAATCTAATGAAAGTTTCTTTTGTTCAGAATTAGTGGCTAAAGCATTTAAATATTGTGGATTGCTAGAATCACATAAAGCAAGTTGTTCATTCTTACCTGTAGAATTTACTAAAAAGCTTAAATTAACTAATCAAACACAGATCACTGATGATATTGTTGTGATACTTAAAAAACATTTAACTAAATGAACTTAGATATTCATTCTTTTTTTGATTTACATCATAAATATATAAATTTATTCAATAAATCTCTGCTTGATTTCCAAATTTTTTCTAGGAGTTTAATAATCTAACAAAAAATAATCAAAATATATACGGTTTTGAATAATAGTTTTTAGTATTTTGCTATGATTAATTATTTGTGCTCACTATTTGGTATTGTTATTAAAGATCTGACAATTATCGTTATGAGTTTTATTATTCATCAGTTTATAATCTTACTTATCTCTTTTTACTTGTGCCTTATAAGGAGGAGGCATAAGAAGGTACATACCCACAATCTAAGTCGTCGTCAACATTATTAGAAACTGCGTTTTAAGAAGAAGCAAAGTTGAAGTTTGGTTTGGTATGGTGACTTACATGATTTTGATTATTATTTTCTTGCCTTCCAAACACCTATATAGCCTTTGCAGGAGTCTACTGAGGACTTATCAGGTATTTAGTATCATCTTTCAATTCCAACTCTTTTGGTAAAAATTTGAATGGCTGAGATAACCAATTTGATTGTAAAATCTCTACTGCAGTTATTCTTTAGTGTGGATCCTCTTCAAGCATACTTTTAATTAGATTCAAGGGTTGCTAAGGAATAAGTTTCTGGTGTTGGTTTAGATTGAGATTTTTGATCTAATAAAGCTAATCAATTTCCGTAGTTCCAGGTATTAATGGGTTCAATAGATACAATTCTGCAAGAATGCAACCTAGGGCCCAAATATCTACTTCTTGGTTGTATATTTCTTACTTGATTTGTTCTGGAGACTAAATCAATCAATATTATAACATACCCGATACCATCGAGTGGAAACATAATCAGTATGTATCTCATTTTAATATGTAACTTATCCAAAGTCGATTAACTTGACTATGCCATTGTCTTAAATCATAATGTTTTCTGGTTTTAAATCTCTACTATTACTCAATTGTCATACCGATGTAAATAGCCTTGACTATGCAAATAATTTAAAGCACAAGCAATTTAGTACACAATACTTTAAATTTGCTATTCACACAGAGTTCTATTCTTTTCCTTTACAGATTTATAATATTAAAGTAGGTTTCGTTCTGAAAAATCAAGTACGATGGCAATTGTTTTGTTTTATTTGATGACATCCCTGAGTTTTATGATGTTTGGATGATTTAGTTTTTTGAGTATTTGGATTTCCTTAATTTTGGATTCGTCTTTGATGGAGTTGTCTCGATATGATTTGATAGCAACAAATTCATGAGTTCTCTCATCAAGGGCTTTTGTAACACTACCAAAAACACCATCACCTAGTTTTTAGATTATTTTATACATTTTTTTTAATAATATAATAGTAAGCAAATAAATTTATATAAATTTTACATCTTTTCATATGATGTTAAATGCATAAGGAATTTATATTTATAAATTCAAACTAATTTATTATGGAAAATCAATTGAAAATATTTTAGGAAGAATTATAAGAGTTGCTCATCAAATCATAATTGAACATGAGAAAGTTGACTATCAATAATATCTAATTGTCTGATCTAATGAAGACGTCAGCCAACGATCTCCATCAAGCAGTTGAAGAAAATACTGATAAAGTAAATCTTTAAATAAAATAATGTATGCAAATGCAAGATGAATTCTTACAAATTGAAGCCTTATAAAAGAAAGTGTATTAATAAATAATAATTAAATAGGGAAATCTTTAGATTGATAGTAGAAGAAATCTAGAAAAAGAAAGAACAAGAATATTAGAGTTTATTAAAAGCATGATGAATTAATAATAAATATTTACACCATTCCAAATTTAATCTTATTGACGTTTTAAGTTCTCTAAAATATCACTCAATTGTATGAATACTAATCTCATTATTTATATATATAGATATATCATTAATCAATGTTTTTTGTTTTAATAAAACTTGGTAATTTTTTGAACATTAGGAAATTCATTCATAGATTCTTCATCTTCTTCTTCTATTTATTTAAATGGCTATATCTTTTTGATGTTTGTGCTTATCTAATCGGTTGTTTAACCTCTTTGTTATTTTCTAAATGTAGAAAACTCACTTGCCAATTCACTAAATCCATCATTCATATCATCATAAGGTTTAAATTTACAATCTTATGCACACCAATCAAAACAGTAAGGTCCTAATTTAATTATTAATTACTAGATTTATTGAGTCCTTCCTTGCATATTTCTTTCATCTTTGCATAATTAGGCTGTTCATCAAATCTCAGTCCTTTTGAATGATCATATATTTGCTTTAGAATTGGAGGGATATTAATTTCTAATTAACCTGCAGCAAATTTCTATTTTGCCTCTAGTATTTTCAAAAACTTCTCTTATCTCGTTTAACAAGAGAAATTTTGCCATGGCAACTATCCATTATAGAGGTATAAGAGAACATAACACATTGCTTCTAAATCGTCTCTTCTACTTTACTCAGCCCCTAAATGTGAATTTATGCTTGTATATCTTGCAGTTCCTACCATTCCTTTGTTGTCTGCTTAAGGAATATGAATTCCTATTTTTAACCAATTTAATTACCTTATTAATCTAAATATGGTTTTGCCAATCCAAAATCTATTAAATAAACAGTGTGATGATCACCATAACTCCCAACTAAGAAATTTTCAGGCTTAATATCTCTGTGAACAAATTTTCTTTCATGAACTGCTTCAATTGCTGTAATCAAACAGTAAGCCAATCTAATAATACTAGTTTCTGAGAATTTCTCATTTTATTATTTTTTTCGCAGCTCCTCCAAATTACCTTTTATTAATAACTACTTTACCTGAACCATAGAATGGCATTATTATTAATTTGTAATCCTACTGTTAAATCAATTAGTATGGTTGAGGTATTTATTGAATTCCCTTCAATTACATTAATGTATTGTATTCTTTAACTAGCAACGACTATTGACTTTATTATCTAGAATCTTTAAATTCCACTTTGCATGCATGCAAAGTTTTAGTTATTGTATTATAAATTTTGTAAATCTCTCCAAAACTACCCTACCCTGCCTTTTCAACTAAAATAAATTCAGCAGGTAACTCAATCTAAGGACTTACAACCTTTTTTACTGGATATTCACTTTACAATCTTACTTTTGGTAAAGATGTTTACATATTTTTTAAATTAATAATAATTATAAAAATAGTAACATCATTATTATAAATTTAATACTAATATTTTGAACATATACACTAGAGATAGTAATTATTCTATTCCCTTTATGATTTGATTAATTATCTTATATCTTTGAAACTAAAAATTTAAATTCGATTGATTAAATACAAACACAACTTAGTGTTTTTAATCAATCATACTAATTGGATTTAAAATATTAATTTATTTTCATTTATAAGCACATCTTTTTATGCTTGCAGTCTTTTATTTAAAAATTGTTGTATCATAAATTCATTCTAAATAAACAATATATAATGGTTAGTATGATAAACCTCATAAAATTTCAAAAATACATATTTTCCCCTAAATTATTAAAACAGAGTATTATTGGAATACAGTATTAATTCATTTTAATAGAAAGAACAATTAAATTAACATAAATTAAAAAATTTCAAATTAACATAATATTATTAAACTAAATCTTTTAAATATGAAAACCAAAAGAGCCTAAAGTTTTATGAGGATCGTATTGACACTTTGCTGTTTTTATGAAACAAGTACATTATCTCAAGTATTTAGGCAATGGATGTCCTGTTGGTTGTAAATCATGTGGTTTAATCAATGATTGTTGGTCTTGCAATTAGGGTTATTATTTATCTTTTTTATCTTGTAAACCATGTAGCAACGAATGCTAAGCATGTTCATCATCGACATCATGTTCATTATGTTAACCATACTATATTCTATAAAATAATTAGTGTATTTTACAATGTCCACAAAATTGCATAAGTTGTAATTCACCTACAACCTGCATAACTTGTGCAGATGGTTATTATGCGGACATTAATTAGGTGTGTTAGCAATGTACAGCACCTTGTTATACTTGCAATCAAAGTTCAATGAATTGTCAATCATGTAATGATCCAATAGGAATGATTGTGAGTAATTAACAGTGTATCTGCAGAGATGGATATTTCAAGAATTCTCTTAATAATTGCTAAGCATGTGCACATCCTTGTTTAAATTGCATAGATAATGAAAATAAATGTATGTCTTGCATTTCCACATATAATTATTATGCTGTTAGCAATACTTGTAAATGTCTTAGTGGATAATATGAAATTAATTAAAGTTGTCAAATGTGTCAATTACCTTGTTCTACATGCGAATTTTCTGATACTCATTGCTTATCATGTTCTGATATTAATTAAACCTTGAATGGGTACAATCAATGTATATGCAACAATGGATACGTGCAAATACTGACTCATTGTGAAATATGTGTCAGTCCTTGTTTGGCATGTACATAATCAACTACATTTTGTACATCATGTACTGATATCAACCAAATCGTAATTAATGGTACCTGCATATGCAAACCAGGATATGTAAGTCTTGATTCTTTGGTATGCTTATAGTGCATTTCTGATTGTATGACATGCTCCAATAATATCGATCATTGTGATTCATGTGTAGATATTAATAAAGAAATCAATGGATTGCATTAATGCATTTGTAAATAAGGGTATTATTTCGATCCAAATTATACAGTGTGTTAATTATGCGATAGTTCATGTGCCATCTGTAATATTGATAGATGTCTAATTTGCAAAAAAGGCTATGGAAAGACTACAGAATCTCCTACTTATTGTTTGCCATGTGAGTATCCATGTTTGGATTGTTAAGAAAATGTAGATTTTTGTAATGAATGCGATAGAATAAGTCTATTTTACTTAGAGAGCGAGAAATGTTAATGTCCTGATGGTTATTATTCTACAAATTAATAATGTTCGAAATGTTCTAATGAATGTGAGAAATGTTTTCATACATCTGACTATTGTTTAAGTTGCATTGATCATAATTATTAATTCTTTTAGAATACGTGTGTTTGTCCCTTTGGATACTATATTGATACAGCATTAAATTGTTAATTATGTTAATAACCATGCGAATCATGTTAATTTAATTATGACTTTTGTTTGAGTTGTCCTGATTCCATATAAATTTTGATTGATAATCGATGTTAATGTGTTAATGGTTACACATACATAATAACCACAAATTAAGAATCGAATAGTTCATGTTATCAATGTTCAGATATTTATTAGAACTGCTTAGAATGTAACTCGATCTAATGTAATAAATGTTAATAAGGATATTATTAAAATGAATTATAGGAGTGTATCATTACTATCTGTGGTGATCAGATAAAAGTATAGAATGAATAATGCGAAGATGGAGATGATGGATGCCTTGATTGTTAATGTGAGTTAGGATGGCTATAAAATCTTACTGGATGTTTTTCGACATGTGGAGATGGAATATAAGTCAAAGGAGAATAATGTGATGATGCAAATGATATTCAATATGATGGGTGTTACGAATGTAAGTATGATTGTAATCAAAATTGTGGATAATGTAATTAAGGTTTGTGTGAATAGTGTAAATAAGGATATTTATTAGAAGATAATTAATGCATTGCTACTTGTGGAGATGGTATATTAGATACGTCAAAAGAATAATGCGATGATAATAACGATCTTCCAAGAGATGGATGCTACAATTGTTTCCTTGAAGAGGGCTTCTTCTGTTAATATAACGAAGTGTTCTAATTTAAGTCCTGTGAAAGGTGCTTAGATGTCAAGTGCATTACTTGCATACTTTAGAATCAAATTCAAATATGCCAAAAGTGTTAGGAAGGATATTTTATTGATTAATAACATAGTTGTTCCTTATGTGATAAAATTTGCATTGATTGCATTATTACTTCAAAGAATTGCATCACTTTTGATTATGAAGTCTATTAATTAAAAGAATGTAACCAAAGTGAAGGTTTCTATTATAATTTCACTCTTAAAGATTGTGAATCTGTGTGTGGAGATGGAATTGTAACAAATTAAGAATAATGTGATGATTATAATAATCTTAATTATGATGGCTGTAATAGCGAATGCTAAATTGAGACTGGCTTTCTCTTTGATGTTGAAAGTAATAGTTTCATCAATGAACCCTAAATTTAGGTAGAAATAAATTAGTCTCATAATAATAAATATTCAATTTTAGCTGATCAATCTTAGGAATCCATTAACTGTACTGCTACTGAATTAAGTATTGAAAAATTCAATCAAACAGAATACAATTTTAGTGTTATTGAAACTGGTGACAACTGTGAAATAAATATGTCATATTCCAAAACAGTTGAACCAACTAATTTGATCCACATTTTTGTCAAATATAAGGGTCATTACAGAAAAAGGATCTTAGATGATGGCTTTTAGCAAGAAGTGATTATTGTACCAGCAAGATAAGTATATGTGAGTTAAGAATAAAAAGAACAAGGCGAAAAAATGGCAACAGCTTCAAAAGCCATGTCTTCATCAATAGTAGCATTTGCTCCATTAGCCTTGTTAGTAGGAGGATTCAAATTTATTTGGGCCATCCTAGATATTCTGAGTTGGATGAATAACTTCTATTTCTTAAATGTTAACTATCCAGAAAACGTTAGACTCATCTTTTAACAAGCAGAATGGAGTAATGTCATTAATTTTCCTTCAATCAACCTATTAAATTAACCTTCCGATGATTATTATTTCCAAGCCTAACCCAAGTTTACAGAAAAAGGTGTAGACCCACTTTTTTTTAATAACATCTAAATAGTCTTAATCTTTCTATTTCAAGTATTAGTTACTAAATTAATTTGTTTAACATTTAGGAAGACATTATAAAAATATTATAAGAAAGTAATTGTTCTCAATTAAAAAAAAAAAACAATCTTTTAACTTAGTGATTATCATATTGATATTTAAAAACAGGATGAAAAATAAGAGGAATAAAGATTGGAAACGCATATTTATCAAATCCCAAATATATTATTACCTTTTTATTCTTAATGCACTCTTTTTGAATCTACTTTCATAACTAATTTGATCAAAACCATTTAATTAAGTTATTTGGATATTACTTTAGCAATTGTTCTTTAAATTACTAATTAACAAACAGCTGATAACTTGATAGTTAAAGTAAATGTTGGAATGGCTTTAAGTTCTATTGTTATATTGTTTTATTTAGTGAGATTCTCATACTCTATATCTACATCGCATCAATTGAAACTAAATTATCAACATTTTTATCAGAGATATAGTTGCTTTTATGAAGATCTAAAAACAGATTCAAAGATTGCTATGATTTATTCTTTTGTCAATCTAATCAGAAAAACTATTTTCATAGTTGCCACCGTACTACTATATCATTTCCCAATATTTTAAACGAGTGTTTGTTTCTTGTCCTGTTTATTAAACATCATGTTGTTAATGAAGGGTAACCCTTTTATAAGTAAAAGACAATATATATTAAACTTTATTCCTGACCTTTGTATATTGCTAATAATAGTAATAACAATTATTTTTGCATTTTAAGATAGGTTTTAAATGTTCGGAGACTCAAAAATTTACATATTGGGCTGGGTAATTGCTCTTTGCATATACATTTCAATACTATTGTAACTGTTATTCTTGCTAAAAGAGATACTAGTTTCAATGTGGGATAAGTTCAAAAACTTGGCTAATTTTATTAAAAATAAATTGAATTGTGTTTAGTGATTATCTTTTGTATATATTATTAATTATTTCAAACATATTATTCTTAAGTCCTATTCTATTCAAATAAATTTGCTTATCAATTTGAAGTAAGAATGTACATGCTCTCTATCAAAAGTAACCTCATTTCCATGATTATAATTAACCAGTAAATTAATTAAACCTTAAGATCAATTCTAGCGTAACATTCTTAATTTCCCAAATATTCAATTCTTTTCTACAAAGAATAGAGGATATTTCTTAAGACATGATTACTCTTAACATTTAAAATTCGTCAGTAAATTGTTATTGTGAAAAGAAAAACATTAATTACTAGTCTTGGGTTAGAAAACACAACCATAATATTGCAAAATGCTTTAATTAAACACCCAGATGTTCTCCTCATTTATTTATTTTATATAAGAAGTAATCCTAACTTTTATTAATTAAAATATAACTTGAATTCTTTTATCATGTTTTCTTCTCTGAACTTCAAATGTAATAAACTTGTACAAAAAGAAATCAACAATCTAAATATTAGATAGAGTACTTGATTCCTCAATCTGGAAATAAATTCAAATTATAAAATTTTCATCATCTTCAGGAGATAATCCTTCGCATAATAGGAACACTATGGGATAAAATATTAGATTTTAAAGATATCATGAATAGTTAAATTATAGAATGAATTATTTATATTAATAAATTTTATATAATGAATTAAAAAACTAGTACAGATTGTTGTGTTTAAACTGATTTGGATTAGATGGAGATAGAAATGATCGAAAACCTTTCTCCAAAAATGATTTATTCGAATTTACTGTCAAGAAGCGTTAACTTGAGGAGCAAGAATCTGAAAATAGATGTGAAAAATAATTTTAACACCTTTCAGTTGAGAAAAATAGACACTTTTGAATAAAATTCAAAATAATTAAAAGGATAGAGACATAATTATAATCATAAGTCTTTTCATAACGAAAACGAATTAAAGCCATTAAGAAAAAGACAATTCATTCCAAAATCATTTCATATTGAAACTTTTAACAACATTGCTACACCTTAACAAATAATTTTACCATAAAAATAGTAATTTACACCTCTGCATGTATTAAAGCGGAAGTTGAATTATCCAGCAAATCCGTATAGATTAAAAACTTGTCCTGATGATAGTAAGTTTTGTGATCGGATTTTATACACAAATATTATACCAGAAAAAATAAAACATTTTGATGGAATTAAAGCTTTCAAGTGATATTAATTATATGTTAATATGTAGATAATCATTCTAAAGTTAAGATTGACTCGATACTATCTCTAGATGACACTTAATTATAATAAATATAATTACATTCATAAGATATGAGATTTGATATTATAGATGATGATTTTTCTTATTTAATTAGTATTTGATTCAAAACATCCATGGTATTTTTGATTTTATTTGTAATTTATAAAAGAGATTAAATTTTACTTTAATTCACTTTAACAAACTTTGATCTTGCTAATATAAATTCTTAATCTGTTGCTAATTTGTATGGGTCAGTAGTACTATGAAATGTTTTTGTTTATTCTAGAAATGTTTTAATTTTATTAAATTTTGGATCTGCAGTTTTATAATTGGAAGATGAAGTATTTGCAACATTCCCTTAACTGCCAGAACGAAGAAGGACACTACTTTATCCATTTATTGATTATTAAAGCATTTTAAATATATGTTAGGAAGCATAACATAATTCTGGGGAATCTCTAGGTTCGTTGAATTTATTTTCATAACTCTTGTTGATGAGTGTTTGCAAGAGGGCTTATTGAGAATGTGTACTTTTGTCACTCATTTTGATTCGGACCTCTAAATCTCCTATGTAGAGACACTGATAATACTTGAGTCTCTATGAGTTTTAGAACCATTACAATTTCTTTGAGCAAGATAATTTTTAAAGACATCATTTTGAATTTTGTTTATCCGGGGAACTATATATTTGTCATCTTTGGGTTTTTTTGATTATATTTTTTAGATTTGACTTTTATGTAAGAGTAGATCTTTAACACTAATTTGGAATTGGCCTTTAGAATGATCACTAAAGAATCTGGATACCTCTGTTTTATTTTTTGGAATGGGATATTTTGCTTAGTTATCACTAATTTGATTTCCTATCTTATCATACCTATTGTTTGTACTTTTCGTTTTATTTTCTAACTAAGCATTCTAAAGCTTTACTAACTGTGTTTATCAATTTCAGTCTTATAATTTGATAAAATTTTGGAGATCCTGTCCTGTTTGACTATTGATCTATTTGTTAATATTTAATTTTGCATAATAAAATAATTATATATTTATTACAATCATAAATTATTAACTAGAGATTTTATTTAATTTTGTTTTATAAAATTTAATGTTATCCAAAGTTCCTTGGTTCATATAGAAAGACTAATTTCTAATAAGTTGACTAGAACACTCAGAAACCTAGCATCATATAAAATGTAAAAAATATTGGAATACCAATTATTTTTAATATATTTAATTTATAATTCATTAATTACCCATTATTTGATAATGATATTGCAACAATCCAATTCATATTGTGTAACATTTTTTATATTTACATCATGTTTCCTTTCATAAATAGTTTAATAAATTAAATTATATTCGATTCAAATCCTGTATTTCATAGATATCTTGAATTATCAATGAGTTTCAAGATGTCTTATTTTTTTGTGTATGTAATAGTAGTAATATATAAAATTTGGATTATTATCATCAACCTCTAATAAAGTTTTACAAGCATTAAATATCATCTAAAAATTTGTTCAATTTAATTTTACCAAAATACAAAATGTAACTTGATCTTAACTCATCTTTGATTTTTGATAGCAAAAATTTACTTATGACAGTTGCCCAATTAGAATCGCCTAATTAAAGTTTCCCAAAAACAAAACCTAACAACTGTACAAATTAACGATTGTATCATTAATGAGAGAACAAGATCATCAACTTATCTTATTTTAATATTGGTTATTATGTATTCAATTTCATTTGAGCAGAAAAATAAAGCAAGATGTTTAAATGTTCCTATTTTAACAATGTTCTCGTTCAGTTGATTTAGAGTATTTATTAATAAAATATAATTTATTTTATATGTTAAATCAATACACCACACCTCCAAGAATACCTAAACCTTCTCCAGTTCCTTAAAATTAAGAATAGTTATTGCACGTTGTACTGCATGAAAGACAAATTCAATAACAACAACGATATTATACTCCTCAATTAATTAGACCACCCTCATAATAAACTATTTCCACTTAACTTAACTCTCCTATTTCAAATTAACCAAAATAATAACGTTATACTGTCATTTAATAAGTCAATCAAAATGACATGAATAACCAATATCATCAAATTATGCAATATTACAAAGAGTTAGAAATGAATATGTTACAATAAAAATAAGAGAATTATCTAAAATATAATGAAATTCTCTAAAAGATTGATAACATCTAATAAATAATGGCTCATAACATTAATTAATTAAATATAAATCAAAGAAACGAATATTAATAATTGTTATAGGAATTGCAATAGTAACGATTAGAAAATTAATAACGATATGAACAATTATTTTATAACATCGAATAATAAAAAGATTAAAATCATTATGAGAATTAATTGCAACAAAAAGAGTAACTCTTACAACAATAACATTAAATTATAGAGCAGCAGAAACAATAGCTGTACAATTAAAATGCTAACTTAATTAAGCCTTCTTAATAATAACCAATATATTTTGCTTCAAATCCCTCAAATTTAGAATAAAAGCTATTTCCACGAGAACAAATTTCGTAAGATTAACTCAATTACTCTTAAATTCACAACCGATCTAATAAGCAGTCTTCTCCACAGATTTAGATACCTAATAGAAATCAGTCTTAAGACAATAATACCTTTGGAATTAACTCAGGTCAAATTACCCCATTTATACAAGGTTCTCCACAATAACCGAATAATAATTTATTGTAATCATAAGAATAATATAATTCTAACTCTAATAAATAATTCATAAATGATTATCTGTCAAATCAAATTATCAAACAGACTAAATCCCCAAGGGATTAAATTTCCCCTTGCATTTGCATAAATAGCCCTAAAAATACTAGTAGGGATAATTCCATTTCACATCAGAAGAAGTAAATATTTGAAAAACCTGTTTTTGACTAAGTTCATAATAAACCTTTGTTTCATTAAAATACTCCTATAAAAAATTAAGATATCCATTTATTAAACTAATCTAATTAGTAATAATAATATTATTAAGTCTAATAACCATTTCATTCTGATGAAAGCATAATAATTGATGAAACAAACAATACTTCTGAATTATTAAATTAATTAAAAGCAGAATATGGAATCAATAGTTTAACTCAAAATTCCTCCTTATAGATATTTACTAATTAATTACAATTAATTTATTGTTTATCATGTGATCAATATATTTCTCTGCAATTATCTGATTAACATCTTTAGGTTTGCAATCCCTAAAGACCATAAAGAAGATAAAATGATAGCTATTTAGATAAATATATTGTGTATAGGGGAGATGATTTCTTAATAGAAACTCTAGAAGCCAAAACTAAAAGGATTTGCCAAGAAATTTAAAAAATAAAATTAATGATGCAATTGGCTCAATAATAAAAGTGGACCACTTATGAATACATATAGCTAAGAGAGTTTTGCTAAGTAGCTATTACTATACTTGATAGATTATTGTCCAATCCTAATTCCTACTAGTTACACATATATTAGTAACATACTCAATAAATATTTAATATTGTTTATATGGCGCCCTAAATATTTTATAAACAATAGGCTAAATTGTTGTAAAAATGCTTAGACAGGATAAAAGATTTATTATTGCTTTATAAAAAATGATTAATTATTTATATTATAAATTTCTTATATAATTTTGTAATGAAAACTAAATTGACACTAAAACTAAACAGATTTCATTAAATAACAACTAGATGCTCAAGTTAATTTCTGGGGATAAGTTATTTGTAATATCTAACCATTTCGATTTATTTAAATTATTTTCATTTTTTTGTGACTAGAAGATTCACATATGTTGATACCCCCAGCCAAAATTCTTGAATACCAACTCAATATAAGATAATTAGAATCAATCATCAGGTTTTTATTCATTTAAACAGTACTTTTCAGTAAAATATGAGTAAAAGGGGGTTTTTCAATTCTAATGAATTTTTAATATTAGGTGGTGTTTTAGCAGTTGCAATAAGGAATATGAAAGAGGATGAAAAACTGATGATGGATTACTTGATAAAAAAGTAAATGAATATTGATTATTTATTCAATACTTTTAGAAATTTAATTGCAAATTAACCGTAAGAACAATAAACTGAATAAATACTAAAACAACTATATTATAATTTCAAAGTTAAATTAAATATGTCATTAAATTCTAACTCATCTGCATCGTAACGAAAACCATGGACACCTAGTGAAGATAGGTTGCTGACTGAACTCAAAAGAAACAAAGACTATGATTGGATTGAAGTTGCCAGGAGAATTGAAGGCCGTAATCCATCTTAATGTTCTCAAAGATGGAAGCGTATCAAAGGTTTCAAGCTTCGAAGAACTTGGACTAAAGAAGAGGATACTAAATTGCTTGAATTAGTTAATGCCCATGGCCTTAATTGGTGTTTGATAAGTACTTTTTTTGAAAACAGATCTGGGAAATAGGTTAGAGAACATTATCTTAACTAATTGGATCCATAAATCAACACTTCCCCTTGGAGTATGGAAGAAGATAAAAAGATTGTTGAACTTTATCAATCTATAGGGGGGAAGTGGAGTGTAATTACTAAAGCACTCAACTAAAGATCTGAGAATAGTGTTAAAAATAGATTCTATTCATGCCTCAGACACAAATATCTCAACATAAAAAATCCATACTATATAGTGCCTGAGAAAAAATAAAAGTTGAATGAAGAAGAGAGTTAGCAGAATCAAGATGTTTAAGAGCAATAAAATATTCCTGCGATTCAGCAACCAATTTAACAATCATTAGTTTAATAAGCACCTACTTATGTTCAACTTTATTAGAATTGCCTCTATCAGATTCCAATCTATGTCCCTTCACCAATGTTACTGCCAGTTTATATTTATCCATCATAATTTCAACTCGACAATCAACAATGATATTATTTATTTTTATATTAAGGTATTATCTAAAAGAGCATTCTCTCCTCATCTGATGGAAATCAATCAAAAACCAATTATTACATTATTAATATTTAATCAAATAAATCAAATTAATTGACAATTTATAAGCATTTAGCATGATTATAGAATTACAATTGGGTGTACACTCTTTCTTACACATGGAATATAATTTAAATAAAAATGCTTTTCTAAATCAGAACATGTAATATCAGATTCTAGATACATTATCATTATTTGTTATCCAAGGAATTGCTAATATCTAGATTTGTACATACACATCAAAATTATTTAGAAATGCTTCATTACTTTTTAGATTAATGAAACCAAATATTCTTGTTCGAGATCAAAATATCGTAAATATTTTAACCAAAAACTCTTCTGAATTATAAAAATCAAACTAAATAGCCACTTAATTATGCTTAAGCATTAGTCTCAACTTTTTAACAATTTTCTGTTTTATTTTCCAAATAGAAATGGATAAATTATCGATTTATTTTCTACCGCATCACTTGAATGTGGTTACAAACTTATTATTAAATTATGAGTTTTCTAATTTTTATTATTTATACAGGCTATTGCTCAGAAAGCACAGGACTCAGAATTGATTTAAATATCGAAATCCCTTTGTTGGAGAATCAGTATGTCATTTTTCACTCAAACTCATATAAATCAGGAGCAAGTCAAGAAATTCAACCATAAAAAAAACTATTAGCTAATTTAGTATTTTTTTAGATTAATATAGAAAAACAATTCATAAGGAGTTTACTCCTAGAAATTTGATTTTCTTGAACTGAATAATTCATTAGATATATCGTGTTACCAATAGAATGTAATGATCCTCCAAGATGTTTAAAGTTGCACTTAAAATTGCACTCTACAGTCAATCTAAAATCAAATCCTAGGAGCAAGCACCGTTAGCCAAAATATTACAGATTCATCTTACTTTATAGTCGATAATACATAATTGCCATGTGTTAATGGGACCTTTTTTAAATTACTTGTTCCATGGGTGACGGTCTAAGTATTATTTACCTTTTAGGATTCCTCGTATTTGATTGGGACTATTAGTATAAATTCTTAATATCTAAGTTATTGTCTTATTAGTCACTATTATTACTATTTAAATCATGTCAATAATTGTGTTGTATTATAAATTGAGAAAATATAAGAAAAAAATGAAAAGATCTTAAGACAAGAATATTGCCAAAAGAAACAACATCATGAGAAGTGACTATCAAGTAAAATGATCTCAATTTATCAATTAGGAAAACATTGAGGATCAATCCATATCACTCTAAGAAATTAAGAGCCAATAAAATTCGTATTTCTAAAATTGAAATTTATTCAAAGCAATAAAGCAATGACATATTTACAAATATAGATTATTTTATATTTTAAAATATATAAATTATAATTACAATTAATAAATAGCAACTAAGTGATTTGAATACAACTTAAAAATATTAGAGATGACGATTTAAAAAATTTTTTCATTTACTTATTGAAATCGTCCTAAACCTCTTTCTACCATTTCATAATAATTCGTAATAATTCGTATTGAATCTGTTAATTAGAGTAAAATTTATTGATTTAATCATTTGAATTTTTTAGTGTTTCTTTGCATTATTTGTATTTAAAAAATATATATGTTTGAACTGGGTATAAGCAATAGTGATATATTGTTTAAGAAATCACTCCGATCAGGAAACAAGTCGGCTAAGCTTGCAAAGAAGAATTCCCAATATCAATATCATGATGGCGATATGATCACAAGATAATTATCTTAAATTGTATTTGATATGCAAAATAAAAATGATTCTTTTGATCTTGCTATTCAATTACTCACCGATGACTAAAGCATATTAAAATAACATTTATCATTCTAAGTATTCATACCTGAAGTTAAAACATAAATAGGAGAAAAACTTTTAAAAGAAAATAATCTATGGATAATAATTTTAGTTGTGTTTCATTCTTTATGCAAAGAGAAATCTAAATACTCAGATTTTATATTAAGAAACATACTAAATATTATGTAAAAAATCTATTAAGAGGATTAAGTGTTGAAATAGATTCAATCTTAAGCACATTAGATAATATTAAAAACCGAAGATGGATAACAACAAATCGTAAATTAATCTGCATCTAAATATTCGAAACGATAACTCAGAGTTTAGTTTCAAGAAGATAAAGAAAACTAAGTAAGTAGTAGTAATGAAAAAAAGTTCTAAATTTCTTAATAAATTGAATCTACAAAAGATTAAACAAACACAATGTCTAATGAAAAATTAAAAAAGAAAATTGATGATTTAACGAAATAATTTTCAGAGTTGAATAATGAATCCTCTGAAAATTAAGATATAATGGTTCCTTAAGTTGAAGAGATTATTAATGAATAAGTCAAAGAGTTGGAGGAAGAACTAAATAACTAGCATGATTTATCAAATAAAAAACAAAGAGTATCATTAACAGAAAAGATTTTTTCTCGTTTAGGTTTCAAACCTTGGAGAAGTGAGTAAAAACTAATAAAACCAAACCCTATTTAAACAAAAATGAGAGGAATCAGATTATTAGACGGATTAGATTCAAAAGAGCTTCAATCCAACTATGTGGCAAAAGTAGAGAAAGTCTTAGTCTCAAATCTAAATGATAATCAGTTACATTCTATTGTCTAAGTATGGGTTATTTTATAATTTCAAGTTATCTGCAAATAATTCATCAGAATTATTAGAATGGGGACTCTATGCTATCATTTAATTAAGTGATTAGGATTGCACTAGCAAATAATATTTTGAGGATATGCAATATTATAAATAATTAATTGCATTTAAGTTTAGACAAGAAAGACAGATTTATATTCCTTTTGGTAAATACGAGTTATTGTGACTTATTATACTTAATAATTATGATGTATTGATATATTTTTGAAATAATATTGGAAATAAAAATATAATTTCAGCCGAAGGAAAGCAAAATGATAATCATTAAATCATCTCTTTTCAATATACATCATTATAATGGATGATTCTGCTCTGAAATTAATTAGTTAATTGATTGATTCATAATTTTATGGGATAAGAATTTTATAATATGTAAAATATTAAAAGGCAAAAATCTCTTTTTGATTAAACATTTAGTTAAAGAGCAACAACAACAGCAGAATCAAAAAGGACTTGCAAAATACCTATATAGATAATTGATTTCAAAAATAAATTTGAGACTTATCTCTCTGGATAAACTTCATGTGTTGATGTTATTAAATATAATAACAGCTTGCCAACAAAAAAATATAGAAATGTAAACCTAATAATAATATTTAGAGCATTTTAACAAAAAGAAAGACTCTTCATATTACAAATACTATTACTTAATAAGAAACGATGATTGATTACAATGACATCAAAGAATTTATTGTAAACCATGATTAAAACTATACTGAAATTAAGAAAACCCTAAATACTCAGCCTTCTCTGCCAGAAAGAAAGTCCTCAAAATAAGGATTCAGAACTTACATTAAAAGTGATTATTAAGAAAATAAACGATTAAATCACTTGAATTTAATAGCAGAAGATTATCGATCCTAAATAAGAAATAATAATTTAGTGTCTAGTCCTGATTAGTTGAGTATAATATTAGATTTATTGTAGTATTTAAGAATAAGATCTAAGCAAGAACTAAACATTTGGCATTAATCAGGTATTTATCGAGTTAATTTAGACCTAAATTGGACTCAGCACACATACAGTCTCGAATAAAATAGTTAAAGTTGGAAAATGGAACGAAATAACCAATCGTGGATGTATATTAGAAAGTAAAAATGAAAATTTAGATAAAAGCTATTTCGGGCTACGTCAGATCATTTTCTAGATGCTTTAAAATTAAATTGCAATGTGAAAACAAATGAGCTTCATAAAATGGGAGAATTAGATTTCTATGAGTAATATTTATCTAAAAAATCATTTATAGGTTGGACAACAGATAAAACTCAGTTTCAGAAAGACTTCCCAAAAAGTCTTATAAGGGAATTCAGAAATCATTGAAATACAATAAAAATTGTCCAACAAATCAAGTCGATGATTGCATCCTTGATGAATCTATAATTTCAGAGACAGAAGGTTGTCTATTATTATCATTTATAAGCTAAACTAAATATCTTTTATGGCCAAAGCAAAGATTATTAAAAAAAAATCATGAATAGAAATGAAAATCCAAATAAAGTTGTAAACATCATTTCCAAAATAGACTAAATTAGAGAAAATATCTACAAAGTCAATAAAAATAAATTAGATTGTGATTGATTTTAAATTACTTTTTCATTTATTAACATCAGATCTCCATTATATTTGTTATAAATCATATATAATCACTTGAATATTGTAACAACTTAAGATACAATTTGCAATATAGTACTTTTATTTTTATTGAAAATATCATCAAAAATAGAATATTTATTTCTTATGTAATGAAATTCCATTTAAACATTAATAAGATTTATACTATCTAGCTCATATAGCTTTATCTCATTTAATTTTGCAAATCTACTTAAACTTTAACATAATAATTAATTTCTTTGAGTTTATCCATTCCAGTTACCTATTAAAGCGACTTATTATTTGCTATTTTAAGAATTAGAGATTGCTAAATAAAGTTCCTGAACTTAATTCATTTAGTCATCATTTCCACAAATATTAACTACAATCAAGACTAAATCAGCAAGATTTGAATAAAATTCAATAAGGCCTAATGGTTTTCCATCCCATTCTATTGATTGAACTTCATAAACTCTATGTTAAGCGATTTTTGCTAGTTTTACTTCGAAATGTATATCCTAAGTATAAATTTCCTTATGAAGCTAACCATAAGTGAGAGCATCTATTAAGCTGCTTTTGCCAGATCTTAAAGGGCCAACAACCAAAACTATTTATGACATCAGAATTAAACAAAATGTATTTTTAAATTAAATTATTATCACTTATTGCATTAAACACAAATATACTCCTCAATGTTCTTTGCTTCATCTTCGGTTAAATGCACACAGTCCATATGCAACCACTTTTTACATGATTCACAAAAAATATAGACTAAATCTGGATTTTGAGGCATTTCACAAAAACATACCTTCTCTAATTCATTTAGATTCGGATTTATACTTTTCTTTTCGCTATTGTATGTGCATCTCATAAAAAATAATCTATTTTAACCACTAATATCATCATCTAAAAATGAATCATATTCGTTTAAGCTTAAAACCTTTACTTTGTCGATAATCTAACCTATAAATATGAAATCTGAAATTTCAGTCAGGAATAATTCATATTCGCTGAAACATTTCATATACCGTTCCCATTGTGAATCGAGATCCATTTTCGAGTAGTACCAATTTAATTGAAGCAATGGCAATTCTTAATTATCAATAAATGATTTTATGCTTGTGATTCTTTTTATTATTCCAATTCTTAAAGTATCCTAAAAATTGACTCTTATTGATTCATTTATTTAATATAATTAGCCTTTCCATTTCAATCTCTTGAAAATTTTGAATTAAGTTTTATCTTTTTCAGCTATTTTGGCTAATGCATTATAATTCTTCTGCTTTGCCAATTCTTCAAACATTTCTTAATTAAATATTTATTCTCCATTTTTCTAAAAGTCCTCTTGTGTTTTTTCATCTTGTTCTATTTGGTCTTTACTTAATTTTTCATTTGATGATTCTTTTTCAACCTCTGCCATTTTAATTATTCATTATTAAATCTAAAGCATTAACACAAATTCAAAAAAAATCCTGCTATTTTTCTTATATGCCTTATTATAAATTACAAAACAAAATAATAACATCAAATTCTTATATAAACTCTATTCTGTTTTTACGCCTCTAATACCAATTGGGATTAAAATTATTCCTTGTCATTTTCCTTGTAGGGTTATTCAAGACCAAGTTTCATATTTTAAGGTAGCAAAGAATCGAGCAATTTGAACAATTCAATCGTATATCTAACTTCATATTACTTTGTACTTGGAATTTAGAAACCATGGGAGGTTATACAGAAATAACTAAATAAAAGGGGGAATAAAATCGATTTTTAGTAAAAATGGGTGAAACAATAGTAGTAAAGCTAAGAAGACCCAATTCATTAGTTCAAGCGCTAAAAACTTATTTGATTCTGATATTTTTAATGTCTATATAATTAATCCATTTATTACTAAAAAAGAGCGGCAAATTACAAATCCTATCAACACCAAAGATTAGCAAAGTTTAATTATTGTGATCAATATTGCCAAAATAATAAGCAGAATAAATACATAACTAGCCCTTCTTATTTTAAACCTTCGATCAACATTATAATGCTTTGCTAAGTCCTTCAGAAGCCTCTATATTAGGATCAAAATTGGATTTTCGTCTAATTTGTCTAAAGTAAACCTTGTAATCAATTAATCAAATATAATATTCATTTTATATAAATATAAATGAATAACATATAAAGAGAAATACACATCTTCCAAGAAGGAGATCAAAATGAAGAAATTGTGAAGGAAGAATTTATAAATTTATCTCTATCAGACAACTTCGAGGAGTACCAATTGGGATTACAAAAATTTAAAATCTATTTAGATTTAACATATCCCAATTTAGAAGAACCAATTGCATAAATAATAAAGAAGTAATTAATTCCTAAAATGCTATTTCATTTAGAAAATTCTTTCTATCGTAATTAAGCCGATGTACTTTATTAAATTAATTTCATATAAGAAGCACTCAAGAAATATCATTTTGAAAACTCTTTCATAGAAAATGGCTTAATGTATATTCTAATAAGATTGATTTCTTTAAAAAATAAAATATATGATTTAGAAATCATAAGGCTATTTATTTTGCTACTTCATTCATCTAATAATAAATATAAACACAATATTTAAGTTTAAATTATTGTATTTATAGGCACTCAGAAGGTAATGCAAATGATTGAATATCAATCTCATTAAGCAACAAAAATTAAATAAATTGCTCTCCTTTGCAATATTAATGATCAATATTTCTTTAATGAAAAAAAGATTTTTATTGAACAACTTTGTTAAATTATACTTAATGAATCTAATTAATCAGGACAATTCATAACTGCAATAGAATTAATATCTGATATTATTGGATATGAAAATATTAAACAACTGCTATTGGAAAATAAAGTGTTGTAACCAATTATTGATGCTATTCCGAATTGGATAGATTAATATCGATCGGTTTTAGATAGTATTTTAAAAATATGTCTTGAATTCATTTTGTATAATAAAATTAGTCGATAATTGGTTGTAACTTATGGTTTATTAAAATACCTAAAACTGTTAATTAAAAGTTAGTTTTATGGAATAAAATATTATTCCTTAAAAATAGTCGAAAATTTATGTTATGAGAAATATATGGTTGAAAGATTATATATCAACTCTGTAGTTAGAACTATATTGGAATAATTCTTACAAAATTCAAGAAATTATGAGTTCATTTCAACATTAGTAAGATTACTAGAATATGGTAGCCTCATGTTTTTTAAGTATTGTTTAGATATCGCTTAAGAATTTATACTAGAATTTTTAAAAACATTTTTAAGCTTTCCAGAACCTAAAGTATGTAGGAGTTAGATGGCTCTAATTAAAGTTTTCCAAAATTAGGGGCTATTCTATGATGAGATATAATAATATCTTATTGAAAACTAGGAAATTATTAAGTAAAAAATGAAATTTCAATAATTTAATGATAAATAGTTTTTCGATTTCTATTAAATAAACCAGAAATTTGAATGATATTTCAATATGTTGATATATGATTAAAATAAGAATTTCATTTTTGTTGAATATTCTTTCTAAATGAATAAAGTCGTATTTTCTCTTATTTACACTCAGAATAAAGATTTTAGTTCAACTGAAATTTACAGTCATAATTAAATGCATTGCTTTTTATAAACCTGAAAGTAATAACTTGGGTCTCGATTTAAATTTTGTATTCATTTCTCAAAATATCTCATTCTGATTGATTAAATCTTCCTTCTATTGTAAAATTATAATCCAATAAACTAAATAATACAAACAACAATTTAAGATTTATAAAAAACATTGACGTTTGTTCTTTTAAATTTGTATTATAAAATAAAGAACAAAATGCATTGTGAACTAAATATGATAAATAAGAAAGAAAATATAAATAAAAAAATGAATGCAGGAGTAAAATGAATTGCTTAAGAAATGATATAATAGATATGAGAATACAATAATGAAAAAATAAGCAATAGAGATAGTATTGTATAGTAAACGTGGGTTGAAAACAATTTATGGATTTTAAATGGAAGTGATCAAAATAAGTACAATCAAATTTCGAAAACAGAATTAATCAGAGAAATTTTTATACATAATTTGAGAGATTAAACTTTTGATTATTAATTTTAAAAGAAAATGTAAATATTTGTTAAGACTCTGACTGGAAACACCATCACTCTTGATGTTGAACCATCAGACACTATTGACGCTGTCAAAGCTAAATTTAAGACAAGGAAGGAATCCCACCTGATTAATAAAGACTCATTTTTGCAGGAAAAGTAATTAGAAGATGGAAGAACACCTTCAGAATATAACATTTAAAGGAATCAACTCTTCACTTAGTGTTGAGATTAAGAGGTGGATAATGATTTTCTCTCCATATTAATTCATTAACTTTATCTATCAATCAATAAATCATCTATTTCTTTATTAATTTACATAATATTTTCATGTCTCTACATTTAAATAATTTCATCTTTAAACATACCTAGTAATATTATTTTTATTATGTCCTTGATTTTACTCAATGGTCGAACAAACAAATTTAGATATCTTATTCATTAAGGTTTCATAAATTCATGATCTGCTCAAGACTTGATGTTCAGTTTATATTAACATTCTAAACAAGAGATTCTATTTAAAGAATGACTCAATTTGATTTATTTCTAGATCTTCTATAACTTATTCTTAATTTTAAGGATAAGTTTATAAAAAGAGAATTTAAGCATTGTATTATTTTAGGTTTAACTATATAAATACACAACTAGAACTCTGAATAATAATGAAATAAAGGAAAGTTACATGTTATCAAGATTGCTATTAGTTTTTTTTACAATTCTTCAATTATTTTGAAGTTAACTTATCTGTTATTTCATCAGTTTCACTTATATTTATTTGTTTAACTTTCTCAGATTGGTAAGCAATTACGTATATAATTGATTATGTGTTCGATTTATAAAAATCGACCTTATTTTTATCTTCATTAGGATGTATTGAATGTTTGTCTGATCATATTAATATGAAGCAAATTTACTTGAAACCCTCAAATGATTCTGAGTAGGAATATCCTACATATAATCCAAAAAAACATTAAAGTTAAAAGATATTGCAAAGAAATCATTAGTGCCTTGTTTGGATTAGAATTCAAACTAGATATAAGTTGAAGCTTTCTTCTAAAATTTGTACTCATTAGGAAATCTTTATGATCTGAGTCTTCCATTGATTGGTAAAAAGTAAAAAAAAAATTACAATTAATGAATGTCTATCTAACTATTTCAAAGAAAAATCATAGATAGTGGATGGACTTGTTCTGAATGTAACAAATTATCCAAAAACATTAAAACGGTGCATCAAATTACAAGTTCTCCTAACATTCTTATATTTTAACTCAAAAGATTTCAGAGTTACCCTCTTAAAAAGAATATAAAGGAGCCTGTCTTTACCGATATGGAAATAAACATCATAAGTAAAAATCCAAATAATAATCTTTTTTGGTTGTTGTTCTGCAGACATCGTTGATACAAAGTATCATTTATAAGCTATGATCGTACATTCTGGAACCATTGACTAAGGTCACTATGTTGCAGTTGCGAAGCGTAGTTCATAAGTAATTTCATCCTGTTACCAATCCCCATAGTCTTTTTTATTCTATGATGAAGAAATTGGAAGACTATCATAAGATCAAATATCTCATATTGATTCTGTGTACCTTCTTATCTATCATCGAAAAATATGATTGATTCAAATTTTAACTCTAAAAACAATTATTTATATAATTATCATATTGATATGCAACCCAACCTCAAACAATACATTAATACTCTTTAATTATTAGAATTTAAGCACCCTCAATTGAAGGAAAAAGCAATGACTTTCAAATAATACCATTAAGAATATATTTCAAGAAATAAAGATTATCCTTTAAAATGTGGCATCAATGAAAACTTGATTGAATTAGGATAAGATCTGATTGACTTTTATTATAATGATTTCTTTTCTTATCAAGAGTAAGTCTTAAAGAATTTATTTTATTTTACTAGTCTACCCAATAAAACTCATAAAACATTCAAAGCCTACTCTGGGATTAGAAAGTAAAAGCAATTGGTTTTATCAGAGAAAAATATAGCAGATATTTCAGTACAACTAGGATTGAAGGATTTAATGTTAGTTTCAATCAACCCTGATTCAGAACTAAAGTAATATAGAAATTTTAATAATTCTAGAAACAATCCGAAGATATAATCACAGGCTCTCAAAGCTTTAATAGGAGCACAATACTTTGATAAGAATAAAGATTTAAATTTATTAAGAAACTTATTGCAGGTACTCTTTATTGATTTAATACAAAAATCTCTTGTAAAAAATAGTTTTTAAATAGGATGAAGCAATGAATTGTCATTAGTAAGAAAACATAAAAGGAGATTTCAAAGAATTTATGGAGAAACATTAACAATATACATATCAACTAAGTTTTTAGGAAATCAAAAGTAGTTAGGATAAATAATACATTTATGAATATGAGTTAAAAATTAATAATGTTGTGCCAATCAAAAGAAGTGGAAAACAAAAAAAAATTGTTGAAAAAGAAGTCTTTAAAGTTGCTTTGTAATTACTAAAAAGTGAATAATTTTAACGATTGCTGGATGATAGCATGAAAAGCTAACTTGATAAAACTCTTGATAGTTCCTCATATTCCATTTCAGATTTGATCCTAGATCAAAATTATTAAGGTGAATTTCATTAAGAGTCTTAAATACTTTAGTTATTGTACCAATAGAGTGACTAAATAGAATGCAAACACCAAATAAACGAAGACGAAAGGATTAAACTGATATTAAATTATTGATTAGGAAATAAATTATTTTATAAATATTAACATCAATTATGAGTGAATAAGATTACCAAGGCAATTCACGATATTCAACACTACAATCAAATAATTATTAGAGTCAGCTCTTGTCAACTCATTTTGGAAAATTATTAAATAAGAACGAAGCATTCTTTAACCATCTCAAAGGGGACTGTATTTGCGGCCGATGCATATGCGGATAATGCAAATGTCCTAAACTGCTTCTGTCTAATGATTTTAAGAAGGGATAAGAATCATTATATTAAAGGGATTTTATTACACATGGAAAATTAAGGTAAATACCTCTAATTGATCACAATGTAACTTACAAGAGTTAATTGCCAATGGATATAGATACTATATAAAGAGTATTGTTTAACTCCATAAATTTAGATTACATATTAAGCTCATCCTGATGCTAAACCAGCAGAATCTTTAAAGCCTGAGTAAAAAGTGTTTTTAATCCCATTTAGTAGTTCATCAGCATATAGAGTACTTATATTTGATATTATTTAGCTTGATTATGCTGGAGGCGGAATGTCATCTCTCAAAGTTAATCCACCTCATCATCCAACTGTAGTAGATATGCCTATGACTACTCATTCTACTTATTAAGATAACTTCTATAAAAAACCAATTCCAAGGGAAGAATTTCTAACAACTGCGAATAAAAGTAGCTTTAAAAGCCCAATATCTCCAGAACTGCCTTTTATTCATCAATCTACAAATAATGCTTTCTACAAGCCTTATCAAACTGGATAACTTAATAAAGTTGATCCTAAATAAGTAAATTAATATATTAAAAATTTTAGAATGTTAAAATGACTCCTGCTTTTGAAGGTCAATTTAATTCAACCACTTAAAAAGATTTTGATGACAAGAATCCGAAAAAGTGCCCATCAAGAGTATTTTTGAATTCCTTATACAAATAAAAACTTTAATAAATAGCTTGAATTAAATAACATAAAAAAATAAATAAATCATACTTTATATCATTTTAATTTTTATAGTTTTCTAATTTTTTTGCGATACTTCAAAATTTCAATAATTATAAGGATTATTCCTTATTTGATGATTTCATAAATCTTTTCATAAAACATGAGTAAAAATGCAGAATTCAGGACTGATTAGCACAATTTCGGTGTCAAACCTGAATGATTAATATTAATGTTTACCCTTAAATAATCCTTATATTCCTTCATTCTTTATTATCTTTTCAACTGCAGAAAAATATGATTTTGAACTATGTTTCTTGAAATGGATTTTGGTCCTTAGAAGTTAGTATGGCTAAAATAAGTTATAAAAATAAACATAAGTTAAAATTGTAGAAATAGCTTTGGAGATGGCTCCTCCAATAAAATTTACAAAGGCTTAATTTTCTGCATATTAGAATTTTCTTTTAAACGCTTCGTAAATAACAAATTAAATAATTGGATTTATTGTCAATATCAGAGAGGCTTAAAGACCCTTAAATAAGGCTTCCCAACCTTCAGTCTCAACTATCTTCTTAGTCTTTTGAAAAAAATTAAGATTATCTTTGCATATTGTCATCCTTGACTAAACTACCCAAAATGGATTTGTTACGAATGTTGTTAAAATGGCTGATGCTAATGAGGGTTAAATTAAAGCAAATGAATTAGAAATATCAGTTCTAAACCAATGTTTAAAATACTCATACCTTCTGATACAATATAATATTCTTACCAAAAAAAGTAAACTCCATATGAAATATAGTTGCCTAATGCTAACGGGGTTACTCCTTTAAAAAATCCCCATAGACCTTCCGAATCCCAAACTTTAATGATGACTTCTTGAATGGCCTCTTTTTATTATGATGCAGCCATTCTCGTTTTGATGTTTTCCAGAGGATAAAGTAAGCATGTAGAAAAAAGACCAGCCAATGCGCCTGCATGTCCATGTGCCATACTCTCAATATCTTTTAATCTCTCCATAATTAATTATTTATAATATCAGATAACTTCTAAAAACCCAAATTTCTCTTTCTAATTTTCCTTAACTGAAATTGCATTTAGAATTTTCTTTGCTCTTAATTTTTTCTTCCAAATTGTTTCTGCATCATCTCCTGAAGTGTATGTATTTCTTGGCAACTGATTAAGATTGGTCTAAAATGATCTAGTTTGCATCTATTTTAGGGATAGTAGGTCCACTTATTTCTTATCTGACGAATTGAATAATTTTCTAAATGTATCTTTGCGAGTTTTAATCTTATTAGGTTAGACAGGGCAAGTCATCTTCCATATTTCAGATTTCATTTCCTAATCAATTGAACAGCTACTTCTTGCAGCACCTAAACAAATATCAAAAAATATTTACTAATTCTCATATGCCTCAAAATGCCTAATTAATTTCTTAAATCCTTATTGGGATTCTGCCTTTATGGATTTAACCTGTAAAATACATCATCATCTAGATTCTTTTGTGTTTTATCTTTTGTATTGACTTAGCTCTTGATAAAGTATTACTATTTTTTCAATTTATCTCTCTCTTTATCAATACTCTAATATGAATATTAATAGTTACATCTTCAGAATCTTACTATGCAATCTCTTGAATATCATTAACATTTGTCAATTTTTTTAATAAATGAAATACATCCTTACCTCCATGAGGTTTGCTATGTTCAGAGTAATTTATCGAGACATTATCAAATGATTATTAGCTTGAGACAAAGTGATTGGATGTTGTGCGCTAGCATGATTTCATTTGAAGTTCATTACTATTAAAAGCACATCCGCTTTTAAACTTTCCTTCAGTAAAATCTAAACCTTTTAATCGAACTTTTATATAGAGATAATAATTACGCTATTAGCTTTAAAATTTGAGTTTCTAATGTATTTCGCCCAATTTCGAGAGAGCGTTCTTTAACATTCCTCTAGTCCTTTGTTATAAATGATGTTGAAAAAACATCTTTTTGGTTCCTAAATATCTCATCAATGCTTCTTCGTCAGGATCAGTTTCTTCACAATATTTCTAAACTTCCTTGGTTAATCTAAGTCAATAAGTTATTTAATTACTCATCCACCATATCTTATTGAATAAATAATCTTTCTATTTCATCTGAGAGCAGAGACTTTATAAATTTTTGCACTATTTCTAAATACTTAAACTTTGTAATTGATGCATGGACATGTTTCTTAGGAATATGAACAGTATTTAACATTTATTTTTGAGACAATAACTTAGTATGTTTAACATGAATGAACTCTTACTTTTGCTCTAAAACTGTTGTAGCCAACATTGATGGCTTCTTTTATGTTGGCGTTCTGATAATCTCAATGATATACAAAGAATTTTTTAATTGTTCTAAAATCAAAAATATAGTCGATGGAACTAATTCGCTTAGTTCTTATATATGTTTAATTAAATGGTTGACTCTTGACACATGATTTCTCAAAAAATTAAATAGTCTTATTACTGCATTCTGAATTCGTTTTACTTAGTTCTCATTACGCTCTTCATTCAAATCCAATTCAACACTTGTTGATAATATATTTAAAGTAATTTAATTATTATTATAATTATCTGATAACTTCAAAGGTAAGAGACCATTTGATGTTTCAGGATATTTACAATATTTTGTTTCTCTCATAATTTATTAAAGTTCAAATTTTTTTTCATTTAATTATATAAACTAAAATCCCAATCTATCAAACTATTCCTTATACTCTTAATAATTTTGAACTACTATATCTGCAAAAGCTAATAGATCTTATTGTATATCTAATTCATTTAATTGATTATTAGAGCTTTTTATTAATTCCATTAATTTCAGATCTTTTTCTTTTTCTTCTGCCTTCGGAGATTCAATCATTTCTTATTCAACCTGCTCTATTTAAGTTGCAAAAATATTCATAACCGATGCTGGATTTGAGGATTGAGCTTAAGATTATGCTAGTTTCTTATTTTATCTCATTAATTGTTATCTTTGCTCAAATTAGTATTGAAATAAATTTCTTGGGTCCTCTTTATTGATCATCTCATCTAAAAGCTTTATTGTATTCGCATAGTAAATCACTGTGGATTGTTCCTGCTATTTTAATTGTATTTTAGCTTTTTTCTCATCTAATTCCGCTATCTCTTGTCTTTATTATTAAATTATTTCACTTTTTTGTTAATACTTCAATCTATATTCAATATAGTCATTTTATAATTCCTTTATATCCTGTTAAATTAATGAGCGTTTGTCAATTAACATTTATTTTTCGATCTCCTAAGCATTTTTTAGTAATTAATGATATTCCTATGCTTCTGCAGCATTTTTTTTACTTTATTAAAGTAACTAATTTGATTAAATTCCTTCTTGTTAAGCAGCTTCATTGTCTTTATTAAACCCTTATAATAATTCTAGAACTGCATCTGTATGCTTCTTATAGTCAGTTATTTTTCTCTAAATTGTTTTAATAACATTTTAGAGCTAGTTTTGTTTAATAGTTTCTCTCTCTATTTAACATTACACATTCTCTTCGTTTGCATTAAAGCTTGATCTACTCAAAGAAAACTATGTATTGGTGGAAGCTAATTAAGAAGATTCGTTTGAAAATAGTTGTTTTTAGTATAACTGCTTACCGAGTAACTTCCTGTTTTCTTTTACTTGGCTTAATAGGGTTTTAAAAGCACTTTCATTTCCCTAGCTTTGGCATTCAGATATGCGAAAACCATCCATCAGTTCTTCACTATCTAATGATGAAAAATTACATGAAATTATCCCCTTAATTCATTAAATAATATAATCAAATAACTAATCATTTCTTAATCATTTGTAATTTTATTTAATCCTTGAAAATTACTATAATATTATGATTGTATTCATTCTAAATATGAATTTTACAAGAAGTTTAGGAAATGAAATTTATGTTTGCTTTCAACATCTTATTATTTCTAGAGAAATTAATTTATAAAATTATTGCAGAATTTAAAATGTCTGTGACAAATGCTGAATCTCAACCAATAGCTATAGTTAGTTTATAAATGGAAGATGGGATTGAAGAGATAAAAGTATATGAAGGAGAAGATGTAGAATTAGAAGTTGAGCTATTTTGTTAAAGATACAAACTTGGCAATGATTGTTTAGAATATCTCGTAAATTAAATTAAGCAATAACTAAAACGTGAACCCTCACCTAGATTTGCCGATTTTAATAAATAATAATTTTTGAACAAAGGCTCATTACAAACTAGGAGTAGTAAACAGAGTGACTTTGGCCTTGTAACATCAGCCAGTTCTGATGAAAATTAGGTGTCGGCATAAAAGAGTTATGAAGAATGGTAGAAAAAAATTAATAGGAAGGTAGAGGCTAATTCAAATTCTAAAATGTAATGGAATTTACCAACATCAGTTAGGTGTAAGTTATTTTAATAAGTAGCAAATGATTAAAACAATCCTCGGTCCATTAATACAAATGATAAACTATATGGAGAAACAAATGCTCAGCACTTAAATATGATGGAATAAAAGAAATAAAATTATATATATAAGGGGTAGTCAGTAATTTCAGAAACTACTCCTAAATCCAATATATCCCCAAATTTTAAAAGTATCATCCAATAAAAAAAGAAAGTAGACTAAAATTCATTATTAAATATTGCCAATTAAACGCAAACAAAGGGAGAGGAACAACAGATAAAAAAATAATAATAGTTTTTTTAGCTTTAAAAAGAGCAATCATCACTCAGATCATTTTAACCAAGAAGATCAGACATAAGCAGTCGTAATCACTCTTAACAAAATAGATCAACCAGTAATAAAAAATAAAGATCAAGCACGCCAGTCAACGAAAACCCCTACTATTAAGAAAAGGAGAGAAAACAATAAAAATTTGAGCATCTGAAACAAGAATTCTAAAAAATGTATTCTAAACCGTAAATAAATAATTTATACTAAAAAGAAGAAAATAAAAAGTAAACTCAACAATAACAAGTTAAAAAGCTATTTACAGATTAAATTGAGAGAATGAAAAAAATTGAATAGAAATAGTAATTAATTTATTAAAATTAGACGAGAACAATCGATTTAAAATAATTCTAAGTTTCAAATTTAAAATAGTAAAGAATAAATTTATTAAAAACCTTATAACAAATAGGATTAAGAAGATTTAAGATAAATTGAATTAAAGTAAAACAATAGAAGTACCAGCAATCTTTCGTAAAGATCAGACTCAAGAACTTAAATAAATAACTCTAAAACAAACTAGTTTGATTTAAATATAAAAACAATTTTTAAGTCATTAGATGGAGATAAAGATGGTTATATTAGCAAAGATAAATTGAACTTGTCAGGGCTAGAGGTTGAATTGCTTGAATTAGTAAGCGAGGCATTATATAAAATTGAAGAAGAAGATATCGTTGCTGATCAAATCTAGTTTAAAAGAATTTGCGAATCCGTGGGATTATAATAGGTACTTAACCATTAATTAATTTGAAAACTATTAGTTATAATACAATTTATAATATATATAATATAACGATTTTGTTCGAGCAAAAAAAAACTATAAATTTGTAAAATTTAATTTTTTCATTCTCATAAATTCTATTGCAAAATAATTAGTTTTCATTCAAATTTATCATCTTAACAAAAAGAGGAAATGCAAAGTTATGATTGGTAATTCTTATTTAGTATTGTTAAGTTACTTCTACTTTTATTAATTTAGAAAAATTATCAATTCTATAATTTTATTAAATAAATTATTGATGACTAGATGCAATGAAAACGAGTATGATTTCTTGTTTAAAATAATCTTAATAGGTAAGCTAATTTATTAAAATTATTAGGAGATTCTGGAGTTGGTAAAACAAATATTTTGTAAAGGTTCGTAAAAAATGAATTTATCTTAGACTCCAAACCAACAATTGGAGTTGAATTTTCAACTAAGACAATTAATGTTCAAAATAAAAGTGTTAAATGCTAGATTTGGGATACTGCTGGACAAGAAAGGTAAAATTTATGCAATTTTAGATATCGGGCTATAACAAATGCCTATTATAGAGGAGCAGTGGGAGCTTTTGTTTGTTATGATGTAACAAGAGAGGTAACTTTTACAAACATAGAAAAATGGCTTAATGAAATAAAAGAGTACGCTCCAAAAAATATTGTAATCATGATGATTGGAAATAAAATAGACTAAGCAAATGATAGAGTATATCCTTATAATATTAATAGATTGTCAGGAGTGCAGAAGCGGCTAAACTCTGTGAATAACATAAAATTGGGTATATTGAAACTTCAGCTTAAAATGGTCATAATGTAGAAGAGGCCTTCTCCAACTTAGTTAGTGGTAAAAATTATCTTGATTAATAGAAATCTTTAGTTCAATGTCCTCCAAATAATCGAAAAGTGTTAAATAGCTGCAAGGAGATACTTTAGCTTTGGATGATGATTATAAAATTAAATCAACAAAAAAAAAGTCAAATTGTAATAAAGAAAAAGAAAAATGCTGTTAATGATAGTATATTATTATATTAAATATCACTTTCGTATTAAGAACCATTAATGAAAAACCATTCCGTTTTATATATCCATGTAAAGTAATAATTTTCTTAATTTTTTAGATAATTGATTCAAAAGTTTGTTCATAATGGAAAATTTCCAGAAAAAATTATCTATTCAGAAAGGTGTTAATTAAAAGATGTTGAGAAGCTCATCTAGGCCTTCATCACATTGATAAATAGACTTGGCTGAGCCAAAGAAATGAAAAAGATATTAAACTCCGACTAATATATGCTCTAGACTTAAGTAAAAGCAGAATATTCTAGAGTTAAAGTTGTTTAATTTATAAACCAGATATAAATGATGCCATTTCAGATGTGGTAGAATAATAGAGATTAATATTATTAATTTGGACATAAAAAATGTTACTGATAAAAACAGAAGGAAATTCACTAGTAAGATAAAATGGACAATAATGGAATTAAATAATAATATATTTCTTTAAAAATAAGAATGGATATTTTCTTTCACAATGGCATTTTTAAAGTAATTCAAAAATTCACTAGTTGACCTTTCTAAATTTTAAAAACTAAATGATAATTGCTAAACACTAGACATTCACCATCTAAAATCACACATTTGGTTAATCAGATTTAATTTTTTGATACATCCAAACAATACACTTTACTCATATTTAATATTTAATGATCACAATTTTATAAATGATTCTAACCATTGTGCAACTTTAATGAAATTCTCTATAGGCAACACTTACTAAACTAGTGTATCCAATTTAGAATGAATCAATTTGCCTTCTTTCTATTCTAATTTTTTGATAATTCTTGAACTTAGAAACATATCAATGGCCAATATTTGAGTTGTGTTATTAATAATATGTTACATTTTAAGAATAGAATCTTCAAAGTTATTATTGATCTTCTAGATGTGTAGTTTGAGGCATTGAATCACCTGAAACAGGATGACAATACTTTTTTGTTTTTCTATATCAAATTACTGGCCTAATTGGCCAATTACTGAAATCCAAAAAATGTTTCCCCATCCTTTAGATATTCTTCATAGTATTCCTATAATTTAGTTAATTTTGGATTCATCAGTCTTTGAATTCTTCTCTTAAAATACTAAAATTATATACTTCAGTGATTGCTCCAATTTCTGAAACTCCTATAGCCAAGTAATCTATTAATAATAATTCAGTTTCATTATTATTTTATTCGTTATAGATGATTCAATAGAAAAGAAATAATTTCAATTCTGAATTTGATCTAGTGCAGCTCCAATAACTTAAGGAATACATTTTGTTGAATAAGCATCTTACAGTATATTATGTGTATTTCTTTTAGACTCAAATTCAAATCTGATTCTTCATCCTCTACTGTCAATAGATAGTATAATTCTTGGGCTACTTCCATCTGGCCTTGATGTTGTTTGACTTCATTCACCAATTAAGTAAATGCACATATGACTCCATTAGTAGCCTCAAAAGATATCGAAGTAGTGATGAATGCCATTTTTATGCATTTCAAACTTCTATGAGCATTATACAGTAGCAAATGATAATGATTTCGTAAATGTAATTATGATAGTGTCATATTCACTGATGTTCTTGAGCATCTATAAAGTACCCCAATTAACGCTTCCATCATAATATTAAGTATTATAATTAGCTTAAGGTAATCGTAATGGTATGTTGCTATTAAAAATTTCTTTGAGTTCTCTTAAAGTATTAAGACTGACTCCGCTATTGATGACCAAATTGTTGATCAGCACTAATATTGTGATTTTAGAAATATCTTATTGCAAATAATCTGAAGAAATGCATTATAATAATTGCTTTAATTGTGTGGTTTCATAATTCTAGAGGTCTTTAATTGACTAAGGCATTTTCTAACCAAGAAGTGCATTAAACCCATAGATATGTTGTTTAGTATTTTTTATGAATTATAAAAATAATTGTCTTGATTACTGCACCTATAGTTCATCAAATTCAATTGTATGATTGTTTGAGAGGATGTCTCCAACCAGATTTATAGAATACTTTTAAGGAAGTTGAATAATCATAATTTATTATATATATATAATCATTTTTGAACACTGGATCTAGATTATTAATATTGTTTATAACTTTCAATTGCTTAATCCACATTGTATTAGGGGAAATAGTCACTATATTGATTACTCTTTTCAAAAGATTAGTAGAATTCTATGTTGGGCATTTCCAGAGGATTCCTCATAAACTATTTTGCAGTTTCCCCAGTAAATTTAGAAGAGGCTATGCCATACTTTGATGTTGGTTTCTCTTGTTGTTATTACGGCACTTGGTATTCTCCTTTCTCAGATTCAGAAATGCAGGAATTGGATTTACGATCTGATCTGTAAGCCTTAGCCTGTTACTATTGCGGTGCAGTGGTTTGACACTTTTGATACTTAGATGGGGTGAGTGAACCCTCACTCTCTATTTAATTCTGTATTCTCCTCTGATGGTAATATACACTGTCTTTCAATTTGGCCTTCTTCAATTATATACTTATCAATTCATCCTTATCCTTATTCTACATAACATTATTTGGATTTGTTTTGCTTCCATTGCTGCTGTAGGGTAACGAAAAAACATTCCCACTAGAATTCTTATCTGAAGAACCATTGAAATTCTTGCGATTCACAGATGCATCTTTTAATAATTAAGCATAAGAACTATGCGAAATTCCACTAGGAGGTTATTAAACATATTGAACAGGACTTATATTAGGAATATCCATTAATTAATGTCCCGGCTGTTATTGAGATTGAATAGATTCTCTTAAAGATTACTGAGATGCCATGTGAGGAGTCTATTAAGATTGCAATAGTGAATTTTATCTTTCTGTGTATGGATTAGTAACTTCCCGTAAATAATGTTATTATTGAATACTTATCATCTCTTCTAAATGCCTATGTTCTTCAGATAACTCTGATTCAATATTCAATTACTGGTAGAGCAAAGCATTCTCCTCTATCTTTAACATGAACGACTTAGTTCTCTGTTGCCTACATCTAATTCTCTTCTTTGGAAGTCTTCCCTATACATCATTAGATTAAATGTAAGAAACTAAGAAAGATCTCTTAGGGACATAGTGTACCTGATCACATTCATCAATATCATGAAATTTACCGCAAGCGTAACAACGCATTAAACATAAACTATAAAATTCCTATTGCACAATTTAATCCAACATCATCTTATACTTCTATTTTTCCTAATAGTGATGTTTAATACACTCCTAAAATAGTTCAACATCCAATTAAGCAATTTAAGAGAATCCTATTGAAGTAGCACAGATGTTCGAGAAAGAATTTTTGAAAAACGCTTTGTTATTGAACATCTAACCTTCACCTAATACTTTTAATTTAAATTCACAGTTTGCTTAGGCTCCTTCCCTTCTCTAGGATATCCTGACATCTCCTGATAAAATAAAGTACAGTTACTGATTAGGAGTTCGCTAAAGAAGGATAGTTTAATTAGGATTGTAAGTGTATTCTTGAATAAGGTTGCAAATCTCCTTAAGAGTGTTCTCAGAGAAGGAAGACTTAAAAATTGGTATATTAGACAATATCTACATGTAACGTTAGTTTTTGAAGTCTTCAACATATGGCTGAGGTAAGTATTCCAGGAAATTGAGATCAACTTTTGATTGACTCTCTAATTTATTGATATACCCATTAATTTTTTACTTTGTGTTGTTTTGAATTGAAATCTGATTCAGTTTCCATCTATCTTCGGTGTTGTATCTATGTATGAAATAGAAATAATAAATTAGAATGAGAAGCCTAACGATATAAGTAAGAACATTAGCATTCTCTGATCTATAGAATAATACGATGAATTCATCAAAAAAATTTAAATGTTTATCCAACGAAAATTGAATTATAGTCAAAGCTATAAATTAAACGAAATGAAGTTCCAATATATAATAAATGTACAATGCGAATTTACCTATTAACATTTACAATTCATAAAACACTCTTCTAATTTTCCATATGTTAACTAGATGCAATAATTAAATAACAGGCATCCCTTTTGAAATTAGACAAAATATTATCGGGATTATGCCCAATATATCAATTAATGATTGAAATTTACAGTATCTCACAACTAAATCTTCCATTATTACTATTTCCTCTCCATTTTTATATTGAATAAAAAGTATTTAATTTATAGTATCTATTAACCAAAATGCCATCAATATGACTTAGTAAATTGGTTGCTAATACATTCCATTGTTTAAATNCTATTAAGATTGCAATAGTGAATTTTATCTTTCTGTGTATGGATTAGTAACTTCCCGTAAATAATGTTATTATTGAATACTTATCATCTCTTCTAAATGCCTATGTTCTTCAGATAACTCTGATTCAATATTCAATTACTGGTAGAGCAAAGCATTCTCCTCTATCTTTAACATGAACGACTTAGTTCTCTGTTGCCTACATCTAATTCTCTTCTTTGGAAGTCTTCCCTATACATCATTAGATTAAATGTAAGAAACTAAGAAAGATCTCTTAGGGACATAGTGTACCTGATCACATTCATCAATATCATGAAATTTACCGCAAGCGTAACAACGCATTAAACATAAACTATAAAATTCCTATTGCACAATTTAATCCAACATCATCTTATACTTCTATTTTTCCTAATAGTGATGTTTAATACACTCCTAAAATAGTTCAACATCCAATTAAGCAATTTAAGAGAATCCTATTGAAGTAGCACAGATGTTCGAGAAAGAATTTTTGAAAAACGCTTTGTTATTGAACATCTAACCTTCACCTAATACTTTTAATTTAAATTCACAGTTTGCTTAGGCTCCTTCCCTTCTCTAGGATATCCTGACATCTCCTGATAAAATAAAGTACAGTTACTGATTAGGAGTTCGCTAAAGAAGGATAGTTTAATTAGGATTGTAAGTGTATTCTTGAATAAGGTTGCAAATCTCCTTAAGAGTGTTCTCAGAGAAGGAAGACTTAAAAATTGGTATATTAGACAATATCTACATGTAACGTTAGTTTTTGAAGTCTTCAACATATGGCTGAGGTAAGTATTCCAGGAAATTGAGATCAACTTTTGATTGACTCTCTAATTTATTGATATACCCATTAATTTTTTACTTTGTGTTGTTTTGAATTGAAATCTGATTCAGTTTCCATCTATCTTCGGTGTTGTATCTATGTATGAAATAGAAATAATAAATTAGAATGAGAAGCCTAACGATATAAGTAAGAACATTAGCATTCTCTGATCTATAGAATAATACGATGAATTCATCAAAAAAATTTAAATGTTTATCCAACGAAAATTGAATTATAGTCAAAGCTATAAATTAAACGAAATGAAGTTCCAATATATAATAAATGTACAATGCGAATTTACCTATTAACATTTACAATTCATAAAACACTCTTCTAATTTTCCATATGTTAACTAGATGCAATAATTAAATAACAGGCATCCCTTTTGAAATTAGACAAAATATTATCGGGATTATGCCCAATATATCAATTAATGATTGAAATTTACAGTATCTCACAACTAAATCTTCCATTATTACTATTTCCTCTCCATTTTTATATTGAATAAAAAGTATTTAATTTATAGTATCTATTAACCAAAATGCCATCAATATGACTTAGTAAATTGGTTGCTAATACATTCCATTGTTTAAATCGAATAACATTATTGTGATGAAAAAACTTAAGTAAACACTTAAGACAGCACTACTAATATAGTAGTATGTATTTTGTAATTTAGGTTTGAGCCACTCAAAAGAAGATATTTTGATAGAGAATTCTGCAGCCTTGTCTTAAAGAAATTTTAATTGGAATGAAGGATGAGTGATACTTGTTTTGGATGTAATTAATTTACTCCAATGTACATCACTGTAGGAATTCTAAGGTTTTTCGTCTATGATTATCTCTGCGTTAGCTACATTATCCTTGATTTGCTTTTTCTTATTTTTTGGTTCTGGAGTTATTTATATAGATTATTCTTTGATGCTTGGTTCTTCATCTATTAATAATAAATCCTTCATGTCTTTTTCAGGAAGTTTTTCTGATGGCTGCTGTGGAGTTAAGCTGGCTGTAGGTGGTGAATGAACAATATCTTAAGCTTAGTTAGATGGTTTTCTCACTAATAGTTAATGAGAGTTGACAACGACCATTTTTTAAACAATTGGTTGTATTTACATATTGATTGAATCATCCATAGATATTGACATCGAACGTGATGAGGAACCTTATTACTACCCATTCAAGTGATGGTGCATGAGCATGATATTTGGATATTTAAATTACTACTTGAAAAACTATAAAAAGTTTATTAATAATAATTCGATTTAAATAATGAGAAAATGTCTACTCAAATATAAACCTCATAATACGAATTTCATTTGGTCAGAGTTCGATCTTTAATTGAAAACTTACATCTTCAGAATTAATGATTTATTTAAGGATTTACAATGTTAATTGCATGATCATGACTCAATTATAGCCATTTGCATAGATTCAAATTGTGAGGAATATCAACACATCTTATGGTAATTGAATTGACTAGCTAGTTTAAAATGTATAATAAATGATCATCAACATGAGTCCCAAAATATTTTAGTTATCAAAGAAATTGTGAATAAAAGAGACAAACTATTTAGATTGATTGAATATCTTCACAATAAGGAAAACAGTTGTCGTCATATCAACTTACGTAGATTCGTTATTCTAATGTAGATGAGTAGACATGGCTATAAGATTGCATTCTTAGAGGCAAATAGAGTCCATATCCTTCTTTAACATTCGACAATGTATTTCTAACAGTCTAAGATGCTTTCCTAGCAAACATGGATGATCTCAAATCACAAGTGGAAAAGAGTGTACATTCATTGCAAGGTAATTCATAGAAGTACAAGAAGATTTAATAATTCAAACAAAAAATGCAAGATTTAATTAAAACTACACATTCTTAAATTTATCTAAATTTCCAATCTATTTTATAAGAAGATAGTAATGAATAGAAATCAACAGATGTTAAATCAATGCCATAAGCAATCACTTTGAACTTATCACAAATAGATTAATTGGGAGAAACCTAACAATTGTTGTTAAATAAAGATAGTTTTGAAAACATAGATAACTTTCCAAACACTTATGCACAAAATAACAATCTAACAAACTCTTCCATTTCTAAATTCGATGAGTCTATCAGTCCTTTGATGCCAACACTCTAATTCCTAGATAAAACAACTAAAAGAAGCTTATTAGGCAAACCGAAAGTCAAATTTGAAGAGGGAGGCAAAATTATCACCATGCAAAAGAATACTACTATTGTCTCACAAGAGTTGTATTCTCAAGAAAATATAGAAATACGCATACGCATCCTTTCATTTCTATCTGGATGTCTTCATTTTGGATATGTTGAATAAACAGCCTATGGATTGACTAAGAATGTTGACAATGTTGGTAATTGGGCATGTTTATACAATCAATGCAGAGACGATTCTAAATTAGGGAAATTACAGGAGTTCTGCCTCCAAATAGATAGCATTGTAGGGCTGAATTTAAATTTTGTTGATGATATAGTAAGTTTGAGATTGTTTACAAGAGATGCCATCTTGATTTTATTTTAGAAAAAGGGATCTTTGATGAAATAAAAATAATACATCTACATGTCATGTTTAGAAGGATAAGCCAAATTTGAGGTTTTAAATTGATTAATTAATTAATATTCATTATTATTACACTATTATATTATCCTCCTATTCAAAATGAGACTACTACTATGGGATTATCATAAAATTTACAATACTATTACTTGAGCAGAAAGAGGCGATTATAATCTTAATACTTAATTTGTTATAATTTGATAATAATAATATACTTTATAAATTATGCAACACTATCTATTTTCCAGAAAAGAGAAATTCCATCATTTATTTTTAAGAGTATGGTTATTTATATTCATGTGAACGTATAATTTTAATAAGTTGTATGCTAAAAATGCATAAACATAATCTAATTTATTTCATTTTCATTAATAATAAAATATGAATTTCTTTTTATGAATTTCATTTATTTATTCCACCAAAGCCGATAGTTCTTAGCATAATTGTCTTTGTTCTTATATTAATTTGTTTATTTAATCATCATCAGAATCTATAGTTTCTTTCCTCTAAGGCAGCACATATTTATCATACTGATTCAGCCATTTCTAAAGCTTCCCTTCTGGTATTTAATACATTGAGGCTAACTTTTATATATCTTCTCTTTCTGGTTCAGGTCCCAATTATTATAATAATTTGATTCTATCTGAAAATATAAATTATTATTTGGTCTCCATTTAATATATTAAATAGATTAATATGTAATAGGACACTCATTTTTCATTTCAAAAAAGCATTATAAAATTTTATCTTTTAATATATTTATTCAACTTTAACTTGATATCGTTTAATAACATAATTATACACTTTATGATTAATTTTATTGTTTATCAATAATTTGAAATTACCTAATCCAGATCTAACTCTAAATTAAAAAATTTTTAAATAATAATTTCATTTAATAGAATGCAATTACTAAAAAACGATTATTATTTTCTTTATAGAGGAAATCAATAAAATTTAAAATTAAAATTAATTGTTATGAAACAATATTAAATTGAATTTATAATTATTTAAGTTTATATAATTCAACTATCATAAAGAAATCATTTAAATTAAATAAACTTATTATAAGGATGAGGCAGCTAGAGTAGTTTAAAAAAAAAGTTATCAACATTTTACAAATAGGTATTGAATTGTTTAGATAAGTTTTATGTTATTTCATATTAAGACATAAAAATTATAAAATATATAATTGCTATAAATACATATAATTTTTCTTAATCATCAAACAAAGTTCTAATTTTCTAGATTGGTGGAGAGATTAATATTAATTTTTCCTTGTTGATTTGCTTATTAAAAAATTTATACCATTTAAATTCCTTTCTATATATTTCAATAAAATAACAATCTTGAATATAATAATATAATGAATCTAAAACAATATGTCTTAATTGGATAATGATTTAAATCCTAAGTGAATTATTTATTTATTATGATTAAAATTGATGAATCAGACTATTAAAAGAACTAATAAACCTATAATGAGAATGAGGCTTTCCATCCATTTCGTCATTCACCTATTTCAAATTAAATAGATGCAAATTAAAATGAAAAATCGGATATTCTAGATATATCTGTTTCCTTTTAAGACTTTTCTCAACCTCAAATGATGGAGTAAAGGAATATGGCAAATAAAAAGTAAACCACTCAGAAATTATTTGGATTATTAAAGGTGGACAAATTGGTTTAAGTATTTAAGGAAAGAATAATGAAGAAAGCTTATATTTACAACAATCAAACTAAGAAAGTTACTGAAAAATTTCTCATTGAAAAATATTTACTAAAGTAAGATCTAAAATAAATATAAAGGAAGCCTGCTATGCCGGGAGGATATGTGTATGCAAAAAATTTTTAAATTTCTGTATTTGATCAAAGTAGTGCTTTGATAACATTTTGGGAGTTCATACGGTCTTTATCTCTTATATCTATCTTATGGATTTATCCTTTCGTATGGAGCTTTGAAATGGGTAGAGAGGAAAGTTTCTCTTTTATTATTCTATACACTCTAACTTACTTTTCTTTGGACATATTGCTTAGATTAAATACACAAATCACAATTTAAGGAAATGTAATTAATTTTATTTTAAAAAATAGATAATAAATGATCGATTTTCAATTTTAAAATATTATTTTAAGGATGACTTAATACTTGATTTTTTACTCATATTCTCAGTGATTATTGTAAATACTTCTATTCCAGACAGTGAAGACTATAATGACATTGTTACGGCAACTATCTTTCTATGCTTATGTTGTCTTGTAAGTTATGTAAAATTAAATGAGCAGTTAGGTAAATTATAGCAATAAACTCATTTCAATTAAATATATAGAGAATATCTAAATTTAGTTACATTGTTATTTTCAATTAGCTTATTTGCTCATTTATTAGCATGTATTTGGCATTTTGTGGGATCGCACAGTGCTGAATCTTTAAATACCAGTTGGCTTATAGATAAGGGAATTGATTAAGAATCAATCTTAATTAAATATTGTTATTCATATTATTGGGCCACAGTTACTATGATTACTGTAGGGTATGGTGATATTACTCCATAAAATTACATTGAAACCACAATTTGTATAATTTTGATGTTTATGGCTTGTGGTGTATTTGCATTTTCAATAAATAAAATTGGATCAATTTTATCTACTATAAATGATCAAAAATCATAATTTATGTATTATTTTATTATTTCTTTAGCTTCAATTTACATGCAATTACAAAATATATGAAATAACATCATATTCCATATTAATTATAAGATAGAGTTAGAAGCTATCTTTAATATATTTAAAAAGAATCTTTAGAACAAAATAATGAATTAGTATTTTATATTATTAATTAATAGATCACATAGATTAAAAATTAATTATCTGTAGAATTAAAAAATGAGTTAATGTATATGGTATTTAAACATATAATATAAAATTGTAAGTTTCTCCTTAATAATTTCTCAGAATAAACTTTAAAAGAAATAGCGAAGAAGATAAAACCATATAAATATTGTCCAAATGAAATTATTTATTCTTAAGATAGTTGTTCAGACATTTCATTGTATTTTATTGATTATGGCCAAATTAAATTAGTAGAGATGAAATCATAAACTCAATTAACAACTTTAAATCCTGGAGAACAATTTGGAGAAATTGAATTTTTTACTTAGTAGTCTAGAAAATTCACAGCTATAAGCGTAGGGTTTACTAAAATATATAAGATAAATAGATAGGATTTTATGAGTAGTCTAGATAAATAGGATTACGAAAAGTTTCATTAAATTAAGGATAAACAGTTGTAAAATATATCAGTAGAGGGATTTACTTGCTAAGCATGTAAATCTGAAAATCACTAAATTTTTGATTGTTCATATCTATTTTACAAACCTGATATTGACAAGTTAATTCTGAAGTATAATAGAACTAAAAACATACATAGAAAGAGAATCATAAGAGCATGCCACAAAAATAATTCTCTTAAAAGCATAAAGGTATAATCTAGATTGAATTTTAGGATGTATAAAATCAACAGAAGCTATATTACTCAACTAATTTTGTAGAAGATAAAAATGGTAGTTATGCATCCTTTGAATAAGAAGGAACTCGGCACCAATCTATAACTCAGGAGTAAATTTAGAGTTTAGACTCACCTTCCTAAGAAATTTGCCTTGGTGTTAATCAATAACAACAGCAATAACAATAACAAGATACTTTAATCTTACCCTCTTAAATAAAAATATAACAATAGAAATAACATGAAACTAAAACATCACTATAGAACTTACAGTCTTTTCAAATATAGACATCGATAAAGGATATATAATTAAGATCAAATAAATATATGAGAGATAAGTCATAAAAATCTCCAACGCACATTTAGCGTAATAATGGAACTTTTATTAGCTAAAATAATAATCTCCTATTTTTTGATAAAATTTGCGAATTTTAGCATTACTTTCCAAGTTTTAATAATTCTGAAGTGATAATAGATTATAATAAACTTTAAAAACATTGTAGAAGAATTACCAGAAGATAAAGATAAAGCGAATTCAAGTATACACTCATTTAGCCATCTGCATAAAAGAAGTTGCTTAAAGTTTGAAGATAATAATTTCATATTATTTTATTGTTACATATTATTCAATTCTTCAACTAAAGAGTATTTTAAATTTCCAAAGATTTTAAATGATTTCAATTCTTATTTAAAATGTTTTGGAAAAGTAGATAACCTGTTTTCAATTTAGGTATCGCCTTTTATAAAATCTAACATTAAATTAATTCAAATTAAAGTACAAAATAAGAACCATACGATTTTCGAGGATCTAGCCTAATTTGATATTTGAATTGATCAATTTACCCTATGTAATTATATGTATTTTAGTTAATCATAAAACTTTGAGAATAAAAATACATATGAAGAATAAAATAAGCAGATTAGTTGAATTTCTATATAGAAGGATTATTAAGATGATCATATTATTATTTGAAATAATCATAATATCTTTACTACTTAATACAGAGAATTTGCATTTTAGCATAAGGGAATAAACGAATTTAAAGTAATTATTGTAGACAGAAAAACTTTGGAAATGAATGAATTATCTCATCCAATGTTCATTCTACTTATATATGGAGTTAATTGTTATAGGTTGAAACTGCATTTTAGAGTGTATTGTGGAGTTTAATTGAGAATAGTGTAATTTGATTAATTTTTATAAGAAAAATGTCAGATGACGAACATTTGTCTCTCCATTCTTATGATCCATAAAGGGATGAGAATAATAATGATGACATTGATGAATTTTATAAGGAATTAAGTTTGTAATTTTATGGAGAGAATAAAAAGAAGAAAGTTTCTCTGCTAATGTCAGGTTCTACTCAAGTAACAATCTCAATTAGATTATTTAGGAGACTTAAAAGCCTAGCCGAGAGACACTTCCAGATTTTAAGAAGGGTTTCACATTCGTGAAGGCATCTTCAAGTCGGCCAGGTAGTCCAAAATGTGGACGTACTTAGGTGCAAAGGAAATCACCAAATTAAAAGCAATAGAGTAGTCCCATAACTGTTAAAATGATTCAAACTAAGAAACTTATTCAATTGCTTCAGTCACCTTACAATGTGAAGAACAAGCAAAAACAGACTTTTTTAAAGAAATAGATAGACATGACTAAAAAGATTCAGGTATAAGAATTAAAGGAACATTATTATAAATGAGGCTATATTAAATTCTGTTCTCCTTCTTTAATTTAAAGTATCGAAGATATTGTTCAAATTCTATATCAAAAGTTCTTATTTTAATTTTAACATATGGGCAAAGCGCATAAAACAAAGAAATTTGCAACAATCAAGCGCATGATTACAAAAAAGGATCCAAGATGTTAAAAACGACATCTAGAGCAGCCAAAAGAAGAGAAAAAGAAAGGTGTTAATGATGTGGAAATAAAAGAATTGTATTTTTAATATTCATATACCAAAGACCACAAGAGCCAAGTCACTTATTCTTTAAACATAATCCAGCCCTTGGACCTCCATATAGAATTTTACTTGATACAAACTTTTTAAATTTCAGCATTTCAAACAAGCTTGACATTTTTAAAAACACTATGGATTGTCTTCTCGGAAAATGCATCCCTTATATTTCAGATTGCGTGATTGCTGAATTAGAGAAATTGGGTTAAAAGACAAGATTGGCTTTGAGATTATCTAAAGACCCTCGTTTTGAGAAGTTGACTTGTGATCACAAGGGCACTTATGCTGACGATTGTTTAGTGAATAGAGTGAAACAACATAGATGTTTCATAGTAGCCACTTGTGATAAGGATTTAAAACGCAGAATCCGTAAAATACCTGGTGTTCCTATAATGTTCATCTAGAATCACAAATATACCATTGAAAGAATGCCTGAGGCATTTGGTGCTCCAAGATGAATTGCTATTATTTTTATTAATTTATATAAATGGCTGAATTAACAAAAGAGGAGAAAAGAGAAAATAAATGAAGGACAAAATAAAATATGTAGAGTAACAAGCAAAATTCAGAAAAGCCTAAACAGAATTGAGAGAAAATGGATTGGAAAATACACCAACAACTACAAAGCGTGAAATTATGAGAGCCTTAGAAAAAGAAATGGATGATCATGAATTAATGATCTTCAAAAGAAATTAGCCAGAATGAATTATTTTGGGTCATGCTTTGGATTAACCACTGCAGCTATTTTGCCAAAAAAATTTAGATTCTATTAGAAATTAAGTTTAGCATCAAGGTATTCTTAAATGCTTAATTCAGAGTCGCTGTTTGTGTTAGTACATTCTTGATCACTTAAAACGGAGTGACTTTCAAATATTTATGTGATGAGGATAGTTTTGAGGTTGATTTTTAGAAAAGCAAAAAAGTCAATTTTTAGAACATCATTTGAGAGTTGATTTAATTTAGTTTATAAATCTATTATAAATTTTGATTTAAATATATATATAACATTTATTAAGAGCATTTTAAATCCTATTTTCTAAATGCAATCATTCTTAACACTAAGACTTTTGAATCATCAAAATGCTTGTTTACACTTTTTAGTATTAATTGAAAAACCAATACATTCCAGGTTAATCAATTTAAATAAATTCCAAATGTATTTTTTATATAAATGTAAAAAACAATAACTTAAGTATTTTACATTAATACTCAAAGTTTGAAGATTTAAATATTTAATGATTAGAAAGAAAGTGATCGCAAATACTTGAGTTTGGATATTTCTAATTAAGAAATTTAATTTAATTTTGCTATTTTATGTTATAAAAACATAAGCTATTATTATCAATTACCAAACTAAGTTTTTGTTAAACTTATTTCTTTTAAGAGTCAACAAAAGTAAAAACCCTTTAATAATTTTAATTGATAATTATTATATCAAAAATTAATCATTAAAAATTAAATAAATTGTATTTAATTGATTCCAATGAATAACTTGAATTCAATAGCAATTAAAAACCCTAATATAAAATAATGTCATTAATATTTCAATTAATTAAATATCGATTAGAATCTGTATATTGTATCTAGGAATAAGAGACTTTGAAATTTTGATTTCTACATTTGATATAGTAGATGAAAAAATAAAATATCAAAATCTAATTCACATTGATATTAATTTAGTATCTTGATTTCCTAAATTTTGATTCTGTTCGAGATTATGCCTGCTTTTTCTGTTAGAATCCTTTCTTCTCTGAAAAATAGGGTTTTTAACGATTTAAAACGTCTGATTTTCTGTAATTATCTTGTCCTTAGGATTGCACTTCTTTTTTATGGGATATGATTGTTAAGGATATTAATAAAAGCTCTTAGTGTTTGCACAGCCCATGATAACACGGAGAGTGAAAATTTATAAATATGATAATAACTAATTAAGTTCCTTTATAATTTGAATTAGATTTTATAATTGTATCTTTTTTTATTGGGGGCTTCACAATATTTATTATTGATACTTATTTATAATTTTGAGTAATATGATTTTTAATTATAAAGGGAAAGAACCATGATTTAGATAATAGTTTGAATAAAATGTGATATTTATTAATTTTAAATTAGAAGAGCAATGTATTTATCTAATGCATCTTCTTCAAGTGGAAAATTTTAGAGTGCAAAACAACAGCAGCAAGAATCAATAAAGGTAAAAGAATAATAGGATTAAACAATAAATTCAGAAGGAGATCTTGAATCTGAATTTAATTAGGATGAATTTAATTAGAAATCGCAGAACTTTCAGAAGAGCCAGAAATACATAGCATCAGAACAAGAAGTAGTTTCTATAGAGGCCAGGAAAGATGTAGTGTAAGTGGAATAATTAAACACTGAAGTGTAAGAGGAGAAGCCTTTAAATTTGAATTTTGTGTAAATACCTTCAAATCAGAGGAACAATCTGTAGACTTATAAATCGGGAAATAGGAAGCTCATTCCAATAAATCAACATAGTTTAAGTTAGTCGATGATATCAAATATGACATAAAATAACAAAGGAGCAGGGTTCCGTAAAATAAATGCATTCTATTATGATAGAATTGGGGATCAAATGAGTTTGATATTTATGGATAACAGGAATATAATAAAATAATTAGCAAGAGAAACAGTCATTCCTATTTTGATAGCATTTGTGATAGAGGTTTTGATTTTAGTTTTGTAGAATGAGATTGGAGAGTTTTGTTTTATTGATGGAATTGATTGTTCTAACTATTGGGTTAGATTATGGTCATTTTTCAAATAATAGATTGTAAGATTATCATTAATAATAAACAGCTTTTTAAATTAGGGATTGTATTTTGCAAAGGTCATATACTCTACAAATTGGTATTAGGAAATAAGTTAATACAAGTCAAGAATGGTAGACCTTTGATGGAATATTTTGTTTTAATAATAATGACATTGTCAACAGATTTCATAATGATATTTTGGGTTGGATTCAATGAAGATTGGTTATTTATAGTATATGTGTACATTCTTGGATTTGTTGTATTTTTCAATACATTTCGAATGAAGACATGGCCAAGTTATCTTTCTAAAGGGTTGAGTTACTTTCTATATGATATCACAATAATAGGATTATTAATGGCTTGCTTTAAACTATTTCCATATATAAAATAATCTTTCAAAGATTACAATTCTGTGGCTTGGCAAGAATATTACATGTTCCTTTATGCATTTTTAGATTTGGGTATGGAATTCTTTATGGATCTATCACTTTCATTCACCAAATACAGTGAACTATATATATATTAAGGATAGTTGCTGATAATAGGTACAAGAGTGGGAACATTGATCTAAGGAGACATGACAAGATTCGACTTTTGGTTTTGCTTGTTCTTCTTGATAATGTTCAGAATCAATAATATATCAATAGTGTTTACTGTATTTTTGAGACGAGTGATCTATTATGCGACTCCTGATGGTTTAAAGCCTTATGTCTCAATGGAAGAGACTAATCTAACTCGGAAAGGAAAGAATGGGGCATGTTGGGAACATTTGTTTTGGATTGTCTACTTCTATATGTTTATATTTTCTGGACGAACTTTTACTTATTGGATTTTTGATAAAACTTATCTTTTAAACGGAAAATTTGAAACTAATATTTGGGATGGATATGATAAATCTAATTATATGCCAATAATTATATGGGTCTTTTTGTTGATACCTGAATATATAGGATATAAATTGAATAAGTCTAAGAACTACGATAACATAAAGCTTTTGGGAGGAAATAAAATGAAGTTTTATGAAAATCTATTCATAAGAATATTTGGAGTATATTTATTCAATTTTGCTATGATGAGCAATTTAATTTGATGAGTAATTGATATTTATATATTATAATTTTATTCACAACTTCTACATTGTAACTAATAATCTACTTCTTTTTTCAACCATCTTTTACTCTCGAAAATCAATTAATTCAAATCCGTCTTCCTTCTCTACTTTTTTCTCCATTCCCTTGAATAATGGATACAGATAAACTAATCTTCCTCCTTTCCTTAATACTTTTCTGGCCACTTCAAACATTCTTCTATAAATGGCTGTTCGATTAGCTTAAAGATCCTGCTCATTTCCATCTTATTGAATTGAAGCTCTAATTCCATAAGGAGGATCGCAAATGATGGCATCAAAGAAGGAATCTATCCTAGGATTGAAATTGGGCATATGAACATCTGCCTATATCAAATTTGGAATTGGAAGATTGTATTGATTAAAGTTCAGGTGAATGTATGGTTTGGCTTATTTAAAATTGGGATCTTTGAGATACGTACTCTTCTTATTGAGATAGCCTATACAGTGTCCCTTCATGAGCTTAGGAATAGTAAACATAAATTACATTGCCATCTATTTCTGAGCCAAAACAAATGGCTCCAAAATGAGAACAAGCAACCAAAGAACTGCCTGTTCCTGCAAAGGGATCGAATACGAAATCATTCTCTTGCACTTGGGCTTGATTGGCCATCAAGAAAGCTAAGTCATGAGCCAAGGACACAGGACCTAGATATATTCGATTAGGCAATTCGTAGTTTCTTGCAAAATTCTTCTCTCTTCTCTTCTTTTTCTTTGTCAAGGTACAACCAGCAATATACTTGTGATCTTTAGTTATGATCACATAATAAAGGATGTCTGGTTCTGTTAAATTAATGACATTTTAACATTTGAATCCCTTCTCTCCAAACACTTACTCAATCAATTCTACTCTCTTTTCCTGGGAGATTTTGAAATAAGAGGTTATGATGTCGCATTTACAAGTGAGATTAGGATTTTAGACATATTGCAATGCCTGTGGTAATAGATTCTGTGACAACTCCTCTAATGTATTGCCTCTACTCAAGGTGTATAGGATGTCATGAATCAAGATGGATCGACTCAAAACCTTGTGAATTAAATCCAGATCCCTCAATTGCACATCCACAAAAGGATAGTTTCCTAGGGTTTAAGATGTAATTTCATATTTCTTGGGAAACTGATTTATAGGGAAATACTATTTGAACAACTCTTAGTATGGCAATCCGAAGAGTTCAAAGAGTTATATGGCTTCTTATATTCCAAATTCACCCATCTCTATAGATTGATTAATAACCAGGGTGACAATGTGTTCTTGTTCTTGAATCATAAATTAAATATCAATATAATTTTACTATTACCATAGACTAAGTTATTAAATAATATAGTGAGGATGTATTACATTTAATTAATAACAAATTCGAAAATCTCATCATTTAAATACATCCTTACTATATCAATCAATGTTCTAACACGCCTTCTCTCCACTCTCCATCAATTTATTATCCATCCTGAGTTACAAATACTCCTTTCCCTTCAATCATACCATCGTAGAATTGTCCTTCATAGCGTTCTCCATTGGTAAGATACAAAGTGCCATTCCCCTGCATTTTCCCCTAAAAGAACTCTCCTTCATAACTTAACCAACCATTCTCTATGATATTGAGATCCCTATAATCGAAAGGACCATTGATTTCTTCTGCAGAATAGTTGATCAGTTTTCCTTACCCATGGTATTGGTTATCTTGCCAATAGCCGCTATAGACTTCATTGTCCTTTTCGTCAGTCAAAACTCCAAAGCCTTCTCTTATTGCTGGTTCATAACCCTGTCCTCTATAAATGTATCCGTCTTCATATTACAGGGCCAGATCCTATAGTTATTGTTCTTCTTGTTTTGGTTATGGTTTATTGTACTTCTGTACCAGATCTCTAGTTCTATCGATTGCATCCTGGAACTTCTTTTCGAGATCGTCCTCCTATTATGATAGGATAGGAGGTTGAGAGTATTGAGGCTTATGTTAATATTATGGGGCTGCCTAATAATTGGACATTGATTGTGGATCTGGCTTGGATTACCTGGATTAAAACTATTGAGTAACTGGTTAATGTTGATGGAAGGATTATGAGTATGGTTATTATTATGGTTAATATGGAATTGGAGATCTGAGGAATTGCGATGGTTAATAAGAAGCATTTAAGACTATTTGATAGGATTGAGGCACTATGGTTCTTTGAGCATAAGATTGATGAATAGAATTGCTATATCTAACAGGAATGATTGGTTATGTGTGATAGACTCTCGTTGTAGGAATGGGCTATTGTATAGGTTGTATGACAGTACAGAATGTTAAAATTGGATATTTTGTGGTTTAACGATGGTTTTGACTGGTGGTTGAGCATATCTAACGTAAGACGATTGAATATAGGATGGTTAAGGAGAAGCAAAATAGAAGGAAGTATTATACATGAAAATTAATTTTTATTTTTATAATTATCAAAATGATCAATCCAGTCTTCTGAAAATGTACATGTAACCCTTATGTATTGCGGGTTCTGCAGACTTGGCAACCTTTGAATCATTGTATAGAATCCATTCTCCATTCTTTTTTATGTAGGATACATAGTGTCCACAGTGAACAGACTTTCCTAAATGGACGATACAAGCTAGAAATTAATATGAGTCTGGTACCAAATAATTCATATTTAGATGTTTGGTTTTCAAATTGATCTTATTTCTATTGCTACTTCTCTTGCGTCTGGCTCATTTCAGCTTCTAGATCATGGTTGAAGATGTAGTCCATGGCTCTCTCCAAATTATTATCCTTTTATTTATAGATACTAATTAGATACTGTCTTAGATAATGCAAATTTAGCTTATTCTGGACTGAATCCCATTACAACTATCTATTCCACGAACTCTTCGTTAATTTGTTATCCTTATTGTTTTTGTTATAATGGTTAATCTTGAGTTGGATCATCCAAAGATTCCATAATGAACATCATTGCAGCTTCAACATCATTCTTATATTTGATCAAGGCTCGTTTACATCTATTCTCACCAAAACCCATTCCCATTAATGTCTACAAGTTTTCCTCTGTGTATTCCTATGCAGATTACTCTTTCAAAGCATCCTTATCTTGCAACACGGGCTCTTTGAATTCAGCAAAATCATAAAACTGTTAAATTTTGATTGATGCATTCAATTTCTTGGGAACCCAATTTTCTTAAACGAATCTATTTACAGGTACAAATAGATATTTGGGGAAAGACTTAAAGTACTCTTTTTTCACGAATAATTAGAGAGATTAACATTTAGGACAAAACATATCTACTCGTTCTCCTTCTTTGACTAATTACAAACACTTTTCAAAGGTTGTGTCATACTCAGGTAAATCATTCAATTCGAATGGTTTTATGTCTTCTGGTCTCATAGTTTTGATTCTCTCCTCATACTTCTATTTCTCTTGAGCATAATAGAGATTAATCTGCTCTTAAGTAGGCTATTCAACTGGCACTTTGAATTCTTAATTTTTAACACTGTTTGTTTTATGTCCTCCACAATTCACACATTAAATTATAGAGGTCTAATCAAATGAGAAAATAGTGGATAACTATTCCAATTTGAATTGTTTTTCTGTCTTCTGAAAGAATGAATTCAATAATTGCCAATACTCTAATGCATCTTGTTAATGATTTGAAAGGAAGTGTTGATTTCCTTTGGCCACTAATTGCTTGAAATCATACAATCTAATCCCATCTTAATAGAAATCCTTTTAGGCTCCTTCAGTATCCAAAGGAGATTTCGCTACTTTCTTGATTGAAAACTCTCCACTATTAAGACCATGATTAACCTTACTGATCTGACATAATACACAATTGTATGGCAATCTAGTGCAATTGAATTGATGTTCAAGGGAGTACAACTTTTAGAATTCTGGTATGCTAAACAATACTTACACAACTGAATTCATATAACATGTATTTCCAATGTTATCAATTCCTGTGAATTCAGGTCCAAAGATTGGATCCAACACTTAACCCTCTTCTATCAATTTACTCAATTACAAAGATAAATTGGCATCCAATGTTAATTCTGCAATGGTTTTTTCTGTCTTCACTTATTTTTCAATCTCAATTCCATAAGTAGCTAGATGTTCTTTAAGAAAGTTATCAATTACTTCATCATCACATTTGTAACAGAATACATCACCTTTACCATCTGATGTGATTGTTCCCAATTTGACAACCAAATGATGTTAAAATTCCTTAGAATGATCAACTGCATGATTATTTCCTCCTGATCCATCATACACTTTTCTACCACAACCCACATGTCCACAATATAAACATAACCATAAATTAGATGACAAATGACAACTTCTACATTTTTATAAATTCTTCTCAACCAAGGGTATCTATTCCATTGTTAATGTATGTTCACATGGTTAAGCTGTGTGTTCCCATTATGCTATTGCTTGTCTTTTAAATGCAGAATTGGCTTATTTAATCGATTAAACCAATCCATCCAATTCTGGAGAATTCAATGCTTTCTAGCATTTCAAACAAGCCACACTTGTCTCACACTCCAATTATGGAATGTCTGCAATCACTAATTTATTAATCTCCTCCACTTTCTGTTATGGCTATTCGATTTCAAATAATCTGATGTTTAAAACAATGTAATGATTATGTTGATCACTGTGTTGAGGACTGTGCATTTCAATACACCCTCCATTAAAACATTTCAAACACACCTGGATACCATTGTCACTTTTGGCTTCCACAAAACATCTAGTGCATTGATCCTTATATATCATTTGTCCCTGGACTGACCATGTGATGTTTTGTTCATTGATATGATCACAAATACTTGTCATTTCTATTTAAATTAAATAATTAATTTCTCATTGGGATTACTTTATCAAACTTTATTTGAACTTAAAATAAATATAAATAAATTGAATGAATAATTTTAAATTTGATTTTAATGTCTTTCGAAAGAATGAGAATGAGCTTTAAATCATTCTTGGGCTTAAATGCAAGTCCATAAATCAATTATTCATCCCAAGCATCAATAACCATTCCACAAGACTTACAATCTTCAAACTCTTAATGCAACCTCAAAAACAAATTTGTTCAAATCGAAAAGAAATAAGAACGCCTTAATCCCTACAAGAAATCTCTACTCCGCTTAAATGATTATTAAAAAACTGTTGTCAAAGGAACCGATTGCTCTAAATGTCCAACCATCTAATATTAGATTAATAAAGATGAAGTAATATTGCTTTCTATTAACATTAAAGAAACCTGCTATTGATCACAAAATAAACAACCCTAGATGGAAGAGAGAAGATCAATCTCAAGATCACTCCTCTTATAGTTAAAGATGGAGTTCCTAAAATGATGCATCCAATCCAACTTTTTTTAAAGTTCAATCCAAACCCCTTAAAAATCAAACCTATGACACCTAAACACTCTCTTAATCAAAGGCATCAATCAACTTTTAGAAAAAACAGTTCCTCCAATATTTGGAAGACAAACCAATCACTGTAATCAGAAATGACTATGCTCCATTCGAAGAAAAAAAGAAGAAGTCTTCCCAAATCTCAATTAGAAGAACAGAAAGCGTTATCTTTGATGTCCAAGACGAACCTCCTTTTGAAAATGGAAGAAAAACAGTCCAAAAATCAGAAAATACTATTAAACCAAATGAGGAGGAGGGTAATCAAAGTGCATCCGAATCCATAATTATTAAGAAATAACCAACTACAAGATTTAACAAATTAAAAAAATAGGAATTTGAGTACAATCCCAAAACACCTACAAATGAAGCAAAACCCATTTCACCCAGTTATGAATAACAACAACCAAATTAATAAATTTAGTAAGTTAAATAATAAGAAAATATAACTAGAAATTTAGATGAATAAATACAATAAGTATAATAAAAATAATAATCATCAGCACCTATCGAATAAATTTAACAGCCCTTATAAGAGGTCAAACAGGAACCTATCATTTAATAAAAAATAGACCCACAGCCATAAACATAAACGTTACCACCTGCTATTGAAATCAATCCCTTTACTTCTAATATTGAAAGCACCCTCTTTAATGCTCCATGGATCACTAATCAGCCACCATAAGACTAATCCACATTTAATCTATTCTAACAACAACCAATGTAAACTTAGTTTCAAACTCCCTTTGTTGCATAATAATAACAACCTGTCTTCCCATTTTAGAATGAACCATAAATATAATAACAAGTATTTTCCAATTAAACTTTCTTCTCCCAATAAGTACAAGCATCCTCTAATCCTTTTACTTCTAATCAATTTAGTTAGAATGTTTTCAATTTAGGAAATACCTAATAATCTCAATCAGTATATCAAACCTTCTAATAAAATCAAACAAATACTAATGATTTATTTGGACTCAACTAATAGAAATAATAACATAACAATAATAATAATAACAATAATACTTTTTTATTTTAAACTAACTCTTTAGGTGGAGGATCATTTTCAGCTGATGATCAAAATAAACCACGCACTATTGATTTATTTTCAGCCTAACCTGTTCAAAATTCATAAACATCAATGATGACTAGTCATTCAGCTGTTAATTTATTTACTTTAGATCAAAATAATTCTGCATAACCCCAAACATATAAGGAATCTGATAGATATAAAAACAAATTTAAATAAAATACTGTTAAATATAATGCTGCATAAAGAATGTAATGAATAATTAAATATTTTTAATATATCATAAAATAATTGCTTTGAGAACATAAAAATACTCAGAGTAGACTATATAAATAATTACAAAATGAATTTAATTAAATTTGATTTTTTTTTTCCTTATCTGCAAATTCCATCATCTTATATATTTCTCCATCCATTAAATTACACTTATCCTTTACCGTATCCATTGCCAAGAGAAACTCCTCACATGTAATGATGGGACAAGACTAATTGAAAGTGTACAGCAATTTTTTCATTCCTGCAACAAAATTAGTTTAATTCTTAATAAATAGGTTATTCAACTTATTAGCAGCCTTCTTCATAATTATTCTATCAGTCTCCTCCTTGTATTCCAAACCAAATGCTTCATAAAACTCACAAATGTCCACTTACCCTTTCTAATCCTTATCAAACAATTTTAAAAGCTTAAGCACATATCCAATATCAATATTCAATGCTAAAAACCCTTTTCTCAATTCTAAAACAGTTACAATTTAACTTTTATCCGTGTCAATCCAATCAAAGAACTCTTCCAATCCAACTTATTTCTTCTTCATTTTCTCAATAACTACCTCAATCAGAGTTGGTTCAATTTATTCTTGCCTCTCAACCTTTAACTACTGATATGTTGCCAGATCCTCCTCAATAAGAATTGCCATTTTGAACTCTTCAATATCAACAGCCCCATCTTAACTTGTATCGATTAATCTCATCCAATTCATGATCTAATCAAATTGAGTTCCTTTCATGTATTTACTAAATGCAATTGCCAAATCTGTAATTTATTTTCTTTACACATCTTTTGGATAGCATTAATAATAAATCATCAAAGGATCCAATTTATATTATCTTAAGACCTGTCTAAATTTTCTCATGTCCTAAAGAATGCGCAAACCAGTATTATTTTCTCTTAGAGCTAATAATTACTAAGCAGTTTTGTTTGGATTAAGACATTCCTTGAGATCAAACAAAAAATCCTCATCTTTGACTTTGTTCATTTGTTTGATGTCGAAGTATTTCATGATTATAAAGATCTCATTTGAGCCAAAGTCATTTTTCATAGACATCAATAAATCATCTGTTGTAATGTATCCTTTTTACTAATAATCTATTTATTCTACAATGCCTTTGGGAGTATTCTTCAAACCTGAGACATATTTAATAAATTTCTCCAGGACTCTTTCCTAAATTTTCGCTGGATCATCTTGAGGCTAACCCATTTTCATAGCTTGTGTATTTAGAATATAGGCATGTTCTTCAGCATTACATTTACAATACATTAAAACCCTATAGAATTCTTCCCTCATTATGAATCCACTGCAATCGTCGTCAAAGAGTAGAGCTACTTTTTGAAGAGTGATTCCATCTATTCTTCCATCAAAAAATGAATCTAAAAATTCTTTGAATTCTTGAATAGTCAACTTCCCTGTAAATCTTTTGTCTGCACATCTAAAAAGCATCTCAACTGTCATTCCTCTTTCATTGCAACATTTTTATAATTCTTTCAATACCTTTTCACGGATGTACAGTTGAGAAGTATTCGAAGACAAGATAGCTTCAAATTAGGGTATTCTCAATTCTTCATCTGCAGGCATAGCCAACTTAACTTTTAATTCATTATTTTCCTACTCTAACTATTAAGCTTGCAATTTCAATTTCTTGATAGCACTTCGATAATCCTCCATTTATATTTATTTACATATATATATCAATCAATTTCATCAAGTTGAGTTGGCTGCCCAAAAGTTCCTATTGCATTAATCTCTACTTATTCACTACCATGTTCACTGGCACCATCTACACTCTTCTGATCTCCATCTACACTTCTGTGTTCACTATGTCCATCTGCAATTCTTGAATTATTTTCAGATTGATTGTCTGATTACCTATCTGAGTGTTTCTCTGATTAATGTTCAGAATGTTGAGCAGATTGTTAAGCAGATGATCTAACATCACTAGCATTCGATTAAGTATTATAAGTTGATAGATGTGAAGGTTCTTCATTATCGGAAGCATTATCAACCTATTATAGTTCTTCTTATTATTATTATTCTTGTTATTATTGTTACTCTTCTCGATATCTTCGAATCATGTCTTTAAAATTCTGATGTTGTCTCATATGCTCCTCCTCCTACTCTTTCTTATACTTTTATCTTTCTTCTCTCTCTAAATCTAGTCCTCCTTTAGCAAAGGCCTCAGCAAATCCTAAATGAGTTTTATCTGAAGATATTACTTCTTTCATCATCAAAGACAGGTCTGTCATCCAAATACTTTAGTGTTTTAATTCTACTTATGAGTGTTTTTCGATAGTGTTGAATCTACTTCCCTGCTGTATTGTTCTAGAAATACAACACTGATAATTGAGGCATTTTTAAAAATATTTCATCTAAAACATTTGGGTCATCTATTTTATTATCTGACACATCCAACACTGATAAATTTGGTAAGCATATCAATCCTTCCAAATCACTAAGCCCATTCAATCCAATTCTATTTCTTTTGATTTAAAGAGTCTATAATTTTTAACACTATTCCAACCTATATTGTTTAATTGAGTTATCATACCCTTCAATCTTGCTTATCATATTATCACTTAGATTTAGATTAATTAGCTCAGTTAACATGTGCAAGTTTTCAATTTTCCTGATTACGTTCTCCTATAAATATAAGCATTTCAGAGAAGTCAAACAATCAAGTCCTATGATATTTGATTCAGTTTACCTTCAATATTATTAAGACCATTTCCTTCCAAGTAAATTACTTTTAATCCTGTGAACTCTTCGAGATTTTCAATCTTTTCAAAACCTTTGTAATGCAAGTAAAGACAATCATTTAGCTCAGGAGTGGTATAATAGAGTTTGAATTCCTTTCTTAACAACTTTTTAAGGTAGTCTTTTGTTATTCTTCTCTCTTCCTGTTACATTATTTTTATAATAATTATATTTGCAAGGTTTTATGAATTCTGAAAAATTAAGAAAGGAAATACTGAGGAGGTGCTTTGATTTATGAATTATTAATAAAATTAGTTCGTATTAATAGATCAGGCATTGATATTTGAAATAAGAAATTAAATTATTTAATATAAATGGGTGACAAGAAAATCAAAATTGATGAATACAAAGAGATTCGTTTGGGGGGATTCCAAGCAAGATCACACAATTGGTGGGAAGAAGCCAATCCTGAGGAATCTGAGGAAGAAGAACAATAGGGATAGGAGTGGAGGTACTTAGAACATCATGGAGTTTTGTTTCCACCATTTTATAAGAGACATAATGTGGGTTTGATATACAATGGGAAATTGATAACCCTTACGGAAGAGTAAGAAGAACTTTGCACATATTGGGCATAATCGATTGGATCTCCATACGAGAATAAGGAAATTTATAGGAAGAATTTTGAATCTCTAATGCAGACAAAATTTGAAGGGTTTTAATTGGACAAGGCTGATTTCACAAAGATAAGGGAACATTTGGAATAGCAAAGGTTATTGAGATTGAATAAATCTGATGAATAAAAAAAGCAGGAGAAATTAGAAAGAGATCAAAGAGAGTTATTTTATGGCTATGCTTTGGTGGATGGTTGTTTGGAAAGAGTAGGTAATTACACTCTGGAATAACCCACTTTATTCAAGGGACGAGGTGAACATCCAAAGGCTGGGTTATTGAAAGCCAGGATATTTCCAGAAGAATTAACAGTGAATCTAAGCACTTAAGCACCAGTGCCTTAATGTAAATTGCCTGGTCATTCTTGGGGCAAAATAGTGCACAGAAATGATGTTACTTGGTTGTTTTCTTATGTGGATTCAAGCATCAGAAAGGACAATCACAAATATGTTCAATTTGCAGCCACTTCAAGATTTAAATAGATGAATGATAAGAGGAAGTATGAGAAGGCAAGGAGATTGAAGAATTGCATTGATCAAATTAGAGAAAATTACACTAAGAAATTACAATCGGATTCAATTAAAGAAAGATAATTGGGAACAGCAACCTATTTGATAGATAAATTGGCATTGAGAGTTGGAAACGAAAAGGATGAAGATGAAGCAGACACAGTAGGTTGTTGCAGTTTAAGAGTAGAACATATCAAATTGAAGGAAGATGATGTAGTTGCCTTTGATTTCTTGGGTAAGGATTCCATGAGATACAATAACGAAGTTAAATTGGCACATTAAATTTGGAAGAATCTCAAATTGTTCACCAAAGGAAAACAACCAGAAGACAATTTGTTTAGTGATATAAGTGTGGATGATTTGAATGATTTTTTGAAAAAACAAATGGATGGACTGACTGCTAAGGTCTTTAGAACTTATAATGCAAGTTTTACACTTCAACAGTAACTTGATTTAGGTGGTACTTTGGATGGCCATTCTGTTTAATAAAAAGTAATATTTAATACTAAATCTAGGTTGATTTCTATGATAATGCCAACAAACAGGTTGCTATTTTATGTAATCACCAAAAAACTATTTCCAAATAATTTGAGTTAACTAAGAAGAAAATAAATACTAAGTTGGAATGCATGAAAACATACATACAGGAATTGGAATAACACTATAAGAAAAAGAATCCTAATGAATATGAGGAGGAAGTCTAATTGGAGGAGGGATCTTAGAAGAAGAACAGTATCTTTATCAAGAAGTTCCCAGGGCAACATGATAAGATCAAATAAACAATATAGAAGACTCAGGAGAAATATTAGAAGGAATTGAAAGGGTTGGAGAAGAAGGAAGAAAATAAGGAAATAGCTTTGGGAACATCCAAAACCAATTACAATGATCCTAGGATTAGTGTTGCATTTTGTAAAGTGCATGATGTCCCTATAGAAAGAGTGTTTTCAAAAACTTTAAGAAATAAATTCATTTGGGCTATGGCTACAGATTCTAATTGGAAATTTTGATTATGATATAACAGTCCCATTTAGTATTATTCATAGTTTATAATTCAATAATAATAATCCTTATCATATGAATTAGAAGTACTAAAAGTTTGAGATTGTAAATCAACAAGAAAAAATAGATAATGAGTCTTTTAAATGTTTTACGATCAATAATGATTCAACAATACTGATTGGATGCACTTGGACAGTTATATATATATATTCACTCCAAAACAATGGGCAGATGATCAATACATAAATAATCCAAGATTAGGATTTACTAATAAATTAGGTGTATTTTATGAAATCAGGCAAAACATTTATCACAATGGGGTAGTGTCTTAGTTTTTGGACACTCAAATAAGAAAAGGAATGGACAAAGGGAAATGTTATTAATTTGTAAGAGAGAATATCATTCCTCATATTCAATAGAGATGAAACAAAGATGATAATTTCTTTTGAAAGTTCCTTACAATTTTGGGAGAAGGAACAAAGTACAAAAAAAAGGAAGATTCACTTTGAATTAGAACTACCAGAGAAAGCTACTAGTATGAGTTTGAGTGAGTCAGAAAAGGAATTATTGATTGGGATGTAAAGTTTAATACTTTTGGCTAAATGTTAAAATGGTTAGAAATGGCAAATTAGTTATAAAGTAAGAACATCAATTTATTCAATTTGGAAAATGGTGGTGTTTCTGGATTAAAATATGTTTGTATCATCACCAAGTACCAGTTAGAATTTAATACAATATGAATGGAACCATTGGCATTCAAAATTAATTAGAATAAAAAAAATTTGTCTCGAAAAAAATGTTGACATCAGTAGGGAAAATTCAATCAGTTTCTAGAAAGAAGGGAAATTGTTGTTTCATAAATTCAATAAAATAATACGAATATTTAGTTATCAAAACAAGGAACTTTAATTACAGTAATCGATATCATTTACAAACTGTGAAAATAGTTTCTATGTTTCTAGAGACTGCAAATATTTGATAGTGAGAAATAGCAGAGGGAAAGGGTTTAGTACTTGGTTCAGATGATACATAATTGTGACTGTTTTTTATTAGAATGAATACAGAGTTAATATACAATATAATTTATATAGGAATAAATAAAAATATTATGATAAATTTATCTGACAGAGAGAAAGAGCTTATCGAAGAGATTTGTGCAAAAAATAATAAGTCTAATAAAAAGAGTAATTAAGATTAGGGAAGTCAAAAATTAGTCAGTCAATCGAGTACTAAAATCTTAGTGTCTAAATTGGAACGTAAATTGAATGATGTATTTCATCTATCTATCGTAGACATTAAAAGAAGTAGATGAACAAAATAGTGGACAAATTGATTTCTAACAATTAGGACGATTATTCACATTGCTTGACATATTCTAAGCTATCTCGTATAATCAAGATTATCAGTTAGAGGCACAAGGTCTCAACAATCCTATGCAAAAGTAACACCAAATCTTTAAGGTAGACAATAAGAAGTAGATTTGCATGAGAAAGCATTTGCAATTATTTCTAACGATGAAGAGAAGGTTGATATACAAGCAGCATTTTGTTTGTTTAGAATCATCTTGGATCCCAATTAATTGGAACCATCTAAATGTGCTATTTTAATCAAAGAATATTTAGAAAAGATTTCTGATAAAGAATTTGATTTTGAAGCAATCCAAAAATTTTGTTCAGAATTCTAAGCTTATCAAAAGACTAGACTATCTGGAGCTAAAATAGGCTATTTAAAAGCATCTCTAGCATAAAATTTAATAGAAACTTATGAAAAGACTTTGACATTCAAACCAGCAATCAATCCTATAAGCGAAGCTCTGCAATAATAATCAGGAAAAAAGGAAAATCAAGAATCCTCATCACAATTATCATAAGGACTTGCAGAAAGTCGAGTGAATGAACTTTATAAAAAAAAGGAATTATCCAATCAGAAGATAGAGTTTTTAAAGCAGGAAAAATTAATGAAAGACATGCAAGAGTGTACATTCAAACCACAAATCATCTCAAAAAAAGAATTACCCAATGTGGTAGATAGGTTATACTAAGTGAAGAATAGATAGGAAATAGAAGAAAGAGCCAAGATAGCTGAATAAGAGAAGGAGGAATCAGAATATAGTAAATGCTCTTTCCATCCTCAAATTAATTACTCTATGCCTGAATCACAGTCTACTGGAATTGGAGGATATTGGGAAGCCATTGAGAGAATGAGAAGAGCGAATGACAGGAAACATTTAAAAGATCTGAAATTGAATCATAAACCCAGTGGAGAGAATTATGAGAAAGTTAAGAATCAACCCTTCTCTCCTCCTGAAATGCTATAGAGAGGGTAACTCAAAAAGGAATTACCAATCCTTTATATTGATATAAAATTGGGACCAAGAAAGGTGGGACGATTAGCATTGAGAAAGAATGATGACGTTGAGGAAGTAGTTAAATCATTTTGCAAGGTTTGGGGAGTGGGACAGTAAGATTATGAGCTATTGGTCAATCAAGTTAAGGAAAATCTACAAAGGTATGTAATTTTTGTATCATTCTAGTGTCATTCAAGAGACAGAGGAGTCCCAAATTTGATTGTGAAAATGTATACTTATTTATAGAATAACATTATATAGATATATGTATCTGATTGAATTTTTCACAATATGGCATTTTAGTTTGATTGCAACTGTGGACCCCAAAAACCAAAGTAATAAGCTGTGTTTGGTTGGTTTCTCACTTAATCTTATTATGGCTAATTCTAAGGTACTTGGTCATTATTTTAGATAGGTGCTTGTTGGTTATTGTTTTAATCCTATGGATATTGATAATTTGAATTTTATTATGTCTAAGGAACCTAATTCTAATAAGCTTATTATTGTGGCTAAGGCTCAAATGTTTGTGGAGGTTGTTATTACTATTGTTGAGGATGTTAAGTGTATGGGTTGCTTGGCTAATTGTAAGTGGGATTTTATTGAACATATGGATTTGGTTAATTGTATACGGGGGGAGGATTTTATTAAACATATGGATTTGGGGGTTAGATATTTTATTGATATGGCTATTAAACTTAAGGTTGGTTGTAAGTTGTCTAAGGCTATTGTTGTTATCCATAATTGTAATTGACAGGAATACCAACTTATTGGTTGTTTTAGTAATTCTATGGTGGACTCTATTAATATTATTGATATCCTTGAGGAGGAGGAGGAGGAGGTTGTTAATACTGCTAATTCATAGGGGGAGGCTGATATTGTTATTGTGGCATCCCATAATTAGGTCCCCCAATAGGAGAAACCTAAGTTGGATTTTACGGAATGCCCCAGGCCATGTTTCCATATGATTATTAATTTAAATGAGGCTACTGCACGTAGATGACACTAGGATCATTGGGATCAATGAAGGCCTAGCTTTAAGATCTTGCAAAATTTTCCATCAAACGTGCATCAGGAACTCGTTATCCAGAACCTCGTTATCTTCTAATTTGTGTTAAGACACTAACAAGTATCTTTAAAAACTTGTCACAACCTAAGGTATTAATTGACTACTACCTCCTGCTTTGAACCATAATTTAAAATGAGTTTTTCCAGGAAGTAGATTATATAATGGATCCACATTGCCTTCTAAATAATTACTTCCAAAAATTGGTTATTGAAATTTCTCAGCAGTCAAATATGCCAAAGGGATATCAAAAGATTTGAAGGATTCCTTTTAAAACTTGTCACTTACAAAAACCATTCTGCATGTAGTTACATATACCTACTTTTAAAAATGGTTATCTTACTTTGCCTTTAGCACTGAACTTTCCCATGTTTTCAATCTTGAATTCTCCTTCCATTTCATTTCTATACAATATAAAGAATTCCTGATCTACTCTTAATGGAACTCCAGTTTAAGTGATAGGTGGATTTAGAGCCATTTTAATTAATTAAGATTATATGTATTTTCAAACAAAATTCTTTTCACATAAGAATTATGCAAATGAGTTATTTCTACAAATGAACTTTGCTTTCAACAAAAACGAAAGCAGATATTTATAATACAAATTTAACATATAATAAAATTGTTGCGATTTCCATAAAGACTATTGTGTTTGTATATTATTATATTATGCATCAACGATTGGTTTTAGCTACTTTCTCAAGTTCATCTCTCTTCTTGATGGTGTAAGACTTTTGTCCGTCTTCATTTGCTGCTGCAATAAGTTCATCAGCAAGGGCCTCTGCAATAGTCTTCATTTTCTTGAAAACTGAATCTCTAACTCCCTTTGCTAAATTGTGGACTGCCTAAACGAATGATATTCAGGCATATAAATACTTCATTGACTCTTCTGATTGGAGCAACATCAACTGCTTATTATTTAGCAACACCTCCTGTTCCAACTTTGGTGAAATCTTCTCTGGCTCCTCCTCTTTGAACAGCCAAAGATAACACTGCCAGAGGATTCTTGCCAGTCAACAAGTGTACTATTTCAAATGCATGTCTGATTATGGCAACCGCCTTTACTTTCTTACCTGTGTTACGTCCATGGAACATAAGTGCACCAGCCAATCTCTCTACAATTGGGCATTGTGCTTTTCTAAACTTCTTTCGTTGATATCTATATTCGAATGAAAAGAATACCTTCCTGCAGTGTGAGGAACAAATACTCTGGATTTTGAAGTTTAGACTGCAATGTAGTCTTTGAAACATTAGTCTGTCACTTGGACTTCATCATAATCCCATTTGCCAAATAATTTAGGTTGATTAGCAAATTTCACAGTCGCTACTTATTCTTCTGCCATTTTAAAAATAAGGATTTATTTTTAATTTAAAAATTCCTTATAACAATGAAATCCCATAACATGATAGATGATATATATAAATATAATTAAATAATACTGTCAAGCGGGTAATTGGGCCAATTACTTAAGTCTATCTTGTAGATTTTTGACTGATTACTATAATTCATCAATTTCTAGATTTTATTTTTTATCAAGATCATCATTTTGCCTTGCAGCATCCTAAATGGCATTAATTGTTTTCTATGAATCTTCCAATCTAGTCTCCATACTCTTGATATCATTGCTAACCTTGAGATTTGAATCCTCCAAGTCCCCTTCTAATTTCGAATTCTTTTAATCAATCTATCTAAGTTCCTCTTACAACTATTGAAAATTAGTGTTGAGAGAATCCACTCGTTCCCCAATGGTCAAAGTCTTCTCATTCACGGATTCAACACTTTGAGTGAGTATCTAAAAACTACTATGAATCTTCTTCTGTTCTGCATTTAACAACTCAACATTCTTGTCGATATCTTGCTATTTGATCATAATAGTTTCATTCTCCTTCTTGAGTATTTCAATGTCAGTTTGATTTTCATCCAAAATACTTTTGTGTTAAATCTAGATTTCATTCATCTCTTTGATATTAGTATTAGTTTGTTGAATATCCTATCTAGTATTTTCCACAGCCTAATTGACGTCCTTAATCTGATTCTGATGGTCCTCCTTGATTATTTGCTATTATGATCTAAATTAGATGGATAGTATGATTACTTCAACTCCTAAATGCTTTCAGCCATCAACTTTAATCCTTTCATTTGAGTCTATTAATAAGACTCATTCTAATCAAGTATAAGTTTTGTTTTTTCAACAACTACTTGCTGATTTTCCTCAATGACCTCTCTGAATATTCTGAATTTATTTGAGCAATCTTCATCTAACTTATTGACTTTGTCTTCCAAAAATTAGACAGTAGCATTCACAGCCTCTAAGATTTGATTTTTTTCAATTGATATTCTCTCTAACAAGTGTGACTATTGATCCTCGATCACTGTCTAAAAGTCCTGTCTAATCATGTCAATATTCTATTCAATGATCGTCTACCGAGAATTCAGATCCTATTTCAACCCTTCAAAGGCTGTTATATGTTATTTAAAGGATTCCCCAAATTTGGAAAATATCACTTTCACTTTTTCATACTTCTAAGCAGATGTCTTAATTGCCTATTAATATAATTAAATTAACTTTTTACTTTATTTATTTCATCATCAATATACAAAGATAGTCTTTCTGCTTTTTCTGCTTAATCTTTCTCCAATTATTTAACCTATGTTTGCAAAGCCCTGTTAGCCATTTCTATCTAATCCTTTAAACTATTCAAATCAGAGACTATATCTGTTGCAATGGCAGATGTAAGATTCTTCAATTCAGTATCAGTTGACAATCTTGTTTGCACTTCAATTCTTATCATATCTGTAATCTTCTCTGTGATATTAGCTTAATGAGTTTTGAATAATTCATTTTCTGATTTGATATTCTCTTAGATTTTTAATAAATCGCCTCTTAATTAAACCTCATGTGAATATCTTTGGGCTTCTTCATTTTAAATATTTACTAGAATTTAATTCACTTAAGTCTCAATAATAGTTTACAATGAACGAATGGCTTCATCCTTCTTTTATGAATCAATTCTTTGAAATTACTCTAATGATCCTAATTTTTAAATAACTTCCTCTCTCTCGTATTACAATCTCTCCATATTAATCTAATCCTTCAAACTCCATGCTTATTTCATCTCTTCCATAGTTTTGACTCTCTACTCATGTTCCATAACAATTCTATTGATAACCTCAGTCACTCGAGTATCTAATCTTTGAGTATAATCCTATTAGATTAATTGCAACATTCCCTTGAACTCCTCCTATATTCTCTAGTTGGCCATATCAACCCTATTGATCTGTTCATGATCTTTTAATTAATCTTTCTAATCCACTTAATAATCTAATCATACCCCTAATGCTAATAAATTGGCCTCCAATGCCATCACTCTCTTCTCTATTCTTTCATTAGTCTCATTAATGAAATTCATTCCTGAATCACCTCTCTAAGCTACTTGAATCAAGGCTTTCTCCCCATTATATATCTTGCTCTCCATCCCATTTATTCTTTGCTCAAAATGCTGATGAGAAGTAGAAAGCGATTCCTACAATTTTTCCTACAATTCTCCCAATCTAACCATCTCCATAAATAAAGCTTTGGTCTTCTCTCTTTCCTTTTACAGTTGTGAACTTTCTTCAGTTATCTTTTCCTGCAACATTCCTCTCATCTACAATACTTCGTTTGTATCTTTATTCTAAGTGTTCTTCAAAAAGTACAACAACTCCTTTATATTCTGCTCCTATATAGCCACTTTAGAACCCAATTCACTCTTCTGTCTATCCTAAGCTATAATCTTTGTTTCCAGTGAATACATCTTATTTTACAAGTCCTCAAACATTTGGTTTGGCTATTATCATTAGATAATTAATACATCCCCCATTTATCCTCTTGTCCTTACTTCTCTTTCCAACTCAACTAACATTTTTGAATTTCGCTTGACTTCCTAAGTAAGTTACTTTTCCAGCATTTACACTTAATCCTATAATTGAGCAATCCTATCCATTTAAAAGTGACTCTGTTCCTAATTTTCAACAGGCACTGAAGTATTAACAAAATTTCTCCTTGATTCAGCTGTTCTAGTAGGTTCATTCTTGACTTCTTAAGAACGACGATATTCCTGAGGTTAAAATCGAGATTCTCCTGTAATTGGATTTATAGCCTAACGCCCTGCCTTTCAAGTAGATATGATAATCTTACTTAACTTAAACTCATTTAGAATGCAACAATATTATTTAAAAAAATTATAAAATTTACTAATTATCTCAGAAGAATACTTAATAGACAATAACCATAATTAAGTCTACACCAATCTGCGAAAGGATCATGATCAGTTATCAATAAGAGTGATGGTAATTGATAAGGCTATCTATAATTTAACATTCTATATTCCTATATTTACAATCCAATAAGATTATAAATCATCATTCAAACTCTTTCTTCATAAAAAAATTAGGAATTTATTAAAGAACCATGATTTCTTGAACTATTTTTTGCTGAAAATTAAAATGAGTAATCAGAATAGGGGATTTATTTTTAGTTTGCCTCTTTTCTTTTTAAGCTAATTTTGTTTTCTTTTTAAATGAATAATTATTCTTCTATTTACTCAAAGATTAATTAATTCTCACTTACCATTTAGAATGTACTTCTATTATTGAATTAAAAATAAATATCTTTAGAACCATCAGTTTGTGCTTTTCTATCGGTACTTCCTGTGGTATTTATTATGAGTTGTAAGTACTCATAAAATCAGAAAGTTGATTGTTGAATTAGAATGCCTAAATTTTATTTGCAAGAAATTTATAATTTTAAAAGATATCAGTAATCAGAATTAATTTAAGACCAAAAAACCAATGTTGGTTAATCTATGTGAGGCAATTCCTGCAATGAAAAGATTCTTTCAAAATATCGTGAGGAATTCTACTCTTCATTTTAGTCTCTTCTTTAATGCATATAATATTTTCAATCATAAAAATCAAATTGACCTAAATTGAATTCTTTATCACTACATCTCTATTCTGGTGTTGTAGCTATTAAAGCAGTCCTGAATTTCTTTTTACATTTATAACACTCAAAAATAATTAAAATTAATATCAATTTCTAATCAAGAGTAAATGAGGATCAGACTCACAGCGGAAATTTAACATAACATGGAATAACATATTCAATGAGTTTAGAACAATAATAAATATATCAAGCCTTATTGACTAATTCAGGATGCTTAAGTTTTATATGTTAGTTTAATGAGCCTTCACTTCTAAAACATAATATCATTCATTCTTACCCATATTTCTTACCACATTTTGATAATGGGCATTAAAAATTACGTTCAATTTGACTGGCAAGACTTCTCAATCTTTTTTTCCTTTCTTCAAATGACTAATTTTCTCCCTCTTTCTAATTAATTTATGTTATATTTCTACTTCTAATTGTTCTAGTTTTTGGATTATTTCTGTTTTCTCTTTAAGTATTTCTTTAATCTAAATACATTCTTAATTATTAATCCTTACCTTTTTTCTTAAATTGATATTACAAAGAAACTACTAAATATATTCACCCTAAAAATCGCCCATCAATTTAAAATTTAATTATTTATCATTTGCAAATCCTTAAATATAAAGGATAAAAACAATATCAATAAATTTTTTATATCATTAATTATTCATTTATCATTTATCGCTATGCCATAAACAATTTGGGCAAAACTCATGTTACTTTTAAATGAAAGGTAAATGCATATAAAAAAAGTTACAACTTTTAACATTCTTGCATTTCCTAAATTCATTTCCAAACTAGTTTTGTATATTCTTCTCTAATGCAGACAATTAATTCAGTATAAATCTATGTTTGAAGGATTCAGCTTCGTACTTATCGTCTAAATAAAGTAGGGACTTTAAATTAAGCTGCATTTTGCACAGACAATTCAGAATTGGTGCTTTTTAAAACAGTTAGTTTTCTATTATAAGCTTAAAGCAATTAGTGTGGAAATAATGAAAGCAGGATGTTTCAATAGAAGCCTCTTCAATAAGAACCATACAAAATGTACACATATTATTCTAAAGACTTTTCACAGAACCACTGTCAAAATTCTATTATGATATATTTCTCGTCATTGTAATAATCTATTCTAATTTATCTTCATAAAAAATTTTTGACGAATTGTTTATTTAAGTCCTACTCAATGAAGTCTCATCGTTTTCTTGACTGCAGTACCCATACTCTGTAATGCTAGTCGATTTCTTAAACTGAGGATTAACATACTCTAAAGAACATCCATTTGAATCATAAACATAAAATGCTATATGCGAGGTATTTGCATTCTTAAACTTTGAAAAATAATCCTCTTTATCAATATTTTCAGTGGGTGATATTTTTACTATGATGCTGTTCTTAGGCATTTCGAAAATTTTGCTCATATAATCATATATCTTTGAGTTTGGATCAACATTTTTGTAAAATGGATTGGATTTGCATAGAATTACTATATTCATGCCTTTTTCTATAATTTATATTTAATTATTAATACAATAATTACTTTATAAAAATATCCATTAAAAAATGATCGTCCCTAATCGACATGATTTTAAAACATGTTTAATTTGAGCACTATCTCTAAAATGAGTTATAAGATTATAATATTTTAAATAATTTGAATTTAAAGTGTAAGATTATTCTGTTATTAGTACAAATAATAAATAATTAGAATATGGGCAATCGATATTATTAAATAGATTTTAAAGGGCAGCCAAATTCATATGAAAATTGGATATATCTGAAAAATATTATTAATAGTTGTGATTGATTTTTATTGTAAATAATATTCAGTTCTACAAGAGGTACAATATCAACATGGAATCTAGTAAGAATATGAAACTTAAATTTCTTACTTATTTTCTTATATTTTATAAATGAAATATATATTAATTAAGGATAGAAAGGAATAAAAGGCTCTAGGTAATTCCAAAGAATATTAATATATAGAGAATATTGGTAACTTTTCTAAATAAACCAATTGAATTACAATTAAACAAGTGGATTTATACACATAAAATTATTTAATAGGATATATCTTATGAGATAGTATTTTCTGCATATAAACATAAATTTTTAGGGGTTGTAAAATAAGTGTAAAACAATATGCTGAAGTTATAATTTACATGATATAATGATTATTACATGATAAAACCCAGTTTATCTTTTAATAAGGAAGTTACAAGAATTGATGTTTAAATTTTTTAATGCTATATATTTAAATAATATTAATTATAAAATAAAAAAAATGAAAATATCAAACTAAATTATTGGAACTGGCTCAACGAGCACAGTTTATGTTGCAGAGATAGAAAACTAAAATTATGCCATTAAAATATACAAAAATAATTATTCACTTAAGTTGATTAATAAAGAGATTGCTTTACTTAAATAAGTTAATCACCCCAATATTATTAAGATTATCGACAGCAATGTCGAAAGAAAATATATAATAACAGAACTTTTAAATGATATGGATCTATTTGACATTATTGCATAGGACTAAAAACCTCTAAACATAAACTCAATAAAGCATTTCAGTTAGAAACTTGCTAGTGTTGTTTAATATTTACACTCCAATAGTGTGGCCCATAGAGACATCAAGTTAGAAAATATATTAATTGATGAAGACCTCAATTTAAAACTATGTGATTTTGGATTCGCAGAGATTATGGATACTAATTTCGTTTAAAAATGCCAAGGCACTTTAGAGTATTTAGCACCTGAAATTCAAAAAATTGGCCTCATAAGTGCTAATGAATTAGCCAACACAGATGTGTTTTCATTGGGAGTATGTATCTTCATATTGGCTTTTGCACATCCACCATATAAAGTGAATACAAAATCATGTCCATACTGGAATTTACTTTACTCAGGTTAATGGTAGACTTATTGGTAAATTATTGATAGAAGGAATAAATATGACCAAAGCTTTTACTCCTTAATGCAGGGAATGTTAGAATTTAACCCTTAGAATAGATTAAAAATTGAAGAAGTGTTACACCACCCATTTTTAATAGGGGATTGGAAAGAAGAATTTGAAACAGATATTAGGGTGAGATTAAAAATTAAATGAGGTAAGACGCGGTGCAATTCTATTAGATATTCAGAGTGATTATTGAGTAATATATATAAATTATTAATTATTAATGTAAATACAAAATCAAATTGGAGAAGGGCTGTTCGGTCACATTCACAAATGTCTAACTGACGATGAGAACACTTATGCAATTAAAATTTATAAGGCAGAGTGTCCCAGAAAGCTAAGGGAGAAAGAGATAAAGATTCTGCAATCCATCAGTCATCCTAATATTCAGAAAATTGTGAAGTCAGATGGCGAGTACAAATGGTTTATTACAGAACTCATGAATTAAGATCTTTATTCGGTAATCTCAAAACGTGGCACTCTCTAAAAGGGCACCATAAAATAAATTCTATTATAACTGAGTAATGCATTATCTTACTTACACTAACTTGACTATGTTCATAGAGACATCAAATTGGAGAATGTAATGATGACTTAAGAACCTCTTGTAAAATTGATCGACTTTGGTCTCTCTGTCTATCTTGACTCTAATAAGCAATATTCAAGACATTGCGGAACCTCCACTTATATGGCACCTGAGTTACATTAGGAAGACAAACTAATTATAGGAGAAATTCTGAAGAAATCTGACGTGTTTGCACTAGGGGTATTAATTTTCACACTTTGCTATGGTTGTCCTCCCTTCACCATTGCAAAATCAACTGAGTGCAAATTCTGGCAAACCATTGAACAGAAAAAATGGTAAGCCTTCTGGAATTACTTTGACAAAAAAATCATCAGATCAGATGAACATTTCAGGGATTTGATCCAAAATATGTTAGAACCTGATCACAAATCTAGATTCACTATAGAATAAGTGAAGTAGCATCAATGGTTGAGTGACTAAGGAAACTTAAATTGAACTATTATGATTATTTAACTTATTATTGCATTTCTTAAATTTAAATTATTTTTATGGATTATATCAATTTCTTAAAAGAAGACAACGCTGTTGATCAAGTTTTGGTTTAATTCAATGAACAGATTGACTCCACCTTCCAATAATAGAACCTTTAGGAATAAATAGAAGACATATCCAGAGATCTATCTAAACCCTTGGTCATCGATGAAAAAGTTTATTACACTGTCCATTAAACACCATGGCATTTGGTTACTCAAAAGGGAGGTTGCTGCATTATCAAAAAAGAAGGAGTCCTTGTGATTGCTTCATATGATGAAACTAAAGGTTAGAATCCTAGCAGGTTTAGAAGAAGAATGAGTTTACTTGATAAAATAATTTGATTATAAATACAAAATGAAATATAAATATACAACCTTTTTAATGAGAAGAAAAACAACAATAAACCAGAACTATAATATATATGAAGAAGCACTCGATTAACTATATAAGATAATTATATCAATTATTATTTTCTACATAATTATGTTATCTAATATTTTTTTCGTATAAGTTTATGCTATGTAAATATATAGTTCTATCAAAATACGCGGAGTTATAAAAAGTGGTAAGAAAAGGCAAAAATTTTCATTTAGATTCATTTTCTTTCATTTTTTCAATATATCCTTATGAAATGATATCTTAATACATGCCTCAAAGTACTATCTCCTTCAAGATCTTAAGACTTTGTATGGGTGCTTTTTATAAAAGATAATTTTAAGTTAAGATACAATTTTCAAGGAAGAGAACATACACCAATTCTTATTTACACAATATTTAAGTATTTGAGAAATTATCTCAATTTTTTATAAATTCTAAAGGGATGTTTCTATTTTTATTCTTTATGTTGTAAAGTATACACTTAGATACAATGAAGCTAATGTATAAATGAATATTAGTTCTATTTTTCAATCTAAAATTCAGTAAGTTTCAAATTATAATAATAAAGTCGAGCCAACCAACAAAATTTGGTAGATTAATCTAAAGATATATCTATACAATTAAACTATGTCGTATTAATTTTAGCTTGTTTATCAGAACATTATTTTTTAGATCACACAAAATTTGGATTTATTTCTTCTAATACTGATTGTGAAATGTTGTTATACACTAAACTATAGTAATTTGAGGGATTCTTAGAGCTTTATAAAATCATTTTAATTGTAAAGATCATAGAAATCACAACTATGGATAGAGTTCAAATATGAAATTTGTTGATAAGATTTCTAAATTAGATAATGAATTCTATATAGAATACATTTAATAAAATGTAGATGATTTTTATGGATGGGGAGGTTATGAGGAGGGTGGATGTATGAAGCAAGCATAAAATATTGTTAATAATTACCTTTTTTAATTGATAATTAAAATATTTCATATTTGCGCGAAAAATTGAGTTAAGGAAATGCCGCCGAAGAGAAATGTATAAAACAATCAAACCATCTAAAATTTCTTTAGTAATGGAAATAAGAAGGAGAGGAAGGAGATAAAAGAAAAACAAAAATAATTTATTAAGTGTCCATTGATAGGATCAGTAGGGTTTCAATTAAGAAGGGTGTTATAAAAATATCGAAATGAGATAATGAAGGAGTTTAATTTTGGACAATTGGTGTAGTAGTTATCAAAAATCCAAAATTTGGATTCGATTGGAAATATGTTAAGTTCAATTTTGTATTTGAATATCACAAAGATGTCTGATATTTGGAGTGATGTTTACACTCCAGATCATATTGATGATGTAATTTGATATCTAATTTAGTTGATTAGTCAAGAAAATACATAATTTCTTAAACATTGGTTGAAGAATTCCTTTTCTATGTTGGCCTAAGATTAAGTAGATTAATCAGAGTCATGGTATTCGTAATCGAATTCCATGAACAATTAAAACTGGAATTATCAGATGTTGAATATCTACGGAGCGAGTGGAAAGATGAGTACAATTTTGGCTATTGCGAGAGCATACAAAATTGATGTTCTCTTGACCTACAATTACACAGAGAAGAGAGAATTTGAAGAGATGTTTGCAAGTCAACACATCAAATTTACTTAAGAATAGGGAGATGCTGAATTTGGAAACAAGAAGAAGATAATAGTTCACAGAGGGACTCTTCCAAAATTCATCAATTCCAAAATGTTATAGATTCAACGAGTGCCCTTTATATGGATTACAGGTATCGAGTCTTCATAATTGCAGACTGTTAGTAGGATCACGAACTATTCGATAACTTTGAACTAGTGCAATATTCTCATGATGAAATAGTCAAATACATTTATATCATATTGTTAATTGAACAAACTTACAAAGGATAATTGAACCTCATCAATGCTGAGTTAAAAAAGAAAGTGATCTATGAAAACATCAAAGAACAAGGGGGATTTTTTGTCAACTTTGCAATTCAGAAACCTACTCTAAAGATTCAGGAATTAGAGATCAATTTCCATTACTCAGATATTTTCATACTTGCCTTATTTATGAAAGGTAATATGAGAAACATACTGAATTGGTTGTAATTTCATCAAGATGATCAGAATGTCCATCAATAAATAGCAGAATTAAGGTTGTCCAATGCATAATTGCCCTATATGCTAAAAAATCAATTGCCCTTATTCAAAACGGTTGAAAACATTTCCTAATTAAACCAACAAGCATGGTCATGGTATGAAGAACAGTGTGTGAATTTGGTCAATGATATGGTACTGAGAAGACAGAAATTATTCATTGAATCTTATGGTAGGAGGATAATCAATAGCAAGAATCATTTATTTTTAATCAATTAAGTTCTGAAGGTAATGCATTAATAATGAGTATAGATCAATGCTTTTAATGTGCAAACCTTAGCCTAAAACACCAGATTAAGAAGGTTGAATAAGGAACCTTAAGACTTTTATAAACCCTTATAATAACTATTTGAACAGGATGAACAGTATGAGATGTTTAAGTAATTTGATAAATTTTCAGAGTTTTTAAAAAGTTGATAATATTAGTTCAAATCTCCTAAAATTACATTTTTATTTATATAACAATTGCAACCATAAATTTGAGTGAGAATAATTTATTCATTTTTTTTTGAAGTAATATGAAAAGCACCTAAATGACCAAAGAATAAATTTCAGAGGAGTATACGCTCTATAAAAGGTATGTTCAGCATCTCCAATCGACATTGCTTCAAGACGAAGGTTAAATCTAGAGAGAAATCAAAGTGAATGTAATAAGGACTGAAGCCTATGAAATTGATATCAAGGTAAAGAGAAATCGAGATAATCTACCCATAAGGACCAATTACTATAAGAGTATGCCTGGCAACATTAGATTGCAGCATCCGACTCCTGTGCTTTTGGAACGCTTAAGTAGAATTTTAGTTGTATTTAATAAAGCCCCTCTTTCTATTCCGACCAAATTGACAGAGGATATTGAGGAACATGTGTAAAATCTAGAGTAGGGACTGGCTAAGAGCATAGATGATAGCAAACACTATTTGAGGCTGGAACACAAATTATTTATAGACTTCTTTTTTGAGAAATTCAAAGAGAAGTTTACTTCCTTATAGGTTGTTTTTCAATTGCAACAATTAGCTTAAGCTATAGGCTGTTCGGCAGATTAAGTGTAATCCTATTATTTAGCGAAACAAGCAAAAAAGTATGATCAGTTTGTAAATTTTAATGTGAAATATCAATTTGTAAGATTCAATCGATATTTTTGTCCAATTTGTAATTTATATCTGTGTAGTTTGCACTATCAGTACTAATATAAATCTAATTTAGTTCTAAAAATCAGAGATTGTATATTGAAAAAGAACCAGAAGAAGAACCCTAAGATTAATAGAAGGATGATCCTACTCATCATGATAATTTTTATGAGACTGAATTCAAGCCTAATTCTTTGTTATTGAGAGAACTCTTTGGTAGATACAAATTGAATAATAAAATGGAGATGGAATAGAGATGCAGAGATATCACTCAATGTGGCAAATACGGTGTTGATTAAATGAAGATGAAAAAGTTCTAATAGAAATCAATTGAATAAATGTTGGAATTCGGATTTAGCAATTGTTGTTTTATGGCACGAGTGTTAACGCATAGAATATACCCAGTTACTTGTTAATAGATCAATTATTTAATTAAAACCCTAAAGAGTTAGAGTAAGAAACACATGACAAATGGGAAACGTAAATAACAATAAGCATCCAAGAAGTAGAATCTCAATAACTATGCTCAATAATATATTCCCTGTTTCCATGAAGGAGAATGTGGATCAAATTCATGCACTTGCGTTACATGTCACAAATATTGTTGTTGCAAAGGACAGTGTCAATAGAAGTCTAAATCTTGTGATTGTAGAGTATGTGGTTATGATGAGAAGAAACAGAAACATTCATGTCCTTGCTACATCAGTGGATATGAATGCGATCCTTAATTATGCAAGTGTCAATCATGTTCTAATAAGAACCTATTGCTTTAGGTTCGCAAACAACTTGTTTTAGGTAAATCCTTAATCTGTAATGGACTGGGATTGTTTGCAGCCCAAAATTTCAAGGTCTGTGATTTCGTTGGGGAATACACTGGGAATTATATTTTGTTAGATGATGAGAGTATGGCTATCGAATGTATTTGAATCATTATATCTTAGAATGTGATTGGATTACCAATAATCATTACTTATTCGAAGTAGATGATAAGTGGTAAGTAGACGGAACCTATTATAGTAATTGTCTGAGATATATCAATCATGCCACGAAGAAATCAGATTTGGCTAATTGCTAGGCTTAGATTCTCTTCTCTGAGGGAAGATGGAGAATTGCTATGTATATATTTCCAGAATTATTGGTAGGTTCACCACCAAAAATATATAAATTGGAGAGGAACTGTTCTTTGATTACGGAGATAAATTCTTAACCAAATGGTTAACTGACTTTAACAAATTATGTGACGATTACTACAAAAAATGATTACTTATCAATCAATAAATACACAAAGTAGGCTATTTAAGTCTGCTCCATTTAGTAAAGAGTTATATTTTTCGTGCTTATCCAACTATTGTCTTCATCTCTGGATTGAGTTGCAAAGGCCCATTCAAATCTGTTAAACTGGTACTCCAAGGATAGGCACCATGAGTAAGCAACAATCTAACTATCTCTTAATGATTTTCTGCTATTGCTATACTCAATGGAGATCTGTTCATCAAATCTATTGCATCAAAATCTGCATGGTAATGCAATAACATCCTTACCATTTCTAAATATCCATGTTTACATGCCCAATGCAGAGCAGTCATGTTATAATAATCATATTAAAACACCAAATAAGGATGCGTTATTAGAAAACTCTACACCTGTTCAAGTCTATTCTATTTCGATGCAAATATAAATTCCTTAGAAAATTGACATGAAAAGGCTTTTTTACTAAATACATTCTTCTGTATCACCTAAAGGATTGATAAGCCTAGTAGATTGATCTTCTTCAAAGAACGACTCAATAGTTCTATTCTTCTTCGATTCCTTTTCTTATTGCTTTAGGCAAAGAATTTTAAATTAGATGCATCTATCTATGGAGTAGACTTACCAGAGATTTCATGAATCTTCAATTTCCTTTTTGCTCCTTTCACTTCCATTTCCATGTTTTCTCTATTTGGTCTAATTTCTATTTGCTATGATTTCAGTTCTCTCATTCTACAATGTTGCACTGAGGATTGTCTATCAAATAACTTCTGTGCTGTAAATGGTTTTGATTCAATCAATTTGTAGTTTGTATTTGGATTTTGTTACATAAATAGTTTTCTATTCTTCTTATTAACCATCAATGGAGAAGGACTATTTGATGCACAAATCTTCTCAACATTCCTAAAATCTCCAGCATCATATTGAACTATGTGTTTAAGTGAGTGATTTCTCAGAAATTCTCTAATCTATTCATCTGATGGTACATTAATCTTCTATTTCTTTAATAGAGACACCATTTTATTTGGAGGCAACACAAAAAATTTGTAATCGTAATCTATATTTTTCTATTCACATTACCTTTTAGAGCCAATCTGTGTTTCAATTGCGGAAACCAAGGCTTGGCAGTATTTATTATTTACCTATTGGGAGTAGTTTGTCTGTCAATAATTCTCTTATAATACTCCTATTCAAACATTGTATTTTTACTATATAAATGCTTTAATTAAACTATATTATTTTATGTCTTATGCTCTTTCAATTTAAAGGAAATATGAGAATAACTTATTACGAACAAATGTAAATATACTATATTATTCAATCTAATTTCTAAAGATATTATAATTAATAACATTGTATTATTCATTCCTGTTTGAAAACCCCTGCCTTTTCTATAAAAGAGGTAGCCAAATTGTGTCCATCTTTTTGCAATAATATTAATAAATATATTCATAGATGAAATTGTATAAAATTATTAATTTAAAAAAAAAATTTTCTTTAAGTAAGAATAACAAAACTTAGATTTTTCAATCCTTTATAAGAAAATTTCGTTTTGATTGATTTATCTGAGAGTTTTAATAAATACCTTATCCTAAGAGGAGTCACTTATTATAATTTGTAGAATAATAATAAAAAACCAATTACCTGAAAAATAATTATCTAAAAAATAGATTTTTTAAATTGGAATTTATTCAATAACATTATTTTAATCTACTTTTAAGGGTAATCATCTGATTTAAATGAAAATTATTCATAGAACTTATGTTAATGAATTATTCTTTTAAGATTCCTTAAAATTATCTTTTGATTATCAAATCACCTGTTCAAAAAATTAATTATGCTATGGTTTTGTTTCATATATTGAGCAAGATGCAGTAATGAAAAAGTTGATGTGATGTAAAAATTCTCTTAATTTGATTTTAATAATAATTTGTGATGAGAATTAATTTATTTGAATGAGTGCTTATATACATATTCCATTTTGTTTAAAACGATGTTTTTACTGTGCTTTTCCTGTTCATGTTGTTGGATAGACAGACGTCAATTAGAATTATTATAAACAATGTTTGGAGAAACAATATGTTGGATATTTGATTAAGGATATTCAGAATCATTATAAAGGAGAACCTTTACAAACAATATATTTTGGAGGAGGAACTCCTTCTCTTCTCTCATTAGAGAGCTTGCAAGTATCTAAAATTTTGAACAAAGTTAATATTGAATTGTTTTAAGAAATAATCAAATGCAGAAATAACCATTGAGGCGGATCCCAAAACTTTCAATGAAGATAAGCTATAAGGATTTAAAACCTTAGGAGTATTATATTAGTTAAATATGAAGTTCAATCGACTCTCTGTGGGTGTTTAATCTTTACAGGATGAAACATTGAAAAGATTAAACAGAAGCCACCTGAGAAAGGATATCGATGATGCCCTTGAACTGATTTAAAAAGTCTATGGATCATATGACAATTGTTCTTTTGACTTTCTTTATAATTTACCTTCTGAAGTTGGATAAAGCTCTCTTGATGATCTAAAATGGTTCATTGAATAATATCAGCCGGGACATATATCTGCCTATTCACTAAGCATAGAAGAGGAATCCTATTTCTATAAAAAATTAAATTATCGAGAAGGCATTCATCCACTTCCTAATAACGAGATTCAAACTTGCAATTACACTAAAGTGCATCAAATTCTACAGCAATACGACCATTATGAAATATCTAATTTTGCGAAATCAGAACAGCATATCAGTTAGCATAATAAAAATTATTGGCTTGGAGATAGCAATTTTTATGGATTTGGAATGGGAGCCACATCTCTTTCTAATTTAATCAGAGTTACTCGACCACACACATTGAAATAATATTATAAGTTTGTAGACTCTGGAGAAGGATGTTTGGTGGAGGATGAAAGTTCTTAGTTTGAAAAATAAAGAATACTATTAATGAGTAGATTAAGAACCAAATGGGGGATAGAGAGAGCCTTATTATCCGAATCTGTGGTCGAGGCTATGTAAAAATTCGAGGAATACTTCATCATTGGCGAAGATAATATCAAATTAAAAATTCCAGAAGGTTACTTAGTATGTGATGAGATTGTAGGATACTTATAGAATATTAAATGAAATAGATTATTATTATGTATGATATATTGTGAATAGTATTATTTGTTAAATTAAGAATAGAATACATACAATTATCGATAATATCAAGGATTTATATTTGAGATAAGGAATATGCAAAACATTTGAGGTCTTATATTTTAATATAAAGAATATATGATAATTTAAATATAATTCATAATTAGTTAATGTCCCTAATAGTATATGGAGCAAAATTAATGAAGTAAGGCGTTTTAATTTATCTTGAGTGTTTATTGTGGATTTCAATTAACTTGGAAAACATGTGAAGCATTCAAATAATAGAATGTGGAAAAGGGAGATGCTCTTTTGATTAAGTGGTATTGAATACAATTTTAGATGAGGTTTTTGCTTTATACCTTTATTCAACTCGAGTCTGTATTTATGTTGTTTTTGGAACTAATTCCTTTGGGATACTTTGTTCCTTTTTTTATCAAATTTTATATAATGCTACCACATTCAAGATGGCATTCATTAATATATGGAGTGTTTGAAAAATTGGAAATGGATGAGTACACTAATATATTCTTCATTTACTTTACAAAGATCGTGAAATACTTTTTGGTTAGATTCTTAAATGTACATTGTTATTCAAACATCATCATAGTTAATTGAAACCTGTATCGATTTGGTAAGAGTTGAAGAATTGACAGAATTGGAGAAGTAGGTTGATCGCATAATGGAAAAGATCCTAAATAAAAAGCAATCGATAGAAGTGACTAAATCGAAGATCAGATTTAGAAATTCTGAATTCAAGAAGCCTGAAATCAAATCTAAGAAGTTATCTGTCCAAGCCAGTGTTAAGGATAAGGGTCGTTTTGTTGATTACATTCTGTCTTACAATTCCTCAAACAGTGAATTATAATTCATCTGTCCTCAGGACAATGTCTGTGTTCATCAAAGTAATTGTATTATTACTAAGTTCAAGGGACTCTGATATCGATTGATATCAATTAGGACAAGTGTTTGAAGGCCATATATACAGTAAATGATGGGGATCTGGATCTTATGAAACTGAAGAAGTCGGAGGATATTGATTTGTGGCTCAAACCTGTGATCGATATGTTGATTGAGAAGATTTCGTAATAGGAGTGAATATTGTTATAATAATATAATAATAATGAGTCATTTTGAAATAATATTATAATTTCAATGAGCATATTAAATTGTCTTGATATTGCACAACAAATAGCTAAGTGTATTCTGCAGAAGAGGTACAAGCACAAGGTAGATATGAATTTTAATCTTGAATGCAACCTAATAAGAAAGAGATGGAATCCTAATGGAGAAAACAATTTGGCAATTCAATTTTATCTGAAAAAATAATTAAAACCCTATTTGGTGGAGGAATGGAACATTTTGTGTAATTTGCAATAGATAAACGAGAATTCTTAGTAATTTTTTGAAAAGTGCATCGAATTGACATAATTGACTCCATTATAATAAAAGTAAGATAATGAAATGGATCACATCATTCACTTGAATGAGAACAAGAGTACAGATTGGATTGATCCTAATTTGATTGCCACACTGCAAATTTAATTATCGAATAAAATGACAGTAAACGTTGCATATTTATAAAACTTTGATCCAATTGACTAAATGGAAAAAGAATCAGTTAATGAATTTAAATCGTTTCGTCGAGATAGATTTCTATCCGATGATTTGCACACATAAAATGGTAAATAAGTTCAATGAATATATACAGATACTCAAATACGTAAGACGAGTTTCCATGATTTAGATGGTTTAAGGAAATACAAGAAAAATCAAGCCATTATCACTCAAGCAATTCATAGGAAGAATGACTCTTTGTGTAAGAATAACATATGAAATTAGCCTCCAATTCAAGTAAGAATAAGTCAACTCAGTTATTAACAATCATTAATAAAAAAGATGATGTGGAAATATTGTCATCAGCTGAAGATGCTCAAAAAATCATCGATCAAGATGAAAACGGAGATTACGAAATCTAAATGATTATAGATGAATAACCCATGGACAAAGGACAAACTGTCATTATTAAATCAATTTCACAGATGCATCCTGTGACAGATTTAATTCTTAAAATTAGAGAGAAAAAGCATCATTATAGCTAATAATTAAACGAAACTTTGAGTTTTATTAAAAGTTACACATGAACTAATTAAAAAATAGTTATTTTTCACTTTTGTTAACTTAATTAATCAAGAATCCAATCATGCCATTCAGATTCCTCTATATTCTACGCCTTTTCAAAGAGAAGTGAAACCAACACCTTTCTACCAGGATGATTGGTTGGTAATTCACTCTTTATTTCTAAGGCTAAATCAAAAAATCTCCTTTTAGTGTCCTTATCTTCAACTATGGATTGATTCTGTAATTCGGTCTCCTTCTCTTTGCATGATTCCACTGCTTTTTGTAACATCTGATACAAATCACTAGCATCATGCTGACATTGAGCCATATAGTGTTCTATTCGTTTGATTATCGATCTGATTTTTTCTATTTTCTGAGAATTCAATGCTTCCTACAAAGCATCCACAGTCTCCATCAGAACCAATTGACTGTATTTTTTATCAGATAAATTAGAAGCGATTTAATCCTTTATTATGGATATTCTACAGTTAACATCGATAATACTGGTGTCTGCCATAGATATTCCAGATCGTTCCATTTTATCTGAGATGAAACTAGTATATAAATTATGATTGGCTTTTTTCCCTTAAAATTTCTCTAGAAACTCTTCAACCAAATTGAACATTTTATTCATTTCCTTCTAAATTTATAAATCGTTACTTTTTCATTCTTTTAAAATGGTGTGATGCTCTCAATCGAAATAAATGTGCAATCAACACTCTAGTTCATCTTTTCAATAATTTAACTATAATCATTGCTGATGTTTGTTACATCCTTACGTATTTATTGATTTAATTGTCTGATATTCTCCTTTTATTATAAGGATGATTGGTAATCTTTTAATAATCCCAACACTCTTGTTTTCAATTGAGTCATTTCCTCATACAATTCATCCTGGGTGACTACAATATAATCAACCATTACTCTCTTTAATTTGCTTTAACAATCTCGAAACATTTGATCCATTTAAGTCTTCTATTAAAGTGCTTTGATTCATATGCAAAATTTAAATTAAATAATAATATAATAATATTCCTTCTCCTCAAACTAATTAAAACAAACTAATTCATCAAATAATATTATTATCCAATTATGAAATCAACAGAATTAAATGCCAAACAAAACAACGAATTCAAATCCTTGATGGTATTTAATCCAATCTATACATCTTTAAGAAATTGTTAGAAGCCAAAGATTACAAAAAAGGATTGAAAAATTCAGAGAAATTATTAGAGCAAGTCCCAGACAATTAAGAGGTAGTCTCACTCAAAGCAATCTTCATGTACTACACCGAAGAACGTGAAGCAGGACTTGCCTTGGCATACCAAGCTGTTCTCAAGAATTTGGCTTCAGACTTTTGTTGGCACATTTATGGCTTAATCTAAAAGGCTGAAAAGAATTACATCCAAGCAGTCAAATGTTTCATCTAGGCAATCAACAAGGGGGAGGAAAATCTTCAATTGATCAGAGACACCGCTAATCTGTCCATTCACATCAGAGATTTTGAAGGAAATAATTGGCTGAGACAGAAACTATTAAATAGCAAACCTGGAATGGTAGTTAATTGGGTTGGTTTCATACTTAGTCAACATTTAACTGGTAATTATGCAGGTGCCTTTAATACTATCAAATTGACTGAGGATGTCATTAAAAAGGATACATAAAACCCCATCAAAAAAGTTGAGATTAATGAATTTAAATTGTACTAAATTTAGCTCGCTATTGAAGCCAAAGACTTTCAAAGAGCCAAACAAAATTTACAAGATTTCAAAAAGTAATTCCTTATTTTATTTAGTGATATCACTGATTTGGTCTCATTTTACGAACTTGAATATGAGTACTTTATTAAAATAGGAGATAACACAAGTGCAATTCAATCTGTTAAACACTTGCTTGAGTTATAGCCTTAAAATTGGAAATACTATCAAATGTTGTAAAAGGCAGACCCCTAAGTGGATTTGTCCATCTATGATAACACTTTGGTATAGGGAAGACTGCTTGCACAAAAAGAAGGAGATTCATTTTAAAATAGTTTCCTCCAATTTATAGATCCATTTTTTTAGAAGTCCTTATCTTCCTTATTCAGGGAGATTAAACATCTATACGCAGATCCTAACAAGATTGAAACTATGAAGAAAGCATTTGAGACATATCTGGACAAAAGTCAAATTGAAAAGCTTTGGGCTTTGATGTTACTATCTCAGCATTCCTATCAAGTTAAGGATTACAATAAATCCCTTGAACTTATAAATGAGGCCATAGAACATACAGCTACATTGCCTGAGTTATACTTGATTAAAGCAAAAACTTTGAAGAAATTACAAAAATTTAAAGAGGCTTATGAATCGGCTGATAGAGCAAGACAATTGGATTTGGCAGATAGATATTTGAACAACTAGACAATTAAATATGCTTTACAAGCAAATATGGTAGTAGTATCGTAAGATTTATTGAGTCTCTTCTTAAAAGATGGGTCAGATCCATATGAATTGCAAATGATTTGGTTTGAACTCAATATAGGTAGAACATTATTAAGATTAAATTATCTTGGTCCTGCATTACAGCAATTTAATTTAATATTTAAACACTTCCAAGAAATGTGTGATGACTAATTAGATTTCTATTAATATTCGATCAGAAGATACACACTAAGATCATTACTATAAATGATAGATGCTATGGATAAGAGACATGATACTAAATACTTTATTTAATCCGCTGGATTGATGATTGAAGGTTTGGAGAGACTTAGATTAAGAGTCTAGGAATAGCGAAAATTAGAGTAAAAGAAATTAACTCCTAAAGAGAAAAAGATGTTAGCAAAGCAATAACAAAAAGAATAGGAAGAAAAACTCTTAAAGTAACAGTTTTCAATAGAAGGACATATATTCAGTAGAGAAATACAAAAAAGATTCGATCTCTCAGGAGAATAGCTTTTAGATCAACTAAAAACACAGGAAGATATTATCAAAATGTAAAATCGTTTTGCTTAAGTCTTAATTCACACTAATTTCAATAACAAAGAAGTGAATTTTTAAGCATTTAAACAAATGGTTGGTTTGTACATAAATTAATAAAGACCTTTGTTATGTGCTAAGTTATTAACCAAATTGAGAAACAACGAAACTGAATAGAATCGTATTGTAAATCACAAATACTAATTAATGCTGATCTAGTTTTGTAATACTATTAAACAATAAATTTAGTAAATAAATATTAAGGAACACTATTACCCTACATTAAGGAATATTAGTAGGATTTGATCCAGTTCGATTCTTAGTTTTGGAAAGGTGTTTAAATAAAGACTTAATTGGATTAAACAATAAGTATATTAATCTAATATTTTAGAGAAACATTGTGAAACAATTATTAAAGAACAACCATTTGAAGAGAATTTAGAATCAGAAGATTTGTAGTTCTTGTAAGAGTACCCATGTGCTAAGGTAGAATATATCAATTTACAATAGACTACCCATCCTTTCTATAAGTATGATCCTAATTTTGAGTGGCAAAACCAATAGATCAAAGTATATTAAGAAAAGCAATCGACATAACCCTTGTGAAGTTAGAGTAATGTAAATTATCATATATTTGTACAATATTTAAATTGAGTAGTCTTTGAAAATTCTCTGTAGTTTTTACAATAAGAACTATATATTAAATAATTAAATTATATTTCATTGTAATATTTGGTAATGAAATATTAAGAGAAGCAACAAATTATTTGGAATAATTTTATCAAATGTCAATGGAAATAGATGAACTAGCAGAAACTATAATGGATTGTGTGATGAATAGTCATATAATTTCGGAAGAAGGACGAAGCTACATTGAATAACATATACCTACAAAGCCACCTGAAACTGACGTATAATCAGCAAGATTTGATTTATATGAGAAGACAGGCAAGGAGAGGATTTAAAAAGTTGCCCTAGTTTTCAAAACCCATCAGGAAGCCAGAAGGTATACTGAATAAGCAAATATCATAGATGGTACTCATAATTCAAATAACATGCAACTACTCATTAGAAAGTCCATAAGAAGGCTGCACTTCTGGATAATGTTCTATTTAAGTATGGGGATTATGGGAAATCACTATTCTAATATGCAGAATATATATGTGAATTTATAGATCAACAACCATTATGTGTCTTCTAACACATGATTCCAGATCATGTATGTTTTATTCTAAGTGTTAGGATCTAAGATTGTCTGAAACTCACCCTTATTATTTTAAAATTCATTGGGCTTTCAGAGGATTCATGACTCCTTAAACTTCAAGTATGGTGAAAGCAGAAAGAAACCCCTCGCTAATGAACAAATTAAAAGATGAGGAGATTCCAAGAAAGATTGTTCCAATAGATACTTATATGCGATCGTTAATGGATAAAAATAACAGCAGCGATGATGATGATGATTAATGAGTTGATATTTATTAAATTAATAAAATTTTGAGAATTTAAAAGACGACAAGTTTAAGTAGAAAGAAAGTATTGTAATAACTGGATATTATAAAAAAAATAATTATAATTGATGTAATAATAACATAGAAAGCTTATCAAAATAGTGGAGATAACTGATTAGAATTATGTGAAGGTTCCATAAATAGCTTAAACTGAAATACCTTTTAACACAAAAAGCAAACCAACCATAATAGAATAGCCTCAACAATCAGACTTTACGAATTATATAAAGGGGAAATTAGATAAATTAAAATAATATCTTTAACCTCCCCATAAAAAATATGAAATAAATTATGGAGTGCTTGATGACGAAAAAGATAAATGCCCGTTTCATAATTAATTTTAATAGAATTTAAATGATAATAACCAGAAACCAAATCGTATAATTTCTAAAAATACTAAAAATATTCTACCTTCATTAAATCCATACGGAAATGAAAGTTCATTGCATTTTAAAGAGAGACTAAACTTATCGGTATTTAATGAGAGAGTAACAAAGCATTTTTAAACTTATAAACAAAATGATTAATAAAAACCTGAATAATACAAAAGAGAATTTATTTAAACTTATCCTAAGATGATGTGTAAATGCAAAAAATGTGATATAATCTTAGATACTACTAATAATAATCAAAAAGTGATGATTTTACAGAAGTTCACAATAAAAATACTAGAAGGTGATTAGATGATCACTAGAAGAACTATTCAATATGAAAAGGATCTTTTTAAATTAGAAGAATTGAAGGAAGATGAAGATGAACAAAATAAAAAGTTTAAGAAATAAGTAAATTTTCCATTTGTAAAATTAAATTAAAGTATTGGCAAAAGGGAAGAGTATTTGTTCAAAAATACAGGTCAATATTGGACTAGTTCTATGATAGATGGATACGGTAATTATTTATCTGGGTTGGATGAATAGTATTACTTTTCATTATCATCAGCAGAAAGAGAATAATACCCAAGACTTTTTATCTTTACATCTGATTTTTTAACCAATTGTAATTTGGAATCTCCACCTCTCAAAGAAAAATGGCTATCATTAATGTTAGAGAAATTAGAAATTTTTAAAACTATTCAATATCAATTTTGGATTATCTATTAAAAGATCGCATTTATTGTTAATAAAAGTAATTCGCATTGGTATATGCTCACCTTAGATTTAAAAGAAAGATACATAGTTATTTATGATTCTTTAAGTGGAAGCTCTCAGCACTATAATAAAGTTAGAGCTTTGTTGTCATATGTATTTTATGAGCTTCAGAAGAACGAATTAAAGAACATTAGGGAGGACTAATATGAATTCAAAATTTATTATCGACCAAAATTTTAAAGTTAAAATGATTCATATTCTTGTGGCTACCATACTTGTATTGCTCTGCAATATTTTAGTAATACACATAGAGTTAAGGGCTTTAAGGATAGAAATGAGATTAAAAATGACTTAAATAAAATTTTGTTATACGAACCAATATGATTTTAGATAAATTATTGTATTATTTATTGTTTTTAATAAATAACATGATATAAGAATAGAATGGAGAAAATTTTGATCAGATGGAGAATCTAAAATAATCATAGTTGTACAAAAGTTTCTCTGATTTACAACTCGAAATAAAAAAAAAATACTTAAAACTCTTTGAACAGAACATATAGGAATCAATTTAGTAATAGAATTAAACATAGATTGAAGTTACTCAATCATTCATCGAATACATAAATTCAGAATATCAAACCTATTTGCAAGATTTAAAATAATAAGATATTTAGATCTCCTAATATTAAATTGAATTGACTTCTATCCAAAATTAAGATTAAATCAATCCGAATGATAATGGTAGAAATTATCAAAATGATGATACAAAATAATAAAGTAAAGTAATCAAATTCATCAATGAAGGGAATCTAGATTTGTATCAATAATCCAATTTATTTAAGGAAGCAGTATAAACTGATATAATTAAGCTTAATGATAAAGTTATTATGCGGTTGAAACTGTTTTGGATGGTAACTATTACAGACGAATAAGAAATAGTCCAAGAAAGGTTTCCTTACTATTTGAAGTTTTAAAATGAGAATAATAATTATAAATATAACCAAAACATATCTGATCCAGAATTTAGAATATTATCTAATGCTAACAAGCTGCTAAATACCAATATTATTGATGGTTACATTAACTACTTACAAATTTAAGATGAACTTCGTTATTTCTCCCTGCCTTCTCGCGAAAGAAAAAACTACTAAAGACTTATTATATTTCCTTCATCACTCATAGCTAATTGCACACTCAAATAATTTGAAATTACAAATTAGGAGCACGTTAAAAGAAAATTTGTATGCCTATTTCTGGAACATATTAAATAATTTAGTGCCATCTAATATAAATTCTGGCTAATCTACAAAAAGATTGGAATAGTAATTAATAGTTCAAATTTTCATTGGTAATTTCTAGAAGTGAAAGTTGAGGAAAGATTTCTAATTTTATATGATTCTATGTTCAATAACTTGTCTTATAAAGTAGAATTATTTTTCAATACAGTATTCTAAACTCTTACTAAAGACTAAAATTTTTATTTCAAAGTTCTAAATAAACAAGATTTTCCTAAATAGAAAGATGGGTCCAGTTGCGGATACTTTGCCTGCATAGCTGCTAATTATTTAAGTTAATTCCAGAATCATTCATTCCCAAGCTACAAAATATTGCCAAGTATGAGACACGAATTATAGGATTTGTTTTTTCCAAAACAAAAAAATTGAAAAAATGATATTTATATTAACAGTCAATATATGGTTGACTTCCTAATTTAATAATGATATGTTCATATAAATTCTCTGTAAAGTACTAATTTTTTTAGCACAATATTAATTTAGATTGCCTCCTAATACTACTGAATCATTTAAACTTGAAGTTATTTCGTGATACCTATCAATTAATACTATTAGTCAATTGCTGTTCTTAAATAATTAAAAATAATAAATTTTTTAGAATGGGAAACAGTACTATTAAAATGCTAATTAGATATTTGTGGAATTGAAGAAGATAAAAAACAAACCCTATAACCAGAATCAAAAGTTATAACTACAAGAACCATTAATTAAACAACCATTTAAATTGTATAAGCAGATATCGTAGAAGAATTAGTGGATGTAGTAGGTAATTCTTAAACTCCATTTTAGTGAATTCATCTCATGAACCAGGTTGGTCTTATATATCGAAAAGGTACGCTGTATAATAATATAATTTATTAGAGATAAAAATAATAAAACCAATGAGCTCCTCTAAGAAAGTATTAATGCAATTCTATAGCAATAGTGAAAATTGGAGAGTTGATAATAACTAATACAGAAAATGTGAATTCAGTTCAAATTTTTCATGTCAGGTTGCCATTTTACTAAGTAATGAAATTTGCTTATATTTTTTAAAGGATTCCAAGGATTTACTACCTATATTCAATGTCTACAAAGAATGTCTACAATAGAAAGGACATAAGACTATTTCGTTTACTGAATAAAACACTCCTAATTTTTAAATACCAAAATAATTTCATGCAGAAGTTTTGATAAGGGCTATTCTTTCGTAAATTTTATTACTAGCCATTAGAGCAATCTAGGAAGGTGATATAGAGTTTGAATTAATAAAATTTGTGAGTTTAGATTAACTGACTCTTAAATACTTTGCCTATGAGTTAATGAAGTAATTAGACGAATTAAAAATTCCTGAATTATTTAAACTGCGATATCAACAATTTATGAACTTTTTATGTAAGAAATTGATTATTATATACATGTAGAGAATGGAGAAGATGCATAACAAGAAGTCTATCTTTTAAGTACTGGGATTACTACAGAAATAGAAGATGTTGTGGAATAGTAATGACTTTTAATTAATATTAATTTATTATACATTTCTATCAATATCAATACTAAATTACATAAACTAAAATAAGAATCATTGTTGAAATTGAACCTTTTGAGTAAATTCGATTTCATATCCTGATAACACTTTGATTACAGCAATAAACTATTTGCCAGGGGGCAGTTCAATATTTAAAGTGACTCCTCTATGAGGTTTACAAAATCGCAACCCATAGAATTTATGGAATGATATTTTGCTTATTAATTTAACACTTGATTAGTTGTCAATGAAATAATAGCCCCAACCATCCAGTCTATCTAGATTATAGCAACTTTGAATCTTGGGTTATCCCATTGTGTCATAACTTCGTTTAGGTTGTTAGACAAACCCTTTTTTTATGAAAACACTGGGAAGCATTTCAGAAATCTTTCTTATTTGTTTGAATTCTAGTTTTTCCATTCCATATGAAGAGAGAACAAAAAAGAATTCTTGGTGATGTTCCCAAATTACTTTAGCAAAAACAACATATTCCCCCTTTGTTAAGGTGCATTTACACCAAACTTCACCAAATTAACTAAGTTTACCAGCGATATATGTGTATTAATTGTTTTCTTCTTTTTTACAAATTAATAGTTTGGCATTGCTATATTTAGGATTTCCTGCCCATCTTTGATTTCGTTAATTTATAGTAATATAATAATCCCCTTCTTTAGTAATTTTAAAAGAATAGTAAACAGCCTTTTTTTTATTGGATTTGCTTTGTGTTGCAGAATATTAGTAATCTTATTTGACATGGCAAATATGGATATCTCTAAATTATTGCATGAATGATCCAATGTCCATATAAAATACACCAGAATCTTCAGAATCTAACTTTAACTCCTATCTTAATTATGGAGTCCATAATGGACTTTCCTATCCCCAATCTCCTGTCCACTCCTTTTTTCCCCAAGGGTTCCTTAGTTTTAGTAATTCCACTTATCCTCTTTATGGATGATTAATTTATTTGATTTTAAGAACTGAGTAGGCGTGATTTGGAACTAATCCTTATGTAATTGGTTAAACATCACTGCTCTAGGTTGCTGCCACCATTATCACTCTATTGGCAAGGCATTTTCGAAGTTAGGCAATAAATTCTGGAGATTGAGTCCAGATTACTTCTGTAGGTGCTCCAGTCAAGGCTCTTAGCGCTTCTTACATCGAACCTGATGCACTATTTTGATAAGATCCAAATAATTTGGCCCATGCCTTCTCCAATACCATGACCCATATTGCATTGTTTTTAGCTTTTGTAAATATGGGACTTAGATTAGGATAGACTGGGAAATAATCGTCTACATATATGGCCTTCCATATTCCATCTATACACAATCTTATACAATAGATTCCTTGTTCGTTTATTGCTCTAGTGATAAAAACATCTAATAATAAATCAGGTCTTCTATTTCCCAAAGCAGATATCGAGGCCAACAAATAGCAATTCCCTAATTATCCTTAGATTATGTCTTGGGGTCCGATGTACTTTCCTAATCCAAACCTTTTATTATCACTTGATTTCGCAAAAAATTAAAAATCTCCATTAAAAATAATATTCAATCTCTACCAAGTGGCATTATAATTTGTTCCCACACTTTTTTCATTTGGACCAAACTTAAGATCTATATAATTTTTTTCCTTAATTTTGAGTTCATCGAATGTCTTAATGAATTCATTCATATTAGAGATTTACATATGTTACAGTGTAACTTCTTCGAATTGAAATTTGCTTATGAGAATATCTTATTGATCTGATGAGGATTGCTGTCTTTTTAGTTTGACTTCTTCAACCTCATTTAATTGAAATGTAACATAAGTGAGCATAAATTAATTTAATTATTCCTAGTTGATTTACCAACCGCAATCCTTTACAAAACAGACACAGAAGTCCTCATAATATTTTTAGATGCAATCATAACATAATCTATGATCACATATTTCATTATGAAATAATCCTGAAGTATTGGAATTGCAATAGTCACATTTATATTAGATTGATTCAGTCATCCTATCTTCAATATTGATTTTGATTTCTTATTTTTATGGTTATATTTAATCTGTTTATAGAATCTATTGTTATTTTATTATTTATTAATTTTATTAGTATCGATTTTGTTATTATTATTATTATTATTATTGTTATTATTATTGTTATTATCTTTACTAAGTTTGTTATTATTTTGGTTGAATAACCTTTGCGCTGTTCTATTATTGTAAAACCCTATCTGTTAGTTTTTGCATCTAAGATTTGGACTTTGTTTAAATTGCTACAGGGGAACGTTCTTAAAAAGACCTTCGAGGTTGAGTATTTTTTTATTATTTTATCGGAGTGTTGCCATTTTGATTATTCTATTTGATAGCTGTTGCTTTATTTTATTAAGATGGTGATGCTATTATAAACAGCAATTATACCCATTTTTTTAGAATCTCCTTAAAACATTGTAATTTATTTCCCAAATACCATTTAGTTGCTTCCGGATATTTTTTGGAATTGCCTGTTCATAAGATCTGATATGTTTAGAAAATAAGAGCATTGTTTTTCTGAACAATTTGAACCTCCTTCAGCAGTAATCTAGTCAATACATTTATTGCAATATAGATGTCCACATTTTGCTTTATAAGATGCACTTTCTTTGGTTTCTTATAAACATTTGACACACTTAAGTGATTTTATCATAATAATATTTATATTTTCCAATCGAAATAATTAGATATAATTTAAGATTAAAATAGAAGTCATTTGGATTTTATCAGATTATCATTTTACAATATACTATTCTTCAACTCCAAAAGAATATCCAGAATTAGAAACACTTAACAAAGCGAAGAACTCTTGATTCTCTTATAACTTAAACTCAACGTTATTTCCTCTATAAGGTTTTCGCAGCTTTAAACCTTTCATCTATGTAAATTTCACCTTACTTTCAAAACTCTTGCTACTTTAATTTTCGACATAATAAAATCCATAACTAATAATATATGCATATTGATACCCATATTTAAGATGAAATTCATACGCTTATTTAATGTCAGGATGCTTTTAATACCCTTTCTTTTTCATGCTTACTCTAGCTAACTAAAGAAAGGCAGAATTCAATAAATTAGGGATCTTATTAATCTTGCCACTATGAATTGGACCAGGTCCATAACATGACCAAGTATACTTATTTGTTTTAGAAAACTACCATTGAGTCTTGATAACTAGTGTATATTATCCCTGATCGAGATCCTTACTTATCCAACATTCTCTATCACTCTTATGATTGCCATCTAACAAACAATCTCCTTTAAATAACAAAATTTTGGCTGGAGAGTACTTATTGCTATTCTCAAATCTATTAAATTATAAATATTAATACCTAACGTTCTTTTAATTAATTGTAAAATAATAACACCCTGACTTTTAAATTTAGATACTAAAATAATCACTCTTCCTATTACTTGATTGAAGTGTAGTAGACTAATACTAATACCCATCCTTCACATAACAAACAGATAAGTCATCAAAATATTTACGAAAATCTGTGATGCTCATGTAGAAGACTCCATCGTTAGCATTTGTTATTTTAAATTGTACCTTCTATTCAGGAGTCCACAACTGACTTTGATTTGACCAATCTCCCTTCCATTCCTCCTTTCCCCAAGGATTTCTAAGTTTGATTAATTTTGTATTGGCATTCAAATCTTTAATTTTAAGTACTGTATAAGCATGACCAGCTATTAGCCCCATAAGTTTATACTATTATTTGTTCTCATTCTTAGAAGAACATACCATTATACATCTATTTTTGATGCAACTTTCCAAATCCTCAACAAACTTCTCATCACTTGTGAATATAGTTCTTGTTGGTGCTCCTGTTAAGGTTCTTAAGACTTCTGAAGGGAAACCAGCTTCAATATTCTCATAAGAACCAAATACTTTAGCCCATGCCTTCTCAATTACCATAACCCATATTTCTGAGTCTTTCCCTCTGGTGAATGCTGGCTTGTCGTAGTGGGTTGGAATAAAATCATCTATTCCAATAACTTTCCATTCACCATCTATGCACAATTTGACGCCATAGAGTCCTTGAGGGTTGAAAGTTCTAGTGACAAATGTATCCAATAATAAATCAGGTCTCCTATTCCCTAATGAACTGATGGAGGCTAAAAAGTAACAGTCTCCTAATTACCCTTATTGTAAATCATCTGGTGTTATCCATTTACCAATACCAAATCTGTTAACTGTGTTTTCTTTGACAAAGAATTTTGGATTTGAAATAAATTAAGGTATTCTTTTCCATTAAAATTGTTGGAATCTAGCTCCTAAACTTACTTAATTTGGAGGGAATACAGGGTCAGTATAAAATTAATTCTGGCTCTTTAATTATTGATATTTTGAAAGGAATTCTTTCATAGCCACAAGGTTGTAATCAGAAACAAAGCACTCTTAGAATTGATAATTTGATTATAATAATTTTTAATTAGCAGGATTTTCATAGTAGTTGGATTCCATAATATTAGCTTATGGAATAACTTACTCTTGTAATTCAAAAATCTTCTTAAATTGAAATGCTGTTAGTTCTTTATTTTAATCTTTGAAAACCCATCTAGTGAGTATTCTTGATTCATCTTCTTTGATATCTTTGATTACGATTTGAATCATCTTCTAAAATTCTAACTGATTCATCATATTGTCTTTATTGTTATCAAACTTATTGAAAACATCGATAAAGTTGATATTTGCATTTTTTAATTTTGTGCTGAATGTTTAAATTAACTCTATTTCTGATCGGTTGCAATTTTGAGCAACTTAATTTGATATATTTTATTTCGGCACTTGTTAAGAAACTATATTTGTTATCTGAGATGGTTTAAAATTTTAATCAAAAATTGGTTTTTTTTCATGCTGAGTATAAATGGCTGATGCATTATTCAACTAAGTATTGTTCTATTGTTATGATTCATTTTATTGGTTTGTTCTGAACCTTATTTGTTAAGACAGTTCTAAATTAGACATTTACGATTCTACTTTTTTCATAAGCTCCTCAAAAATTTAACTGGTTAATAACTGACATCCAAATCGCTACTAAATGTATGAAAAAGTCTTTTCAATCATTTATTCTTCAGCAAATGGTAAAATCTTTTTAACCATAATAATGAAACCAAAAATATCTATTCCTTTTTTTTCAGGTTGAATAAAGTAACTAATCACATCACCTGGGTTTTAATTAGTTTATTTGCAATGCTTACACAAGTCTTATAAAATAATTAGAATCAATGCATTTATCTATTTTGATATCATTATTATAAATAGTGAGAGAATGAATTAAAAAATCATTTTTGGTTGCCATCGAGAGGCGAGCTATTCTAGTTTTATATATTCAGTCAATAAACCCCTGCTGACGTAAAATGTTTTTCATTTGTTAATTGCTACTTCTTGTCCCTTCAGAATCAGGTTATTCGTCTGAATTATCTGAACTATTATCATTATAATTGTTATGATTATGAACTTAAATGATATTTACCTATAGGTTTTATTATTAATTGAGTTATTACTAAGATTGTAAATGATGCTCTTCTTCAGAATTCCGGATAACTTCAGGCTCATAGGTGTCCTTGCTATTTTTAATTTGGCAATTGACTTTCTTCAACTGCAACTGCATTTGATGAGGAGGTACAAAATTTTGTACAAAATTTTAATCAGTCATAATCTCCAGGTTAACATTAGCCGTCCAATTGGATGCATTTCTCTAAAAATTATTTTGATTTTTGTCTACCTCTTCCTCCTTGGTTGATATAGGATCTTAACTCTAGTTAAAACTATCAAAAGACTCCTCATCCATTAACATACTAATAGAATTCATCTAATATTTATTTGTTTATATTTATGTATATATAGTAATTCAATGTCTTCTATCGCATAGGTAACATAGCTCATAATTTTTAAGTATGCAACATATACCAATTATATGTAAATTGCACGAGAAAAATACCGGCTAATTATAATCATCGAAATCAGAATTACAAATCATACATGATTGTATTTTAGAAGGTTGTTTAATTTCTTATTTCTATTTTGTTGACTCTAATAAAATAGATTGGCTTGGGTCATTTTTAGCAATAGCTTAAGAATTCGATAAAGTCGTTTTTTAATCGGTTACGAATTTCAAATTTTAAACTTGTAATGTTTCTTCACTTAGTTCTACGTCTATTTTTGGAAAGTATTGATATGATTTCTAACTTTTTTCTACTGCAAAATATTTTTGGCAGTTTTTGACACAACACTATTAATTCCCTTAATTCTTATAAATTCTTTAGAGACATTACCAACATAAAAAATGTGGACATGTTTAATTTGGTGAAATCTAATCGAAAGGGAAAGTATTCTTACAATTATCACATTTGTATCTACAATTTAATCTAAACTATTTAAATCTCAGATTATCAAAAATAGTCAAACATTTACTACATCTCAAATTTTAACCCTGTAAACGCAAACTACATCTTGAACAAATTTAATGTCCACATTTGATAACAAACATTTAATCCAAATCACTTAAAATATTGCAAAATGAACATAATTATTAATCAGTTGTACTAGTTGATGAACCTTTAACAGTTAGATTAGAGTTATATGTGGGATTTAATAGATTATGTATTTACGGTTACGGCTTCAGAGTTTCTGATTTTGTGACTAATTGTTGTTTTAATATTTGTTAATTATTTTGGATGATCTCTTTATCCTGCAATAAGTTATTATAATAATTTTAATAAGATCTCTTAGTAAATAAACTTTTGCAATCTTTATTAGGACATTTCTAATCTTTTTACTTATTTTCAATAGAACCCTTAATGCACGAGTTACAAAACTTGTGATTGCATAATGGAACTTAGAATAATTAATATTGTGATTGTTTCTGGCATTTTTAGCATTTGTCTATTAAAAGACTCCAATTAAGATCTATTTACTACTGATCATCTGAAGTAATCTTGGTGGATTCGTTTTCGATTAGATTCTTACTTTTCTAATTTGGATCACTAAAATTTGAGCAAATTTAGTCATTAATTTCAGATTGAGAAACAGATAATTACTTTAGGCATTAATTAGAATTATTTAATTGGTTAAAGTCATATGAAACTTGATGACATGTAATTTCTAATTCAGAATATGATATTTACAACTGTTTTCTAAACTCTTATTTAAACATTTCATAGTCCTTCTTGTTGAAAGTACCTGGGCAATTTGGAACAGTACAATAGTAAACTAAAAAGTAATTAACTGCTATTAACTATTCTACACATGTATCGCAAAAGCTATGCTTACAATTCTCAATTTTAAACAACTGATATTGAAATGTGTTATTACAATTCAAACATTTGTTTTCTGTTTTCTCTTTTTCTGGTGGTTTCTCTTAGACACTGTATTTTGCAACATTTATCATCTATAAATATAACTCATATTCTTTTCTTGAGACTTTATTATAACATGCACTACAATAACATCCTCCACAACTATCATTTTCAAACTCTTTTTTAATGCAATCAAAGCAAAATTTATGTGTGCAATTATTCAAATAAAAATAAGGTTTGTTTGATTCTCTATGACAATTGCAGCAAGGTTCATCTAGTTGCTCCAAAACTCTATTTGTCTCATCAAGGAGTGAAATCTAAATTTCAGTTGCAGTCAATTACTCAGTTATTGATTCATTAAGCTATTTTGTAAAACTAGTACGCATTAAACTCCTTCTTTATACTAATTAGGAGAGGTATTGATGATAAAATTGCTCCAACACTAAATTATAACGATTTGTTTTGGCTATAGTACTGATTTCAATTTAAAATTATTCAATCTACTACTTTTAAATAACCTATCCACATCGACATTTAAAATTACTCATCTAACTCTGATGGTTTTGCTTAAGGAGACAATTCCAACAAATTTAATGATTACAATAAAGTTTCAGGAAGACATAAACCTTTCTGCTGCAAATAAAACAAATGGTTTAGGTTTCTAGTTAGAATTGAGGTTCCGGGATGATAAAATAGTATTCATCCTGCTCTTTAATTATAATTAAATTACTATTCCCTCTACCTAAACTGATAAATTATGGAATGATATTAATATTCAAGTCTAAGAAGTCAGCCAAATAATTCAAACAAATTTAACCCTTATATATTAATTAATAAGAAAAGCAAAAGTCTTAAAGTAAAACTTCTGTCATAATATTATTCTAATCGTAAATTGACAACTTTTCGAAGAAGTTTTATATTGGATTTTCCATTTACATACTTTCCCTCAGAATTTGAGCGATTTCTTAAGATTGCTAATTCTTGTAATTTATCTTTGGACTCCTAAAATATTCGAGAGTTTTGCTTCGCTGACGATTCAAAAGATAATGTAGAATCGAACATATTATTGCAGATTATTGGTTTTCCCCCAAAAATTGGCATAGGTAGTATTCCTTGAGTTATGGGTATCGAGACTTTATTGTATCTGATATTGGAGTTATTTAATACATGAATGTAAAATAATAAAAAGAAAATATAAAAATTATATTAGTGTTAACTTAAAATAATTTGAAATAAAAGAGACAAAGTTCCAAAAATTAATAAACCTTTATGATATCTCAATACAACCTCCCTGAATATCCTGTTGTTATTTTTGAGTTTAAATTAAAGTCTCTGCTATATAATTCCAATCTGTTTCTATGATCATATTCTCCATACTGAAGTTTATCATATCGATATGGGTAGTATGATTGCTATACATAGGGTGGAGAAGATCTTAATAAAGTCAATTCATTCTGAATTGCCAATTCATTTTTATATTTAGATTTGTCCTCCAAAACTTATTGATTATCTTAAATCCTTTTATTGACAGTATCAGTTGTCACATTTCTTTTAATTGCCGAATGTTAAGTATTCCTATATCTCTCGAATTTTTATAATTGATCACTATATCCCTTATAGGTTTACTGAAATGATTGAGGATAGTAACTACCTAAAGAAGGCTTTAAGATAGTTGATTCAAATACACTTTCTTCTTCTACAGGATTGCAAGGCAGTATCAGCTTCTATTTAATACGTTTTGTATTGGATGAAGTTTATTCGCATTGGGGACAATTTATAAAAGTGTTTAGAATGCAACAAGCTCCAATTTAATGTGATTTGCAATCAATCAATTATTTTTTATTAAATGGAGAAAATTCTGAATTACAATTTGTACAACTTCCTGTAAAAACTTCGTTTTCTCTTTCTTAAGCAGATTTAATGTCTTAGATCTATTAATAAATGATTATTTCCTCCTCAAAATTTGAATCTGACCCATAAATATCATCTTCAAATTCGTAAATTTCCTATTTTCTTTAATCATCATTTTGAACCGAATTCTAACCATTGGGAGTAACACCCTCTTACTGTTTTGTTGATGGTAACTTTAATTCTTCCTTCTTTTATTCATTAATTTTATTTTCCTTTAAATTGATGACAGATTTTTGTAGTGTAAGAGATTCTTATTCCTCTATGGTTTTCGTTTTTTAGCTTAGAATACTTAATCGTAGGCTGTTATCAATCTACTTTGGTTCTTCTTTTATTTGCTTATTTTCTTTTTTCTCCAACTTTTAATCCTAATCTTGTTCCTCTTTCTCCTCGTTTTTTTTCTGCTCTTCTTTGTCTGCAATTTCTTTACTTTACTCTATTTTTTTACTCAAAATAAAATTATACAAGTCATCTACCAAAACTATTAGTCTGTCACATTTTTTTTCCAAACATCTTGGGGGCCTTCCCAAATATATTTTTTAACAGCAACTTAAACAAAATTCATGTTTACAATTCAATTAAAACAATTCTTTTATTGGATAAGGGAATTGGCAACCTTTGCAATTCATAGCTTGATTTTTCCGAAATTGCTTATAGTCAGAATCCAAAGATGCTAAATAACAACAAGTCGTTTTGAATTAAACATTTTAAATGATACATGCATTACAAACAGGATGACCACAGTTTAATATGTATTTTTGATCTTCACTTCTTTTATATTTACAACTTTCACAGACAAAGTATGAGTAGTTTTAGGAGGGAAGAGCTCTTTGCATTTAAAGCACTTCTGAATTTGAAGTTTGCTATACAGACTTAAAGTACATTTTATATTCCTACTTTGTAAATGTTGATTAACATATAGATTTTAAACACAAGGATGTTTCATATTTCATCTCAATGTTTGATAGACATGATATACAAAATTTATGATTACATTTTTTTACTTCAAATAATTTAGATTTATATATGTTAGAGCATCTAGAGCATTGTTCTGCTACTTTAGGATTGGATGGATTTTAATTGATTTCTTTAATGTTTTAATTAATAATTGACTAGTCTTTATTTTGTGGATTATTTTTATTTAAACAAGTTTACAATTAATTTTACTCCATTTTTTTAATACAGTTTTATAAGGGACACTCTTTTTGTATTTTATATTAATGCGTACAATAATAACAAAATTGATGTTTGCAGTCATCTAAGATAAGAAATTAATTATAAGACTTTTTTGAACATAAACTACATTCATATAGAGGTTCTACTGTAGGTGCAATCTTTTGTTCAATATCTTGGTTTGCATGATGCCTTCCACTTCTATCTAATGATAATTGTTGATCAACCTGTACAACTTGTGAATTTGCACTATCATAATATTTTAACAAAAGTTTGTTGATTTCATTTTACTCTTTCACCTTTTCCAAATTTTAAAGGCAATGTAAAATATGTTTTTTATTAGATAATTTCCCACAAGAAGCGCATTTGATATTTTCGGTTTAAGGTTTCTTTAGTAAACATTTATAACATTGTTTATGATTGCAAGTCAATAAAATAAATTCAGATTTTATTTTGCATTAAGGACATGAATTTTTTTCTATGATTTTAATGATTGGTTCTGAGATGAGAAAATAGAATTTTTGATTAGCATCAACCATCAGATCGATAGTTTCTTTGAATTTGATTCCATAAACTTCATTGCAATTTTGAATAGAAATCTTCATCTAAAAGTAGTTTGCTATTTGATCGTATGATATTTAACCACCATCCAACCAATCTTTACTTTTGCAACAATCGAAAAGTATTTTTCCAGCAATTTCATTCTTCTGGTCTATCAGAAAGAGATTTTAAAAGAATTTCTACACAGGGTTCTTATCAAATTTGATTTATTTGATTAACTTTGCAAATTCAGTGTAAATTGTTTGTTTCTTAAAGGTATTTATCAGCTGAAGAATACTCTCTAGGATTCTTGATTTTTGTTTATTAAAAGCATAATGTATTAGGGAACATAAAATAGAAGCATTTTTATTATATCCCATATATTGTATATACTTGTAACTTTATAAGAATTCGTCATTTATCCTATTAGATGATGAGAGGGGGCTTATAAAAAACACTTATACCTCTTACAACATTTTATTATAATAATTTTATTTGTTTTACTATTAATAAAGTTATATGATGGTTTAAGTTTTAATGATAGATTTGGAAGCTTAATCAATCGACTTTTTCGTCTTAAGAGAGTAAGTTTTCATTCTTTTCTTTTAAATAGATTACCAAATATTATAAATTAACTTACATTAATCTGCAAGAATTTTAAATGTCTTTCTCATCTTTCAAGAGGAAGAAAGGTAAAATTTATTATAATCTAAATGTCTTACATAATATTAATTCATTGAAGTAATTTTGTAAAATTAATAATACAATCTAAAAATAAATAAATATATGAAACAATAAAATGGAATGATGAACTTACATGATATATTATTAGACTCAGGTGAAAAACATTAGGGCTTTATTTAATAATATAAGCCTCTTAGGATTCTTGGAAAAGGAGCATTCTCTACTGTGATTGAGGCTCTGAATATGTCAAGTAAATTAGTAGCAATAAAAATAATTGACAAAGTTCATTTTACTTCTTAGCAAATAGAGATTTTGAGACAAGAAGCTCAACTTCTAATTAAATTAAATCATGCAAATATCGTGCGTGTATCTTTTGTATGTTTGAACTCTTATTGATAGAGTAAGGAAACAAAAAATAAGCTTTTTATAATCATGGATCTCATTAATGGAGTTACATTGTCATAATATCAAAGGAACTAATTGGACAACGAGACTGTTGTTTGTATAACAAGACAGATGCTTGAAGCCATATAATATTTACACTAGCAGGATATAATCCATAGGGATATTAAACCTGGTAAATGTCAATACCAACACTAGAAAACATCATGATTGATCCAGAGAATTTGCATGTAACCTTGATAGATTTTGGATTGTCAGCTTAATTGGCACATATAGATGGTTCAGGACTCATGAGTGAAAACTGCGGAACTATTTTATATATGGCACCTGAATAAATCTAAAAGAAGAAATACAATAGAGTATATTCTTATGTTATCTACTTTAGAGTATTGATATTTGGGCATTGGGCATTGTGGTCTTTAATNATTTTTCCAGCAATTTCATTCTTCTGGTCTATCAGAAAGAGATTTTAAAAGAATTTCTACACAGGGTTCTTATCAAATTTGATTTATTTGATTAACTTTGCAAATTCAGTGTAAATTGTTTGTTTCTTAAAGGTATTTATCAGCTGAAGAATACTCTCTAGGATTCTTGATTTTTGTTTATTAAAAGCATAATGTATTAGGGAACATAAAATAGAAGCATTTTTATTATATCCCATATATTGTATATACTTGTAACTTTATAAGAATTCGTCATTTATCCTATTAGATGATGAGAGGGGGCTTATAAAAAACACTTATACCTCTTACAACATTTTATTATAATAATTTTATTTGTTTTACTATTAATAAAGTTATATGATGGTTTAAGTTTTAATGATAGATTTGGAAGCTTAATCAATCGACTTTTTCGTCTTAAGAGAGTAAGTTTTCATTCTTTTCTTTTAAATAGATTACCAAATATTATAAATTAACTTACATTAATCTGCAAGAATTTTAAATGTCTTTCTCATCTTTCAAGAGGAAGAAAGGTAAAATTTATTATAATCTAAATGTCTTACATAATATTAATTCATTGAAGTAATTTTGTAAAATTAATAATACAATCTAAAAATAAATAAATATATGAAACAATAAAATGGAATGATGAACTTACATGATATATTATTAGACTCAGGTGAAAAACATTAGGGCTTTATTTAATAATATAAGCCTCTTAGGATTCTTGGAAAAGGAGCATTCTCTACTGTGATTGAGGCTCTGAATATGTCAAGTAAATTAGTAGCAATAAAAATAATTGACAAAGTTCATTTTACTTCTTAGCAAATAGAGATTTTGAGACAAGAAGCTCAACTTCTAATTAAATTAAATCATGCAAATATCGTGCGTGTATCTTTTGTATGTTTGAACTCTTATTGATAGAGTAAGGAAACAAAAAATAAGCTTTTTATAATCATGGATCTCATTAATGGAGTTACATTGTCATAATATCAAAGGAACTAATTGGACAACGAGACTGTTGTTTGTATAACAAGACAGATGCTTGAAGCCATATAATATTTACACTAGCAGGATATAATCCATAGGGATATTAAACCTGGTAAATGTCAATACCAACACTAGAAAACATCATGATTGATCCAGAGAATTTGCATGTAACCTTGATAGATTTTGGATTGTCAGCTTAATTGGCACATATAGATGGTTCAGGACTCATGAGTGAAAACTGCGGAACTATTTTATATATGGCACCTGAATAAATCTAAAAGAAGAAATACAATAGAGTATATTCTTATGTTATCTACTTTAGAGTATTGATATTTGGGCATTGGGCATTGTGGTCTTTAATTTATTAAATAAGGGTAAGCATCCTTTTTTCTAATAAATGGATGACATTTCCTCGTATTCTGAGAAGATTACTTGGATGAAATGGAATTGGAATTCTGAAATCAACCAAAAGGCAATGAGTTTCCTTCTTAAAACAATTGCCTATCATCCAGAAGATCGATTAAATGTAGATTAATGTTTGGAACATCCATGGATTACTGGAAAAAATGATTAACCGCTAACCTTCATTGAAATTCTGAAGGCTCATACAATCTCCTACAACATTAAACTCCTGATCAAAGCACTATCTTTTCTATAGTACCTTAAAAAAACCAGTCCAATTCTAACTCCTCCAATTAAGAATTTATCGAAATACCCAACAACTCCAGTGGAGAAACAACAATTTAGGTTGAGCAGAAATCCCAGAACCAAAAGTAAAAATGCTTCTAATTCTGGTGACAAAGCTCAAAAACTGTCTAATGCTGACACTGCCTCTATTGGTTCGAATAAAGTCTCTTAATTCAAAGTGAGTATAAAAGAATAAAGGAGAGAAAGAAATTCATGTGATTAATTAAAGAAAATCACATCAACTCAAAAGAAAGAGCAACTCCTTTTACCTACTTTGCATAGATCTTTAGATAGGACTATAAAGAAATATTAAACAAACTTACCAGTTACTGATAATTCTTTGAATCAATCAAAACTTTTAGAAAGCTCGATATTTTTGAGAAGCAAATCGTAATTTAATAAGGACACTGTTAAAAAAGTAAGCATTCCATAGAGTAAGAATGTAAATTAAATATCAACCAATTTGAATCAACCATAACAAGAGCTCTCGACAACCCGGCGAATCCGATCTTCAAAACCTCCATTATAAAAAAGGAGCAATGTTGAATGAAAACTTATTGATTTATATTTGAAGTGAATTAATTCTATTTTGAAATTAGATAATTTCTTCTTTTAAAAACTCCCTCTGTTGTTAATCACAAGTCTCACATATTAAATTCAAAATATAATCTTTAATATTTGCTTATCTGAAAGATATATTGAGACATTTTATGGAATCAAACATTTGTTGTATTTTTATAAAAGCCTTAAAGTGATTGTTAATTTATATTCTAATAATTATAAGGATGTAGAAAACTTTGGTAATTAATCACCTATGTAACATTGGTGGATCTAATTGCAAATCTCTAGTTAAGAATATTACTACCGACTATTCACTTTGTAATTATATGTGTTATTGATATATTCTATAATGTAATTTAATTAATTTTCTTTGGAAATCTAAGAAACACTATGTTTTGGAAGATGGGATATTTTGAATATCAAATTAAGTAAATGTTTACCTAACACTGAGAACTAATTAAAAAAAAAAGTAGTGAATTCAGATTTTAATTATTTCAATATATATTTATTATTATATCATGTTACCTTCTGTAACTTCAATGAAAGAGTTCGAAACATAGCCATTGGTAAGGAAAATCATGAAATCTTAATTTGAAAGCCCTAAAAAGTCTAGTAATAGCACTCACGAGATTATTCACAAATCTTGTAAATCTTCTTATGAATAATACAGAAAATAAAGAAATCAATAAGAAACTATTTAGGTTCAGAAATTGTTCTTTAGGAACCAACCCAGTTCATCAAGGGAGACGCCTCCCTCTTTTCTAATAACTCGACACTTTGATAGAAGGCCTGAGGTCAAAGAGTCCACAATCTAAGAAACAAAATATTAAGAAACTATAAAATTTCACAAAGGAATATTACAATAGGATCAAAATTAAAGAGATAATAAACTGGTTAAGAGTTACTCAAGATTTCGTTTGTAGGAGAACGTTTGCCAAAGACAAATCATTACATCTCAGCATTCTTAGAGAATCAAAACAACCAGTGGTTAAGACTGCCGATTTTTTGTTAAGCAACATGGGTATATCCTTATTTGATACCTTAGGATGAAATAGATAGTTATTGTAAATTAGTTGTATCTGAATACAAATACTTTGTAGTATATCTTTATGTATGTACCTGATCACTCTGTAAAGGACAAGCATGTATTCCAAGAATTTGTAGCCGTGGTTAAAAATAGGTATGATTGTAAATTATGTGACACTTCAGACTGAAGATAAATTCCAAGAAATTATATTTCTATTTGAAAGATGGAACCCCCATTTACTCTCATCTTGATATTCCAATCAATTAGAGTCTCCTTATTTATTCTACCTCTACAGTATACAAGGAAATATTCAATCCTTAATTATTGTACCTCGAGAATTGTTGTAAATAACACCAATGCGAATAATCCATTAGAAGAACAGAACCTGATTATTCACATCATGTTGATGGCATAATAAACACTCTTATTTATTAGAATTATCAATCGGTGGATCAAGAGTATCGAGTAGAAACAATGCCTGAGGAAATTGAAATCACTTAAGAGTTTTTAACATCAAAGGAATTGAAACATTCATATGCTGAAATCAAAAGAAATTCTAATTTCACTCCGATAATCAATTAGATGTGTAGAACTAATAAGACTACAAAGTAAAAGAATTAGTATCAAGAATATATGTCAACAGATTACATAGTAAAGAATCCTAAGATTGAGAAGTTAGAAAAGATTGAAGGATGGTATGATTAAGAATTGAAGAAAATTAAATTTAAGGAGGACGATAATTAGAATGAAGATTTGATGGCTATTCACGTAGAATAAGTATCAAGTCAAAAATTTATAGAAAAGTATGAATACGTTTATTACATAGTCAAATTTAATAGGCTGCTCAACTTCTGGAACCTCTATTAAAAAAATTCTTGCATAGAAAAGCATATATTTGTGATGACGAAGCCCCTGAAGTGAATTTTAACAATGACCAAAAGGAGTAGATAAGAAATACAACCAATTTTATAGAGAAGAACACATAAGAACTAATAACAAAGAAAGGAAGCTTACATAAATTATTGAATATCAATAAGGAATTATTTATTCAAGGAATTCCGAAAATATTGAAGGACACTAATTTTTCGAGATATGAATTGCATAACACTTACATTTTATTTTGTGCTTTACAACAAATTACTTCCTAGAGATATCGATACTACAATGTAGACGATGGAGTTGATTATGACACCTATAGAACAGGGATATACTAAATTTTCATGTAAAGTGAGTTCCTGGCATAAGAAATTTTCAATAAAATAGATTTTAATTATAGTGGATTTTTGAATTGGAATGAATTTTTGAAATTGATGGTTAGTATAAGGGCAAAAACTTTAATTGAAAAGTTGGATCTCTTTATTTAAATATCTGATTAAGATGGGAATGGATAATTGTGTTGGGATGAGATCTATCAATTATCTAAAGTTTGTTTGGCAAAATACATTTAGAACACTGATGATTTTTTGGATATGCTTTGTGAATATTATACAAGATTGATATTTAAGGTGGTAGGCAAAGAACCCCATGAGGAAATCCCATTCTCTGCAATTAAGTAGGCAATCTTAGATCAAAAGGAAGATTCAGATTTATTATGTATGTTTTGTGGAGCTGATATTTGATCATATTCTCTTAAAATCATTTAATTTTATTATCCTAATCACTCGTGTCCTGATTTGGCAGACTCAACAAATCAAAATCAGATTCTTATAGTAGAAAATCATAGGATAATTAAACTTTGTCTCTTAAATTTAATGCTTAACACACATCACCTTTGGAGGTATCTTATTAACATGGCTATTGTTTCTATTATGATCCTTCTTGTTAGATCTTCTTCTCAATTAAACTATCGATAGAAGCAGGGATCTTTGTTATTTAATTTTATTACAATTTAATTTTGTTTGAGAAGATTGTCTTAATTGGTATTCATTTCTATTTTAACTATGCTTTGCTGTTCTTCTTTTTAAGGTTCTAAATATGTGGTTGTAAGTGGAATTCCTTTTTGATGGGATTAACTCATAAATTGAGATGAAAAGATAGTTTACAAGATAATTTAAATCCTCGATAATTCATAGATCTGATTAGAAATTGATAATTTGGTTTGACTTATCCTCTTCAATTTCTAATATTGGGTCTTAAATGCATTTAAATCTAACAACTTCCCATCTCTTTCAACTTAGATAATTTATCCCAAGATATTCTTCTTAATCTTGATCTAAACAAATTCAGGAAAGTACAAAGATATTACATGATTGATTGCATCCTAATATAATTGAGTCTCATTTAGAATTACAACTAAATACGATATCAATAATAGTGTAGATGCTATAGAACCAGCTTCTGCCAATACTTCACTTAACTTTGGATATATGATTATTTGCTTTTATTAGATATTATCTATTTTGTAATACAATGACACATAGACATTATAACTTAAAATCTACCCAAAGTAACTTAATCCTAAAATAGAATTGCTCCCTCTGTAATCTACAATAAAATTATATTGTTGCATCTATTCAAACAAGGCTCCTGTGTCAACATTAGTCTCCTACATACGAACAAACGTTTAAATTTAAAATGTGTAATTTTGTTAAATACTAATCAACTATTCTCTTCCTATATTTTCCAAGACTTCATCATTCGTATTAAACTCCTTCACAAATTGTCTAAGTAGCAGAGAATTAGTAGGTTGCGAGAAATAGCCATCTATTATTGTTTGATTTGCACACTACTATCCTTCTAGTAAGAATCGTTTTTAACACTTCCCCAATGCAATCATCATCTCGATCTCTGGTGTCTCATCTGACTTTTCCTCACTTATCGAAAGCGACAAGTTGGATATATTTAACACTATAAATCCTTCCTTTCTTTAAATTGGATAGTTGACTGCTTAGGGTTCGTCGATAATCAACCCATTTTTAAAAATATAAACAACAGGTTGTAACACTATTGCATTTGGATCGAATGGATCAATTATAGATAATTAAAGTTTTCTTGTTTCGAATTGAACATAAGTTTCATTTATGGTATAATCATAATTTCTAATGCTTCTCTAAGTAGTTGTGATTTTAGGTAGTGTTTACCCTTAACTCCATTAAGTTAGTAAATAAATTAAGTAAGCAAAACTTAAACCATACAATACGATTGACATGATGCCTCCGATTGCTGTTTTGTGTTGATTTTTACAATATTTGATGCTTGGTTAAAATGCCACTCCAAATTAATCAAGATTTTCTAATAGCTTCAACATTTTTAGTAATAAATTAAAAAATTTTACAGTATTGCAATAATATTACTCTAATTACTATAATAAATCACTAATCGGATAGAATCTTTGTATCACGGTGATTCAAATACGTGTTGCAATCAGACTCAACTTCTGGGTGAATCAATAGTTCGAAGTCTGAGTCCTTAAATTATTGTATTTGTGTGATAGGATTATTGTTTTCTTGTAACTTTTATGTATTCTGAATCAATTTGGAATCGTTTTGAGAGATAGTTTGAACTTCATTGCTTTTAATGATATGAGGACTAGCATTATTTGGTAGCTATTTATAAACTCAATAAATACAATAGAATTTAATTTGAATTAGTAATCTTAGTTGAGACTACAATCCAATTTATTAATATTCAACTACTCCTCTTTATTACTGTCAGTGTATTGGAATTAGAATGGTATTCCCTAATGGTGAATTTGTTGAATTATTATGGAAGGCAAGAGATTCTAAATCAAGAACTATAATCTAGATATTTCATAGATTTAGTTTGATATGGTCAATTTGATTTCACTAATATGGCACAATTTTTGATATTGATTTTTAAAGGCTTACAAATCCAACTACTTTCCATTCTTTTCCACTTTTTTGATCTATCCAAAAATATTCTTTGTAATTTTTACATTTTTGAACTGAGGGTAGTATATCTAAATAACATTATTGATTGCTTCAAATTCCAATTAGGTTTGGTTCAAAAAAATGACCACATAAGATAGTATCAGTAGAGTGGATGCAATTGATCCTGCCTCTGCAAGTACTTCACTGATTTTTGTATAGGCAACTGAAACTTCGATTTAAACATTGTCTATCTTATATAAGAATGCCATATAAACATCATATCCAAACAATCGATTGTAATATTCTAATTCCAGAGTGGCACCAACCACACGATATTCATTGATATAATTATAATCAATTGTGGATTCAAATAAAAATCCCACATCCACAGAGGTCTTCGTAATTTAAATATAGGTCTGTGTCTGATACACTTTACTAGCTTGAAAAGGAATGATTTATTCCCTCCCAATAGTTTCTAGAGCCTCTGTTTAAGTATTAAATTCTTTGGCAAAGTACTTTACAATAAGAGCATTGGTTGATTATTTTTTAAATTCTTCGATAACTGTTTCATTTGCACAATTTTAGCCCTCCTATAAATAGCTTTCAAGACATGTTCCAAAAGTAAGCATAACTTCATACTCTGGATATGTTTCATTTCTTATTTCGCTTATTGATAAAGATAAATTGGAAAAACTTATGATATGAAATTTATCTTCTTTGGTAGTAATTTCATATAATGGAACAATCGGTTAACTCAAGGGAATACCATTCTTAAAAACATAGAAAAGAGGTTGAAGAATAAGGGCATCAGGATTAAAGGGATCAATCTTAGAATAACCAAATTTTCTCAGTTGAACCTCTACAAATTTTTCATCAAGTTCAAATTGCTCATTGTTCTCCAATTTTGAGGAAGTAGTTATTTTTGGTAGCATTTGTCCTGTCCTCCATTAGATTATAATATAAATTAAGTAAGCCAAACTCAACCCGTATAGTAAAATGGACATTATTCCTCCCCAACATGTCTTATACTGAGAAGTTGAATATTTGATGCTGGGTTAGAATGCCACTCCAAATTGATCTAACTTTTAAAGTAATTTAATCATAAAGTATTATAAATATCATGTGACTTTATTGATTTCAAAGAACTAAGGCAATTATTACGCATCAGTTTTATCTTTCTTACAAATTAGCAATTCAAAATCTTAATCATTGAGTTCCTTTGAATTAAACAATTTATCATTTGAACTCTGATTTTCAGATTTCAACTATTAAAATATCTCGACCTTTTAAATTTCATTGGGCAGAATGGTGTTGCTAGAATGATCTGGATAAATGGTTTGCTATCTCTATTAATGTTATTGTTATGAGATTTCTAGTTTACTATCGTTGGATGGAATCTAAATTTATTTAAATTGATTACCACTTTGGAATCCTTAAAGATATCTCCTTCTTGATTATCGATTTCATTCTCATCCTTAGTGGCCTCAATGAAATTGGTTTCTTTGATTCCAATCATATGGGAGAAATTAAAATTGGATCTGTCTATCAGGGATTACAAAATAAACTATATCCTTGAGATCTCATAGATTTAATTGGTAATTGTCAATTTCGTTTAAGCTACTTCCTTTAGCTTCCCATATTGAGAGTTAAATTTATCGATGTTCAAATTTCGACCCAACAATTAGACTCTGACAACTTTGCCAAACCAATTCTTGCGATACTTTAAATATTTAAGATTCGGATAGAACATATTGATAACCTGGGAAATGGCTTCGCTTTCCAAGAAATATTGATTGGTCATAATGACAAAGGCGGAAGTCAATAGAAGCAGAGAAACTATCGATCCTGTATCAGCCAACACCTCATTTATTTTTGGATATTGAATGTACTAAATTGATTTTATTCCATTCAATTAATAATTGTTGATGAAATAAGTAGTAGAGTTAATTACGCTTGCAAAAAATTTGCTATTGACTTATTAACCTGCTGTTGATATATCCAGGATAAAGTCTCTCTAATAAGTATTTTCAAACAGCACTCCATTGTCTATGGTAGTCTCTTGCAATTTCAAAGTGCTTGTTGAAAAATACACAGAACTTGGATCCAAGGCAAGAATTACTTCATTTCCAAACGTGTTGATCTTCTCTTGCTGAGCATTAAACTATTTAACGTAAGTGGTGAATAAAAGTGTATTAACTGATTAATTGAAGAAAGTCTTTCTGGTAGTTGCATTGGCGCATTTCATTTCTGTACTATTGGCTAATAGCTGAGGAACACAATCAATCAATATTATCATATATTCCAATTCTGGAGACTCTATTGTTTTGTCTTCACTTAAGGCTAATGTGATGTTCTCGAAGTAGATAGTCACGAACTCATTTTCATCATTTGTCTTATTTAGAATGGGAATACTGGGAGTAGTACTTAATTATCCATTGACGTATTAGAATATTAGTGGAAGCATAACAATACTCTCAGGATTAAATGGATCTATCTTTGTGTCATTCATCTTTCTCATTTTAATTGAAAATAGAGGCTCTTCAAAATAAATTTGCTAGTTCTGTATTACTTCGCTTGACACTGTGATTTTTGGCAGCATCCCACCCTCTTTCCAAATTACAAATTAGTAGATGAAGTATCCCAAACTGACTCCGTAAAGTAGAATAGACAATATTCCACCTAAGACGGTTTTATACTCACTATCCTATGTTATACTTGGTTTGAACACCACTCCAAATTGATCAAGTTCTCTAAGAAATTTCTTCAGATTCTCGCTTAACTTAGACATTATGTTAATTATTAATATAAGCCTCCAAAATTCTGTTTATCTTAAAAACTCAATAAATTTGATTCAACTCATCAAAAAATATTTATAAATAAATTATTCTCAAAGATCACAATTATTTTTTGATTTCCCTCTGTTTTATTATTATAATTCAAAATCTATGACTAATTAGAATTATAATTTGCAATAATCAATTACTATTTAATAAAAGAGAAAGAGATCTCTTAAAAAATACACATTATTCATAAGAGAGTTTGCTTATCAAAATTTTAACCAATATTCCCTGAAATTTTTTAACTTATTATAAGTGCTAAAATTGTTCTATTAAATATTTATTCAAGAATGAGCTAACTTATTGAATTTTATTTATAGAATCAAAATATTATTAAAAGGCTTTAAAATATTGTTTAGTTCATAAAATAATAGTTTTTATAAATTGAGTTTATTATTTTTTAATGAGATTTTTCCAAATTGATTTAAAATTGTTTTGATTTTATTTTCAAATATTTATTCTGAATTTAAAGAATCAAAAATGAGTATTATGTTAATATTCTATAATAATTATATAATTAATTATAAATCATTACCAAATAACAAATTTTCTGTCTAAACCTGTAGAAATCATAGTCTTTATGTCATTCGTTATACAGACAGAAGTATGCTAAAATATAGATAATATGTGTTACCTTTGTATCTGATGTCTCATAAACAGAGTGCAAACTCCAATCTCTCGAATTCCAAAACTTAATATTTCCATCATAAGAAGCACTAATTAAGAATTTACTATAAATAGGCTAAAATTTCAGATCACTCACTAGTTTGATATGTGCAGGTATCTTTTCAATTACATTTCTTCTTCTAATATCCCAAACCCTAATGAAATTATCATCTCCACCAGTCGCAAGATGATAACCATTCATACTAAAATCACTAGCTAATATTCCTTTGACATGACCTACAAATGGCAAAATACCTTTGCCTATTCTCAAATCCCATGCCATACCAAAACCTCCCAGATCCCCTGTAAATAATAAGGAACCATCTGGATGCAAGGTTCCTGAATAGATGGCTCTGGAATGCCCTGTTTATACCATAAGTTCAGTTTAGGTTTCAATATCCCACAATCTCCAAGTCTTATCAAAACCCATACTAATTAATCTTTTGCCATCTTAATGAAATATTACTTTGTTAATTCTATCTTCATGTCCTTTCAAAACAATTGATTTTTATAGTATTCCTAAATTTTCAACTTCTGGCTATTCCAAATCAAGAGTCCACAATCTAATAGAGAGATCAGCGGAAGCAGTAGCAACATTAGCAAAAGATTGAGGAGATAATGTCAATAAGGATTGGGGATGAAATGCAATAGAATGACATTTGGTTAGATGTCCCAATAAACTTGACTTAAGTGAAGCAGTCTCAATGTCCCATAACTTGCATTCTCCAGATCCACCAGCAGTTGCAAGATATTTTTGATTTGGACTAATGGTTGATCTAGAGATGCCGGAGGAATCCCCAAATTGGGACATTTGAATTGCAAAATGATTTACCTTTTGCAATTCTTCTAAGACTTCTTGATCTTCTTACAAAGCATCAACAGTTAATCTCCTCAGTCTTAGTTTTTCAACTCTGAGTGCTGCATTATGAAGAGACAGTTTGGCTATTTCGATTCTGGCAGCTCTTAATTATTCTAGTCCTTCGTATAAGAAATATTCATTTTCCAAATTGCCCATATTGTGATTGTTCTATTGTTTAAAAAATTAAGGCAATCTACCGTATTACATCAAATGTTCTGTCAACAATGTACGTAGACGCTATCTTCTATCAGCTGCACTTTCTCCAAAATAAGTTACTGGCTAGCCTAATTATCTCAATTGTGATTTGATTTGGCTTTCTTGAGTGGGCACCATTAATTTGCGTGCTTCTGCCATCAGTTTTTATTTCCTTTCATTTTCTTCCTATTGCTTTTATTGTCTATCCACATTTTCCGTTGTATAGGATATAAATGGTAGTGATTCCTATTGCTGATTTATCACTGTAGGTGCTCTGGTGCTCAATTAAGATATTTAACTTAGGTTGTCTGTGACTCTTTGTCTTTCTTATTATTATAAATTCATATTTTAAATTGATATAAATTTTGTTCAAATATTAATTATTAAATTTTTGAAATATCGAGTGCCTTCAATTCTATTGTCAACACAGACCTTCCCTTGATTGATAGCATTCTTGAGTTTAATCTTACAAATCATAACTGAGATCCCCAATTTCTTTGCCAATTGCTCAGCAGTCAATCCAACTTCATAAGAAATGTATTTTCCCAAAGTATTCTCATAATCTTTATCGCTGTTGTATTGTGCTTAAAAATAGAATGATTATCAACATACTTGATTCAATCACTGAAATACCATCATATCTTTCGACCTTTGCTTGATAATTCAATTTTTGAAATTGTAACCCTGCCTTAAGTATCTCCTCTGGACTCACCAAACTTGAGTTCCGCCTCTTATTAAAATAGTAATAAACATCCAAAAGGGAGATTATACCACCCATCTTCGGGAACAACTCAACACAAAGCTTATACACTTGTTCAGCCAACTTCTCATAAAATAAATCCTCAGATCTTGTATTATCATTAATATCATATACTTATCTAATCGTGATTAACCAATTTTAGACAGTATTTCATCAATCTCGTTATTCTCTCCCTTCTTAATATTTTATTTGATGTATTAAGAAATCTCCTTCAATTCAGTTGCATTCTTAAATAATTCCTCAAACCCACCTTTGAAGGTACTTTGCACCGTGTCTATTGTTTGCTGCGTTTGCTTCTCCTTTTTCATTATTTCACTTTTCATCCCACAATAAACTTATGATGTTTATTATTGTTCTGGCTTTTGGAGCCACTCCTTTTTCTCGTGACTCCCTTTGATCTGCAAGAGAGGGCCCTCCAGATTGTCTCCAAAAATGGCAACTTCTCCCAAATTAGTGTCCAAATTGATGTGATCTATCTTGGATGAAATAAATCCAGTCTCAAATAAGATGTATTGATTACTTTTTCCTTTATCGATTTCACGTGCTACAAGGGGATAACGAAATAGACAAATCTAACATCATTCGCATTTAATTAATCTATGTTTGTGTGATTAGTAAATATTAATCTATGAGTTGTAATGGTCAAAGTAAGTTTTGGTACCTTTATTTTGAGTTTCTTATCATAAAATTGCATATTCTAATATGTGGACTGTGTCTTCTCGTTGAAGCCTTTCATTGCTGTCATTTCAGCTGACAGGAAGAACAATGATTATTCCATCAAATTATTATAAGGAAATTTGATAAATTTTACATAATTTTTACAGGATGTCACCAAGTTGATTATTATGAATATCGACGAAGAAATCCAAAAGGTTTATGTCTTACTCAAGAACTCAGCTGAAACCCTAGAAGATGTGTTGCATAAGTCATTTGAAATCCCAGTTGACAATTGGTCCAAAGAAAAACCTGTCCTCCTATTCCCTGATTCCGGAGATGCCCTGCAGGATCTATTGGAACTCATGAGCAGAATCGATAAAAACCTAGATTAGGTTCGCGTCAACATAAGATAATTTGAACTCAATAAATTCCAAGTGATAAAAGAGGAGGAATTCGATCCACGCTACTCTCAACCACTAATTGATTACGAAATAGTCTAGAACGCCGAATAGACTAAAATGAATCGCATGAAATCCAATGTCAATAGATTACAACGACAAATTGAAGCCTATTAATAAAAATATTAATCATGAATTTATAAATAACTAAATAAGTATTCTTCTTCTACTTGATTATTTTTAAATATCCAAATTTGTTTCGGCATTTCATACTGGAAATTACTAAAGAAATTCAAGGGACTTTGAAAAAGAGGGTTTCAATTTAGTTAGGATTTTTTTTAAATTCAAATAGAAAACAAATTCCTTGCATGACTTTTATTCAGAAAAAGATCTTGGATGAAATAGATCCTAATGAATTAATTTGCATTGAAGAATATAATGAAAAAGAGATATAAAGTGACAGTGAAACACCCTTGTATTTAAAATACATCACGCATTTTTCTAAATCTAAAGAAATCCTAATAAATCTGATGAATAATATTTATGGCTTTATTAGTAGATTTATTTAAAAAGAGTAAAAGCAATAATTATAAAATAAATTATGAAGAAATCTAATATCCTTATTCTTGGTGAACCTTTGAAAGAATTAAATAAATACTAATAACAATATCATCCTGAGAAAATTGATAAAAGAATAAACTAATTTATTTATTAATTTCATAACTTTAATTTTATTATTAATTTGAATAAATGGCAAATGATGAATACCCTATTAGTTCAACATTTAATCACATGGTAAATATTTGATAATTTATCATAATTGGTTACCCATTTAATACAAAGTACAATTATATAAGTAATCTAAGCGAATAAAAAGTGAAATAAATTGAGAGAACTTATTAAAATACTAGGGATATTCATGAAAAACTTGTAGTAGTTGAATTTTCAATGTTTATTTAACTATGATAATATCTAATTATAAATATAATCAAGATTCTTGCTAATTCTCTTATTGCATATCATGTCCCTCACTCTACATCGTCTTGCTCTTTTATAATCGTGCTGGTTAGATGATAGAAAGCTTCTTCTTTTCTTCCTGCACAATTGATTTAACTCTTGAACCTCTTCTCTTTTCATCAATTTTTAAGAATCTGTCCACTCTTTTAAATTGTACCCATGCCTTGCCATCCATTAATTCATCCAACTTGCTTTAATAATCTAATCGATACTTCTAAATTTATTTCTTCCTCTGAGTACCCATTTTCTTTTACAATTTCCCAGAATGCCATCCACTCTTCCTCTGTAATGTCCCCACTCTTATCAAAATCAACTGCTTCAAACAGTGCTTCTGTGTTTAATTTTGCAAAGTTAGACTTCCTTAAGTAAATTATTTAAAATCTTACCAAAATTATTCAGTTCCTTCCTTATCAATGGTTCCGTTCCCTTTGATGTCTAGCTTCTTGAAAATTTCGCTGGCTTTTTGCCGTAGTCTTTGACTTAGTGGCTCATTTATTTTTGCACTAGTGCAACCCATTTTTGATTATTTTATATGAATAATAAGGAAGAAATCAATTTGTATATAGAAGAAAGACAGGATACTCTTATTTGGATGCAAGATGAGGTCCAACTTGAAATTCTTGAGGAAGTTGTTACCTTCATCCTAAACGATATCAAACAGAAATTCCAGACTGACATACTGACTTTGCGAGATGAAGAAAATCAATATTATGAAATTGATTAAATAGTGGAGTTCAAGCGTCCACACACATACATAACCATACCCCAACGACATGATGTGAAAACACTTGCTATGGTATCTGTTTTTAACAATAACTTCAGAATTCTCTAAGACAAAATCGTAGTATCTATCACATTTCTAACGAAAAAGTTCTTGTAGAAAAATTTAAAGGAACAAGAAAGGTTGAAAGCATTGATTATGCCCTCGCAGTCATTAAAAAAACCAATTAAAAATATTTAGACACTTTAAAAGGTATTTTTGATGACTTAGTAATACAACCAAAAAAAAGAAATTCAGTTACTTAAGAATCATAGTAACCAATCCAACAATAGCAAAATTAACCTGAATCTCCTAAATTTGGATAGTAACCAAAAGAAGTGGCTTCTCCCAGTTGGATTTCAAAAAGAGCATTAAATGAAAGCATTAAGAAATGTGAATTAAAATAACTTACATTAGAAGATGTATATGATCATATCCTAATATTCATAGGTATCTAAACATAACACAAGTGATTCAGCATGGATTGTCATTAATTCTAAAGTTTACGATGTTACTCATTATTTAAATAAACATCCTGGAGGTAAAGAATAGTTGATGAGGGGAGTTGGCAATGATGGTACTCCTCTATTTATGTAACATCATCCTTGGGTCAATGCTCATTATCTATTAGAACATTCTTAAGTGGGATTCTTAATCAATCATAAATGAAGCATATAAATTTATTTTATTTGATTAATCTTAGAAAAACTGTATGTTATTGAAAATAATTAATTAATTTCCATATTGCCATAACATTTTATTAGAAGCAAATAGTCATTAATGCAAAATGTTATTAGAATTAAAGATTTCTCATTTGTTTTGAATTTTCTATTTACTTCTAAAACAAATACGGTGGATAATATATAAAAAGTTATTTAAGTTAGTCTCCAAAATAATATTTTACTATAAGAAAAATAAAAATAGTGTGGAATTACTAACTTACCAAAAATCATTAAGACTGATATCTTCTATTTTTCAATAAAAATAATATCTCCAATTTATATTGTTTATGATTATCTACTTAATACTTAGGCTATACCTTCTTTTCATTATATTAATTTAAATATTATAATATGGGTCTTAGACTGTGTAATTAATTTAAGAGTTTTGTTTCGTCAATTTAATTCCCAGTTAAGAAAGAATTTAATATATTAAGATAATTATCAAAAAATAATTTATTTAATAAATATAGATAAACTCGAATTATTGAACATTATTTTATAACTTTTTAATCATTTATTTTAAAAGTAATTGTAAAAATTATTCGCATTTATTACAAGAATTTAAAACCAATATAATGAGCATTGATAAAATTATGGATACATATTTTTTTAATAATATTAATGTAAATAAACATCATTCATAAAGAGAAATTCTTAGATTCTAACATTATTTAATATTGATACCAATTATTAAATCTAATTAGCTTGTTATTTGATTAGATTTTCTCCAGATTGTATGGCTTATTGCTTTTGCCTTTTTTCTTCAATAATTTGAAACATAATTTGGGAGATCTTGTTTTAATTTAAATTTTTGGTATTTTGATATCGTGTAATTTCTTCAACAATGTTTTCAATATTGCGCATCTTCTGTTTCACATCAAGTAACACTATTTCATTTTGGGTATTAACAGAACTCTGTTAGATTTCTTTGAAAATATGAACGCATTCATTTAGTATAGAGTGAACGTCTTATGAATCAGAGTGGGTTCTAACAGAGAATTGACTCTTTTGATGAGGCTGATAAGGAGAGTTTAATTTTGTCGATGTTGAATTTTTACTACTCGATGACGGACATTTGACCTTCATTTGGATAAAAGTTTGAGATTTAATCAACTTGGGAGTGGAAGAACAAGTTGTGTTTATCTGAATCTCTTGAGAGGATCCATATGATGGTCTCAATGTTCTAATTGTGTTCATATCAAATTTAATTATGATTACTGATTCTATTTTTTAAGTTTAAGAATCGAATAAATATTAAATATTAATTTAGAACCAGAATTTAACTTATTCACAGAATCTCAAGAATTTAATTGGACAGTGAGTATATTTTTAGGATTGGCACTTTTGCATTACATTAAAGTGTAATTCTTTAAAGAGAATTATAATATAGATATAAAGACATTTGAATTTTATAAATAAATATCTTCAAATCAAAAATTTGAGCCAATTTTAATAAAAGAAATTGTTGAACAGCATCACAACCAGCACTATTGAACCTCCTGACATAATGGTAATGAATTAGTAGTAATGAAAGGTCAGAGCTTGATTTAAGCTAATATTGAAAATATCGTAAATGGTAGCTATGGCCAAGAGTGTGTATACTATGATTTACGCAATCAGGGCTATTGCTTGGGATTTGATGAATCTTTGCCTTCTCTATGCGTTCAACGATTGCCATTGTTTGTAAGTTTAAATCAATGTGGCAATAATAGTGATAGGTAAGATGACATAGGAGTTGTAAAGCAAAGAGAGACCCAGTCCGTAAAGTGGGTACCAGATGACCATGAATATGTATGGCAGCCATCCCAAGTTGTAAAATGTAACAGCAATATTGAGAAGGATCATCGATAGATAACAGAGCACTCTAATTAGGCATAGAGTTTCAGTATGAACCGCGTCATTCAATTAATTGTTACATCTCCAGCAATAATAAAATTGGCATTTTTTACACGTCATATGACTACACCCACCATTTTTAAGTATTTTAGAATTGCATCTTGGGCATTCTTATGTGGAAATGAATTCGAACACAGATGAGAGGATGTCACTCTTTATATCTTTAACTTTCAATAGGAATAGCTTGTCATATGACAGATATTGTTTATCCAACCAATTAAAATCTAAATATATTAATGAAGTTTTTTACTGCATTATTGACAAGAGAATTCTTTGCCGCATCTGTTGGTAGGAAGAAACGCATAGTAACTGCATTTATTGTTTGGACAAGGTCTAATGTCTTGTGTTTGTTGAAAATAATTTTTTAGCATTATTTCCATGAACTTTTCTTCGATTTGCTTGTTTGTTATGGATTGTTGAAAGTTTTCTAAGGATATTATTTACTTGCATTTATGATTTAAACATGAGATGGAATCGACTTACTATTTTAAATTGATTTTCTCTTCAATCCAATTAAGAACACAATCAAAGCAGAATAAACATTTACAGCTTTTGCTTGTGAATAGTTAACATTCATCACTCAAACAAACTGAACAATTCATTTTTTAAATTTTCTGTAATTTTTGTTTCATAATTATATAAACATAAATATCTGATCAATTTTGATATAAAAAATTAAAATATCGAATTACTATTATATTGATACCTAATAAAATAGACTAAAAAAAGAAATCTTGAATTAAACAACTAAAGATTATTTACACCTGTTAGAATCTATATAGAATAATTCCTACCTAGATTGAACTTTAAATAATGGAAATTTATCAAACAAAGAATCAAATTATAACATCATCAAGAAAATGAAAACTTCGACAGAATAATGCAAGGAATGATTTATATAAATTCATTGAAATTTAATAATATGTAATTCAACTTTTACTTATCTAAATGTATGCCAGTAAATGAGAATGGAATTACTATTTTGAATGGAAATCAAAAGCGTAACCCCTAGCTTGATGATGTGATCACAATCATGGGGGAGGCTTCAGCATTAGTAATCCATTCATTAATAAGTTAGGCCTAAAATTTGAAATAACTTATAACTAGTCCAACCAGATTCTTTTAGACTGACTAAAAGTTGTATATTAAGTCCGAAGGAAAAGTAAGTATTCACAAGGATTTTATAGTAATGCTTAGGGATTCTAAAAATAGGAAGAAAGAACTTATTTGATAGAGATTTAAACGGAGCAATAAAAGAAATCTAACCCATATGCGTTCTCGACTTTTACGTGCATGAATCAGTCTAAAGGAAAGGTATTGGCAAAGAGCTCTTTGAAGAAATGCTCAGATAAGAAATGTTGAGACCAGAGAAATTGGCTTATGATCGACCATCGCCAAAACTATTGGGATTCCTCAAGAAATACTACAATTTATCAAGTTACATCCCTCAAAATAATAGTTATGTCATTTACTCGCAATACTTTGATTTTAACTACACTAATGTTGCCTAATAGCATTCTGCACAATAATCATATTAACAATAGTAAAGCACTTAATTAGCTAACTAGTATAGAGTCTAGTAGGAATAAACTCCAATGAAGATGGAACAATTGGATTAGATGATGTAATAGATGTCTTTGGAATCAGAATAACAATATTCACAATATCAGAAGAACAAAGCATAGCCTCCTTGTGTGACAGATTAAAAATAATATTAAAATGTAAGGATAGATAGATTAATTTTAGATGTATCAAACGACTACTGGGCTGATGTCAGCTTAAATTCAAAGAAGATGATAATAATACTATTTGGGATAATTATAATTTATATAATTCATGCAAATTTTTCAGATGCCTTCTCCACTAATTCTTCAAATGTCAATTCCTTATTCTATTTAACGAATTTCTCATAAGTGCTGGGTTGTCCTTCAAATATCTCAGACAATCTCAGAGTCTTGTTCAACACGTCTTCTTCTTCTGGACTTGGAGGTTTTCTGAATTGTCCTTACTCGATTTATTAATCTTGTTGTAATTTGACATTTCCAAAATAATCTTGCTTCTTTTTCATAATCACATCTTTGATTGCTATGACTGTGCTTTTAGATTTGCTGATCGAGCAGTTTAAAATGTTCTTCACCTTCTTCATGTGCTTTTTAAAAAAGCTTTCTAAGTATTAAACTTATTCTGGTTTAGAAAGCATAATCAATGGATGCAATCTACTATGTTCGATACTGCAATGCTGACATAAATCAACATCTTCGCAGACAACACACTTATACCTAATATTTTAAATTGGAGACTATTGGCAAACAGAACAAATTGTATTTGGATGAAGAACTAATTGTCTTTCGAATTCCTTGAGGACGATTTTCAACACCTAAGAATTTAACTTCTTCAGATTATTTAGTTTTTGATCATTATCTATTACAAAATTATCACCTTCGATATTAACATAAACAAAATAGAGTTCTGGAGTCAACTTTTTGCCTAATTTGCTCTCTGCAAATTGGACGAGCTCCTAGTAATTGATGTCTAAAAAGTTCCCCTTGTAGAGGAAGGATTAATTCATGCACGGGATCGATAATTTCAGATGTTTCATATATATATAAATTTAATGATATTATTCCATCTCAATATAAACCCATATAAACGAAATATTTGCTACAGATGTCCAATGCATGATCAATTCAGATTTAATAATCCATTAAATTTACAGTATATTCTATCATCATTGTGCACACTTAACAAATACACGTATATTAACAAATAATTACAAAATGAATTACATGCAGTGTAATATAAATTTCATACGCAATTTCTAATTGACTTCGATTAATGTGTCTGTATGTGTAATATATTAGAAATAAGAGCATTTTTATCAAATGAGAATTCTCTCCTGTCTAATCGTTGCAACTCCATCCTCTAAGAAGGAGACCACTCAAATAACCCAAAAACAGTCCTATTTTAAGTTTTTCAAAGGGCCAGCTCTGAGAGATGCAATCTAAGAATATTTGAGAAATCACATGTATTCATGGTGAATCCATTCTTTAGAGTCATTGTAAACTGGTATTTATTAATTAGGTTAGTAGCTTCAAATTGGTGTAGTTAATTTGATATTTAACAATCAAATTGCAAAAGTTAAAGATTTTAGTTACAATTAATTTAGATTAGTTAAAATTGAAAGATTTCAGAATTTTAGTAAAAACATACATTTGAGATCAGAATTGAGAGGTAATACCTATTCCAACAGTCTTGGATGAAGGAAAACACTTTTGAGAAACGAAAGTTCAATAAGAATTTAAAAAGTCTTCTTTATATTGATTAATTATTTGGAGAATTTATTATAATTTATAAAATCTTATTTTATAATTAACTTACAGAAGCAGTTAGTAATCAAACTAATAAGTGAGATTATTTTGAATGACATAATCAAATCGGAGTATTTAATTCTGGTCACCATTTCTTTGGTATTACATAATAAAAATATCTTATTACATGCTAAACATTGTTGTTGTTCTATCTTTTGCATGCCTTGCAAGGACACAAGAATTACAAGATAGCCAAACTAACAGAACATTCTTAGATTATAATTCAGTTGAACAGAGTATGAATGCATCATAGATAGCAATAGGTCAAGAAATGCAGCTCACTGAAGTCAATGAAGATCGACACACCGTCTTTTACTTTCATAAGTGGAGCAACTTCATCGTTTGGGGAATTTTAGCAGATGTCGGATTATTGGCCAATCGATACGGAATATTCTTAAAGCACAGATTAAATCTACACAGTATCATAATGGGTTTGTGTGTGTTGCCTACCATGATAGCAGATATCCTAATGAGTTTGATTTGGAATCCTCCATAATTCCATGGTAAAGAGCACTTGGCATACTGGCATGCTCCTATTGGATTCGCCTTTCTTGGCTTAATGGGGTTGTAAAGTATTGGAGGTCTAATTTTAAAATTGTGTATTGAAAATAAGAGAACTTAGAAAACAATCAAGATCCAACAGATATTTCACATATATCTAGGTTATTTCATGTATGTGGTTGGCAAGATCCAATGTGGAATAGGTTTCTATGAAGTTTATAATTACTTTGTCGAAGATGGAAGGTGGAATTTGATTGGATTTTGGATCACTTATGCCCTCATATTCTTTTGGAGAGTGCTTCTGGAATTCGTGTATTAAAATGGAACTCTCTTCTCCAAAATTTTCAAATAGAAAGAGGAGTAATGTTAACCTAAAACCATACAAGATGCTTTATTTGTCTAACATGTCATACAAAATGGTAATATTTTCAGTGTAATTCTTAGATCTCTAAAGCATTCAGAGGGACTACAATGACTAAATGTGGTTTATATTTAACAATGAGATTATAAATCTCACAGGATTTGTCCATCCTGGAGGATAGTATATTTGGGAGAAAACCAAAGGAAGGGAAATATCGAGGTTTATTTATGGCAGCCAAGGTTTAGAAGATGGCAGTTGTCCAGCCTTTAAACACTCAGATAAAGCTATTTAAATGATCAAGTAGAACACAATTGGAAGAATCAATAATATCAATTTTATTATTTAAAATAACAGCGTTTTATAATATAATACAAATTTGTGGAAATTGATTACAATTAATTAAATATCGGAAAAAGTTGGTTATTTTGGTTTTGATAATGAATATAGAAAAGTTTCATCACAATTAACAAATTATAACTAATTTGGTAGGTATTATTAAGTGAAAGCTCATTCCAATTCTTAGGTGCCCATCAGATAATACACTTGCATTATAAGTATGGCTCCAGAGAATGTTTAATACAGAAAGCAACTAATAAATTTAGTTGAGACTCAATTGCACAATAAGGAGTGCTTTGATCATTTCCATGTCTAACCAAAATACCTAAATGAGCTCCCATTGATCATCAAGAATTACGAATCAAAGAATGGATTATCTCAATACATTCATAAGAATCAATATGAATAATTTTAAATAACTGGACCCTATGGACCATCCTTAGGCTTACCCAATAAAGGCAAAATTGTAATCATATGTGGAGGAACAGGTATACTACCATTTCTGGATTTATTGGATTTTCTTTTATAATCAACTATTTACGAAATCGTCGAGAAAAAATATGGGAAATAATTCGCTAACATACTCAATCCATTAGAATGCTCATTCCATACTAATTTACATATTACTCTGATATTTGCAGCAGCCAATAAATCAGAATTAATAGGCTCCAACATCTATTTTCCACTTATATCACTATAGAAACAATTACCCCAACAATGTTTTAAGATGATACTCAAAGTGAAAGAATGGACAGAGAATGTATGTTGTGTTAATGAGAGATTTAATAAGGTGTTCTTCTAAAAGCATATTGGATTTGTATCCTAATATGAGAAATTTTATATTTGTGGTCCACCATCAATGAGTAAGTCCATTCCCCCCATTCTAAAGGAGTTGGGGGTTCAAGAATAGGATCTACATTTTGTTTGAAATATTTTATCATTTCATGCATATATACATAACAAATTGTCATAAATTGCTCTCAAAATTATAAAATATTATTTATTTAAAAATTAAATGTGGTCATACACAATCAAAAAGACACTTCTATTTGAAGTTAATATATATGGAGTTCTGTTTGATCCATTGATATTAAATAGTTTTTGATTATGATTTATTGTATATTTTAATAATAATCATAATTAATACTGCTCAGTAAGGGGATTTAAATACCATTCCGATTGTCAAAAGGGATACAAATGATAGTGAAGCAGCAATCAATTTTTTCATCTTTCTTCCTGTAAAATTTATTAAATAAATAATATTAATTTATAAATGCATATTTTCAATATAAAACTTTGTGTTATTATTTAAATAGTGCACACACATAAAATATGGTTATTTAAAATGTTGAAGAAATAAGCTCAACACCAAATTATTTGATATATTTTTTTTTTTTCTTGATTATTAATATATATGATAAAACAAGCTCTCAGATACCAATAGCATCAAGTAACTCCTTCTTTTTCATCCCTTTATAACACCAAACTACATGAACATTAGAATACAACTCCTGCAATCTCTTGATTCTCACATATTTTAACATAAAAGCTTTAATAGTTTAATTCTCAAATTCATCAGGGTACATAAAAACATAAACTTAATCTCCTATCTTCAAATCAACCAAATTGTTATCTTCAATAAAGAAATCTTTGTACTCTATTTTCAATTCCCCGATAAAGTAATCCAAGGGCAATTCTGTACAGAAGATCTTACCTTGTGAATGAAATAACAACTCAGGGTAATATAATCCAAGGTCCGATAGGAAATGTTTTTAATACAGGAGGTTTATGTTCATTTTTTATTGATCCTACTTTTAAGTATTTAGTAAATAGGTTAATCTTTGCAAAGCCTCTTATTCCTGTGTGGTATTCCACTTTTTTACTTTTTAAATAACCAATGTATACGCTAAAGGCAGTGCTTCTGGCAAAGTTATTTATTCTTCCTTCAATGTTGTTGTGTAATGCTTATCAATGATATTTTGATTATCAACTATAATCGAACAAGCTAAACTTTCAATCGATTTTCTATAGTTAGTTCTCCAATTTTTAGCTTGAGGGTCATGAGTAAAATTTCGAATGAAAGTACTCTTATCAATATTCTTTTCCATATAATTTATGACTTCTTGACTTTCTTGCAGCTTTTGATTAAACAAACTCGTCATAAGGTATGGACCGAATTTCTTTATTATAGAGCTTGGTGAATCTAACTGTTCCACCTTACCGATTAACTCAGCTAAATTATGTTTCAAGAATGAAAACTTCATATTAATAAAAATAATTATTCATATTGAAAAAATACAAAAGGTCAATAGTTATAATCTAATTTATGGGTTAGATAATTTTATAGATAGGATTTGTAGAGTTCAAGCTGAATTCAAGGTCATTCGTAAGATTGCATAATCCAAACAAAATTGAACTCTACAATTTTGAGGAGATTGAAAATAAGAATATCCTCAGAATTAACAGATGCTAGTCCTAAAACTTCAATTGATAAATGAGATAATCATTGAAATTTATGTGGATTCAAATTAAATGAATTTTAATAGATCATTTATTAATTTTAATCAATGATTCAACATTAAGCATCAATTAAGTTTAACTTGACCTATAAAGAGAATTTCTTGATAATCGAAATTCACATTTACATTAAATGATATTTATATATGAAATTGCATTACAAGTTAATTTTAACATACCTTTAAATTTACTTAATTTGTTTTAAGAACAACATATTAATTTAGTTGGTGATTAAGTTAAACAAATAATTGGATCATTAAACCCTAAAATCTTGGACTAAACTACTTACCTTGTAAAGAAAGTTTGATTTCTAAACTCCAAAATATAAATATCATTTAATTGATTGAATTATTAACATTTTCTGTGTCCCTCAATACAAATTTAACAAAACCGGATTTTGTAAAAGAATATAAAATTGTCCATTTAATTATGATGATCTAAAATAATTATCAAGAGTAAAAATGGCTTAGAACCATAGTAATCTTCAAGACATAATTATAAATGAAAAAAAATATCCATAATAACAATTTAAGCTTTCAAAGTGGCTGGGTGTATTAAAAGGTTGTTTCAAATAAATTTGCCTATTCTTAAAAATATCAATCATCATATCTGAAACCTTTTGGTTTATTCCTAAATCGTTTTTACTTATTCTAATAATTAAGGTAGGATATCCCTAAATGTAATAAGGCAATATAATTTAATCAATATCAATAAATGCCTTTGGTTCACTGCTTTTTTAAATCATCCATCCTATTAATACTTATTATCTTTTAATTTTGATATTTGAAGAATCATTTTATTTTTATTATAATCATGAGATTATAGTTTTTTTACAAATATTCATTTCAATTTTACATAATTTCATCATATATACAATAATCTAGCTATTATAGAATTACATAAATAGTAAATTATTTTATCGTCTTGAGGATTGATAATTTTTAAATACTTTTTTTATTTATAGTTTATGGTTGCATCTCATATTCTCCAAAAGACTTTAAAAGATCAAATAACATATAAATATATTTCTT